AAAATTGACGAAAACTGAACTTGAAATGCTTCTCAATCCGTTAGAGCACGAAGGCGTGCTTTTGCCTTCAGCTGTTTGTCCCGTTACGCAAAAACTGTAGCTGTACCGAAGATGGAGAGCCGTTTGCACCTCGAACGGTTCGAGAGAGCGCTCCACAAAGACATCTGAAAAGAGAGTATCCTTCACCTAAGATCAAAGCGATGTAGCGGTATTTTTCCGGACTTTTTTCATACCTCAAAGAAGGTCAAAGAAGGGCCTCCTCGATCTTCCCAACGCCCCTTTGACCGCCCGCTTAATGTACTGAGAATTTCGCATAATGCCCTGGCTCCGACCATTACGGGTTGGTCGTTAAATGTATTCATTGTTCTGCTTGGGATTTTTATGGGCAATGGGGCTCCTGCCCGGGTTTCTGTCTTTATGGCCACATTAAACTCCGCTTAGCCGCTGGCAGCCGATTGCAATCGTCCCAGGAGCAGGAGAGTGCCTCCTCCAAGTGCGACATGCAACCCACTGTCGTCCTTTGCATGGCTCCTAGAAGGTTTGTTTGTCTGATTTGGCTAACCAAATTTGCACAACATTGGCCAAAGTTCAATAAACCCTCACCGCAGTATAAGAGAGAAAGAGAACGAATATGCCACGACTGTTTTCCCTTATAAAGGCAAGGCAAGGAAAATCCTTGCCACGCATATACAGTATATTTTCGCTAACAGGATTGAGTCGAAGTCTGAGATGCCAGCGCCAAAAATTTGCTCAGCCGGCGCCGTTAATGCCAATCAATTACGAGGTGGAGTCCTTTTCTTCACACCAGCTCCCAAGCGCGGAGACATATCGGAAGACAGAGCTTCAAAGCCCCAATGAAAAGCCGTTAGATAACACACTGCCGTCCATAAATTATGGCCCATCCACTGGATGTTTGTTTGCTCCCTTTTGTTTGGGAGTGTGGGCCATTGTTTTGGCATATGCCGCAGTGAAACCTTACCATAAATCCGCTACCAGACAAGAGCGTCAGCAATAAAGTATGTACTGGCTATAGAACATTTTGCAGAGCCATTATAATCATCCACCAAAAAAAAAATAGATATGGAGATACAGAAAGAGAAGTCTAAATCGGAGTATTTTTGTTCTTTTACTTTAACTTCTTTTTTGTCCAGTAGTAGTTGTTTTTTGGGTTTAATGCGACGGAAACATTAAACTTCCAATTCGTGTAGTTGGTTTTTTGGCCAGATTCCAGTCCATATCCGTTGTCGTCTTTATGCAAATTAACTGCACGACTGCCTCGAATGCAGTCAGAGTCCTGTGCCAGTGCCCCTGCACCTGTACCTATGCCTGTGCCTGCGCTGTCAACACAGTTTGGGCCGAAACTTTAAGAATCATAAATCTATTCATATTTTGTTGTGTTCCATTCCGATTTACGTGTTTGTCAGGCTGTCAGTTTTTCGTGCTCGTTGCTGCGACATGCAAGGTTCGCCCTGAGCCGCCGTTTCGGTGCAGTGCAAGGGCGCATTATCATGTCAATAAGAGACAACTGTAACTAAGGCCTTCCACTTTCCACCTTACACCTTGCCCTTGGCCGTGTCCTGAGAGAAATAACTTTGATTTGACAGCTTGCAATGATATTTTTTCTATTATCATAAAGCTTGAATCGGAAGAAAATCAATATGCATCATGTGAAAGAAGGGCGGACAGGCTGTGAGAGTCCTGTTTCCCACAGCTATTTTTAGACGCCATAAACGCAAATGCGCAATGGATGTCTCCAGCTTCCTGTCTGTAAGAGTCCTGTATTTGAACGACTATTATAAAGAGTTGAGAAAGAGTAGATACAAAATCTATGGAATCATTTCTTCTCATTTAAAGAATAGCATAGATAATGAAGACAAACAAACCCCTCATCAGTTTGCCTTATGCACACGATATGTATGTTGTTTTTGCAATTCTTAGGCATTCTCTTTTCCATCATACGCTTGTGTGTCTCTAGTCGAACATCAATGTGCGGCGTCATGTGAGGGCGATGAGAACAGGCATAGATCAAGGGTCAAGTTTTTCTCTAGTCTTTTCTTTCGAAGATAAACATGGACCATCCCATTCCCCGTCCACAGGCGCGCTCTAAAGTTTATTGCATGGCAGGAGACATCGCGGCTTGTTGACAAACTATTTTTAATATTGAAAGGCGGACGGCAGCGATGACAGGCAGCAGCGAGTGGGCCACATGCCGTATACGTAATATATATATGTATACATAATGCGTATCTCGTATACGTTGCACGCGCTGCAGGCTGTCCTCGAGGCATCGAGCTGAGTTCCGAACAGAGACACAGCAGCTGTTGCTGTTGCTGGTGCACTCATGTGACCTTGGTCAGTCACCATTAGCTCTATATGCCATCAGTAAGCGTCACAGGCGACACAGCGTCCATTTTTTTTTAAGCAAACTGACATTTGGCATCCATTTTTAGTCGCTCGCAAAACTGTTGATCGATACTCGCCACAAATAACGCAAAGATGAATGATGGGCGTTCATGTCTCTGGTGTTACATTGCAACTGCCTTTTGGGGTACTTTCTGTTCTGCATACTTTTGATCCTGTATCAAAGGATTCCGGTTCATTGTATTCAATCTGCTAGAGGCTCGTGGCTGGAACTGATTGATTTGTGTGCCGCCAATTTGTGTGGGTTTTTAATTAAAACTGCGACAGTGTTGGGCGCCACCTGGCGAAACACTCCCATACAGACCACACGCGCGATAAAGTTTGGCTCCTGCCAGGAGACAGGTGGTGTGGGCGTCGAGTTTCACTTTCTTGCCAACTTGTATTTGCATTTGTGTCTGTATCTGTGTGTGCGGCAGTGTGTTGGGAGTGTGGTTTGTCCTTGGTTCGTTGGGCATTGGCCTACTTTTTAATAAAAAAAACAAAAACCACAACAATGAAGAAAGAAGTTGCCTGTTATTGGCCATTGCTAAAATTTAAATCAAGTGCACGAAAAGGGATGGTAAACTCCTTCTTTTTTTTCGTATGCCAATGCAGGCCAAATCGAGTGGAAAAATAAAGCCACCCAACTTGACCTTGCGGGCCACCCCTTTTATTTTTATAAATTTTTGCGTGTTAAATGCGCCACACGTGGAGAGTCTCAGGCGAGGACCACAGCCAGGACCTAAGCCTACAAATTTGCCAGAGCGAACAAATTTGGTTACACTGAGAGAAATAGATACAGCTAAAATGGAAGAAGACTACCTCCAGTTTATAAATGTTGAATCGCTGACTAAAGTTTTCATAAGCGAACGGACACATAAACCATTCCCCCTACATGCGATTCTAAATGGGAAAAATGGGCAGTTACATGTGAGAATTCGGGGGGATTAAAAGCGACACTCGCAACATTTTTTTCTATTCATCATATTCTGGATTTAAGAACATTTTTTCCACTGTGTGTAGTACGTAATATCCCGTTCTGTACGCCATTAGCTCACATCCCATTTCGGACAGGTTTTCAATTTGCCTTTGGCCACCGCCCACAACTTTTGCCCCTCCTCTTGTGGCTTCTTATTTTTTGTGGTTGTTGCTGTTGCTTGTGTCATTTGTGACATTAATGAATGGAAAACATGGAAATGTTTTCCAGCATGTCTCTTGCCAAATCATTACGCCATCGTCGCCATGTAGTTGCAGCTCGGCGGCATGCCCCAAAATGGATGAGTCTGTCCGGTAGTCGTCCGGTGGGGGTCCGGGTCCGGGGACCGCCATCATGCCCCTGCCGTCTCTCAAGGTCACTCCCAGTGCTGGCTTTTCATGTGGCCACAGGCAAATGCCAGGCCAAATTTTCAAGTATTTTCTTTCAAATTGGATTTGAGGACTCATGAGGATGAGCAAGGACTGCATTCAACAATATCCGCCTGCTGATTGACCCTCGACTGTTTCCTGCTGCCAGAGGCGGACCCGAGCTCTGGCAGAAAGCACTTTTCGTCTTTTCTCCCGTCCCGATGGATTATGTAGATGACGGAAGGCAGTGGGGGAAATCCCCATTTATATTTGTGCCGCACTTGACCCGAAGGCGCTTCTTTTTCGTTAGCTGCACTGGCCGGAGATTTATGCAACATACAGAATACAGAATCGGAAACAGAGCAACAGCTGTTTTGCAGCTGGCTGATTCATGCTGGCTGGCTTGCTTCTGGTGTAAAATAAATGTGGCAGAGCAGCTGCTGGTGGCCACATTTAGCAAGTACTTTAATCTTATTGCACCGAGCAACAAGACAACAATCGTTTCCAATGTTGACTTTCCCGCAAAAGTGCCACACAATGGCGCTGCTGTTTGCTCAAAACTTTCATCGTTCGTTAAGCTTTGTCTGTTTGGAGATGAGCGAGCGACAATTTATTTTGGAGCAGTAATTTTTGGGCATTATGGGGCATTTTTCCCATTAAATGGAAGGGCATATTGATGGGTTCTGAAACCAAACCGATCTGACTTTTATTCTACATCTTTCCAATTCCCCTGGATCTGTATATACGGCAGTAAGAGAATAGCGGTTTACTTCCAAAACCCCGCAATGGAGTAAATCTTATTATAGGGTATATTTCTAGTAGGAACTCTGTTGTGGCTTGTGTGTGTTCTCTCTAATGCTAGTTCTGCCAAAGATGTATTTAAAAACAAGGTGATGCCGTTACTCTCGCTCTCTATATACAGAAAGAACGCAAGTGAACGCTCCTCCAAAGCGCTCTCTGTGCATGCCTCCTCACCTGTTCCATTCTAACTCTCGCTCTATCCGCTCTCTGACTTTCGCTCTCTCTTCCAAGCTTTCGTGCTCGACATTTAATTGCTCTGTTACCGTTGTTCTGCCGGTGCTGCGGTGATCGTGTCAGTGCGGCGCGAGCATTGAAACCCAGCAGACAGAAAGAGTCGGCAAATGGAAGTGGCTTTTTCGCTGTCTTCGGGGAATACACTGACAGAAACTTGTAGAAGTTAGGACTCTCCAATTAACGTCAGAATCAGATTTGTAGTAAATTTTATTAAATTCAGATGGTTGTCAAAATTCGAAGCGATTTTTTTTCGTGAGCTGTAGTTGAAAATTTGATAAAAAATTTCCGCGCTTCTTCCGTCGCAGTGCATCCGTCGATTTCTCCGAGTGCAGATTCCAGGGTTATACGAAGCGTGTGTGTATGTGTGTGTGTGTGTGTGTGTGTGTGTGTATTAAGGCCACGCGTTCCGACAGCAGCAACAAACAAACAAAACAAACAAAATATCCATTTGGATCTAGTGGCATTAAACTCATTGCTCCAACGATCCTCCAACGGTTTCCATTAAAATAAATCGTAATTTCGGATTTTGTTCTTTATTTGTTTTGCTTTGTTTGCTTGTTGCTGCTGCTGCTGAGGCTGCTGTTTCTCTCGATCTCCAAGGCCCCCACACATCCATGCTTGCTGTCCCAATTCGCGTGCGAGTGCTAAAAGTCAGCATTGTTCAGCATTTAGTCCGAGCTTTTTAGCGCCATTTGGCAGGCATGGATGGGGGCAGTGTCGAAGACCGGCCACCACCCACCCGCAAGACTGAGGATGGGCAGTGCCTCAGTGTCACAATTGAAATTCGAGAGACATGGGGGTGTTGCCTCAGAGCTGAAAGAAAATCGCTCGACGACAAATAAGTAAACGTTGAAATGGTGGGCGACGGGTAAACTTTAATTACAGCAAGAAAAGTGCGTGAAACTCGATAGAGCCCTAGACTACGTCCAATCCCAAGAAAAAGTGGCGGAAATATTTTCATGTAGGCCAAACAAATGATAAGATAATAGAGAGCAGAAGAGCAGACGAGCAGACGAACAGGAAGGCACGTTGAGAGGCAAGGTGACGCAAGAGACGAGGTGGAATCAGCGCTTCCAAGGAAACAACAACTACAACTGTGATCCCCCATACACCCCGCACCCGGCACATGCGGCAATGGAATTAAGTGCGACCAGGACAATACCGAGTGAAAATACCAGACCAAAGCGTCGGCCCACTGGCCACTGAGAGGAAGGAGACAATGCGTAACGGGCGATGTTACGCCCAACGGCAGAAACAGGAGCAGGCGGTGCAGGAGCAGGAGCAAACGAACCTGACTGATGGCCCAGAGCCGGATGCAGAGTCCGAGCCAGATCAGGAGCAGGAGTCGGAGACGGAGACGGCCCAGCAAGTCAGTTTGGTGCCCCTGGCAAGCGGGCGACTGATCGGCACGCATATCAGGCCCGAAACCGAGCCAGAATCGGGCGAGCAAACGGACACACAGAGCACGGACAGCAACAGCTCCACGCCCACAACGGCCGACGTCGCAGACGAGGGAGATGTGGAGACTGTCAGCTCCCTGCCGATGTCGCCGCCCATCTGCGGACGGGGCATCGTCGGCGGGCAGCTGGTCAAGCGACATTCACCGCTCAAGAGGCTGCATGCGGACAACCGTTCGGCCTCTATAGCCACCAACACGAGCACCAGCACGACGCCGAGCAGCGTGAGCAATCAGCCGGACCTGGACAATGTGCCCACGGTAAGCGGGAGCAGCCCTCGGCGGCCACATGAGCATCATGGCCACATCGACGCCTCTAATGCCGCCTCTCTCCAGCAGTCGTCGCGCTATGCGGCTCATCCCAGTAACTTTGTCGAGACCGCAATCACCACATCGTCGCTAGCCAGCTCCTCCAGGCCGGGCGGCGGCGGTGGTGGTGGTGCGGCGGGCAGCACGCATCGACGCACCCACTCGGCCGCCTCCTACATCTCGATGCGTTCGCTGGCTCCAGGCGCAGATCCGCCATCGGAGCGACGCAAGCGGAATCGATGCTGTCGATGGCTACGCTACGCGTGCAACGTATGCTGCTGCAAGGTTGGTTTTTCTCTCTGTTCCAAGGTATTTCAGGGCGTCTGCATTCCTTCTTCATTGTCATAGCCCCGTGATTCCCTGGGTGGAAGAGACAGGAATCGGATGTTGCATGGAATTTTCCATCGCTGGATTCAGACCCTTGGTTTTTGTTTTATTATTTTATTTATTGATGAGCGACAAAACGAATCGGTTAGAGACCAGAGAGACCCTGTGAAGCCAGAAGCCAAGGGGTGTGTGTGGGGTCCCTGCCTAACACAAACGAAAACAATTTCGAATTTAGTGCAATTTATTTTCAGTCACCCGCATGGCAGCCACCAATTGACGGGTGGGGTGGGGTGGTATGTGATGGGGTTGGGTGCCACACGGTAGCTCGTGCTATGACGTGACGTGCGATGACGCAGCTTCCATTTACCATTTACCCATCGCCCATCTGGCCGCAGCCTACAATTAAGACTCCCACTCAGCCATCTACTAATGATTCATCTTCATCTTTCTCTCCGCAGAGTTCCGGAATAGGCGAGCCGAGTGTTCATCATGCGCTGGTTGTGATATTTCTAGAGTTCTTTGCATGGGGACTCCTAACGATGCCCATAATATCGGTGAGTAGAGTGTGGAGTACCCCGCTAATCTCTTTTATTTACTTTTTTTGTTTGTTTTGCAGAAACTGAACAAGACATTCCCGGATCATACGTTCCTCATGAATGGCCTGGTCATGGGCATCAAGGGTATCCTGTCGTTCCTGGCAGCGCCGCTGATCGGCGCTCTTTCCGATATTTGGGGTCGAAAGTTTTTCCTATTAGTGACAGTATTCTTCACCTGCCTACCAATACCGCTGATGTCCATCAACACCTGGTGGTTCTTTGCCATGATCTCAATAAGTGGCGCCTTTGCCGTCACCTTTTCGGTGGTGTTTGCCTACGTGGCCGATGTGACCACGCCGGAGGAACGCTCCAGGGCCTATGGCCTTGCCTCGGCCACCTTTGCTGCTAGTCTGGTCATCTCGCCGGCATTGGGCAATGCCCTAATGGACATGTATGGCGACACGCTGGTGGTGGCTCTATCCACGGCCATAGCGCTGCTGGATGTGTTCTTCATACTGGTCGCTGTGCCGGAGAGCCTCTCGGAGAAGGTGCGACCCTCCTCCTGGGGTGCACCTATCAGCTGGGAGCAGGCGGATCCATTTCAGGTGAGCAAAACTATCTAACCAGGCGATTTCAAGAGATTAATTATTCGTTCTTTCCTTTCATTTCGTACGGCGCAGGCCTTGCGAAAGGTCGGCACAGACAAGACCGTCCTCATGCTGTGCCTCACTGTGCTGCTTTCCTATCTGCCCGAGGCTGGGGAGTACTCCTGCATGTTTGTCTATCTGAAACTAAAGATGGGCTTCGACTATGTGGAGGTATCCGTATTCATAGCCGTTGTTGGCATCCTCAGCATCACAGTACAAGTGACTCTGGGCTCCTTCATGAAGTGCGTATCCTAAACACTCGAAATTGTAATCTCTCAGCATCCTCATCCTCCTTAATGTGCGTCTTTCAGAGTGTTTGGTGCCAAGCGCACGATCATTGTGGGTCTGGCCCTAGAAATTGTGCAGCTGCTGTGGTACGGCTTTGGCAGTCAGAAATGGTGAGTGGCCGTCAGGAGAGATGAAGCCAAATGTTGTTGGGGCGTTGTGTGAATGTATCCCTATCCATTATTCTTTTACAGGATGATGTGGTCGGCAGGCGTTGTGGCTGCCTTGGGCTCCATCACTTATCCTGCCATCAGTGCGTTCGTATCGCTATATGCGGCACCCGAGAGTCAGGGTAAGTATTTCGTCCCCTTCTAAACATGCGTATGATACTTATCCTTGAATGTATCGCCCCTCCCCCATTTAGGTGCTGTTCAGGGAATGATCACGGGCATGAGGGGCCTGTGCAATGGCCTGGGACCGGCCGTGTTTGGCGTTATCTTCTATCTATTCAATGTGGATCTCAACGATGACCATGAAAATCCCGCTCGGACCAGAGGCAGCAGCAGCGAGACGAATGTGGAGAAGATATCGCATCATGTGCCAGGACCGCCATTTTTATTTGGTGCCCTGTGCGTCGTCTGTGCTATAGTCGTGGCAGCATTCATACCCGAGGGCCAGAATGCCGCATTGGAGAAGAAACGTAAGGATGCCCCGAGTCCAAATACTGCCACAGTCACAGCAAGATAGAAGAAGCAAGACTCGTGCCCAAAATAACGATTCAATAATAAATTAGCCCAGCAGTGCGGAACGGAAACCATTGATTATTTATTATTTAAATCTTTTTGCAGGTGCCTCGCTCGATGTGCAGTACGAGATTGAAACTGGCCACAAGGCACCCAGCTCCCTGGCGCCGCTTATACGCTCCGATTCACTGGCGCAGCTGTAGTCGTCCTACCCACAACCCACACAACAACAAACACAACACACAGAACAACCGCAACAACCGCAGCTGGTGTCTAAAAATACGTATAAGCAGAGTATTTAAGTATTAACTTTAATCAATTTTGTAATTGTAACGAATGCTGTAACTAGTTTGGCTTTAGTTAGTCCCCCCAACCCCACACACACCATGGCTAAGTTATCAGAGAGAGAGAGTAAGTCTCTGCGTCGATGCCCAATGATCATGCTGCTATTGCCTTGCCGCCTGAGACTTACCATTCAAGTCTTCTTCCGTTAGTTTCCATCTTAGCCGGGTACTTTATATTGCATAAGGAAGAGTTATCAACCGCCCACCACCCCGCTATCAGAATTCAGTTCAGTTTGTCGTTTGTTTTGTGGCTCAATGCTGGGAGTTGATTCCCTGTCAGCTGGGAACTACACCACCACAACACACACATCACACAGCAGATGAGTGTTGGAGCAACAACAAAAACTGCCAAATAAATAAAACAAAGTAATTGTAAATTCGTACAAGAAATACCTTCTGCTAGATGCAACAATTCAGCACAATAATTCAGCAAAAAGTACAGCCACAGCCCCTAGTACCATTTTTAGTTACAAACAAAACGAAACAAAACAAAACAAAACAAAACAATTACGAAGAGGAAACATCCAAATAAACTGAATACTAAGCTTTACTTTGCAAATTGTAGTGATCTAAACTGTAAACTAAAAAGATAAAACCGAAACTAATCCGAGTTTCAGCAGAGTCAGTCGCAAATGGGATAATATTGTAACCAGTATACATACACATATAGCAACTGATTACCGGGGGTAACTTGATTGACACAAAAAAAAAAAATAAAACAAATAACGATATAAATGAATGTATAGATGTGAAGGGTACTGGACACAAATCATAATGTTAGCGAGCGTGCCTCTAATCGTGCGTACAGCAAACCACAGGTGTAGTTTTTTATTTATTTTGATAAAGCCAGTACGAAAAAACAAAACAAAAATGTTTCAATGATGCTTGAGGTCTACGGATAGTCAGTCCCCCCCAACAAAAAAAACCCAACCTAAACCAATCCAATCCCCTGTGTGGAATGTGCGTGTGTATGTACAGTACTTTAGAAAATCAAAGTTATATATTTTTCAAAGTGTGCTGCAAAACAGTGTAAGGAGCTCCGCTCCTCCCCCGACCTAAAGATCCAATGCTGAATGCTGCTCTGAATAATGAATAAGTACGGGGCAGGACAACAGACAGACGGACAGACAGATGGACGGAAGGACAGTTTGTACGAGTATCTAGGAGAACGATATCCACATTTTAATTTGTAAATTATTTAAAATGTAATTTAGTGTTTTAAACGAAAACCAAAATAAACGAAAACTGTTTGATGAAGCGCTTATACCATTGAATACTATATCTTTTCCACACAATAGAGAGACGCCAACTGTGGCTTTGTTTAATATGTTATTTTAAATATTGAATACACACACACACATTAGTTTATGTTTCGGTCGACACACAAGCATACATACATACAATTTCTCACATTAGTCTCTTCAGACACCGCGGGTCTACACAGAAACCAAAATTGTACATTGCTTGAAAGATGACTTCCAGGGGAACCACGACAGGCGACCGTGGCGGATGCCATTGTGCAGGCGAGAGAAAATTTACTTGCGTCAAGCCTTGCAAGCGTCACTTGGCCTTGCTCTCCCTAGTCATAATGTCATTCGTTGTCGCCACCGATGGCCAAACTGGAAATAGTTCGAGTATGGGAATTGCTGCGGATCATTGGCGCACGGGCTACGAGGGACACGGCACAACGCACGAACAGGTGGGACAGGTGCACTTTCCGCCCGTGATCTACACCAGATTCGATGGGTTTTTCAACTATTCGCACGATCTGTCATCGGACACAAAAGCTGTGAATCCCATTTACAATTTTACACACTTTATCTTCGACGCGGTGCTGACCGACGAACCAGCCCTGCCACCCGGTGAGTGTCCAAAGCTGACTCCAGTTGAGCAAGCCATTGACTCCAATTCGCTTGTCGATCTGCAGGCTACATTGGGGTAATGAAGGAGCGCCATTTGGTACTTGGCCGCAATGTGGAAAGGAACGAGTGGTCTCTGCTGTTGAGTCGGTACTGGCTGGTGCTTTTCTTTGTGATATTCCTCTTGGCCGCGATCATTGCCGTACCATTCGTTGCGTAAGTTGGGGAATCCGCCCAAAAATCAATATCTTCTCATCGTACGAGTATATTTTGCAGCGTTTGCTATTGCTGCTTTTGCTGCTGTCTACGGTGCAAGCAGGGTTGCATCCAGTGCATGGCAGCTACGGACCGCAGGCGGCGCTTGTGTTGCGGCGTTTGCCTCTTGGTGCTGATCATTGGAATGATGTGAGTGTGTGTGGCAGTATCAGCATTGACAGTCCAAATTTATATATATCCGATTACGATTATTCACAGCGTTGGCCTCGCCATAGCGTTTGTGACGAACAAGTTCTTGGATCGTGGATTGGAGGAGTCCATGGTGACGATGCGCCGTAGCAACGAGGATACTTGTACCTTTTTGAGGAATGTCGCCGATCACATCCACCATCTGTTGGTGTTCAACTTTCAGGAACTGGAGACGCATTTAATCGAGCAGATAAACGGTAGGTTCCAACTGGCAAAATTAATGAAATTAATCCAAACTCATACCTGCTATTGTGTAGAGGCGCATAATCACATCTTCCTGGACCTGGCTGATACCTCCGACGGTAATGCTTTGATGGAATTAGAGCGCATACTGGACAATATGCCAGCGGCACTAACAATAATGAAGCAATTGAATTATCTGGAGAAGGAGTTACGCTTCTATACATCAAACCTTCGCGACTGTAACTAGGACAATCAGAACTCGTGCATGTGTGTGTGTGTGTGCTTTACACCCCATCTTTTCTTTTCAGCGATACGAGGCCTAAAAAGAGATATGACCTACACAGTAACCCATTTCTGTGGCAATACGAAAGAACGTTGTCATGAATCCATGATCGTCAATAGCATTTTGTATATGGATACATCCACATGCCTGCACTTGGACCAGGTATGTATATTGCTTGCATCTCTAGTTCATCATATTGAATATCAGTGTACTCCGTGAAAATTTTGTACAATAGCTGCCAAATACCACAGTCTATGTGGAAGCCATTGAGATGATTATTAGGAAGAAATACAACCTAATACCGAAAAGGGCCTTGGTTCGATTTAATGCAGTTCGTGAAAAGATCAAGGAGCAGATGACACACGTTGGGCCGCCGCTTAAACGATATATCGCCGCTGGTCATTCAACCTTCGATGATCACGCCTTACGTATGCGCACGTTGATCGAGGCAATGATAAGTGATATTCACTTGAACACCCTACGATCCGCAAAGACATTCGACGATGTCTATGAAAAGTTTGGTGCCGATCGCAGGGCTATCAATATCATATGTATCACATTACTTGTAATAGTAAGTTCAAATTTTTTTATACACGTATTCGAATGGTTCATGCTGTCCGATATGGTAGAGCTACGGCTCAAGAGAGGGTTTTTTTTATATCTTGCGTATTCGAGTATGTGTTTTGTTCTCCGTTTCCTCCGTCTTAATGGGCTAAGATCGTAAGGTATAGATTTTAAGCCGGACTTTTTTAACATTTTAAATGCATCTACTCAAGATCCGAACCAAACAAAGTTTTCGGTATTAAAATGATTGCCTCGCCTTAGATAATTATTATCCTGCTTACATCCTTGGCATGCGGCGTCTGCGGCTATAGTCGGACTCATCCTGGACCAAGTGGGTTTGGCAGCAAGGGCATGGCCGCCTCATGCCTGCTGATGTGAGTGCGACTTGTCAGTCGGTGTTAAAACATTTCCATTTAAACGGAATCATATTTTACAGAGCCATCATCATGATATTTTGTATATTCTCGTTCATTGCGCTGATCGGACTGTTCTACTTTATGATCGGGCTGGTTACATACGAGGGCGCCTGTGCACCAACAACGCAACAGGAGAAGAATGAACTTTTCCGCCAAGTGGATGCCGTCATCGACATGAATCGTTACCTGAAGCCAGAGACTGAGGGCGATAGGTTTGTGATGCCAGCACTTCACATGTCAGAGGCAGTCAGGTCCTGCCAAGCCAATGAGTCCGTATTTCAGCTGCTGCGTGCGAATAATATGTATGATGTCAACGACTTGGCCAGCGTCAAATTGCTGCCCGACGACCCGGAAAGTGCGCCCGTTTTCACCGATGATTTGTCAAAGCTGGACCTTTTGACGGAAAGCGAGAAGCTCGAACTTAATGAGGTGCGCAACTGCAATCTCACGTCCTATCACAGCATGCTATACGATGAGAATCTATGCCTGCGATTAATGAACGTCGATTTGTTGTTCCTGGCCAATGATTTATTGGAAGAATGGGCAACAAATCCATCAGTCTTAAAGGAAGACGGTCGAGTGTTTAGTTTTCTGCACAAATACAGTGCATTGGCCTACCATTCTAAATTCTTCCTCCCCGTGCAACGTGGCATGAAGAAAGCTTTAAAAATTGTGAAGGATATTGATAAGCTGATTCTCTATCTGAATCACGACTTTGGCAATTCCATTCAAATACTGCTCACGTCAATAATTAACGCAGAGAATTTTATCAAGAAGCGCGGCGCTGAGTTTATCAACAATCTTGCCCAAAATCTCACCAGTGCCATCAACGAACAGTTGTATGAGTATCTCGATATGGTAATCACGGAGGCAAACTATAATGTCGGACTTTGTCAGCCCCTTGCCTACATTTACTACGAAGGCGTTTACTTTGTTTGTGCCCGTCTAGTGGATCCCATAGTGAGTACAGTTTTTTGCCCCTCAAATGCTCCTGTTTGAGGCTTACCGGTATCCCTATTGCAGAACGGATTCTGGTTGGGTATACTTCTCTGCGCCCTGCTCCTCTTGCCGACTCTCTTCGTTTGCCATCGTCTCATGTGCCTGTACCTCAAAATCTATCCCGCTCCGATGGTCGCTGCAGCCGGTGCCCCTGTGGGAGGGTAAGTATTCAATGGCAACAACATAAAGAATTGCATTGTTCTTAACTGTCTCTTACTCTTCCAACAGATGTCCTATTTGCACAGGTGCCCCGTACGTGCCACACGTACCGCCTAGATGCGGCCTCGAACACGATGCAGACTGTCAGTGCGCTCCGTGTAAAGTGAAAGGAAAAGGTTTCAAAAAGGGAAAGCGCGGCAGGAGCAAGGGGGGCGATGCTCCAGTGGAGACAGTGCCGCCTATGCACCACAGGGGCCCAGTGGCTGAGATGACTGTGGTAAGCGAGGCATCAGAGCCGAGCAAGCATAAAAGAGACTAGATGTCCTGGTAGCATAGATTTGACGAGTAACCATTGCAAACTCACTGAATTATGGACCACCGATTCAAAATATACCGAATTTACAATGAGATTCATGTGTTTCGTTGTTTTGAAAATTTGAAAATACGTTGTGCAGCGGTTAGAGATGGATCACTGATTCATCGTGAATTCGTTCACTGCGAAGGTAAAAATTCGTGTCATTCGAAACGAGTTTGTAAATTCGCCTATTTAAATTAGCGAGAGATAGCGCCTCATTCCTAGTGAAATAGGGTTTATTAATTAATTAATTAAAAAAGTTGCCAACTGTGAGTTCGTCAGTGTCTCCTGTCGAAATGTACATAAATATGTAGTTACATTTGCATTTGCAACATTTGCAACTAAATGTGTAGTTAGCGTGTAGTTACCATGTAAACAATCGATTTTGCCATCAAGAGGGGTGTTAAGTGGGTTAAGTCTCGTTTGATCGACGGACTGCCCTGGTTTTTTTATGGCACGGTATTTAAATGGTATTCCTCGAAACTGAAATGGTATTTATATTTTGGCCGGCGCGGTCACGCTGCGCGTTTGTCCCCGTTTGGAAATTTTAATTGAAAAATGTACCATAGAGCTGTCAAACGATTGATAGTTGAGCCATCGATAGCTTTGAATGTTTTGAAAAAACAATCGATACTATCATGCTAGTCGCAAAACTGTCGATAGTAGAGACTAGCAGTAAAATATAGATACTATCGATAGTGCCATCGATGGTTTGACACCTCTAGTACCACTAAAATTAAAAAGGTGAAATATTAGTAAAGGCTCGGTTAATTAATGAATTAAAATGAACTGTTGTGCACGAAACAAAAACAGTGAAATGGCACGGAGTCGAAAAATCGCCCATTGTGTGTGTGTGTGAACGAAAACGGAGAAAAGAATGCTTAAAAAAAGGCAGCAAGCAAAAGCCGTGGAAGTAAGCAAGTGATGGGCGGGGTGCGCGGCGCTGCAGTTGCTCTGCAGAAAAAGAGACTCTTAGTGCAGTGATACGCACATGCATACATACATATGTATGTAGTGCATAAGATTAAAATAATCTGTGTGCATAAATGTATGTGACTTTGTTATAATGGGGGCTGTAAGCTTCTGATTCGACTCCAACGCGAACTCGAACTCCAATTAGGGCAGGAAAGAGCCATTGGAAGCTGCACAGAGATGGCTTTGGGTGCTGTGCTTTTGCTCAGCAGCAGGATTTGGAAAGGGGGTTACGACCCAAAAAGATTTTTCTGGAAAATATTGAATTGGTGTTTTGATTTAACTGTTACAAATTCTTCCCTTTTATTAGTTCAAACTTCATTGGAATTTTACACGCAAATATAAATCAAGTGTACTTTTGTATATTATTAAGAGTGGTGCAACGACGCATGTGCATTTCATTGTTAAATTGTTAAAGTCGAAGCTGTCCAAATTTATTGTTTTTATTACGCACTGGAGTGGGTGCATATTGTGTGGGCGCGTCGCTCCACCGAGAGGCTGTTTGCGATCGCTTTACTCATACTGCTACCCTTTTTGCTACCCTCTGCAGCACATGAAATTTTTGGGCTAGCCCTAGGACTAGCCGTCAGTCAGCCGTCAACCTGTCTGTGCCTGTGACCCCTAAACGGAATATTCTCGTAAATCGTTTGTGGGTGCAAGAGCCGGAGTCGTAGCTGGAGACGGACTTGAAGCTGGACCTGGAGCTGATGCTGGTTGACTGATAACTTATTGGATTGGGAAGCGAAGCTGTTCAAGCTATAGTTGCTGTTTGCCGCATCACGCATTACGCATCATCATCATCATCGTCGTCCAAAAGAGCTATCTCTCTCTTAATTGGCTTAGTCCCCGGAACGCAGCAGCTCGCTGTCGCTTGTTTGGTGAGTAGTCTGTGCCGTCTGTGCCGGCTTGAAAATTTAGCTTGTTTATTTCAATTTGTTGGAATTATATGAATGTCCAGACCGTGGTTTATGCTGCACGGGCTCCCACAATGCATATACAGACATACAGTCTGTATGTATGCATGTACATATCGCACCCACTGGATGGGAGCCACTGCAGACACACACTTAATTAATTTATAGCCCTGCACTAATTGCTCTGGACCTCCATTGGGGCCGGGGGAATCCACACGGCGTTAACCAAGAAGAGCACACAAAAAATAATGTGTGTATCCGTATGCGCTTCCGCAGCCGCCGCAGATACACACACACTCTCTCCATTTATGTGTGCCTGTAGTAGCACCATCCCTGACCTGGCCCCTGGCCCGTGGCAGGTACATGGATGGGCATAGGCATGCTATAGCCGGTGGCAGCGGTGGCCCATGTGCTTGTATATTTATAGCAGTGCTTCCGAAACGTTTGCGCTTGCCCCACACGTCTCCTGGTCCTTTCCTCATGCGTGCCACATTGACTTCAGAGGCCGACTCTAAATTAAAAAAAAAGGCAGAAAACAAATTACACTGTGCCTCACTGAGCTGAACTCCAAAGTGTCTTCAAAGGGAAAAAACCCCGGATGTGGTACAGCTGCACGAGGCCCAGGCCCTATCGCAAAGAGGTGGTGACCCCAGCCAGACAAAACATTGGAAAAGTAATCTGCAGAAACCTGAGCTGAAATTGAGATGCCATACCTGTGATTCCCTGCTATATCAGTCATCATATACATATGTAGGCAGAAGTCTTCGCATCCGCCACTGAGTTCTGGATCGTACGTAGGCACGCAGTTCTCTTTCTATACATTTCTTTCTCCCCGATGGTGTCTGTGCTAAATTAAGCCGCATTATTCTACTTCCTTTGTTTGGTTTCGTTTCACTGCTACATGTGTCCAATTTTCATCCAACGAAGTTTACCCTGCTGTTTTTCTGTTTGTCTGTATGTCTGTGTGATTAGCCCATTTCTCTGTGGCTTTATCGGAGTGCGAGTTCCAGTGAGTCATACGAGCGGCCAAACGGGTTTCTGCTGGCCAACCTGTTCATTCGCAACATCTTAACTTGGAGTCGTTCTGTGGTCTGTGGGCTGCTGTTGTCTGTCCCAAATATCTTTGTTCTGAATTGGATAAAAATCTCACTCCAAATCCCTAAAAGTGCAAGGTTCTCTTTTTTTTTTTAGTCAGATTAAGTGTATCTGATCTGCCAGCTCTTACGGTAACGTGAGTATGAATACTGATTCATCGTGTGCTCTGTGAACAGATCTATTTACTGCTATGCTAGCGTTGACCAAGAAGAGCTTTATTTTACATAGATAAATGGTGCTTTATTACTGTTAACCTTCAGAGTGGGATTTACTTGTATAACTGCAAGCGGTTGCGACAATATAAAGTAAAGGTATATATGTATATGTATTTATATATTAATCTTATACATACATATATCCATAAAGCCATAGCGTTTTTTTTTTGTTTGCGAAGATAGTCGCTAATTAAAACGTTCGTGTAGCCTTTCGCTTGTGGGAAATATCCCCTGTTTGCTAAAATTTGCCAGATTTCGCCATAAGAAACGAAACAAACGAACCGATTCAATTTCCAGACATGGATTTGTTGACTCACGTTTCCCAAGAGGGAAATTTGTAGTATTATTATTATTAGCTATCAGCTTGAGTCGCGAAGAGAGGGAAAGAGACTTGCATTGTGATAGTCAGGCAAGATCTCGGGTTCCCTGACTAAGGCTTTGTGGAGAAATACATACATATGTGTGTATGTTGACTTAGCTCTATTCCAGACTAAATAGCACCCTCTGTTTGTCCTTGCCACCCAGTAAACGGTAAACTATACCTCCCACTGTGCGGCAAGTGCAGCCATAGACAGCCATCCTTGCAGCGACGGACTGCGCATGTGCCATCCAGAGGCTCGGAATTTGTTTTGGCTTGGGCTTGGGCCTGGCACACGGGATTGTGCCCACTACGTTTTGCTCATTTGCACTGAGTCCGGAGCAACAGAGGAGCCAGCGAACGCACTGTTCTGACTCTTCCAGCGTGGCCGTTCTGTCCGTTCTGGTTCTGGCTCTGGCTCACCCGCCCATGTCAAGGCCGTTCAGTGCCTGCTGGGCCAGTAGCCGTATACAGAATTTCCTGCACAGCATCAGCAGCAGCGGCCTCGCAGGCATCTTCGTTGTGCCATCCAGCCATTCGCTTAGTGTTCCCCAGGCCAGAGCACGCGGCGTACACACAATTAAAATCAGAGACGAGACCTGCACTGTTTGGCCACAGGCCATTAAAGCCCTGTTAACAAGTGCAATCACACGGAATTATCTTTTTTTCTGTAAGTAAACATCCATTAACGCCATGGGTGCCACAGAAACTAATCCAACGTTGGCAATATACTGGAAAAAAAAAACCAACTCAAGATAGTTCGGATGGACGGAAAATGCAGTCCCCTTCATGTATGCGTGTGTGTGTGTTTGTGTGAACTCTAAGATACCAACAAATGTGCTTCTGTGTTGCGACATATTCTGTGTTGTGTGGCAAAATGTGAGAGACCGTGGCGGGACTGGCCCTTTTTCCCTTGCCCTGTCCAGCGGGCACAAAAGTTCATTAAACTTTTCGCTTTCTTTGTCTCACAGGCCATGACTCTTGTGTCTGCCTGCCTGCCAGTCGGACCATGAATTAACGGCTATCTGTAGCCAACGAAAGGGGCTCCAGTTCTCGAGTTACGAGTATTCTTGTCAAAATCACAATAAACCATATTGTAGATAGTGAAGTTTGTGGCTTTGCATTATTTGCAAACCATCTTCATATATGGTACGCCTTTCGGGAATGTTTAGAGTTTACTAAACAGCAACCAAGTTCAGTATATGATGAATGTACATGTTGGAATTGCATTTGGTTAACTGATCTTGAAGACATCTCTGCCTTTCCATATTATTTGTGCCTGACCTGACATTGCACCCAAAGTAAAACTACATACATATCTCATACACTAAAACATAATCATTTACCTTGGGTTTAATGTCTAACTATTCGAATTCAAATATGAGGTTGAGTATTGAACATGTATTGGTACGAGAATAAATTGAATTGCTGAGGTTCACTAATGGTTTTACACACGAAATGCAGTCGATAGAGCGTCAAGTTCATCGCTTTTATTGGGTGCCATCCGGCAAGTCATGGGTGTATTTCTGAGACGATCTCCCTGAGGAACTTGGACTTGGATAAGTTCGACTGTATGTACACGATCTATGTAAACAATCAAGCTACCCTAGACAGATTGAATAGATCGATTCGACTGATGATCCTGGCTAATAATATACAATCAACAAAAATACAATATACAACTCAAATTCAATCAAAGTGCGAAAAGAACATTTCGTCGGGGCAGAAGCCAAGGGAAGGTGCTGGCATTATTGCGTGCTTGTCGCCCAGCCGCACATAGCCTCGGTGGCGCAGTTGGCAGCGCGTAAGTCTCATAATCTTAAGGTCGTGAGTTCAAGCCTCACCCGGGGCATGTACGTTTTTTTTGTTATTTTTTATTTTTAAATTCTTTTTCTGTTTGGTAGTGCTTCATTTTGCGTAATGGCTGTTTGTGCAATTATTTTCCACAGCCCAAAATGGTGAAAGATGATTCACACGTGTTCTTTCTGTGGCGTGGCGGCGAGCGTAGGGTATTCATTTATTCTGTCCGTACGGATGCTTATAGAAGCCATATATGATCGAACGACGGCCAGAGCCAGTCCTTTAAATAGCCTCGGTCGGGCGTATGGAGGCAGTGCATGCCCTATGCCATTGTCATGTTCTTGTCTTTACTCATTGGCCTTAATTAATGTCAAGTGGGGATAGATGTGTTTGTTTTCTGTGTGTGTGAACGTCCGCATAGCAGTGTGGAACCAATTCTATGTACAGGGTGGCCCGCAATAGCTGACGCACCTAACAGGTAAAAAAAAATCAAAAACTAGCGTTTAATTAAGGCAGGAAACATATTTAATGCGGGGAGGGGGATTACTCCGCGATCTCTTTTATATAATTTTATCTGTTTCCATACCGCTTATTCTACATCTGCCTCTCTCTTCTCACACAAAGAGAGAGAGAGAGTAAGCGCGTATGAGTGGGTTGCGTAGCCACTTCATAATATTTATCCGATCTGATGGCTGCAAGTCTGAGAACTGGGAATTTTCGAAAGGATCGCTTTAAAAAGTGCTACAGTCCTTGTGGGCCACCCTGTTTATACATGCATATACATATGTATGTATCTCAGGCATCAAGCGCTCATTTCTTAAGCAAAACGCAAACTTCAAATGGAATGGGTTATGGGTTGGTTTGAAGGGGTTGTCCCCATTTGCCTGGACCGGACACACCAAGTAGCGAATGTATTTTATTGCCTTGGTTTCGCATTTATTATCGGAATAGGACATGCCAATGGCACATTAGTGGGTGTGCCCTGCTTCTATGTATCTGGAGCTGCTATGTCTGTATATTAACACGCATTCCATTTCCATCTCTGTCTGATTGCAGGCCAGTGAACGCGTGAAATGGGTGCGCGGCAGCACGTCGAAAGGAATAGGATCATCAGCTCAGTGTATTAGTGAGATTCAAGGAGCGGACAAGACCAGAAGATACGCGTTTTTCTTGTACGGAGACAAATCCCCGAGGAAGCGACAATGAGTCAAGCCAATGAGCCAGAGCCGCCACCAGCGAGGGCCAAACCAAAGGCGGCGAGATGTCGAAAGAGACGCCAGCGCCGGAAACGGCAGATCGCCTACCTGGCCATATGCAGTCTGAGCGTGGCAGTATTTGGATTCGCGCTGGCCACGCTGATAAGGCCAGCGGCTGGCGCCACCGGCGGTACCACGTCTGGAAAAGGTAAAAAAAGTGAGGAACGCAATCCCCAGTTGGAGTGGCGAGCGGGATACGAGGGTCATGGCACCACCCACGAACAGATGGGGGAGTTGCATTGGGCACCGGTTGATTACACCGATTACAAGACAACGGTTAACTTCACGCGCGTACCCCCACCAACCACAAATTCCATGAATCCAATTTTCAACTTTACGCACTTTATATACGATCACTTAATCACCGATGAGCCGGCCCTGCCACCGGGTAAGTAAAATTAACATCGCTGGCATTGCCGATTCCAATTCTTTGCTCTGTTTTCCGCCAGGCTACATTGTGATGCAGGGCGACACACTGGCACTTGGTCCCAAGTTTCAGAATGCCGACTTTCGAGATCTTATATCCCGCTATTGGTTGGTTCTCATGTGGATACTCTTCCTCATCGTCATCATTGTGATCATGCCGTTCGTAGCGTAAGTACAACAATACAGCGCAAATGGAATAGGTTCACAAATAAAATACATATATGCATGTACACATATGTATTTCCGATTACAGAGTCTGCTATTGCTGCTTTTGTTGCTGTCGCCGGTGCCGGCAAGGCTGTCCCCCATGTACCAGTAAGGCGGATGCCGCTCGGCGGTTATGGTGCGGCATTTGTCTTCTTATCCTCATAGTGGGACTGATGTGAGTAAATCTTAGTCATTTTATTACTTATACATATAATTTTATTATTCTGAATTATTACGCATAGCTTTGGCATTGTTATTGCCTTTGTGACAAATAGGCTGCTGGACAGGGGCTTCGATCAGGCCACCTCGACAATGCAACGCGGCACCGATGACATTTGCATGTTCCTGAAGGATGTGGCCGATCACGTTCACCATCTGATGGTGTATAACTACGAGGAAATGCAAACGCACATTACCGATGAGCTAAGCAGTACGAAATCTGTTTTCCCAAATGTATTTGCCCTGCGTATATATCGATATCTAATCCTCTAATCTTTCTGTTCAGATGCCCATAAGCATATATTTTTGGACTTGGCGGATACATCGGAGAGCACCTCGTTGGGCGAGCTGGAGCGTATATTGCACAACATTCCGGAGGCGGCCAAAGTGATGAAACAAGTTGCCAAAATGGAAACGGATTTGCGCTTCTATGGAGCTCAACTGCGCGACGGTAATGAGTGAATGCAATCCATAAAATTTACATTTTCATCATCATCTATATCTCTTGGCCGCGGCCTCGACAGGTCTTCGTGGCATGAAGCGTGATATAAACTTTGCAGTGGCCAATCTGTGCACCACACAGGAATGCCAGACCTTCCTTAGCACCAGCAGCATTGAGTCGATTGACACCTCCAAGTGTCTGCACTTTGATAAGGTCAGCAGACATTTAAATACAATTCTCGTGTACGCAAACAATAATAATCGAACTGAAAATTATAGATTCCGAATGCCACGTTATATCAGGAAGGACTGGACGAGGTTGTTAAGAAGAACTATGTCAAAATCCCCACGGAGGGACTCGCCCGCTTGGAGAAAATCAGCCTGAAGGTTAAGGAGCAATTGAGCTTTGTTACACCGGGTATGATACGTGACCTAAACGGCGGTAAGGATACCTTCCGAACGCAAGCGAGGAAAATACGCAATCAAGTGGATGCCGTGCTCAGTGACATTCATCTGAAGACCGCACGCTCATCCAGGTCCTTTGATGATGTATACGATAAGTTTGGCAGAGATCGCAGCGTTATCAGCGTCGTTGTGTGCCTGCTCATGATAATGGTGAGTCATCATCATCAGTGCTTAGTGCAGTTTATATTTGCTAGTAACGATTACCATTCCATCTCCTCCAGATTCTTTTCATCTTGATTGTATCATTGATGTGTGGCTGCTTCGGGAGACGAAAGACTGGCTATCGCGATGACTGCTGTAGCAGGGCAACGGCTGCCAACTGTCTGTTTCTGTAAGTGAAGAGACGGATCCGATCTGGGGCCTAAGGGGCGTACTAATTGTGAAGTTTGAAATTATTTTGCAGGGCCATTTTATTGATATTCTGTCTGATATCGTTCATCACGCTTATGGGATTGCTCTACTTCGTGGTCGGTCTAGTCACTTACCAGGGAGCCTGTGCCCCGCTCCGAGATGTGGATAAGAACGGGTTGTTTAGGCAGCTGGACTCTATGATCGATCTGAATCGCTATCTGCCGGGAGCTGATGGAGAATCTCCGAAAGCAGTCCCACCCCTGCGTATGTCGAATGCGCTCAAGATGTGCGAGGCCAATCAGTCGGTATTCGATATGCTGCGTGCAAACAGACTGTACGACATCAACGATATAACGCGCATCAAGGTGATGACTTCAACTGACGAAGATGGAGACGGGGTCAAAGTATTCGACGAGGATCTATCTAAAGTTGTGCTCCTAACAGAAGAAGATATCGAGAAGCTGAATGAAATGCGTTTAGGCGGTGCGAGCGATTATCACAGCGAACTGTTTAAAGATCTATGTAGTGAGTTCACGCCGGTCAATCTGAATGCACTTGGGGAGAAATTGTACGCGCTGTCAAACAGCTTGGAGTCACCGACGTTTGGCTGGGCCCGAGTCTCCTTCTGGAATGAGGGACTCAACGCCAAGTCGTACTATCAGAACTTTGTACCCAAGCTAACGGGCATGGTCCAGAAGATAAAAACCAACCTGAAGCATCTCGACGAGCTGCTCTTATATCAAAATCAAGACTTTAACAAAAGTATAAGCACGCTACTCGAGGCCGTGAATAAGTCACAAACGTTCATCCAGAACGATGGAAAGAACTATATCAATACACTGGGAAAGAACCTCACCGCCACCATTGAGGAGATGATCACGGAGTACATCAACATGGTCATCAACGAGTCCAATGAGAATGTCGGGCGCTGTGAGCCCCTTGCCTACATTTATCATCAAGGCGTTGACTTGGTTTGCAACAGCGTGGTCGATCCCATAGTGAGTGCTGCTCATGTTTTTTACTTTGTACTTTCACCTACTTAACTTTTTGTGTTCTCGTGTTCTCTCTCTCTCTTTCTCTCTCTCTCTATCAGAACGGATTCTGGGTGGGCGTGCTGATCTGCGCCCTGCTCTTCCTGCCCATCCTGTATGTTTCTCACCGACTGATGTGCCTGTACAAGAAGGTCTATCCATATATGGCTGCTGTCGCCAGCGAAGTTTATCAGGGCGGGTAAGTCAACATTCTTGTTAGCTCCCATTTCAGTCACTGCTAATTCACCGTCCCCAAAGATGTCCCGTCTGTACGGGTATGCCCTATATACAACAAACCTGTACAGGTGGGCAGCAGGCCTATTGCGATTGCGCCGGCAATGAACAGAACCGTCCTAGTGGCGGCAGTGTTCTCGCGCCGGCCGAAGATCCCACAGTCGATGACCAAATCTCTCCGCTGGAGATGAATAAACACAAGCAAGACTAGCAAGACGTTACCGGGGGTGGATCTACTCACGAATTGTGCATTTTACTATACATAACTGTTTTCATTTGTACTTGTTATCATTTTTTTTTATCATATGCATGCATTGAAAATTTATCATCGCCTGCAACTTTAATCAAAAACTCTCTGTCACACTCTTCTCATTTCACTGCTAACCCCGCCTCATCCCGCAAAACAGCAACGAATCCCTATACGACGCTTATAGCGAGCGCGGGCGCGAGCACGTTCCATTGGCTAAGTAAGAGATCATCATTTTGTGTGCAGGCCTTGCTTACTTGCTCAATTTAAAATTAATCTTGTACATCTTCTCTGGTCTCTTGCATTGTAGCGTGCCAAAGAAACGGCGCAAGGCCTACGAAAGACGTCGCGAGCAGCAGGAATACTATGAGGACGCATCGCCTAGTGTGTCGCGTGCCACTCGTTCTGGTGGTGGTGGTGGTGGCGGCGGTGGTGCCGGCGCCAGCGGCGGCGGCGATGGAGCTCCTGGCAGCAGTAGCATGAGGTACAACGATATGGCGCCCACGTAAGTGTCCAGCAACAAGGTGCTGGAGTTGATGCCTGCCAAAGTTCACACACACACATACACACATATCCATTATCAACTCGAAACACAGATAAATAATGCGTTCAGCCTACTCCACTATATCCACTGCCTAAATCGCTAATCATTGGATTATTTTATTTTATTTAGCGCCAAAGTTGTGTCTAAAGATACGCGGCCAAAGGCATTGGTGGCAGATGGCTTCTTTTAGGGACGATCGGTTCGGTTTGTTTTTGTTGGTAATTTGCATTGGTAATCCAACATTCACTCGATGTTCGTTCTGGGTTCGTTCTGCCTCTGTGTGTGGACTGTATGTAGACTGGATGGACGGACGACCTTAGACATGTGTTCAGTTCCCTGGCATCCAATTTGTTTTTCTGCTTTTAATTATGTTTTATAAAGTATCATGGAGGAGAAGTCACCCTACTTCCTGAGCAGTGTTTCTCCTTCATTCCATTAACTTTCTTATTTCGTTCATTGTTTGAGTCAGTGCAGTACAAAATATTACAGCAATACTGCAAGTGTCCAGTCTACTGGGAGATGTCACCAGCACTTCTCTTTCGTGGTTATAACCTTGCCTTCTGCTCTGTTGGACATTAGGTCATTTCAATTTATAGATACCCATATTTTGTACTAAAGCCAACAGAGACCATTTCGCCGCTTATCCTAATGGGATCCGGATTGTTGTTCCGAAGTCAAAAAAACACTTACTGGACTCGGTATCACATCAGCGATCACCGCCTGCCTTGTCGTTTCATACCCATCTGTGATAGCCCCGTGTGGGGGTAAATGCCTACTGTTGCGTGACTAATCCGTGTTTGTGTTGTGCGTGAGTCGTTGTCATTCACATTTGCACATTTAATATTCCTGTTTAATGAATTGTAGATTTTAATCCATTTTAATTCAATGTTCCAATACAATTCGCAGGCACTGGGACCACGAGCCGCCCCGCTATCACAATCCACCAGCTGCGCCCCCATCCTCTGAATACGAACGCCCACCGCCATACTACTATCCGGGCGCCTCCGAGCAGGACTAGGCGTGGCACTATATGGAAGGATACGAAAACACAAGGCGGCGCCACATGGTGTGAATGCAGAGTTGGTCGGGACAGCTTTAGAGAAGTGGTGGCGACATGCAAGATTTTTTGATTTGAAGTCCCTCTTCGCTCTTTCCTTTCCCTTTACTCATCCCTGCGTTACTGAGACTGTAATTTTAGTTAAAAACTTGAAACAAAAACAAACAAAAATAAGTGAAATTATATAATTTGATTAAGGATTATTGTATTTAGCATCACATGTGTTATAGTTTTGGCCCCGCCCGACCAGACTTGACCAGACCAGAGATCTATCTGCCAATAAGAGACAGAGGGCCAAGGCAAAATAAAAATCGTTTAGAAGAGTAGTGTTCGAAGATAACTTTTAAAATGTGGCCAAAAGTTGAGATCTGGAAAAGAGAGTTAGACGAATTCGATGACGATGATTGTCACAGTCGGAGCATTTAATCTCCCCCGAACTCTCCAAGGAGAGGCAATAGAATAGGCTAGGGGCTAGAGCAGGCAGGCAAAAGATCTGATGGATGGTTGATGGATGTGAATTTGCCTGGCTGCGATGCTGACAGGACGTTTTAAGGAATCTCATAATTTTATTATGCACGCTGTCCAGAGAGGCCAGAGGCAAGAGGTACTGAAAAAAAAGTAATACCGATTTCACACTTCCCCCGCCGATTGGGGAAACGGCAAATTTCCGGTAAATCAAAAAGCAAGAAAAAAATAATATGAAACAAAATGAAAACTGCCATTTTAATTTAGAGCGAGCAGCACGAAAAATCGAGATATATATTCTATGCATTTAATGTATTTGTTTCAGAAACAACAAACAACAACTGATAACGCATATTTACGTTTTATTTAAACTGACAGAAATATGCACACTCAAATACCAATAATATATGTAGATTCCGATACAGATTGCAGATACATACATAAGCATATTATACAGATACACAAATGTAATACACGTATTTGAAGACGTTGTCATAGTTTAGTAAGTGAAAACCAAAAGTAAAACCAGCCCTAAAGCATTTAAATGTTTCCAATGGTATTAGAACCTAATGCGATCTGTATGTTTCCAAAAATATAAACAATATACACACAAAAATATACACAATCTAACAACAATACAAACATACGAACACACACCACACTCACGCTAGTATATGTATTGATTACATAAATTAATTAAATAATTTTAGTATTATACGATTAAGTACGTACCACGTATGTATGTTGTATTTTATATTTGACGTACATTAAATCAAATGATTTTTGCTTAAGTCAAAACTAACCACGTATCAATATTGCCGTGCGCAAGTAAAGTACATACTCGTATACCGATTAAGATCGATCCACGAAAGTGATTTACCCAATCCCCCCCAATCCCAAACTCAACCCCAAACCCCCAGTTGCCAGGCTATCATCGAACTTCGTTGATGTTTGCCTTTGTCGTTTACATAACTTTGCCAATAAATTTCAAATGGTTTTATGTATGTAGATAATGGTATTGTCGTTTTTTACTATAGTGGTGGGTGCGGTCGGTGACTTTCTCATAACGTTTCACTTTAATCTACATATGTACTTGCCGGGTTGGATTTGCGGAATACTGATCTATCGGCTGGCGTATCTCCTGGTTGTGGATACGCCCAGTTCGGCTTCTGGATAGCCCAGAGTACGAAATCCATAAGATTAAATAAATTATGGATATCTTTCGGATCACAGGAGATAGCCACAGCACAACCAGAACGTTTCACAAAAAAAATTTCATGTACAAAAATGTATAATTTCGCCAATTCATGTCCAATCTGGACGTGCCATGCGTCCTCGTGATCGGGAGAATGTTCCCAATTGTTTGCAGCCCCTTTGGCAATTTTATTTACAAGCTTGTTACCTACATGATCTCCAACATGGCATGCTAGAAACTGCCAGCGCCCAAAAGTAGTGCACTCTTTTTACCGTACCTTGTGGTATAGTACACACTACAGTACTCACCTTACAGTGGTACTAGCTGGATCCGGGATCTGTACACGTATATCTGTAGAGAGAATATTGAGCAGCTGCTTGACACATCGCCACGTACAATCACTGGAGCTGACACCGACACGGAGCAATTAGCAGCCACATGACTAAAGTCAAATTTATTTTTTTGGCTTCTTGTTTACCCAATATAGTCGTACACGTAAATATAGGATGGGATGTGTGTGTATGTGGGTGGAGGAGTTGGTATGCCCCAAACGGCGGCAAATAGGTAAAACAATTGTTCAACTTGGCCACTGATTAGCCATTAAATAGACCTCAGGCCGAGGCCACGCAGTGCACTTGGAATAAATATGTACAAGGTACATATATGAGTACATGGGAACAATTAGATGGCTTTAGCTGGCCAAGATCTCAGAGTCGGTTGCGTTTTGCGGTTGTCCACCAAAATCATGTACATTCGAAGGCTTTCGCCCTGAAGGTGACTTTCAATTGGACACGAAATCTGGTACGGATTTGACATTCGAACAATCTGCTGATATCTGCTGAAGTTCTGTTCTAGACGCTAAAACTAATAGTAGATATTTCGGAAATATACAAATACTATTACCCATCCCGAAGTGTAGATCTCCGGCATGTATACTGGAGTGTAAATCTTTATTAAAAGGTTTGTAAAAAAAAAAATAATAATAAAAAATAGTCAGGGAATAATTATAAATTTTTCTAACCAAAATATATTCCCAACGAACCTTTTATTTATAGTTGTTGAGAACTAGTATATTTGCATAATATTTTCCAGTCAACTACTATCTTATTAACATTCTAATGGAATATGGAAATTATATCAAGATCATTAAATGGGTGGAATGTGAGTCAAACTTATTACAACTTTATCATACTTTGGGGGAAAACACGATTGAAACTGTCACAAAAATGATTATTATAAAATATTAATAATCACGTTTTTTGTGTCCCCAATTTGTAAAATTTTTAATTCTACATTTTTCAAAAACCACAACAGACTCATCCACAAATTTTGTGTTCTCGCGTACAAGTATTTCTAGATAATAACTTTAAGTGCTACAATTTAACGCCTTTGACGCCTGTCACCTTCGGCGAGCTCAACGAGGCTTTCCCCCCTCCTCACTTACATTAATCACATCGAAAAATACGACCAAATTGACTTGCTTAAAATCGTATTAAGAATTCTATTCTACGTAATAATAATGGCGCCTTGAGCACTTGATCTATTCGAAATCCCAACCCAACGGAGAGCTTGACCGTTGACAATAATTGTGAAATATGATTTTGGATTGCATATGGGGAAATTGATTTTATAGCATCTATAAAACGCAAAAGGTTCCCACAGCGAGTGTACAAGATGCAAAATCAACAGCCAGTGTAATTGTTTTTCATTTTTTATTATTTATATCGTTTTTTGTCATGCCAGTTGTCTGGCTGTTTGTGGGAACTGGTGTCACGGGATGGGGACGGGGCCTGAGTTAGTGTTAACACAGCCATAAAAGTGCTAAACAACCCAACAATTTGCCAGAGAAAAACCGAAATAAATTGAGCATTTTGCAGCCTCGCATTGAGGGGGTACGCTACCAGAGATACTTATTTGCTTATCGGCAGCCAACTTTGACCTTAGCTTTACAAAATTACTTCACTCAACTCAAAACTGTTTGGGAAACCAATTTGTTTGGCTAACAACAAAATTAAGCTGCTAATTGCTGAAGGTTATACTCGGCAGGCAGAAATTCAATACAATCCATACAGGAAAATGCTGTGGCAATGTTATCCAGAGATATTTCTTCGATCCATATATCAGAATTTACTTTGCAATGAAATGTTCCATAAATTTTGGTACCAACTCAGGAAAGTATTAAATTTCGTTGGCTATCACAATTTTATCGCAAAATGTTTCCCCCGCGAAACGGAACAAAGACCAGAGCTGTGCGGGCAGGCCGATCCGAAGCCGTAGCCGAAGTATTTGCGGTTTGTAAGCTCGCTCCCTCCCTGCCTATTGGGGGCCTCTCCATCTCTCTGTTTCGGTTTCTGTTTTTGCTTTTGCCTCTCGCTTTGGCACCTGCAATGCAAAAGCACCCGAAAATCGTCAGCAGCACCGGATCACATTGTTGTAATACCCAGAGACAAGCCGAGCCGAGACGACAGCAGCAGCCCCCAACAACGAAACTCTTTGTGAGCGAAACTAATAAAAAACCGATCGCCCGAACTGTTCCCACTACCAGTTTGAAGCGAACACTCGTGCGGTGGAGTCGAGCTCGTCCCCACATATCTCTGTCCGTCTCCGTCCCGTCACCGTGCCCATATAGTATAAGCCCAGTTCCCACAGCACTACAGCACCGATATCCAGTGGAAATATACAAAACAGATCAACAAAAGTGAGTTTAGCTATGAACAAAGTGTACCGAGAACTGTGATCCCGCTGTGAAAGGATAATGCTCCGACTCCGAACCGATCCGGGACAGTGACTGTGACGTAACTCCAAAAGCAAAGTCGAAAGCGAAACGAGAAAAAAAAGCCGTTTGCCATGGGAGAACTGCAATTGACAATACCACACCAGGCAGCAGCAACAATCGCATAAAAACTCAATAACAATTATCAACTGAGCCTCGCAGCTCGCAGCTCGCAGCGGCGTATGCAAGAAACCTGTATGGAAAAAAGTTAAATAAAATATAAAATATATAAAATATTACAATGTACAGCAAATAAACATTCAATAATAATTTTGCCTAAAGCTGTAGCTGCATAGTGCACGGGAGCTGCAGTATTCGAATCCAAGTAAAACAATAACAAAAGTTTCAAAAAACAAATATTGAGGCACGCGAAAAAAGTATACATTTTAGCAGCTACTCGTATCAATTCAAATATTATAAAATCACAGCAAACAAATACACAAAAAAGTAGAAAGTAAAACCAACAATGGCCTCACGAATTTAGCATACCCTTGAAATTAAAATAGAAACTCTAACAAATCGAATTACAAACCATCCGAAATATTATTATTAAAGTTACTACCACTGGCAGAGTAAAATAACATTTAATACTAATTTCCATTACTTTTTCTTGATCTTTTGTAGCCTCCCCCCACCGTCCGTCTCGAGTGTCCATTTCATTCCCAAGAGTTTTTGTGCAGTCAAGTACAACCGAAAATATTTTTTTTTTCTGTCTTTCGGTTGGGCTTTCTGTGTGGCTCGCGCCCCGACTCGAGCTTTTTTTTTTTATTAAACAATTAAGAGTCAATTTACATAGGCAAAAGCTGTAAAAGGAAAACCGCCAAAATTGGTTACCTAACGAAAACTTCGTTTGTGCTACGGGAAGGCAACAAAGTAAGTAAAATACGCTTATGTCTGGGAATAGCTAAAATGAAATAGACTTAAATCTAAGATAAACCATTTAAAATAGGTAATACAGATAATGCCATTCAAGAAATGACAGAACGTTGCCAGTACACCTTTGGATATAGTCTTAAGACAGGGAAAGAGAAGGTACAGTTCCTCAATTACAGACCCATCGAAGCTTTTGTACGAAGTATTTGTACCATCAGATGGGGCGTTGTACAATATATGTACATACTCATATCTCCTGCTAGCTATTTCTCATCCTGCAACATGTTTGTAACATTTTCCGATAGGTAAAACCGAATTGTAAGTGTTCTATTATGATGTGTGGCACGTAGAACTGGACAATTACCATAAAAATAATTGGTTTTTGTTTTGTTTATAAGCAGGAGATATGTACATATAACGCCCCATCATTAATGGCGACTTTCAGATGACTCGCCTGTCATCCCAGGCACGACTCTATCCACATGCTGGAAATCTGCTGACGATGATAGCGACTAATAACAAATACGAGTACAAGTACTCGTAGAGAATATTCAGACAGTGTGAGAACATTTTTTTAATCACCCCGCAATTACCTGACGAACTCTAGTGTCGGGGAGCTTGCTTGGGTTTTAAGAAAAATACTCAAAATGAGATGTCGTTTACTGGATAGCAAAAGGGGAGGAGACTGATCGCTCAGCCTGCAATTACTTGTACTTTTAATTTGCATTTAGAACATGGCAGCAGCCGAAATGATTCAGAGATCCACACGAGGCTTTTCGGCAGTACCATAAATAAGCTACTCTAATTAGCCAACCATTTTGGGCTGCGACAGGGTATTACTTTGATTAATTTTCGAGCCTTGTCTCGCGGCTAATTGCCGGAGCGTATTCGTCATGGAATCGCCTCCAAAGTGAACCTTTGAAGCGAGCCATAATGCCCACCGCCACCGCTACTGCCACTACCGCTGGTTGGCTCTGTAAGCAACCACCGAGTGGCGGCTCTCCGAAAGTCATAACTGACAAAACAAACCCACAAAACGTTAACAGCAAGCCCCATAATGAACGGTTGTCTAGCGCATTGCGTTGGTCGTTTCGTCGACGCGCCAGCCACAAAGTGGGTCATGGTTAAGTGTACTTCGGTTGCGTCTCTGTCGCGGACCAGACACTGCCAGAGCCGGAGCTGGAGCTGCGCATGCGCTGCTTGTTTTGCTGGGAGCTGAGAAAACTATAGATAGACGTAGCTTTAGTTACTGTTAGTGCTGAGAATGGGTTTTTAAGTTAAATCTTATCCTTTATGCACCTCCTGTAACACAATTATGCATATTTTCTAATCATATATCCTTATACCATTTAGAGCCGCCAGCCATCAAGAACATATCCGTTATCCTTCCCATTCCAATTCATTTGCATCATCATCCATTCTTCACATCGGATTCTTATCAGCTTTAGACAAAAGTAAACCCATTTAGAGTTATTCTACTGAATGGAATTTATAGTTTTAAATGTCTGTTTTTCACAGGACGACGACATGGGCTTCAGTTCGCGCATGGACTGCTGCGGGCAGTTCGTCAAGTACAGCCTTTTCATAGCCAATTTTGTCATATTCGTAAGTAATCTTAGAAGCTCGTTAACTTAAATCAGTAAAAAGTAATAGATAATTTCGTATTCCTAGGTGGGTGGCGCCATTGTCTTCTGTCTGACGCTGTGGACGCTCGTGGATCGGAGTTTTGTCAATGAGCTGCTGGGCACGAATCTGTTTTCAGGCGCTGTCTACGTCCTGCTGGTTACATCGGTCATCATTTGTATGGTCTCGTTTCTGGGCTGTCTGGGTGCCGGCAAGGAAGTTAAATGTTTGCTTCTAACGGTGGGTAATTTTATTTGGAATCAATCCAGAATTCAGCGTAAAGAAACCTCCCTTAGCTTTCCCTTCTGTACTACGAATGTGAAGCAACCTACACACATTTAACATCCAATTGAAACATCTCACTTGCTGTATATTTTCAGTATTTCATAATCGTGGCTCTGGTTTTCGTCACTATGCTAATTGGCGGCGTCTTGGGCTATGTGTTCCGCGAACGGGTGCAGCAGACCATGCGGCAGGTAAGGCGCCGGATCAATCCATCGATCATGTGCACTCGCATGTAACATTTTCCTTTTTTCCATTTTCCATTGTGCAGGAAATGCGCTCCACCATGGCCCTGTATGGCAGCCGACGTGAGATTACCCAGGCCTGGGATCTCACCCAGGAGCGACTGCAGTGCTGCGGCGTGGACACGTGGCATGACTGGAATCGCTATGGACCGGTGCCCGAGTCCTGCTGCCAGGAGCTGTTCGGCGGACAGCGCAAGGAGTGCACCATCTTTCCAACCATCACGAATCTGTACAATCAGGGCTGCCTCTATGTGACGACCAATTTCATACGGGATCATGCAGCAGTCATTGGTGGCACCTCCATAGCGGTGGCCATTCTCATGGTGAGTAGATGATCCCCTCGAAACTAATGCAGGAGGTTCAATGAGGCTGCTTTGTTTTCCAGATCTTTGGCATGATATTCTCTTGTCTACTGTTCAACATGATTGAATAGCGCCAAAGAGTTGTGCGAGGAGTAGTTGGAGTTGCCCCCAGTACGAAGGAGGAGACACATTTTTGAATGTATTCGAATAGAGTTATACTAGGAGTATTATCCGAGGGTACAACTATGATATGTTGGACACTGCATTCCATATGCGTTCCATATGTCCATAAACAATATTCCCAGAGTTTTAGATACGCATATCTAGTGAAGTGAATTGAGTATTGAGTATTCCATGTTGTAATCGTCGATACGAGTATTGTTATCATCTGTTGCACTATTTTGTATTATTTTGTATGTAAACATCTACTTTCTATCTACTTTAGATTTAGTTTTAAGTTGCCCAACTAAAATATTAAAATGCAAATGTTATTGCCAATAGAGAATTTAATTGTACGCGTCTAATGTTGTTTCCAATAAAATTAGTGGAAATTATTTATAGTTTTATGATATACATACGAAGCAGAACTTCCATTCAATGGCCCTTGAAAGCTACCTTTAGGTGATGCTAATAAACTCTTAAACTATTTGCTAAGGTTTTCTTCTTAGCTTAAGCAACGAGTACATGGGTTGTACCACTTCTAAAATTCTTATAAATTCCATTTCTAAAAGAGATTCAAAGATTGAGATTCAGTAACTTATATGTTGAAACGACTTGCCCAAGCCGCAGTGGCAAAGTTGTCTACAATATTCGTAGTACTTATGTACATTTTGATTACTACTCGTTCATAATTTAACCAGAGACAGACCTCTAGGAATTTGGTAAGATATTATATACATACATATGTGATTTTATTTATTTATGTTTTTTTTTTTACTTTTTTATAACCCAATTTAATCAAATTAATTGCATACCTTTTGGAGCTTTTTAGGCACACCAAAAATATGCTTTATTTTTAAAATATTATTCCACTTTACAGTTAAATAATCTCTGCTTATCTAATCGTTGTGAAAAGGAATATGTAGATCAATAAATCATGGCTACATACTAGACGAAGGACATTCAAGCTAGACCAGAGAGATCCAGATGGGAAACTCAAGGTATTGAAAATCATAATTAAATCAAATATATTCGCACTTACGAAATAACTAAATTTCTTTTAATCAATTGCAAAAAAACTCAATTTTTGATTTGCACTAAGTATAAAAAACACTAAACAAGTTCAACAATAATTTAACTAAAACTATAAACTATGTTCACAAGACCGTACAAATGGAAGAGACAGACACAGAGCCACGGCAACGAAGGCAAGGTGCCGGAGCTACTGGAGTCAGTCGACGTGTTGTTCCACCATTCCCAGTGGCCGCCATGGAGCGCCGGATCGGCGCGATCATCCGCTCGGGGAACTCTGGCGCTGGGCAATGCCGTCAGACGGAGCTCTTCCACCTCCTGGGCGAGCAACTGCAGCTGGAGAGGATACAGTTGGGCCAGATTGTAGCGCTCACACGGGTCATTGGCCAGGTCGAAGAGGCAGGCAGCCTTGAGGGGTTCGCACAGGTAGATGGGATCCTCGGGATCCTTCTCCTGGATGGGGCACCGCTGGGTGGCCTCGTTTCGCATCTGCCGGATGCGGTCATCAGTCGGACCTCCATTGCCCAGTACAGCCTGCACCTCCGAATCACGCACCAGCTGTCCGTAGTCCGCACTAAACGGATCCTCCTCGCCGTCCTCCAGCTCTCCCAGCCAGTGGTCGTACCGCCCGTCGAAGCTGCTGCCGTTCACATATTTGAGCGTGTCTCGCATGTACGAAGAGTAGCCAAAGACGTCGTCCAGCACATGCAACAGCTTCCGGGGCTGAGGCTCTGCGCCACCGCTTAGCGATGGCCACAAGTTGAGTCCGTCCAGCGTGAGGTCCGATGGCAGCTCCACTCCGGCGGCTGCCGCCAGGGTAGGTAGCCAGTCGATGGCGTGGATCGTCTGGTTGGACACGTAGCCACGCTGCTGTAGCAGCGGACTCCAGAGGGCACTAGCCGATCGAATGCCACCCTCCCAGGGAGATTCCTTTTGCTACACGGAGGGAGATCCTTTCAATCCAGAAAAGGATATATGCGAGATACTTACACCACGGAAGGGATAGTTGGAGCCGGCATTGGAGTGAATGCCCACAGTGGGCGCCCCATTGTCCGAGTACAGCAGAACGATGCTGTTGTTCAGCATCCCATTGTCCGCCAGGGCCCGCATCGTCTGCACAACGCTCTTGTCCAGACTCGAAATCATGCCTAACCCGAAAAATCTTTCAATTCATGGCCATGTCTGGGAGATGCAAGACTTACCCGCATAGGTGCGACGCTTTGGATCCCGAATGTGCGCAAACTTGGCCACCTCCTCCTCGGGCGCCTGCATGGGATTGTCCTCGTTGCCCGTGTGCACTGCCAGGTGGCTGAGCACCATGAAGAGCGGACGACTCTTATCGTGCCGCTCGATTATCTGCCTGGCCTCTGTCGTAAAGGCCTCCGTGGCGTACGTGCCCTCTGCCTCGGGGCAGGGCTCCAGGTCCCGCCTGAAGTCCAGGCCCGTCGAGTAGTTCCTGTCCAGCATCCGCACGTTGTGATCATAGTAGTCCGTATAGCCATTGTAGTACCCAAAGTGGTGGTCAAATCCGCGCATCGTCGGCGTCAAGTCCTTCCGCCAGAAGCCCAGATGCCACTTGCCCACCAGGTGTGTGGCATAGCCGGCATCGCGAAAGAGCTCCGGCATGAGACGCTCCTGTCTGGGCAGACCCCAGGGCTCGTCGGTGACGATCACAAAGTGCTGCATTCCTGAATTAAAAAGTTATCGTCAGAGTCTCACCATTGTTTCGCATTGGCAGCTCACCTGTGTGGATGGGATACTTTCCGGTCAGCAGAGTGGCTCTGGAGGGCGTACACAGATTGGGCACATAGTGTCGATTCAGCAGGACACCATTGTAGGCCAGGGCATCTATATTCGGCGTCAGAATCTGGTTCGAGCCATGGAAGCTCACATCGTTGTAGCCCTGCAGACGGGGGGAAGAGCCTTTTTAACTGCTTCACATTCGTATGCAATCGAGTGAGGGCTTACCATATCGTCAATCAGTATAATTATGATATTTGGCTTATCGCCGTGGCAACGACTGATAGCAGCAATCAGTAAGAGCAGCACATGCAGTAGTGGAGTCATGTTTGAGGTCAGTTCCAGTCAAAGTTTACTCTAAAATATAACTGAGAAGAGCTTATTGTTACTTGTCTCAGCTATAATATTGCTAATCCCTAGGCAACATCTGTGGAATACTCGTATCTGGCCATCTACAGGTGTTTCACTCCTCCTCCAGCCTTGTGTTGTGTGGCCAACAAGTTCGTTCAACCATTCAGGCAATTGTTTTTAATGGTGTTTGTTGTCTTTTTGCAACAATTGTTAAAGAGTTATATAAAACAAATGGCACACAAGCACAACTCGTACTTCACCTTGCCTCGGTTATGGGCTATGGGGAAGCGTAATTTCTTTTTATCTGGATAAAAGTGGGCCTTAATTGTCGCAATATCATAGCCCATAAACCATCATAAGCCAGCATGGCAATAATGAAATCTGGCCCCATAGGCCTTAAATGCTAAGCCCCCATTAAATGCCCGTGAGTAAAATGAGTCGCATTTGCGTTTGGTATATAATTTGTATAGATATCTAAACTGTCATGCGAATTCTTTGGGAAATTTCAGTCACGACCTGCACGGACTGTGACTGAGAATGGAAACGCCCAGGCGATTGACTGTCCGATCGACCTTCACCGCTCGTTACTGCTTAGTGGCCATGGGGATCAATGGGGGCATCAGGACCAGTTAATAAGTCATCAATGGAAAGGTTCTTGCAACGTTATCCCCTTCCCACCATCAACGTCATTGACTAGGCTAATCCAAAACTGGTTGCATCCACAGGGCAGGCTGGTTCTCAGAGCACTTGTGCTTGTGCCAGTCGGGGAAGGTACCCATACCTACCGTGTGTATCGTAAATTCGGCCAGCACTCACGTTAGTTAGGCGATTACAATGCAACACTACGAGTATACTGTTGCCCAATCTGTTGGCCTTATGCAAGAGCCCAATCAAGAGATTATATAAGGAAAACTTTTAAGTATGGAAAACCGCAATGCTTTCAGAAAACGGTCATCTGCAACTGCCAATTATGGGAGGTACTCGTACTCGTGTGTTTTTTCTACTTAGGATTCGATTACCCAAACTAAGCGATTGATTTATCTTTAAGGATATTTAAGAATCCATTCTTACGTTAAGAATATTAGTATTCATTTGAGATTTCTGTTCATTAAAATGGATCATATTTTACGCGGCGCGAACATCCAAAGATCTATTAGTTTAGCTCCGTTTGGCTACCATTTTTCACACGTTTCTAGCGAAACTCTGGAACTCTTGCGAACCTTTTGCAACTCTTTTAACGAAACACTTAAAGCACTTTACCACTCTGCTTAGTACGTTGTTACTGGTCGCAGTCGCACGCTCCGGAAACAGCTTGGAAGCTATAGATATAGAGGTGACCAGATCTCGCTGGTCTGGTTGGATCCTTCCCGCTGCAACTGCTCCGATCGACTAAGCGTGCCGCTCGCTGCTGGCGCTTTTAAGTGACAACCTTATCCCCCCGCTCCCCCCTCGACACACTGACGTCACGAATCGTGCGCGAAAAATAAACGTATGAAAACGAAAACACACAGACCCATAAATGCAAAAGCAAAGGCAAAACTTGTTTTTGCAAATACAAAAGCAAAAGTGAGCAAAGACAAACTTTGACGACGACTAGAGGCTAGGAGAGAGTATCGGAGAGGGAGAGAAAAGAGTGATAAAGAGGGAAGGAGAGAGAGTGGGAGACAGAGCCTATGACTATCCCGTTACACTGTGTAGCTCTCATAGCCGGCACATTGACATTGGTCAGGGTTTCATGCTCCGTTTCTCTGCTGCTCTGATAAGCCATGATAAGATATAAACGGGTTTTTCCCTCTAATTGAATTGATTAGTCGACTTCTAGCACTTATTTCGCTTGATATGGCTTCGGCCCCGCTAATTTGAATGCCAAGTTTAGAAGGTTATCTAATTTGCATTTTTTTCTTGATATTTTCGATCATTAGATATGAATGTAGAATGGAGATTTAATCTGGATTGGCTTCGGTTCATTTAAAACTAAGGTTCGAAAGATTTCCAGAGTTTCGCGAAAAATGTGTGAAAAATTGTACCCAAACGGAGCTGAACTAATTGATCTTTGGATGTTCCCGCCGCGTAAAATAAGATCCATTTTAATGAACAGAAATCTAAAACGAAAACAAGAATTCTTAGCGAAGGAAAATGAAATAAGAATATTTATGTGGAGTGGATTCTTAAATAAATCATTCTCTAGGTTTGGTTAATCCAATAATAAATAGACAAAAGATACCTCCCACAATTGGCCGTTGAAGATCCAAGGCTCATAAAGAAAGCAATTATATTGTACTAATATTTTGTAAAAGATATCTTCTACTTGTCTGATTTCTTGAGAATTCCAAATAAAGCCCATGTGACATTATCAGAGCAGTTTCGGCCCTTAGTTGCGAAAAATCACCGACTATCTAATCACACCCAAGTAACCCCCGAATGTGAATGGTTTGCAATCAGCCTTATCTAAAACTTGACCAGGAGCCCTAGCTGATGGGGAGAGCCCTATAAGAAGCGACAGTACAAGTCCAAATGGTCAGAACACCTCAGACAACAGTCGAGCCATGTACTCAGCAAAGCACTCTGTAGTTCTGGCCCTGATCCTCGTCCAGCTGGTGGGCCTCATTCAAGGCGGAACCTACAGCTATGAGGACACGTGGGTCTACATGTATTCAACTATGGACTTCCCCGACAACGCTGTACTCGGAGGCTTCGATTCCGACGGTTACTACAACTATGTGGGTCGTGTGTCCTACAGCAGCAACGTCCTTCCTGCCCGAGTGATTCCAGAGCTGACCAAAGCCACCTACAACACGGACACCGTTGGGTACCAGACCAGCGCCTATGAGGTGCTCGTGTCCAACGCCACCGTCAGCTACCATTGGAAGCGCAGCTTCGACGGCTACCTGGAAAAAAACGCCGTGACAGTGGGAACCAACTCCTTAGGCGACCGTGTCTACATCTGTCGCTTCCGGGCTGACGAGGGACTCTATATTGGCACCCTCTACCTGGCCAACCGTGCCTGCATCGTGAAGAACGGCGAGAAACCACTGAGGAAGGTCGACAAGTACGAGATTTTGGTTAGGGAGCGCAAAGCTGCTGAGTTTATGCCATTTGGTGTGTAAAACAAAGCAGAAACGTTATAAAACAAAATTTATTAAATGCAAATAAAATCATAAATATATTTATTGAAAAAATGCACTGCTAAACATTTCTCGGGAGGTTGTCCAATGGCATCGAATAATTGAAATGGGGAGATTTCTGAACCGTAATTTTGACAAATCTTCTTTTTAGTCTTTACATCCCTTCAATATTACTTGCATCGCATCCATACAAGGATAATCGACTCCGATATATGGAATGGTTCTTCTTTTACATGATCACAGATTTAGTTCCGATTGAATAAAACTATAAGGTCCCGAGAGTCAAAACTAAAGATACTTACACAAAATAACATTTGTTCGATGCCCTAATGAAAAGCAAACTGATTTGCTTTAATTTGACTTATTTTTTTAAGTAAGCTCGTTTCTTTCGTAATCTGTCAAATCAAGATGGATATAGTGCGTACATACATATAGTGTATATACATAAGTAATTAACCCAGAGAAAAAGTATGCAATATTTATAGTTACACCTACATATATTTTAAAAATTATACCAATGTCTTTTCTTTGAGATTGGAAACCGTAAAAAAGTGTATGCAATTACATTTTAACAATTATAGGAAAATATTTCATATTTAAAATAATTATTTCATATTTCATGTTTAAATTAAACGTTCTTTTATTTATATTACATATATTTCCTACAAATTAAATATTTACAGGAAATATTTATTTTAAACTATTTCTATTTAAATTGAGTATGGGTCGTATTAAAAAAAATGTGTAATACTATATTATACTATATTATAATGTTGTACATATGTTGTCTACACATTCGTATAAAATCATTAAATTAAACAAATTCAACGGTAGAATTTACATATGTATGGTACATGCATTAATTATAACAATGCATTATTAATAGAAAGTACAGGTACTTCAATAGACTTGAATTCGATTGACAATCCTAAGATATCAATTCTTCATCTCTGAGTTCCTGCGAATTCCATTCCATGTATTCCTTCTGAAGTCGTCACATGTTAAAAATAGCTTGTCAGAGAACCCTACTCAACTATTAATTTCAAATCCAGCGAAAAATCACCGACTATCTAATCACATCACCCAAGTAACCCCCGAATGTGAATGATTTATAATCAGCCTTATCTAAAACTTGACCAGGAGCCCCAGCTGATGGGGAGAGCCCTATAAGAGGGTACAGCACAAGTCCAAATGGTCAAAACACCTCAGACAACAGTCGAGCCATGTACTCCGCAAAGCACACTGTAGTTGTAGCCCTGATCCTCGTCCAGCTGGTGGGCCTCATTCAAGGCGGAACCTACAGCTATGAGGACACGTGGGCCAACATATATTCTTCCATGGAATTCCCCGACAACGCTGTTCTCGGAGGCCTCGATTCCGATGGTTACTACAACTATGTGGGTCGTGTGGCCTACAGCAGCAACATTCTTCCTGCCCGAGTGGTTCCCGAGCTGACCAAAGCCACCTACAACACGGATACGCTGAGCAATACGGCCTATACCTCCTTTCAGGTGCTCGTGTCCAACGCCACCGTCAGCTACCATTGGAAGCGCAGCTTCGACGGCTTCCTGGAAAAAAATGCCGTATCCGTGGGAACTGACAGCAGCAACGAACGCGTCTACATCTGTCGCTTCCGGGCTGACGAGGGACTCTATATTGGCACCCTCTACCTGGCCAAACGTGTCTGCATCGTGAAGTACGGCCAGAATCCATTGAGGCAGTTCGACAAGTACGAGGTTTTGGTTAGGGAGCGCAAAGCTGATGAGTTTCAACAATTTGGCGTATAAAACGCATCAGAAAGAGTTGAAAAACTTACGAGTATAATAAAAGCAAATCAAATAAAATATTCATTTACAAAAATACCTCTAAAAATATATGTTTGATAACTAATTGGTATGGCAATGGGTAATTAATGAGTAATGGAAAAGGGTCCAAATAAAAGAAAGATGTTGGACTTGTGTAATGATATTGGTATGAGTTTCTGCTAAAATGTTGGAGGCCACTCTCTCCATTACCCCACGATTGAGTTCGTATTTAACCGAACTTAAATAATTATAATTAGAAATGACGCTGGAAAGGGTGTAATTCTATCTTTTTCTATGAAGAAAATGGAAGAAGTTGTGATACGCTTACTGTCTTCAGCGGAACAATAGACCAAAACTCTAAAGAATAATCTTCTAAATAACATTGATTCATAGGCACTGAAAGTATATTGTTATTGGCTTTAACGCTCTGAGAAAAATGGCATTTAATAAAATAAAAAACAACAAAAAAGGGAAATTAAAATGTATTCATGTTGTTGTATGTAGATAACTATGTATGTGTATTTAAAAGACTTTTAATACGACCCATATACATATAATCCAAATGTATAATATATTTAAAATAAATATAAAATTATGTAATGTATTTATTTTAAACAAGAAGAAATCTTTTCATAAAAACATCAAAATGTACATGAAAACACTTTCCTTTTACGGTTTGCGCTTTCGGGCCGAATCTACAATATTGTTGTATGTACATTTAAATCGAAGTCTATTCGATTCAGGTCTCAGGTATTTTTATTTCAGTTTACTAATTTAGATCGTTTAATTTACTGATTAGCTAATAAACTTGGCATATATTTATTTAAAGTTCAAATTTTTACTTTGAAATTTAAGCAAATTTAGATAATTCTGTTTTAAAAAATTCAGCAGAAATTATATTAGCCTATGATCCATGGAGCCTGTAAATCAACGATTCATTTTTCTAAGAAATTGATTATTTAATAAACTAACATTATGAAATGCCTTACTTAGATCTAGAGGGGGATTTTTACCTCAAAAATATCTTCTATTTTTTATGGTGCAATAAAATCACGATGCGCAAACTCACTCTCAAGCATGTTACTCACCGAACCGATCCTATCAATAGTAATCATCTGATAGCGATAAGGGTAACAAGAGTCCGGCGATAAGGAGGCAGGCTATAAAAGCAGTACACCGGGCCAGACATTTCACATTCATTTGGTATCCAAGAAGCCCTCGAGATGTACAAAGTTGCCTGTGTAGTTTTTGCCCTGTTCGCAGTCGGCTCGGCGGTGCCCTCCACCTTTGGTAAGTAAAAAAAAAATGGATCCTGGATATTGAGCAATGCTAATCCTGCACCCTGCACCTCTCCAGATACCGAGCACGTGTGGAAGGCAGGAAACCTGTCGTACCCCTTCCCTGGTGACGCCATTCTGGGAGGATTCGATCCTTACGGTTACAACATCTATATTGGCCGCGTCAAGTACAGCAACACGATCCTGCCAGCCCGCGTAGTCGCGGAGACGGGGGTCGCCTACTTCAACAACCAGCTGACGTCCAGCAAAGCAACAACATACGATCTCCTGGTGGCCCAGCGTAACGTTAAATACCTTTGGGTCCGCAGCTTCGACGGCTTATACGAGAGGTACTCCGTTTCCGTGGGCACATCGAATTTAAACGAACGCGTGTTCATGTGCCGCGCCAAGACCGACGGTGGCCTGCTCATCGGCAGCCTCTTCCTTAGCGAGAAGCTGTGCATCATCAAGCACGAGACCCTGGCACTGCGGAAATTCGACAAATACGAGATCCTTGTGGCCCAGCCCACGAATGGAACCATCTATTAGTCAGCGCAAATCTACATAAATATCATGAGGATCTCTACGTGAGAGCTTTCTTTCTTTTCTTTTCTTTTCTTTTCTTTTAAAGTCGGAATAGTTAAATAATTATGTAAATCGATAATTTATTTGAAACATGTTTTACTCCAGACATATTCCAGACATTGAGAAACATATGCTGATTCCAAAGAAAGTATATTTAAACAAACAGAAATCCCATATTTATATACATTTTTGGGCTAATTTATGAATGGGATAACAATAACTTTGATAACAATCAACTCAACAAAATGCTAATCATAGAACTGCACAGCTGTATGATCTTATCGGTACTTTCTTTGAATGATTTCTAGAGGCCAAAGAAAATAAAAAAATTTTCTAACAGCGCAAGAGCTCTATATCACACACCAAAGCCTATCAGACACTTGTTTAAGTCCTACTAGACGGACAGTGATTCGTTTTTAGTGATCTTTTGATTGATTTACGAATATGCATTACGAGTATGCTTTTGCAACTATCACAGTTCACAGAAGCGATGGGACCATCGATAAGATAGGCACATCAATATAATCCTAATGATTACCATTTAGACATTACTCAGAACCATTAATGATTTCAATTAATATTTTATAGTCGGTCCAAACGTTCGACTGTTGAAAATGAAACTATACGGCATTTCTTATCGGATTGTATTTTGGGCCAGATGTCAGCGGAAATGTATAGAAAATAGTTGGCATATCCCATGTAAATATTCCGAAAACACTTACCCAATTTAAAACAACCAACAAATGCATACAAATACTATGAGAAAAGAGAACGATTTTACGCTCAACATGATGCCTGCACCCGAGGCCTGTTCGTCCTGCCACCAGGTCCACTCGTTGTGATAAAAGCGTGGATCGCACTGCGGATCATCGGGCTTGTTGTTCGGAGCATGCGCTTGCCTTGCAAACTGCTCGATGCGTTGCAGCAAGTCTAGAAGGATGGTCGTGTTGCGGTACTCTTCGTACAGGTTATTCCGCTCGCAGGGATCCGCATCGATGTCGAAGAGACAGGGGGCCAGCAGCGGCAGACATGGCTTGGTTGCGGCCGGGGGCTTCGGGCACTCGATCTGGGCCTGCTGCCGTATACTGCTGATGTTGCGCTCACTCTGACTCCCCATCAGCAGTTGGAGGTGCTGCCAGACGCTGGTGTTGCGGATCAGCGCCTCGTAGTTGGCGGATCGGGGATCCACTTCTTGAGTTATCCGCTCGCCCAGCCAGCCGTCGAAGAGGGCCGCGCTGGTGGTGCCGTTCACCACCTTCCACTTGCCGCGGGTGTAGGCCAGATAGGGTGCTGCCGGATCCGTGTCGATGCTGTGGACGATCTCTCGCTCCAACGACTCGTAGCCGTACTTGAGGGCTGGCCAGAGATTCATTCCGTCCAAGTGCAGGTCTGGATCTGGCGTTATGCCCGCTGCAGCGGCGAGTGTCGGCAGAAGGTCGCCAATGTAGGTCTGCTGCTTCCACACGGTGCCCAGCCGCTCGAACTCGGTGCTCCAGATGGCCGCAGAGGAGCGCAGACCTCCCTCCCAGGGAGAGTTCTTTTGCTGCATAATCAGATGATCAGAATCAATAGGATATCGAACTGATGGATTGTCTGTGCGATACTTACGCCTCTCAAGGGATAGTTAGAGGCCGTCGTCGAATGGTCCCCCATTGTGGGTCCGCCGTTATCCGACAGGAAGAGCACAATGCTGTCCTGCAGCATCTGCTGGCGGGCCAGGGCATCGATGACTCGCCCCACACTCCTGTCCAGCCGTGAGACCATGGCAGCGTAGTAGCGATGGGTCACGTTTCGGATGTACTCGAACTTGGCCAGTTCCTCGGCGGGGGCCTGCATGGGATCGTCGTCGTTGGCCGCATGCGGAGCCAAGTGGCTGAGGAGCAGGAAGAGCGGCTGGCTGCTGTTGCTGGTGCTGTGCTGCTCGATCAGCTGGACGGCTGCGTCGCTGAGCACGTCGGTCACGTAGTGGCCCACCTGGTCGTGGGTGACGTTTAGATTCCGGCGGAAGTCATGTCCTCTCGCGTAGTTCTTTCCCTGCAAAGAAACCAAAGAGATGAAGCGCCGTTGGCATGGATCTGTGATGGAACATCACTTACATTTTGCTGGTAGGTCTGATCGTAGTAGTCCACATAGGCTCCCAAGTAGCCCAGATGATGATCGAAGCCCCGCTGTGTGGGCGTAAAGTTGCGCTGCGACATCCCCAGATGCCACTTGCCCAGGAGACTGGTGTAGTAGCCGTTCTCCCGGAAGATCTCCGCCATTGTCTTCTCGTTCTGTGGCAGACCCCAGGGCTGATCATTCACGATCACATAGTGCTGCATGCCTGAGAATGGTTTTGCTATTGGTCTGAACTTGGACTTATTGGCGATAGTAACCTGTGTTAATGGGATATTTTCCAGTGAGGAGAGCAGACCGGCTCGGAGTGCACATGGAGGCGGTGTACAGATTGTTGAGAATCACGCCGCTATATGCCAAGGCATCGATATTGGGCGTGAGAAAGTTATTGGAGCCCCGAAAGCTCACATCGTCGAAGCCCTGGCAAGCGAGATCTATAATTAGCTGCGACTCCAACAATCATACTCTAGAGTCTAGACACTCACCAAATCATCAGCCATTATGATGATGATGTGCGGTTTACCGGAGGATCTCGCATCTTGACTATTCGCTAGAGTAATGGCTAATCCGGCAGTTAACAGCAAAATGATCGACACATTTCCGTTGATATTTCCCCTTTGTTTCAGATCAGTTGACATCGCCATGGCGCCATAAATGGAACTGAGAGCCAAACAGAAATTAGCGCAAAAAAGTCATTTACAAAAATTAACATAGTGAATGGCGATAAGTCGGTGTGGGACACTATTCCAATGATGGATGAGTTTTCCCCGCTCGTTCCGGATATATTAACCGTTTGATATAATCCGTCCGCAAACACACCTGGCCTAATACTCGTATTGTATTATTTTCACGGGGGGTTTTTCTCATTAATTTTTCGGCTTAAACCGTTTCTTTGCCGATTCATTAATGGAGAAATAAATTGAATACAAAAAAATAAATGAAGTAAGCTAATATTAGCCATCGAATTGGCACACTGCACTTGAGCAAATATTTCCAGCTACATAGTATACCCGTATACTCGTATTGTTTAACAAACTGTGACGATTCTGGCGGACAAATTACACGCCTAATGAGTAGCACCGAAATTAAATGCAAATGTGTTCAGGCTGGGAATGAGAGTTGTCAAAATTCAATTGAAAATATATACATACATACTATACGCGGATTACATATGCATGCATGATATGTACATATACATATATGTATATACGAGTATGTTTACAATTGATTAGCTTGACTTCATATTTGCATACACCTATTTCATATCAGTATCAGACATGACATTAAAGAATAAAATAGACAAATGATTTCAAGATAGGAGTTTTCTGGAAGATCAACTAACTGAAAGGATATTGCTAGATCTCTAGTAATTTAAAAGCAATTAATATTTTTTTCATTTTACGCTAACTATTGTAGAATGGATTTTTATTAGTTTTCCCATATTTATTTACTCCATTTTCCATTGACATGATAATTGTTCAGTGCGGACAATTGGGTCTATCTTTGTCTCTGCCCACTAAAATTATCATTTTATTTACACACTTAATGTACATTTAAGTACATACATATGTATCATATTTATTTACATAGAGAACAATCCATCCAAACAAATCTAAATACACACCTAGTCGTATATGTTTTTATGAACGTTTAATTGCTATAAGACTGTTGTTTAATTGATTGAGGCTTTATTATTAACCTTAACAACCTTAGCAACTTTATTTTTGATTTGGTTCAAGCACTTTGTAAAACTGTCCACTTCATTTTCAGAGCTTTTAATGCCCAAATAACTTGATTGAAAACCATCTGCAAATCTTTTTTTCCCACACTTTTAACGTTTTATTTTATACTTACTATAGCGCCGGACAGACAGGCGAAAGCACAGCGAACGATAGCACAACAAACGCAAAAGCACAATAGACTTATCAGGCAGTTTCTTGCACGCTAATTCCACCCACGATTGCCTGCACACCGCGTTGGAGCTGGATGGATGGTGTGGATCTCTCTCTGGGGCTTCGGGGCAACTTAACGGAACGAATTGGCGGGGGCCAGTCGATCTGGCGCTCAACGTTGTGGTGGGTTTGGACAGCTGATTGGTGCCACTCTCTCTCTCTCTCTCTCTGTATAATTATTGTTGAGAGTCTCATGGTGACACTCTCTGGAAATGTTCCACCTTGCCTAAAACCACCTTGTGGTGGGGTATTTGAAGTTGTACCTGGGCGCGCAAACTGTAAAAGCTTTATTTTATTTGAATATTAATTTCCATAATTAATTTCCATAACTGTTTTGTGCTAACAGCCATTTAATCTGATTTAAAAAAGATAAAAGCAGAGCAATCTCAATATTATATTATTTCTTTCAAAAACTATAATAACAATAACAATTAAAAATACAATTAATTCTAAATAAATTGATATTAATAAAACAGGGCACAAAAGGGCACAGGGCATAAATAAAGATTAGAGGCCATCTACGCGAAACAAATTTCAATGTAGCAGCAGAGTGGCAATGATTCATTCATACAGTGATTCGTTGCTCTTATTAATTAACATGTGAATCGGTGACGTTAATTATAAATAAATTATCAATTTCTTTTTAATATGTTCGGCATGGACGTTTATCTTTAGCCATATGCCGCCCAAGCACTTGGACACATCATAGCTATTGATTAATTTTTTACCTGCTACAACCTACACGCAAATACAATATACCCTTGTTCTTGGGCAAGCACCAGGTAGAATTATCGGTAAAGAACCTAATATCCAGAGCCGAAATAGTACGCATGTTTGGATTTGTTTTATCAGACAATGAGAGGCACATGGCATTATTCTTAGAAACTCTGTTAAGGGAAAGAGCGTACAGTTCTGATGCAATAGGAAATGTCTTTAAATAAGCTCTAAAAGACTGACAGAGAGCGGGAGAGACCAACTCTCCCCGATTGGGGTTGTCAGCCATTCGCATTGGGCCTGGAGTCAGGGCCAGTATATGGTCGCAACGAAGACGTTGGCAACCCAGTTCCTCTCTCGAATCGACCAACAATGATGGCCAGAGAGAACGAGCAGCTGCAACGTGGTTGCGTGGTTGAAAATGTGATTTCTGTGGATAGAACCGGCGGCAGTACATTTTTAGAGACCAGCAGTGCTACAGCCGCTTCCATGTGAGGAAAGCCAGAGCAAATTTGCCACAAATTGATGATATTAATTGGAAACCAAATTGATTGAATTGAATCGAGTAGCAACAATGGAGGAGTTCGCCGAATACTATGGGTGAGTGGGTAGAGAGTGGATGTCAGCAGTCAGCCAACATGCAACAAGTGCCTAAAATTAGCGTTAAATTCAATCAAATACGGCGGATATTTTTAGCAACAGTTGACACCTTAAGCTGAATTAACTATAAACAATACAAATATCCAAGCAGCGCCATGCCAATGGAAAACTCAAACAAAACCCAATTAGTAACGTTCCATGAAAGCAAACGAAGTGAATCTATTGAGTTGTGTGGACCAGGGAGCTTCCATGTCAAAAATGATTATATCAGCATAAACTGTAGCTGGTTCAACAATAATTTGAATCTATTGTGTATAGGTAATACATATAAACAGATAGAAAACTATTCAAACTGTGTACAAGGGGTTTCAGGTTCATCACTTATCTATGGAAGACTTCTGATATCTTGTATCAGTTGATTCTGTCTTGATATTGGGAACCAATGACGCACCATGCCAACTATTTAAGGGATTCTCAATCTCTTGGACATAAACACTTTTACCGGCTATGTGAACTAAATTTATTATATACAATATATGTGTAAGAAACTATGAATGCTATTGTCGGCACTTTACGGTATTCCCTCCATTTCAATAATGCGCCACAATCAAAAGTACCTAAACCGCTAATCGATCATGACAATTCATTAGGGCTTTGGGGCCACAAAGGTCATGCGAAGTCACCCGGCAAATCTGAGAATTCCCAGTGGGGTAGGGTAGGGTAGGTGGGGAGGATTTTCCTACGACCATGGTGACGAATTAATTAGCGTTATCATCGCATACGACGTGTTTCCACCTCGTTTCATGGCGCCTTTGCTTCGTGTCCGACCTGAGGATTCCGTCCGTGGGTAATTATGGCAAGCTTCTCCCTCGAGACAACTCAACTCACCACGATCTCCCCGAGCCGTACACCCAAATGTGCTATTTAACGGTTTCGCACTCATGTCAAATGTTCAGACGCAGCTCGAACGGTCTCTGGCGCTATACGATCCAATTCAATCAGACATATTAATTCCTTTGCCAACACATATTCTTGCCATTCGATTCCGTGCCTGTGAATCGAACAATAAAACATGGATCATTTTTTGTGATACTTGAACACTACAAAAAAAACTTTAAATAGTTGTGGAAAACTTGTGATACGTTTAAAACGAGCAAAACAGATCGCTTTCGTTGATAATCTCCAAAGGATTTTGAATATTTCTTAAAGAAAAAAGGTGAGAGAATTTGGAAATTGATTTCCTGCTGCACGGTGACCGTTTTGTGAACTCAATTTAAGGATTTTTGGAAATTTGGAAAGAAATAAATCACGGACAAGAACTCTATTATAGACGACGGTTCAACGAAAATTTGTTAGTAATCTTTTAAGTTCCATTAAAAAAATTCCAGTTTGATGATGTCCTGAAATGATTTAAGTCCTGGGTTAAACAGAAGTGGATTTATCATTGTGGCGCATGTAAACATCTACATAATCATATTCAAAACGGTTGAAGGAATGCTTGAATTAGTTTTTTTAGCCTATGCGTATTTAAAGAGATTTCCCACTTAGTCATCGGGGGATCATTCCCGATCCGATGATCACAAGACCCAAATTTAAATCAGCTTTCGCGACGCGACCTAATCATAAACAACGTAGTCTACATTCGCACATTAACAGACGCCTACTAATTTTCTTATGGCCGGCCATAAACCAAACTCCGATCATTTCTTTTACCCCGATCGAAGCGTGGCCCATCCACAGGCACTTTCCAACGCCCCCGACACCCCCACCGCAACCCGTAAAAAATATGCGAACGTGTTAATATGTCGGTTCTGTAAGAATTGGGTGCGAGTAATTTGTGGAGCTCAGCAAAAGCCGTACAGTCCGCACAGAGCCCGACGATCGACCCGTGGTTACATATGTAATTGATTCGATTAAATTTTTCAGCATGCCGAGCTGGAGCGTGACGAACGCCTTTCGCGTACTCACACGCAAGAAGCCTCTGGAGGACTCGAATGAATCCAAACTTGCCAAGGTCTTGTCGGCCTTTGATCTCACGGCCCTCGGCATTGGCTCAACATTGGGCGTGGGTGTCTATGTCCTGGCTGGCGAAGTGTCCAAGCAGGTGGCAGGCCCCGCTGTGGTCATCAGTTTTCTGATTGCTGCGATTGCCTCGATATTTGCGGGTCTCTGCTATGCAGAGTTCGGAGCACGCTGTCCCAAAGCTGGATCTGCCTACATTTACAGCTATGTGACCATTGGCGAGTTCATCGCGTTTCTCATTGGATGGAATCTCATACTCGAATACGCAATTGGTAAGCTGGCGGCAATTCAATTGATGGCGCCGCCGTCTGATTGACATTATTTTTATCAATTAATTCTCACATTTTTCATATTGATTTCCGTTTTGAACTTTTCATTTTTCGGTCAGGTTCCGCCAGTGTCGTCAAAGGGCTTAGCACATATCTGGACCAGCTGTGTGGGAACCCGATGAGCAGCTTTCTGGGCACCCATATGCCGATGAATATACAGGGCTTGGGTGCCTATCCGGATCTGTTCGCCTTTGTGGTCACCATACTGTTCTCGTTGGCCATTGCCGTGGGCGCCAAGGAGTCGACGAGGGTGAATAATGTCTTCACCATTCTGAACTTGGGCGTAGTTCTCTTTGTGATTATCGCGGGTCTCTTCCATGGTGAGTTCTAGTCACACAAATCATTTCGTTGCCCTTTGGTCTGATTCCGTTGATAGTTTCCAGCAGCAACTGGTCCATTCCGAAATCTTCTGTGCCCGAGGGATACGGCGAGGGTGGCTTCATGCCTTACGGCGTCTCGGGCATTATTAAGGGGGCCGCTGTTTGCTTTTACGGCTTCATTGGCTTCGATTGCATTGCCACCGCGGGCGAGGAGGCCAAGAACCCAAAGAAATCCATTCCATTTGCTGTAATCGTCTCCCTGGCCATGATATTCCTCGCCTACTTTGGCGTTTCTTCGGTGCTAACCATGATGCTGCCGTACTATGAACAGGATGAGAAGGCGCCCCTGCCGCACGTCTTCAGGATCAATGGCTGGCATGTGGCGGAGTATGTGGTCAGTATTGGCGCGATGTTTGGCCTGTGCTCCAGTATGATGGGGGCCATGTTTCCACTGCCACGCATTGTCTTTGCCATGTCCAACGACGGACTGCTGTTCAGGTTCTTGGGTGACATTAGCGAAAAGTACAAAACTCCCTTCAAGGGAACGATGCTTACCGGTCTGTTGACTGGCATTCTGGCCGCCGTCTTCAACCTCAGCCAGCTGGTGAATATGATGTCGATTGGCACCTTGCTGGCCTACTCCATGGTGGCTAGCTGTGTCCTGATGCTGCGTTACGAAGTGGATGATCGTCGCGAGAGTCGCATCATTGGCAATGGTCGCGCCATATCTTCCGCTCACCAGGATCAGCCCTGTGCTTTGTGGCGGCGTCTCTTCAATTACAAGGGCTTGACTGTCTCCACCAAGCAAACTTCGAGGATTGTCACCGTGGTGGTGACTCTGTTCTGTAAGTAAAACAACGTTTTTTCTAAGGTTCAAATAACCAACGCAAGACATTCCCTTTCAGCTCTGTGGTGCTTTGTTTTCTCGCAAATTCTTACCAAATTCGAGGAGGATCTGGCAAATGTCACTCATTTCGATGGCATTGCCTTGGTACTGGGTGCCATACCTTTGGTAGTCATGCTAGTTATCATCTCGCGTCAGCCCACATCCGCAGTGAATCTCTCCTTTAAGGTGCCCTTCGTTCCTTGGCTCCCAGGCATATCTATACTGATCAACATCTACCTGATGATCAAATTGGACATACTCACCTGGGTACGTTTTTGTATTTGGCTTAGCGTAGGTCTAGCCATCTTTCTTGCCTATGGCCTGCGCCACAGCCGCTTGCGGCAGAGGGAGCAGCGCAACAATTCCATAGCCATAATGCGCGATTGCAGCGAATCGGCCCTGCTTGGCCAGGAAAACTCAAAGTACAGCAACGAGGTGCCGCTGATATTGATGCACAGCTCATCCTGAGAATACAATGCACGATGATATTTAATGACACATACATCTTTCACACATCCACACAAAAATATATTATTTGCCTGCCTCCTCTGTATTCACACATGCACAATGTCCTCGCCGTCAACATCATTCATACCTTAGCATAAGAAACCAAAAATTATGAAGAGTACAATAAGTTCGCTGAAAGCAATAAATTAAAATAAAAATAAATAAAAACAATATCCCATTGAAAAGGTAAAAGTACGAGCGAAGCAGTCTAAAGGCGAGTTCTCTGACCTTGGCTCTGGTACTTCAGTCAGGTGGATCCCTGGATGGTTCAGGCATACCCTTTTACTGGAGGTAAGATGATTTTTATGGAGCGATGTTTCGATATACCTATATATATCTAAAAGTGACAACAAATCTATCTATATATATACTACATATATATATTTAATAACAATTTCAATATATTCTAGTTTCCTATTTCCGCCTTGCTGGTAGCCTCAGACGCAGTCCGCTCGGGAACATCATCTTCCTCTTCCATCTCTTCCAACATTTCTGAATCTTCGTTGTCCCCCGTTGTTCTTGATGCACTGCTAGCTCCATCCTGTTCGCTGCTGCTCCATTCATTGCTATTTTCGCTGCTGTTCCTCACGCTGGGGCTCCATTCATTACTGGCATCATTGCTGGTGCTCTTCTCAACGCTTCTCCTTTCGCTGATTGCCCTCTCGCTGCTCCAGTTTTTAGTTACATGCGAGGCGTTACCAGAATTTGATCCATGGTATGCTTTGTAGTAGGCACTGTTCACCAGGCAGTCTTGGTTCCTATCAGCATTTACTTTTTTCATAACACTAGCGACCGGACTGGTATTCGTGTTTTGGCCGAACTTGTCTGTTCCGTCCGCAATTCCGGGTTTGGTGAATCCGAAGTTGCTAGCACGTTGCCCCTTGCCCTCGCCAACGGGTACAGCAGCAGCACTGGAGGGTAATTTAAAGCCTATGGCAGGTGTATTGCGTGTGTCCATCTTGAAGACGTAGCGCGGCGAAGCCTTGCGCTCTTTCTCCACCCGCATCGTTTGAGTGGGCACCACAGGGCGGCGCATGGGAGGCCTCATCATGGCCTGAGCCTGAGCCATTGCCTTTATGTCTGCAGTGGCTGTTGCCTCTCCGGCGCTTCCGTTTGGCGATGCCCCCCCAAACGAATTACTCCGCTCATTACGGTTCTCCAAATGCGTGTGACTGTGGGAATTGTGATTCGGCAGGTTGACGTTCTTGGCTATGCGCTGACTAGCCGTCATTTTGGATCGCTCAGGCAGCAGGGGCGCCACGATAACTGGCTCTGGTATTGTCGCATATGTGCCAAGGCCAAGGCGTTGCTTGACGTTGCGCATTGTCTGCTGCGCCTGGGTACGCGCCTTCTCGGCTCCCATCTCTAGCATATAGATTAGCTCGTTTTTGTTGGACAACTGCTCTTGGATTCGCTCACGAATCGGGCGCAGATGTGCAATAATAGCGTCGCCCACACGCGCTTTGTACTTGGCTGTGTCCAATGTCTTGGCCTCATCCAAGACACTTTTGATTGTCTGGCCTGTGACCTGGGCGTGTATGTTGACTAGGTTGCTGACACCGGGGCGCGAGATGGGATTGTAGGTGATGTCCGAGGTGAAGTCGGTGACGGCTTTCTTGATCTTCTCCATTATTAGCTCCGGCGGATCGCACAAGTTGATCGTGGACTTGGGATTCCCCTCAGACTTTGACATTTTCTTGGAGGGGTCCCGCAATGACAACACTCTGGAGGCATCGCCCTCCTCGATCATGGCATGGCACACAGGGAACAACTCGCCGTAGCGCCCATTGAACGTCCTCGCCAAGTGCTGGGCCAGTTGAATGTGCTGCAACTGGTCCGCTCCAACGGGAACATGTGTGGCCCTACAGTACATAAATTCGTTTTCAGAAAATCATTACAATTAATATTCGTCTTCACTCACTTGTACAGCATTATGTCGGCTGCCTGTAGAACCGGATAGACATATAGCCCCAAGGGTATGTCGCGAAGCAGGCGGGACTTCTCCTTGAACTGTGGCAGCTGCGCCAGCCTGGGCGTGGTGGTCATCGAGCTGAGGATCCAGTTGAACTCACAATGCTCCAATACAGCCGACTGGACAAACAGAGTGCTCTTGGCGGGATCGATGCCGCACGCCAATAGTGTGGCAGCCATCGAAAAAATGTTCTCCCTGAGCACGGGCGGATTGTGCGGCATGGTAATGGAGTGCATATCCACTATACAAACTGTGACATCATCCCGGCTGTTCTGCAGCTGCGTCCACTTGCGGATAGCCCCCAAATAGTTGCCCAGATGGACGGAGCCCGTGGGCTGAATGCCACTGAAGATTTTCCGTGGCCAGTGGGAGTTCTGCCACAGCAAGGAGAGGGTATTACATAAACAGAAAAATTTCCTCCAATCGATCTATGAACTTACCCCTTCCTGCACATGGCCGCTGCTCTTTGTTGCAACTGTCGCGACTGCTGGTTGCCAGCTGCAATAGGGAGGAGTGATGATCCTTGCAGAAGGTTGGACTTGAGACGTCTGGACAGTGTCAAGCGCATTATTGGTGAGGATTTTACCAGGTGCACGTGTAATTTTCTGGCTCGAAACATTGCCTAACGTTATGAATTTTGGTTTGGTATAAAATATGGGAAACAAAATCTAATGTTAAATGTGAGAGGAGACCGAGAAACGAGTTTAAAAATCTAAAACATGTTATCAACAAATTTGGCAGCTGGTGCTGCCATATGGTTTTAGAAAAGCCCTGTAATACCGCAGAATTAGCCTGTTATGTTATTGTAATATACCAAAAAGTATTATTTGGTACACCCCCAGCGATAACAGTCGATTGCAATGTTGGGCGCAATCTATCGAGTTTTCAAACTGTGTTTATTCTAATCTTATTACACATATTACATTACATTGCATATGGGAGGTGCTTAAAACGCTTTGCGCAATTTCAATATTTATGGTTTCCATTTACTGTGTTACAACATTGAGAATTACAGATAGGCGGAGACTTTCGGTTGTTTCAAATAGCTTTCGAATGAAGTTGGGTTGTGTTGTTCCCAAACGCAGTGCAGTTGTTCCACCTGAAGCTGTGGGATGAGGAATTGGCTTTAGAAGTTGATGGGCTTGCCAAAGGCGGCCGCAACATTGGCCTCACGCAGCGCTTCGGCACAGGTCTGAAAGGAAAGTAGAGCAAAGTTCAATCGGTTTTACCCGCTACGCGATGTGAGTTTCACTTACCGGATGCGCATGGCAGACGCGCGCAATATCCTCGGCAGACGCTCCATACTCCATGGCCAGAACAGCCTCATTGATCAGCTCTCCGGCAACGGGTCCAATGATGTGCGTGCCCAGAACGCGATCCGTTGCCTTGTCGGCCAAGACCTTGACAAAGCCGTCGGTCTCGTTGTTGGTCTTGGCACGCGAGTTGGCCAGGAATGGGAACTTGCCCACTTTGTAGGCGACACCCTCTTGCTTCAAGTTCTCCTCGGACTTGCCGACCCACGCCACCTCGGGATGGGTGTACACAACGCTGGGCACGCAGTTGTAGTCGATATGCACGTGGCCGCCATTGATGCCCTCGATGGTGATCAGACCCTCATCCTCAGCCTTGTGGGCCAACATGGGACCGTGAATGCAATCGCCGATCGCGTAGATGCTAGGCACCACAGTCTGGAAGGTGGCATTCACGGGAATGCGTCCGCGATCATCCTTGACAATGCCGACGGCCTCCAGGCCCAGTCCCTCGGTGTAAGGACGACGTCCCACACTGACCAGCAGGGCATCGCATTGGATGTCCTCCTTCTCGCCGGACTTGGCATTCTCCACGGAGACGGTGACGCTGTCGCCGCTGCGCGTAGCGCCCGTAACCTTGGTGCCCAGCTTGAACTTGAGTCCTTGCTTGACGAGCACCTTCTGGAAGGTCTTGGACACCTCGGTGTCAATGCCCACGCCGCCAATGGTGTCCATGAACTCAATGGCAGTGACCTCAGCGCCCAGACGCGACCACACTGATCCCAACTCCAGCCCAATGACGCCGGCCCCGATCACAACGAGATGCTTGGGCACCTTGGCCAACTTGAGGGCTCCCGTGCTGCTCACGATAACCTCTTCGTCGATCTGGAATAAACTTTGACCTTTAGCTTTACAGAATAAACCGTCCCTCCGTCTGTTGCACTTACAGTGATGCCAGGGAAGGGTGTGACCTCGGAGCCGGTGGCTATCAAAATGTTCTTGGCCTTCACTGTGTCTGTGGTGCCATCGGACTTCTTCACCTGCACCTCGTTGGGGCCGGTAATGGTGCCAAAGCCTGTCAGCTGTGTGACTTTGTTCTTCTTGAAGAGCATCGCAATGCCTCCGGTCAGAGCTTTGACCGCGTTCGATTTCTGCCCCATCAGCTTCTCGAGATCGAGAGACACCTCGCCGCAGTTGATGCCACGACTGGCCAGATCGCCAGAGTGGGCCATGTGATAGTAATGGGAGTTGTTCAGCAGCGCCTTGGAGGGAATGCATCCCACGTTCAGACAAGTTCCTCCCAGTGTGTCCTCCTTCTCGACGCTGACAGCTTTCATTCCCATCTGGGCGGCCTTGATAGCAGCCACATAGCCGCCAGGGCCAGAGCCAATAACCACAACGTCGGCTTCGTGTGTAGCGGAGTAGTAGCGGGCATTTAGAGCTCCCAGAATGGCGGCATTGGACCGCAGAGGAGTCTGAAAAGACAGATAGTTCGTTTTTAGTGCTTATGCTCATCACATTGGTCAGCCGGTCTGGGCCGATAAGCAGCCACAGCATGATTTGCCTTTTATCACGCCCATCGCACGCACTGCTCTCTCATCATCGCCATGACCGCTGTGCGCTAATCTCTCTGGCCTCGTATCAGCTGATTATTGGCCCAGTCGGGCGAACTTGAAATCTCAGCAAGCGGAGATGGGGACGCCAGTGCTTTAGTCATGGGAGTCACCCTGCAGATGCACTGCGCACGCATATCTAAGCATAGTTTGTGCATTTCAGCCAGTTCTTTGGCCCACCGTATATAGGTTAGATTGCATAACTTTGGAGGAACAGGAAAAGTAGGATCCGTACCTTGGCTACCGCCGAGACAACTTGTCGTAGCGTCGACTGCATGGCTTGGGGACTTGTTTCGTGGGTTAACTAGGTGTTCGTGTTTAACTTAAAGCACAGGCACTAATTTGAAGTGTATTTCTGACTAATTTATTGTGTTGTGGGGGCCTCGAAACCAGTGTGACCGCGGATCTATCGACTGACTCTCAAAAATATACCTAAATATACCATCTCATTTTCAAAATACACCGTAAAAATACCATGGAAAAAAAAGGACTTAGCCCACTTAGCCCCCCTCTATTTAAACAGTGGAAGACCTTAAGCACTAACCCTACTGTATGGTTAGTGCCTTAAGTTAAACCGCGGAAAATAGTACTGTTTGTAAATTCTTCAACTATAATATTACTTTTCCCAAAGGTAGCACAACGGCTCGAAACAGCCGTACGGTCAGATCCCCAAGGTCAGATTTTAATATAGTATTCTATTTAGAAGAATTATTATGTACTAAAAGTTCTGATGGACGTTTAAAATATGAGAACATTTAAAATTATAATCATCGATATACCCTGGAATGCACCCATGCAATTCGTTTTCATTTCTGGTACTTTTTCATTTTCATTTGCATTTTTGGTATTTTCACGAATTTTCCAGCTGGTGTTTTTCGCACAACTTTAGTTTTTCGCAATGCGGTCACACTCGTACGCGAACACAACAAGATGGCGAGAGTTGCTCGTCAAATCTGTTAAAAAACGCTATAAAACCTGAAAATTAATAGCTTATTTATATCTAAAAGTATTCGGCCGAGTGTATTGAGGCGAGGTTATATATTTGGAAGAGTTTGTTTGGTAGGCGTTGCCTGCAAGCGAGTTGCGAAAGTTTCTTGCCAGGCGAGGAGACCTTCTGGACTTGTTGTTGTTGCTGCCACAGCCAGCTCTTGTGGCTGTCGTAGTCGTTGTTGCTACCTGCCGCCTGCCACTGTTGCTTTGTGCAGTGACTGCAAAAATTATGAACAACTACGGCAACATAATGATGGACTCACCAAGATCGTCGCCCCACGGCGGACGCTCACCGGTGGTGGCCCGCCAGGATTCATCAGGGACGCTGAAGACAACCATTTCATTGGGCAAAACACCAACGATCATACACACGGGTCCCTTCTACTCGATGAAAGAGCCGCCGGCCAAGGCGGAGCTGACAGGTGACAAGGATCTCATGACTGAATACGGTCTGCACCACACGCTGACGAAATTCAAGGAGAAAAAGTTTAAAGAATCGCTGTCTTCCTTTCTGCAAAACATCCCTGGCATCAATGACCTCATCACGCATCCCGTTGAAAACAGTACGCTGCGGAGTGTGATCGAAAAGCCGCCCATCGGTGGCAAGGAGCTCCTGCCGCTGACTGCAGTGCAGTTAGCCGGCTTCCGTTTGCATCCCGGACCAGTAAGTGTCTATGCATAATACACTACGTTTACATTTACTCAATTTTGATAAATATCTTCAATTCATTTTTAGCTTCCGGAGCAGTATCGTACCACATATGTCACACCTGCGCGAAAACACAAAAACAAGCACAAAAAGCACAAACACAAAGATGGCGTGACCACGGGGCAGGAGTCGACGCTTCTGGGTAAGTGCTAATCGGATTTCTGTGGCCTGGGGCACGTCTTATCAAGCGCGATTTTTTCAGATTCTGCGGGCCTGGACACTTACGAAAAGAAGCACAAGAAGCAGAAGCGGCACGAGGATGACAAGGAGCGCAAGAAACGGAAAAAGGAGAAGAAGCGCAAAAAGAAAAATCAAAGTCCCGAGCCTGGAGTCGGCCTGCTGCCCGGTGGAGCTGGTCTGGGCAATTCTACTGGAGGTGGAATAATGGGCGCTACCGGTCTGGGTTCGCTGAGCGGTGGTCCTGGGCCTGGACCCCGGCCCTGGCATGTCCAATCTGGGTGCCAGCATGGGTCCTGGAGTCGTCGGCATGAACAACTTCCCCTCATCAATGCAAATGCAGCAGCAACAGATGCCTATGCAGCAGCAGCAAATGCCCAGCGGAGGCCTTTTGGGTTCAGTCCTGGGCGTTGGCGGTGGCCCTGGCGGAGGAGGTGGCGGCGCAGGCAGTGGGGGTGGCGGTGGTAGCTTACTAATGTCACAGTTTTAGGCAGGATCCTTTAGTAAAATAGACTTTGGCTCATTACCTCTCATCAGACTCCCACAGATGGAAAAACAAAACAAAAAACACGAGCACACAGACCAATCCAGAGATGCATCGCTTCAGGATCGACCGTGCCTGAAGGGCAGCTTGCACTTCTCTAGAACAATCCATGTGTCCAGGTGTCCTCATTGCAGCGCACTCTAAATGCAATCTTCTCGATAATGTTTCGTGACTAGTTATTAATTTATGAATATGATTATTGTAAAATAGTTTATTTTTGTAATTAGCCAACATTTTTCGTTCGTTTTTCGCGCTAGCTTAATGAGATTTATTTAAATGCAAGTTATGGTACAAATCGCACGCAAAACGTTTCCGCTCTCGATTCCAGCTCTAAACCCCGCCACGCCCCGCGAAGCTCTTATTGAACATTTTGCTTAACGATTTACACACAGATATTTTTTAGGGTCAGTATTTCAAATCTTTGCAATGGTTTGTTCTTCCAGCAAATTTATAAAAACACAAAAGAAAAAAAAAAGCTGAGATTCAACAATGAATGCCTGTACTATAAGTAATTAGTTTTAACAATTAGGCTCCTAATAAAATAAACAATCAAAAAAGTAAGTTCTCAGTGCCGTCTGCCTGGGGAAAGCGAGTGTCTTTGATATGACTGTTTCAAAAGACGCGCCTTGACTCCTTTGCGGCCCAGGCGTTCAGATTACGTTACGGCTCAAATTATGCACGCGGGTACGGTGTGTAATGGCAGCGCTCCGTCAATAAATAAAGATTTTGATTGTTTTTATTCATTTTATTATTAACAGGCGCTGTTGTGTTAACAGGCCGCAGTGCCGTTATGTTACATTAGTTAACAGTGCGTTAACTTACACATTTATCTTTAACATTGAATTAACATGCATTGCGTTAACATGCACAAACAGCTGCTTGGCTTCTCAGCGAGAGACAGAGAGGGAGAGAGTTAGTTCCTAGTCAAGAAGTACCAATTGATAAATTAAAAGTGATGTGCTCAAGTTAGTTAGAGGTTTTTATCGTTTTAACACAAAACTCGTCCAGCCAATTATAAGCACCATCAGCAACATGTCCACCTACAAGCAGACTTGCACAAATCTACTAGACCTCTCGAATTCCAAGGTGACCGAGTGGCTCGCAGGCTTCGATACAGTTATTACAGATTGTGACGGTGAGTATTTGGGCGGGGGAGTTGAATTATGAATGAAGCAGGACTCCGACGGGAAGGGAGTTGCGTAATATAATACATGGTCAGCATCTGCCTGGCCCTGGACGTCATCAATGTTGGCCTGAGGTCGTTGCGTGAGAATTTGACTTGACTGTGCGAATGTCAATGTCAAAGAGAGAGAGAGAGAGAGAGAGAGCAATGCAGTGGCCACGTCGATTTGTGAATACTCTTCATTGATGTATAATTTATTTATTTTATTTCAGGAGTTTTATGGATCTATGGCAATGCCCTGGAAGGTTCCGCGGATGTCATGAATCAGTTCAAGGCCATGGGCAAGAAAATATATTTCTGCACAAACAACTCAACGAAGACGCGTGCCGAGTTGCTGAAGAAAGGCTTGGAGCTGGGCTTTCGTATCACTGAAGAGGGCATCATATCCACGGCCCATGCCACAGCGGCTTACCTGAAGCAGCGCAACTTCGATAAGCGAGTGTACGTGATTGGCAGCGAAGGAATTACACAGGAGCTGGATGCAGTTGGCATCAAGCATACGCAGTGTGGGCCGGACCCCATGCAGGGCCAGCTGGGCGAGTTTATGGCGCAGCATTTAAAACTGGAGACGGACATTGGAGCCGTGGTGGTCGGCTTTGACGAGCACTTTAGCTTCCCCAAAATGTTGAAGGCGGCCTCGTACCTAAACGATCCCAAGTGCTTGTTTGTTGCCACCAATACGGATGAACGCTTTCCCATGCCCAATATGGTGGTGCCTGGGAGTGGCAGCTTTGTAAAGGCCATCCAGACCTGCGCGGAGCGTACACCGACAGTGATCGGTAAGCCCAATCCAGCCATTTGCGAGTCGCTGCTGAATCCGAAGAAGATTGATCCGGCTAGAACCCTGATGATTGGCGACCGATGTAATACGGACATTTTGCTGGGCTTCAACTGCGGTTTCCAGACACTGCTCGTGGGCTCTGGCATACATCATCTGAGCGATGTAGACCAGTGGAGGAAGAGTAAGGATCCAGAGGACAAGAAGCTTATACCTGACGTGTACCTGCCCAAACTGGGAGATCTACTGCCAGCCATTGTCAACAGTCTGACGGGTGGTGGGAGCTACTAAGATTTAAAAAAATTTAGTGTGTGCTTGTGTACATATGCATGTATGTATTTATTCACATATTCATGATTCATGCAGGGCCTCTACATTTATCAGATATATAGACAGGAACTATCTACAAACGAAAAGAAATTAATAGTACAATTTATGCTACCAAATAAAATATTTAAACATGCCCAAAACGATTACGTTTGCCAAGCTACAGACCCCAGCCAGCCGATATGCCCGAGCAAGCGCAGTGTAGCTCTATGGGGACAGAGCGAGATGGCAGACACTGCGAATAGCAATCGCTCGGCCGCACCGTGAATTTAGTCGAGTCGCAAACAGTTCCGTGAGCGGTTACAGTTACAGAAATGCTGGAGGGTGGCACTATCAAAATTTTGGACCTGCCCGGGCAGCAGGTTTGCGAGTGGCTACGCAGCTTTGATGCGGTTCTCAGCGACGGCGACGGTGAGTGTAATTAATCAAGAGAAAGAGAGGGAGAGCAACGAAACCATACTCAATGTCAAAGTTTGTTATCGCTATCGACATACGACTGCTATGACCGTTGGAATTTTAAATTACAATCGCAATCACCCCACACACGCAGGCACCATATGGCAGGACGATACAGCTATCGAGGGTGCAGCGGCTGTATTGAATGCCCTGCAAAATCAGTACGGAAAACGTGTCTACCTCATTACCAACAATGGCCTGAAAACACGAAGCGAACTGTACGAGCGGGCCCAGCGCCTGGGCTTCCAAGTGCCAAATGACCAGCACATCATATCGCCCACGGCCACAATTGTGGACCATCTGAAGCAGCGTCCAGACTTCGACAGCGCCAAACACAAGGTCTATGTGGTGGGCAATGCAGCCATTGGCAGGGAACTAAAGGAAAACGGCATCGACAGCTACGGGGCCGGGGTAGAGGAGCCGTTGGCCAAGGGCGACAAATGGCAGGACTTTGCAACGCGAGAGCTTACCAAGCCCGAGGCGGCCGACAATGTGGGTGCCGTTGTGGTGGGCTGGGATGAACACTTCAGCTACTGCAAAATGGCCAGGGCCTGTCACATCCTCTGTCGAAACGAGAGCTCTGCCTTCCTGGTTACCAACAGAGATGCAGTGCACAAGTATCCCAGCTTCTGCATTCCCGGCACTGCCGCCTTTGTGGCCGGCATCGAGGCGTGTGCGGGTCGTGAGGCCCTGGAAATGGGAAAGCCAAGTCCCGTAGTCCTCAAGCCATTGATTCAGTCCGGCGCCCTTCGGCCGGAACGCACTTTGATGATAGGCGATTGGTAAGCAGGGATTACGGCAGCATCTATTGAGCGTCTAATGTGTTGCTGTTTCCCCATTTCAGCCCGAAAATTGATATCGCATTTGCTCGAAACTGTGGCATGCAATCACTGCTGGTGGGGACTGGCAGCTTTCCCCTGGATATCCTGCAGCAGAGTGACAGTCTGCCCCAGCCAGATTTTTATCTACCAAAACTGGGTGACCTACTGCAATTTCTATAGGCATTCGTATGTACATACATAGATTGGGACGAGGCCATAAACCATATTTTATCAGGCTATCAAACCGATGACAACGCCGCCTGTTAAATGATCAGAACACATGTTTCATGTTAGATATATTTTACCAGCATATTTAAATATATGTATGTAGGTATGTATGTACATACATATGTTTTAGATATAACCATGTATACGTATGACGTTTGCACTTTCACTCTTGGGTTCAAAAGGATTAAATAATAAACTGCAACTATTATTTAACATTTAATTAATTTGAAAATGATCCATCAGAATACGACTCTTACCGTCAACAAAATAAACTACATCCAGACAGAAAATCCCTGACTTATTAATGTTTTTTAAAAATGTATTGATATTAATATGCAAATAATTTGATTGAATACATTTCTCAATTAAAATAAATATATCTCATTCAAATTCAATATATGATTATTTTATATTAAAGTGTTTAATATTTCAATTAAATACGGGACGTATTTAAAATAAATTTTTTAATACATTTATATTCAAATAAAAGTGAATTCAATTTAATTTCCCTATGCTTGTACCTAAAAGCCGCCTATTTAATTTCAACATGCTTGTGTTTTTCTTGTTTCTCTTGATTTTCTCTGATTGTAGCAATAAAAATATGGACAAAGAGAATATGTATCTGTTTATATTTATTGTAATTTATGCGAAATAAAATATATTAACATATTTTTTAATTATTCAAATTTTTCAAATTTTTGTTTACTTTTATCAAACCTGAACTGTTGTAGCGTCTATTCTGGCAGAAGTATCCTGTACCCTGTTCAACACGGTCCGGAACTGGTTAACGGAGGCCATTTCATGTGGATCCTTGTGCTCCGCCATCAGACTCTGCCAAACCCTCTCGAAGATATCTTTGGTGATGACATTCATGAAGATTCGCTCCATCTGATCTTTGGGCCGCGCACTATTGAAGTCACTTGGCCCCAGACCGTACACAGTGCCCGGCTCAGGGGCAATCAGGTCCTTGGCCCGTGTGTTCTTTATATCCAGCTCTTGGGGCGTCAGGAATTTCTTTTTTTCCCCTCGACCTTCGGCGGGCTTCTTCTTGCGATCGGCGCAGAATATGCCGTAGGTGGTATCCATGCTGTACAGCTTAGCCGGGAAGGACATGCTGCTGTCCGTCATAGGCATCGGCAACTGTTGGCCGATCAGACGGCAGAACTTGTCGTAATCTACACGCTCTGTGGCACACCCCCTGTCGATGATCATCTGAGGGAAGTGGCCCAAAGCGGTACGCATCTTCTGGGCATCCACCCTGACCTGAAGACGGTGCAGTACATCAATGATCTTCGACAGGGGCAGTTGGCCCGTGTGCTCCTTGTCGCTCATCTCCAGCAGTAAGATCAGGTCGTACATATGAAACTCGGGCCGGTTATGATGCAATCCCCGACGCCAAATGATGAAATACTTCAGGGCATCCCTCAATTGGTCGGTGTTCACGCAGGGCGAAATGTTCTCAAACAACATGCGGGTATCACACTCGAATGGATATGTTACGCCATGGATCAAGTCTTCGGGCACCTCATAGGGATATCTATAAGTCAAGGAGAAACTTATATAGCAGAGTTTTCCAGTAAAGATCGGATCGGGGTAAAGACTTACTTGTACTTTTTGCCCAAGGGGCCACAGTGGCGTTCCATAAAGTCTTGATGTGGCTTCCTGATAATGACATCGGGACCGTCGTTTAGTTTCAAGCAACGTTTCACCAACGATCCATTCGCGTCCACCCCCAAGTACTGCCCAAAAGTGTTTCGCCGATCGAAGGGATGTGTATAGCTAGTGCGGAAAGAAGTTAGGGGGGTATTGTGAGGCCCTTGGGGGAGTATATAGTATATGAAACCCACTTGCGATTGATCTTCTCCGAGGGGAAATAATGATTGTGGCTAACTATACGTTTATCGTGAAATTCGTTGTACTCCTTGTTGACCTGTTCGGCTGACTTGGGTGGCAACATAATCGAATACAGGGTCTCCGAAGTTGTGGATACACAGCCAAATGTCTGGCTATCATTGGTCACACTCTCCGGCTTCGAATGTGCCGGCCTAGCGCTTCCCAATGGGCTCTGCTTCGAATACAAATCCTCATAAAGCTTCATCCTGAACGACAGGAAGCGGGACATTTCTCCGGCGGTGGAAAAAATTTGGTCCACATTATTATTGGGCAGAATGGGAGTACGAGGGCCCTGTGGCTTGGCCACGCTACGCCTGCACTCCTGCCGCATCATCTGTTCGCCCAATTCGGCTGCGTGTGTAAAGGATAGGCAATCCTGAGCGCTCACTATATCCTCGTACGAGATTGCCAATCCCGCCGCCCGAATATCGGCATTTCTATCCACAAAACGGCCAATGTTTGACATTCTGTCTGTTGTGATACGCGAGTACTCGTATTTGCTTTCGAATGTTATTTATTATGAGTTTCGTTAGTGTTCGGGGTTTGCTGTGAAGTGACTGTGAAATCGGAGATTATGGAATGGAAAGCTTACAAATATCTTTTCATTCATCCTGTATATATCAATCTGCCATTGATACGAATTAAAGCTGCAGCATCTAGCTGTTCCCTTCTTTACCAAAAATATACTGCAAATAGCGAAAACTGCGAGAATCGTCAAATGAGCAAAACATATCATCAGCATCGCCCACGGCCACCCATCATTGTATGGTGGACCCAAAACAGTCAAAGACGACAAGTAAAAGCCCGAGGCGGCAAACCACGTGGATGTCGTGATGGTGGGTCTTAATCTCCTTTCTAAAGGAAGCTCCATCCGCCCTGTTGCATCCTTCTGGATGCCCTATCATTGCCGCTGCCGCTTTGTGTCTGCTGTCATCGAGGAGTCAGCGCGTGGCCATTGATACAGTCCTGCGAAACGCTCTCTGATGATAGGATTGGCGTTTGTATAGCAGGACTAATGTATTTCTGGGCATTCCATCGAATGACCCACAAGAAGTTGGACTCTAAACTCCCCCAGGCAGCATAATGAAAATATCTTATCGACCTGAAATCAACTTCATTCTTCCACTTTTTATTATATACTCGTTTATGTATATGTTTGGCATCTGTTCACGTATTTTACACATAATTGTACATATTTTTTCTGCTGGCAAGTAACACTCACCTCCTTACCTGTTAGATATTTGCTATATACTCGTATATATGTATATTTTTATATTTGATCTGCTTAACAGTGAACAGTATGGGCTGCATATTTGTATTAAAATAGTACTCGTACCCGAACCCTCTCCGTCTGCTTTGTGTTACCAGCCAAGCAGAGACGGCAATTTCCTACACCGATTTTCCTACAACTCCTTCACGTGTGATCCCTCAGGGGAAAGCTCTTTTGGCAGAGAAAACTAAATCTTCAAGCTAAACTAAAACTAAAACAAAAACTGTTTTGTGCTTGTGTTTGTGTGCTGTTAAGTGTTTAACTGAATTATAAACTGCTTAAGTTAAATTAAGAAGCAACTTATTGGCTAACTGTACAGATTTGGCAATGCATAGCACACAGATATATCTCAGGAGATATGTACAGAGCATGTATGTATATGCAATGCCGACATAGAGAGTCCTCTGATATGTAAGTTTTAGTTTCTTGTTTTGTGTTACTTTAGCAATTTAGAGCGTAAAGAAATCGTTGTAAAGCGTTGTGATCTTCTGTCTGTAGCAAATCAGAATAAGAGCAAAAACTGAATCTGAAGCGATATACATATAACCTCATCCTGTCTTCTGCCATCTGCCGATCCATTCTCCATTCCCCTTGGGCACCCATTCCTAGGCATATCCAGCTCTTTGTTCACTGAGTCTGCTGCCTGTGAATCGCTTTGTCGATTTCTTCGAGGACTCTGTCTAAATTGCTAAAAGGTAACATCAGGTGCTCGGTTGCGTGTTGGCCAGAATGCGGGCGCTCCTGGACAGGTAGCCGTACCAGTAGAACACATTGATCAGGAGGAACAGCAGCGGGAAGACGACGCGCGAGGCGCGATCGATCTTCGACACGGAATTGTATTGCGGCGTCCGTTTGCCCTTGCGGCGTGCCTCCATCTCCTCGCGCCGATAGTAGGACATCCGCCGTCGGCCCACATGGGGCGGACTGCTTTGGGCAGCTGCTGCTGCCGCCGCCGCCGCTGCTGCTGCTGCTGCTGCTGCTGCTGCCGCTGCTGCGGATGTGGAGGGTGCCTCGTGTGCCCGCAGCTGGGTCTGCTCGTCATCCTCCTCCTCGTCGGAGGAGGAGTAGTGCGAATGTGAGTGCGTGTGTGGCGGCTTTCTTCGCCGCCAGTCAAAGCAGCTCGGGAACTTCAGGGTCCATGGTACGTGGCGGCGGTTGCGTGCGGCGCCACGCTTGGAGCTGAGCATGCCGAGGCGACTGCTGCCCGCGGAGTTGGGTATGCATGTCGATGGTGCACATGGACAGGGGTATCACCTCGTAGATCTTGGACTCGGTGCTGTCCCGAAAGTCGGAGGGTGCTTCCGTCTCCGTCTCTGCCGAATCCGAGTCCAGCTCCTCAATGATGAAGTAGCACTCGCCCGATCCGTACTTGGTAAAGTAGTGGACCACGGCGAACTGCAGGATGGTGGCGAAGATGAAGGCGAACGAGAGGAACACAAAGAAGTCAAGGGCCGTCGGATACGACACCTTGGGCAGGTCGGTGCGCGCCTCCAGTCCGAGGAACGTCATCGTCAGCACCGTGGTGATGCCCAGCGAGACCCGGTCCGCAGTGGCCTCCCGGTTCAGCCAGAAGGAGACCCAGCTGAGCACCACCAGCAGGCAGCAGGGCCCGTACACCTGGATGAGGAAGTTGCCCATGTGCCGCTGCAGATGGAAGTTCACCATCAGCATGGAGTACTCCGCTGCAAGAACCAGACCAGAGAATACACCGATTAGACGGGGGAGTGCCTCCCTTTTCTCGTGATCCCACATGAACCTACATGGATGATGCGTCTCAATGGTTATACTCCCCGACAGGGTGGTGCTGGGCGGTGCCCCGACGGCATCGCGTCCCGTGCCAAAGGCCCCCTTGTCCAGCTTCAGTCCGGTGCCGCGCACATGCTGATTCTTTGCCCCGGGTCCTGCGAATGTGGTCAGCGTTTTGCTGGTCGCCTTGGGGCGTCCTGCCTGGGACGGATCCTTGTTGTTGTAGGGCCGTTCCTGCGGCATAGGCGCCGCCGCCTTATATACAATGTCCGTCAAATTGCCAGCCGGACAGTCGACCAAATCGAATTGGGACAGCTTCATGTCCTCCGCTATGGCGACGGCAGGTCGCTCCTTGTTCCACCGATAGATGACATCGGACGTGGTGTAGCCAACTGTGTTTTTGTATTTTGTTTTTTGTGTGTTGTTTTTGTTTTCAGAAAGTGTTTTGTTTCGATTCGTGATTCCGCACAAAATGTCAATTAAGAGGAGTTTGGGTGTGGATGCAGGCAGAGTTCAGTGGTGGTCAGGGTACCAGTGATTTTTGCGGATTTAACTTTTTTTTTTTTTATTTAACTTTTTTTTATTTATGTCATAGTAAAAGGAAAAATACTTATAGGGAAATTAAATAATTGGTTCTTAAATACAAACATAAAGAAATTAAATAGAATTCCATTTGATTTAAACTATAAATGTATTAAAAATTCTTTTTAGTACGGCACATATTAAATCAAAAAGCTAATAAACCTGTTAAACTTCTAGGAAATATATTTAATTTAATTATTCAAAATATTTATTTTAAATAGTTTACAATTTCTGCCCTTTTTTCTCTGGTTGTAGTAACTGTTTACTCCTATTCCCCTCACAACTGTTAGCCTCCATCAGCAAGAGCCTCTGTGGAGCTGCTCTTTAGCTGTAGCTGTAACTGTATTCGAGTCACAGCTAAATCTGAGCATCTCTGGTATCCAATCACTACTGCCATTCAATCGTTCACATCACCCCACTCCTCATCTCTGTCTCTCTCTCGCTCATTTCTGCACCTACTATCTGCGATGTGCCCTCCAGTTCCCCTCTCGTTCACTCATCTGCCATACACTCTCTTTCTCCACAAATCTATCACTCTCACACGTACGAGTATGTACCGTTATTTTATTTTGCTTCTCCTCCAAATGCACAAATTGCCAAACATTGCGTCATCTGTGGGCCACATACCATTTGAATGGGTTTACCTGTGCACCCCCAACTCCCAATCCCAATCGAATGGGAAATTGTCAACATTAAGTGGCAGGCAACATTGGGATGGGAGAAGGGGCAAGGGGCTGTCGCCCGAGGGGGGTAATTGAATTCTTGACTGCATCCAACATTATTCACAACAAATCGGAAGTAATAATACATTTCTAGGCGGGAAGATACAGGAGCAGGAGGAGCAGCTGAAGGAGCACCGAGAGGATTGTTCATTTGCGATAAGCTCTGAAAAGCAGTTAGCAGAAGGTAAGGAAGGGGCACCGCTGGGTGGGAGGAACAACCTAAATTGCTGCCAAAATATTTAAATATTAGATTTTTAGCTTCATAGATTTTTTTCCTGCTCAAATTCCATTTTGCATATGAATGGCAGAGGAAATGTGATGAAAATGCATCAAAATGTTATCTCGTTCTCTTTGTTGTTGCTGGAAGAATGGAATAATGAAAATGTCAGGAGCAAGCAACAGAAGAGCAAAAGGTTGAGGGAAGGTTAACAAGGAATATGCATGGCAATTTCAGACTGCCATCAGGCAGGTTTCTTGAAAGATTTATTGCTAGAAATTTCTTTAATTAAAAATACAAAAATAAAGAAAGAAAAACCAGTATAAATTATCGGTTCTAGAATGGGAGTATCTCTCTGCTAGCACCAAGTAGCTCATTTGTTAAACTAATTCCTTGGCAACCACTTCAATATACACAAGTGTGTAATCCTTTTACCGCCTCGTGCCCATTCTCTTCTTTGTTGTTCATTTCAAAGCCATTTCACTTCACATTTCTTGTCGCCAATCCAATCCATTGCAATGTCATGGCATTCAGCATACTCGTTCTCGTAATCCACCATCCCCACACACACTCACACACACACACCATACGCTGTTATCCATATGTGCCATGTGCTCCTTGTCGCTGTCCTCGAGCCACAACAAGTGGCCAACACAACGGAGCTCAAGAAGCAGCGAGAACAAATCACATCAAAGTGCAGCGAGCAGCAATTATGCATAATTATGCATAAGGAACAAAAGTCCACACATCCCACCCGCACCACTGAACCACTGAACCACTACTGCAGCACCCTCTACTTGGTTTTGGTATTGGGCGTGGGGGGGGGTTTACATTGTACTCACATGAGCCAAATTTCAGCGGACACTTCTGTATGTCCATGGGAAAGTCGGCCAGATTCATGGGGCAGCCGGCTTTAATTGTCAGACGGCTGGAGTACAGGACGCGTCCGTTCTGGTAGATCCGCACAAACTTGTTCGGCGTGGTAATCGTGTGCAAATAGCTCTGCTTACCATTGTAAAAGTACGTATCCGGCTTCCATATCCGCTTCAGCATCGAGACGCTCAGTGCCAGCGTGTCCTGGGCGCCTTCGAATGCGAGACGTTTATCCACCCAGGATTGACGAAAATAACAATCCATTGAGTAGGTCTGCAGCGGAGACGGAAACAGAGACGGAGACGGAGACAGAGACAGAGACAGAGAGACACGGGAAAAATCAGATAGATATATAAGAGAGAAAAGAAAAGCTGAGCTGGTGAATGGCGTCTGCAGAATGGAGGTGTCTGCTGAAAATTGATTTGTGAGGACAGCAGAGGGCAATGCAATGAAGGTGTCGCTTCACTCTCTCTGAATCGTTTTCCTTGACTTTGAATCAGTGAAGGTCAAGTAGGTATGGATTATGTGGGGGAGTGTTCTTTAATTATAGTAGATTTATCTTAAATTATTTTCTTTTGTTCCACTTACCATATCAACTTCTGATATTGGGCCCATACTTCGAACCATTATATCCACTTCAACAGTGGCTGGTGGTCCTAAAAATAAACAATTTATTAATTTAGACATACATATTTTTCGCATCCTAAATCTGTTGTCTGTTTCTGCCGTTAAAAAGGAAATCAAATATACGATACATACATACGTATATACTGCAATATCTCTCTTCGATAAAAACCATGAATATTCATAGATATATTACGCATGAGTCCTTTGGGCACTAAATGAAAAGGTTTAGTGTGTGTGCCTCTGTGTGAACAATGACACTTAAGCCGCTCGGCAGACAGTTCCACACCCCCGTACCCTGGAACACTAGGCCCCCACCCTCTTTATCTAGCTTTTCTGCACTAATATGCAATTTTTTAGGTCCCACCAAATACACATACAGTACATACATACATCTTGCATACATACATATATGTATGATTTTTTTATATTTTGCCTATGCGAACAGTTTTTAATGACTTTGCTGCCGCGATTGCTGGCTGGGCAAACACACGCGTCGCAGGAAGCGGATGTGCATTGCCGCGTATCCTTTGAATCGCTACAGAACGGTGGGAGAGACCAGATATGCTATGGGATGGCATGGGAGCGGAGAGGAGAGGAGTGTAGTCTCCCCTTGCAGCCCACGGCCCATTCTTAATGAAGTGTTAAAAACATTGTAATTTGGTCGTAAGCCATAGCGCGAACACAATTTTCGCCACGTAAACCAAAATCGCGTTAAGCCCCGCCCCCAATTGAGTGCCGCCCGCTCGGCTGCCATTTACCATTTACCCATTACGCCATCTGGATGGATGGTAAGTAAGTATTTTAAATATCCAAGAAAAATATATTAAATTTTTATTGCTTCGACCATTTGCCAGATTGAAAAGGAAGGAAGATTGGGCGGGACTCGAAAGCCCATCAATTCGGGCAACTCCTTGAGAGAAGGACAGAGGGAGAGAGAGAGAGAGAGCTCAAACGTAATACAAAATGTTTGCCTGTAAATATTTGTCGGTTTTGACACTAACTATTTACCCAGGGGCAGGGTGCAAAGGCAATCATCGGCTCGGCAGCCTCTAGCAGGGGCATTCACATCACCTTGGAGCCGTCTGTGAGCGATTTGTCGCCTGGCAGCGATTTCCGCTTCATTAAATGCTTCCGTTGAGCGGAAAATCTGTGAATCTATGCTGATTACTTGAGGGGAAGAAGCTACCAAAAAGTTTGCACAACACAACACTTATCAGAAGTGCCATAGACCAAGAGACAGGACAGTGGCGTAGCTACATAGGCATAGGCAGGCATAGGCAGTACATAGGCAGGAAAAAAAGTCTTGTCTTCACCATTTACATATGTGCTGGAGTGGGATTGAAAAGTCATATTTTCACTCACGCACACATGCACAAACACGTGGGAAGACCCCACGTGATCAAACGAAAAAGAGTTGAGACAAGACACCTCTCATAGTATGCTTATTTACATATATACATACATATGTATGTACATATGTATGAGCGGTAGAGATGCGTGTGCTGGCCTACTGTCTATTACATATCTCCTATTTCATGCTCTCCTGAGCCGCCTCCAAGCCATCATTGCAAATATACATTATTTTTTTGCTCGTGTTCTTCTTCCCCCACCCAGCCACATGCCAACACATCGAACGCACAAAATTTCGCTCTCTTGGCGTAGGAGAGGGAGAGGATAAATAAGTTGCTTGAGATAACGGAAACAAATGTCAAATTCCATTGAGAGAGAAATTATGAAGCAGATCAGAAGGAGAGCATGGAAGGTGACTGAGGAGAGAGCATGGAATGAGCTTGCTCTCCTACGCATTACAAATCTGCACCGCTCAGTCTCAGTTTTATTTTTTCACCTGGTTCAAGCGTGCGTTCCCTCTAATGTAAGTGGGTGTTTTTTGGGCTGAGGGGAGTCTTTTCTGCTGCGGAGCTAAGCCTCTGCCAAGGGAATAAATACTACGAGTCTATGGCGCGCAACCTTCTCCAGCCTCAGCACGTTCTATTGGGGTATGGATATTAATCAAAAACCTGCATAGATCTATAGCTACTCCCATCCTCCCGCACTCGTGATGGAAGATTGCTTCCCTCCCCGCTCCCTATTGTGTTGATATTATGAGCTGTACTAGTACTCACCACCAAAATCCGGACGTATGCTATTGTCATATCCACGCAGCAGATTGTCCAGTAGCTCGGAGATATTTGCATGGTTATTGCTTTGGGTGAGCCAGGCCGACATCAGCGAGGAGGAAGAGGACGATGAGGAGGAGGCGGTGTGGGCCATGGAGCCCAGCTCATCCAGGCGATGGGCGTCACCACGTCCCTTGATGCTGCCGGCCATGACCCAGACGGAGCCGGTGCCGGGACTGATGGACAAGTGCCAGGCGTTTGTGTAAATGCTGAGTATTAAAACGCAGCAGCTAATCAAAAGTTTAAATATGCGCAAATTTAAGCGTTGCTGTCCTTGCCAGGAGGGGACTTTGATCCTGCTAGCCCGGCTCGCCCGGGTCATTCCCATCCCGTCCTTGATGAGGTCAGTGGATGTGGATGCATCGCCATCGCCATCGCCGGATGCTGCCGTTGTGCACATATTGTTCGGTTTTTGTTTGCTGTTTGTTTAATGGTTTTGCTTGCTGCTTGTTGCTGGAACTATTGTTTAGTCTTCTGTTGCTTTGGCTGCTTCTGGCCTAATCTGGACATCCGTTTGTCCAACATTTGTCGCTCCAACTGGCTACTGCTCTCGCCCCTCCCCTGCTGCTGACAGGAGTCCTTCCTTGGCTGTTTCTGTGCTCTGTTTGGCCTCGTATTTGTTCTCATTTATGCAACCGGAAGTTGCACTCGAGTCAAGCGTTTTCTTCTTAATTTCTGAGCGTCCTTCGGGTTGGCATTAGTTCCGTTTGTCTTGTCCCGTCCCAAGCAAACGCTGCGCTACTCTCCTGCTTGGCTTTTTTTTAATTGTTTGAACTTCTTGGACTTTTTGCACTTGGCAGCTGGCAGTTTGTTGATTGGCCAATTAGCCAGCGGCATTCTTCAACTATCAGCTATCATCAGCTGTCATCAGAGATGATTCTATTTCGTTTGGCTGGCTTAAACGAATAGTTACAGGTACAGTTGTCTGCAGTCCACACTTTACCACACGGCGTATGCGCAGTTTCGTATTAAAATATTGCCCAGCCTGGCTCTGGGCAGCGATTAATGGAGCCCAGCCAGCAGGAAAATGAAGCCTTGCACTTATTAATCTTCCCCTGACCGCTGACCACAATTGATGGTAGGTTATTAAGAGCCAAGATGGCAGAGAATCGGAGGAATCCGCACGGCAGGCAGTCACCAGGCCAGCCAGTCGGTTAGCCGGATGATTCCTTAATGAAAAGTCAACGGCGGCACGGCCAAAGTCAAAGGCTCTGACTGGGACATAGTGCTGACAAGACGGACTGCCATCGAGGCCGGGACATCTGATATAATTATGCAAAACAAAAAAAATATAAGAAACCGACCCCATTACTTAATTATGTCTCACCCACTAACCCAATTTTATGCATGGCCAATGCCGACACCAAGCCACATCCGCATCAGGTTTTGCGATACCTATTTTCAATACTTGCAGTGGTTCCCCTCACCCTTCCTTACCCGGCCACAATGCTGTGTGGCCTCTTGAACATTGCCTTCGAGTCTCCTATCGGTAGTGCATCTGCATCAGCCTCGACGTCAATGCTACTTGCCACTTGATTGGACGCTTGTGTCTGCTAATTATGGTTATGGCTTGCTTTACGATGAGGCCCAAAGCAAATTTCCATTATTTTTAGTCGATTTGTCACATGTGGACACTGCATTGAGCCCTCGAGCACAATGAGAATGGGGCTAGGATGCATTTTGAACTGAAGTGGAATGGGTTACAGGAAGCAGGATCATCAAGAGAATCATTCAGCTAAAGATTCGCTCAAGCTCACATCAGATACAAATTCATTCGCTTGTATAGTACGGCGAATCCCCGAATGACTGCACCATCAAGTGGCCCATTACTTGATCTTTAATTAAGATACACTCTTGGTTTCCCAGTAATATAATGTGCATATGTATACCTGTTACCCCAGCCTCGGCCAGATTTCAGATACATTTCTGACTCAATGTCCAGTCAAAACTAAGAGCTACATACTAGCGTTGACTTTCTCTTGAATATCCCTGTTTCCTTTGTGTGTTTCAAACGAACAAATTGCTGCCACAAGCACAAACATCCCACTATCGCCCGTCCCCCAGCCTCCATCGCTGGGCATCATCTTTGCTTCTAATTTCTGGCTTTACCAACCCGCCCCCTCCCGCCGCCTTTTGTTAACTGGTTCGAGAACGGGTTAAAGTTAAATGTGGTAGGAGTGGACCCACGACAACAGAGAGAACAACTTGAGCACGTTCAACGCATTTTCTCATCAACGTCGTCGAAATTGCACTCAATTTTTGAAGGCTGCTGACGCTGACGGCTTTTCATCCTACTCGTCTTCGTCCTCGTCGCGTGAGTCCTGCCTGCTAACGCTTGTCCTGCCTCCCAAAATCCTACTCCGCGTGCTGGTCTAAGGAATATTTCGTTTTCTTTTTCTTTTTTTTTTTGGTGGAAATGCATTGTTAGAAGGCGTCGGCGTTGGCGTCCACATGGCATGAAGAGGGTATGCATGAGACTGTCAGCCAATTTGCGATGATTGATTGTAATTTGATTGAAGTGTCAGAGTCTATATGTGTGGTGCCCAAGGTGCATCAGGAAAACTCATTAGGTACTGAAGGAGTGTAGGGGTTTTTCCCCGAGGCAGAGAAACTAAACTCTTTGCCTTGCACCAACAAATTGATATTTAATTAATATTCTACGAGTATATAGCATGCGATATCAGCAAAACGCACTCCACATTGCAAAACAAAAGGGTATTCAGCAGTGCCTTACTCCATCTGTTAGCCTGAAAGACCACCCAACGACTTGCCCTTTCTGCTGTTCTTCTGTTCGTTGATGTGGCAGGCATCTGCCGCCTATATGTACGTACATTACTGAGTCGTCTCGTCTCTCAATATTCTGTGGCAGCATCCAGCAACAGAAGCACCCAGCAGCAGGTGGTTTATATGGCTAGTCGTCGGTGGCGGCTGCTGGCATTATTATTTGCTCTTTGCCCGCGCCACTGCAATGAGTTGTGCGAGCACTCTACCCTACGTACAGTTTCGCTACTTTATATAAGAATTTAGAATTCACGTTTTTTGTGTCGCCTTGCGTGTGGAAATTGGTTTGCCAAGAGCTTGCCACAAGTTTTCTAGTTAACTTAAGGAGAATTAAAAATCTCAATTTAATTAAATGCAAGTCAAAAATGTCATTCACTTTTGCGGCTTACGTTTGCCCCCACTGCGAACCTTATGGCCTAAGGCCAATGCAATTGTTCTAATTATTTCACAGTTGAGCGACAGGCACGTGCCCTCCTACCCAGCTGGACTCAGCAATCCACTCTCCAGCACTCAGCATACCCTCCTTTCTATTCCTATTCCCCCATTCCAATTTCCCTAACTGGCGCACGTTCTGCGGAAATGTTTACCGAACAGAGAGCTGGCGAGGATTAGGCAAGCGTGAAATGCAACTTGAATCGTGGGTCTGCGGCTGGGTCTGGGGCATTATAATGCACAAATGTTTGCACTTGTCTCTGCTAAGAGGGTTCCCTTGTTCGAGGACACGCGAAGACTCGAGCTAATTCAAAATCCATTCCACTATTGGTAACCACTCACACGATTTTTGAATCAGAGCATAATCACAATTCGCAGAGCAAACCACTTGAAAATTTTTGGATTTCCACGCTTGAAAATGGACTAGAAGGATCGGGGCATTAAAATCATTTACAATCCAAAGAACATTTAATTAAATAAATCAGAGAGATATCACATAAAAACTACGAGAACACTTTTGAGTAGAAACAGTAGAAAATACTCAAATGAATCATTGAATCTTAGGGAAAATCCTTCGTAGGCCAACTGGAATCTGTGTAATTCTATTGAAAACATAGCCGTTCCTACAGTCCACTCCACTCCAAAGTGGGGGCCTAAGCTCATATATAATTTCCGGAAATTCCATTTAGTCGGCATAGACAGCATAGCAGCACAGGGAGCAGCAGCAGTGGCAGTAAACAAAAACGTTTCAACTTACTTGCAAATTTAATGAACGCAAATGCAAACCAACAAAGAAAAAACGGACCATGGAAAATCGTAAAAGCCACAAACGCAGTTGCAGCAGCCTCCCCTCCCCACTCCGTCCTATAATCACACACACAAAATGCATTCGGACGACGCTTAAGTAAACTTCTGGGTGGCGGGGGGCCCTGCCCTCAGACACGGCGCAAACTTGACTTGTGGGTCAACTGGCAGGTCCCCAAACCCCAAACCCAAACCAATCCAATAAGAGCAATAGAAGGGGCCAGCCCCAGCTTTAGTCAGGGGCCCTACGCCACAACAACAAAAATCTACAAAATTCAATTAATTTAAATGCAGTTTTTTGCGAGCTTGTATCATGTACAACTATGTGTTTACGTACATATATACATATATATATCTTTATATATATGCATGTCGGTGGAAGAAGGACCGCCGAATCACTTTACAATGTAAATCTCAAGAGTGCGATGCCCCAGCAGCTGCTGCTGCTGCTTTTTGTGCTTTGCATTTTTTTCTATTTGAGAGATTTTTTTGTAACCTAAAGCGGCCTCAACGAAAAAAAAATCTGAAGCTGCCGAAAAAAATAAAAGATAAAAAGCTGAGATCCTTTCAAAGGAAAGTAAACTGTGTGACAAGCGCCTTATGTTGCGGTCGGAATTTAAAACTATGAAATAATGAAGCAGAGGGAAGTGTATTGAAATGATTTATATATTTTTTTTATTTGTAATTATTTATTTGGTTGCTATGCTGTTACTGTTAATTTTAATAATTTTTCCATTGTTAGCAGATAACTGTCTGTTATTATCTGTTGTTAAATAATTAAATAACAGACTTTTCATAAAAAATCTATATGCTTTAGAGTTGATTTATGGAAAATCACTTTACGCTCTCCCTTCCTTGCTCCTGTTTTATTTCTACAACCAGAGAGAGGTCTAGGGATCTAGCCACATCTGGCATTCCCAATCAACTCCCTTAGTAAATAGTTTTTGTTAATAATTTGTTCTGCTGGTTGACCAGAAAATCCTCTGGTGACCAGAATCTCCTCTCTCTTTCTCTTCCCCTCTCTCTCTCTCTCTCTCCCTCTATGTCCCTCCCTCTGCAGCAAGAGTAAATTGTTTTCCCACCGCATATGACCGACCATTGGGAGCTCATGGTAAATTTATAAGTCTCTAATGCCCGTTTAAATCAGCGATAATTGCATTTTATTTGCACTCTATTTCTGCAGTATCCGTACCCCGAGCTTGCAACGAAAAAATGCCATATTTGTGGCTTGTGTGCATTTCTCATTGGACCGCAGTCCAATTGATTTTTAATATGTGCATTTGGGGTTTGTTTTTCGATGCCCGAAACATATTTGGACATTTATTTACATTCGTAAAAGTTTCGACAGAGAGTGATTTATTTTATTGTGGAATACATTTGATTTGGAATTATTTACACAGGCCCTGTTAATTAAGTTGATTTAGACAGTTTAATTGCCATCCGATGGATGAGGGCGGGAGAGCTTCGATGCCAGTGGCTAGGGCAGAGGATGGGGCTGAGAGAATGGAGGCAATTATAGTTTGACAGTTCAATTAGATGCCGAGCCGAGCATTTGAATGGTTTGGAAGAACAAACGGATTTATGTTTCGCGATAATCAAAGTTAAGTGCGATTCCCCCAACAGCTGCACGGACGGTACGATTCTCTCTCTCTCTCACTCTTTGTCTCTCGGATTGAGGAAATATTACGTATACGCCCGATGGCTCCTCCATTAGTGAGGCAGGAATTCAAATGAGAGATGAACTTATTACGCAACACTCTTTTCATTTGAAACTTTCCACTGCACAGAAGCTTAATTATTTTGTACAATAATTACGCATACGCCACGTGGTCTTCGCAATGATTTTTCTTTTTATTTGGATTGAAATTATCTAAATTATTGTATGTAACATTTTGTGAATTTTTGTTGTCTTGCACGATAGGCTTTATTAAAGCCATTTCTCATTCTGCAGTTTTCACAAATTAATTAGCAAACTTTTCACACTTTTATTAATTTGAAATATTTGTATTGTACATATGTAAATATGTACATGTTTTTTTATTTAATAAATTAATAACAATTCTTAATATATGTTTTATTGTAAAATAAACAATAAAAAAATATTTTTGTATTGATATTTAATAAACAAATGGAACGAGTTGTAGTAAATTTTTAAGTGAACTCAATTTTAAACACTGAATATATTTTGTTATACTATAAAGAATTTTCCAAAGCGTAAAAATAGCTTTCAGTTTAAATTGTTTAATTCATTTCTGTATTTAATTTCACGCTTGTACTTTTGGGTTTACTTCCACTTATTGTTTTTTTATATTTATTTATTAATTCCATTCCATTTTTCCATATTTATTCATTTTAAACAGTGTAAAAAGAGATTTAAATTTTAAATTATTTTCTGTAGTTAATTTCATTTTAATATGTTTTGGATTTGGATCCACTTATTACTTGGAATTTTCGCAAAAAATACTCCATTCGATTGTGTATTTTTTCTGCCATTGGGATGCCGGAATTCCCCGAGCTATTTTTACCGTCAACACAAATAAACCAATCAAACAAAACATAATGAAATCGAAGGGAAAGGATGCCCTTAATGCCGGAGAGGAGTATCAGATGTACGTCGAGACGCGCCAAGCGCGCAACGCAAACTGAGCCCAACCGAAACCAAAACGATATTGGGAGCAGAGCGATGCCCGTGCCTGAAGATTGAATGGTGCTGCTGCGTTGTGGCAGGATATCCCGCAGCATGGGGCACAAACAGCGACACCAGCAAGCAGACACACACTCATGTACATGGAGATGGACATGGACATGCAAAAGGCGCAAAATCACTAGAGCCAGCGGCGCTGCTATCCACCCCAACCGGCTCAGGAATCCATTAGCACCAGGAGGGTGGCAGAGACAGAGACACTGCGGCCCCATCCTATGGTTTTCTGGCTTTTCATTCATAAATCCAACTTGCACTTTTGTTTACGTTGGCCCCAAGCCTGCGCAGGCGCACTGCTTGTGCGAATGCTCCTACCTTCCCCCGCTTTTGGATGGACACCTGTTGGATCTTTGTTTCTGAATTTTTTGGCTATTTGTAATTGCGTAGCAAGAGCCCCAAAATTGACTGCCCTGTCAATCAAACTTCAAACCAAAATTGGAGTCAAATAACTTAATTGGACTCCTCTTTGGACAGCACAGTTTTTGGTTGCTATAAAAGGGTCCGCCGTCCGCTCGAAATCGGGAGAAGCCTTCAAGTTGAGATGACGACAAATTTGGCACTGTATCGTCTGCTGGTGTTCAATTTGCTAGAGATCAATTTGAGAAATGTCTTGGTGTTCCACTGCTGGTCTGGGCCGGGTAAGAGAAGGAAAAAATTATGCACAATTTCATTTATTTCCAATTATATTTCTTTATTTCCAAGAGGCGTATCCTTTAGCTGTGATGATGAGTGAGAGCCACATCTATTCGCAATATATTGACCTGCAACAGAATGCTGGTAGCTTGGCCGACATACACAAGGATTACTTGGACACCGATAACGATATCACCAAAATGGCTGTGTTCCTGGACTTGGGCTGTCCTCAGGCGGGTTTCATAACAAATCAGGTGAGTGCCTGCCATTTAATTCTTGCAGATAAAACTTCATATTTCTGTTGGTTGCAGTCCAGTCGTGCCCGTACCTATAACCGTCGCTTTCATTGGCTGCTCTTCGATCCAATGGGTAACCTGACGAATCTGGCCGAGCTCTTTGTCCGTGCCAATATCAGCCTGGATGCCGATGTGACCTACATCGAGCGGCGGGCAGAGGAGGAGGACGACGATGAAGGAGAAATCTTTGTGTTGCATGATGTCTACAACAAGGGCAGCCACTTGGGCGGCGCACTCAACGTAACCATTGACCAGAGTGTCCAGTGCAATGGCAGCCACTGCTGGGTCAGGGATTATCTCAGCGATCTGCATGAGCGGACGAGGCTGCAGCAGCGCATGGATCTGACCAACATCACCTTTCGAATGGCTGCCTTGGTAGCGGATATGGAATATATATTTATTTTTATTATTTATATAGATATATTTTTGCAGGTCTCAGTGATGCCGCTCACTTCCAAGGAGGAAGTTCTAATGGGGTTTCTGACCAGCGAAGAGGATGCCCATTTGGACTCGATTTCACGGCTGGGCTATCGCCTCATCCTGCACATCCAGGACATTCTCCATTTCAAGTAAGTTCTGGCCAAAGTTCTGCCACCGTTCTTCAGAAGGTTCCGTTCCGTTTTAGCTTGAGCTACATTTGGGTGACTGACTGGAGCATCCAGGATGCATTTGGCGGAGCCATCGGCCTGCTGGGCAATGAATCGGTGGAGCTGTGTAGCTCTCCCTTCATTGCCACCTGGAACCGCATACACTTCGTCCATCCCATGACCGAGCTGGCCGAGTTTCGAGCCGTTTGCATATTTCGCACGCCGCACAATGCCGGCATCAAGGCGACCGTATTTCTAGAGCCCTTCAAGCCCAGCGTCTGGCTGGCCTTTGGGGCCGTGCTGATCCTCGCCGGGTGCCTGCTGTGGGTAATCTTTCGCCTGGAGCAGCACGGGATGCAGCGGTGCCTGGAGTTTATGCCTTCCCTGCTCAGCAGCTGTCTGATCAGCCTGGGGGCTGCCTGCATACAGGGCTCCCACTTGCTGCCCAAGTCCACGGGTGGAAGATTGGCATTCATTGCCATCATGCTGACCTCCTTCATCATGTACAACTACTACACATCGATTGTGGTATCCATGCTCCTCGGATCGCCAGTACGCTCTAACATAAAGACCGTGCAACAGCTGGCGGACAGCTCCCTGGACGTGGGCATCGATAATGTGCCATTTACCAAGGCCTACCTGACGGTAAGGTGATCTCTTGGGTGTGCAATTTCTATATAAAACATCCTCATCCGTTCCACAGTCCTCTCCCCGTTCGGATATACGCAGTCTGTACAGGCAGAAGGTGGAAAACAGGCGGGACCCCTCTACCGTCTGGTATGAGCCAGAGGAGGGGGTGATCAAGGTGCGGGATCAACCAGGATTCGTGTACATCTCGGAGGGTTCCTTCATGTACCACTATGTGGAGAAACACTATCTGCCCCGGGAGATCTCTGATCTCAATGAGATCTTGCTGCGGCAGGAGAGCTCCGTCTACCACATGATTCACCTGAACAGCAGCTATCGGGAGCTGATCACCCAGCTGGAAGTGCGACTCGTGGAGTGTGGCCTGACCTCGAAGCAGCGGCGCTTCTTCACCAAAACCAGGCTTCAGACCTACACCAACAGCTTTGTGATCCAGGTGGGAATGGAGTACGCTGCCCCACTGTTTCTGTCCCTATTGGCCGGCTACTCCATGGCTCTGGTGATCCTACTCATGGAACTGGCTTGGAAGCGAGCTGAAAGGCAGACCATGACTATGGGCCGCAGTCTCTTGCCTCAGGAGAAGTGAAAAAGCAGCGAATCAGCGAATAAATATTACATTTAATCGAGTAAGTACTAGTAGTAGGGTCGAATATCCATACCTTACTTTCATCGGTTCAATCCAGTCCCATCCCATCCGTTAATGTCCGATTTGGGCTGCCTGTCAGTGGAAGTGGCTCAATTTTGTATTTTTCGAGTATTCCCATTAAGTTGTCAATTGTCTAGTTCATGTAGGACTCGGTCGATCCGTTGACTGATTTTGATTGGGGGCCATTGTACGGAAATGACAGCTAATTACACTAATTTTTACTGTACAGTGTACACCCAGAGAAAAAATCCCCGATAATGGATACACTTAGAGTTTTTTTATATTTAGGTTAAACGACTTTTTAATGCATTTATGTTTAAATCAAAGTGAATTCGATTTTCTGATTTCTGATTAACTTACAAAAAAATCGCCTCTAAATCGCCAGTGAATATCATTCTATAAATAAGTCATAGCCCGTATAAGGGGGGCTATTCCTTAACTGATTCGGATATGCCTTATTTATGCACATTAGCTTGATTGATTGATTGGTTGATTGCTTATGTCGCATTATGCTTGGACCATATATAAGCCTCGGTGGCCTGGTAATTTTTATTATTAATTCGGGTCTAGCACTGGTTTTGTTTTCTGATGGCAATACTCGCAGAAATGTGGGAGCTGCACAGTTTCATCTTGTATAATATTTTGCACATGGCCAAGATAAACCATGTCCTGATACTGCACTGTTGGTCAGAGGAATGTGAGTATTCCGCCTCAATTAATTCTTTCTTTACATAATATCCATGGCTATCTGTACACTTAGCCCTGGCACACTTTGCACTCTTAGCCAACACGGAAAATGCCTTTACCCAATTCGAGGACCTCAACACGAAAATTCCACTTGAAGATCAGCTCCTGAGTCACAATGTCCGCAAGTTGGGCGTCTTCATGGACAGCAATTGTGTTCAAAGCGAGAGTATTTTACAAAAGGGCAAGTATTACATGATTTTTGTTTGCCAAATGGATTCATCTGATAGATTTATATGTATATCCTGTGGACAGGCCAGCGACAAGAAGCTCTTCAGCCAGCGATATCACTGGCTCATATACGACCGCTTGCCAGGTCTCTCCAGAATGGAGAGTCTCTTCCGGGAAGCCCAACTCTTTGTCGATGCTGATGTGACCTATGCCATAGCCGATGCCCAATCTCCCAGCAGAACCCTCTTCAATGTCACTCTCTACGATCTGCACAACAAGGGCAGACAGTTGGGCGGGAAGCTGAACGTCACAGTGGACCAGGAGATCGTTTGCCAGGGGCGCGAATGCCGCGTCCAGCGCTATCTGAGTGATCTTCATATGAGAGATCGACTGCAGCATCGAAAATCCCTAACTGGAATGATAATGCGAGCCACAGCAGCAGTGCGTAGATCTGCCAATATAGTTCGGATCATTAATTGATAATTATATATATATTCATCCAAAGGTCAACTCCTTGCCACTGAACACCTCGCAGGAGAAAATTCTCACGTTCATGGAAACCAGAGACCAGATACATCTCGATACATACGCCCGACTAGGCTACCAGTCGCGTCAGCCCCTCCGTGAGATGTTGGACTGCAGGTAAGGATTCGGATACAAAATTAAATTAATTAATTAAATTCATTTACTCAGGTTTGAGTATATCTTTCGTGATCGCTGGACAGGCGATGGAAATGTGACGGGCGGCATGATCGGTGATTTGATCACCGAGGCGGCTGATCTATCGATAGCTCCCTTCATCTACTCCTTCGACCGGGCTCTCTTCATAAAGCCCCTGACCAGATTCAGTATCTTTCGCGATGTGTGCATGTTCCGTAACCCCCGATCGATCTCCGCTGGCCTGAGTGCCACCGAGTTCCTGCAGCCCTTCAGCGCTGGTGTCTGGCTGACATTCGGCCTGCTGCTGATTGTGGCCGGATGCATGCTCTGGGCTACATTCCGCATGGAACGACTCAGCGAATGGAAGCCCTCGTTGCTGACCAGCTGCCTTTTCTCCTTTGGGGTCGGCTGCATACAGGGGGCCTGGATGACACCCCGCTCCACGGGCGGACGCATGGCCTTCTATGCCCTGATGCTGACCTCCTTTCTGATGTACAACTACTACACATCGATTGTGGTGTCCAAGCTACTGGGGCAGCCTGCCAAGTCGAGCATCCGCACACTGCAGCAGCTGGCGGACAGCAGCCTGGAGGTGGCCATAGAGCCGACACCCTACACGAAGGTCTACGTGACCACCTCCGATCAGCCGGACGTGCACAGTCTGTACGTGAATAAGGTGGCAGGCAGCAGGCAATCGCCCGATCGCATCTGGATGCCCACCGAGGCGGGTGTGAAGCGTGTGCGCGATAACGCGGGCTTCGTCTACATCGCCGGAGTGGCCACGGCCTACGAGTTTGTGCGGAAGCACTTTCTGCCCCATCAGATCTGTGAGCTGAACGAGATACCCCTGCGAGATGCCTCCAACACCCACAGCGTGGTGTTGAAGACCTGCCCCTATGCGGAGCTCTTCAGATTAAAGTAAGAACAGCCCGTGCCATTCCTAAGTGTATTCTATTTATGTATTTCCAGCGAACTGCGAATGCACGAGACGGGGATCCACTTCAAGCACGAACGCTACTGGATGCGTACCAAGCTGCATTGCTACCAGCATAATCACTCGGTGGCCGTGGGCCTGGAGTATGCCACCCCCCTGTTCATTCTGCTACTCGGATCGATTGTACTCTGTGTGGGTGTGCTGGGCCTGGAGCTGCTATGGCACAGGCACACCGCTCTCCTCCACTGAGGTGAGACAAGGCCAATACCAATTTATACTCTAGATATTTTCGCTGGCAAATTGGTGCAATTTGAAAACAAACAGCGACTGAATGTTGACAGGCAAATTGATTGAATGGCAGCGGGATTACCCCCTATAAAAGGAGCCGCCACTGGCCACCGGTCAGGCAGAGTGTCAAAGTCAACAATGCAGCTGCAGGTGCAATTGGCCAACTTTATAATGGACAGTCTAGTCCAGTCGCGCATCGGTTTCATTCTATTGTTCCATTGCTGGCAGCCAGATGAAAGTGCGGCAAGAAAATAAGCCACTCCAATTGAGAATATATCCCATAAATTGGCTGAATATATTCTCACTTTCGAAATGTTTATTTTAGAAATTTCTCTCCTTCGTTGCAGCTCGGGATTTCGCCCAGCAATTCATAAAACCCCTGCATCCGCACCTCATCTATCATCAGTTTCTGCAAATGCACGCCGTTCGGGACTGGAAGGATCTGGAGTTGCGTTTCTTGGACCATTTGCAGCCCACACTGGCCATATATGTGGACATGAAGTGTCACAAGGCAGCAGGATTGCTGGAGGAGGTAACAAATCACCGTGAACTGGATGAATCTGATCTCAATTCTCAATGCAGGCCAGTCGTGAGCAGCTGTACAATCAACATTACCATTGGCTGCTTCATGGCAACCTTTCCGAGTTGGATTTCTATAATTTCTTTGCCCCCTTCAACATTTCCATCGATGCCGATGTCAGCTACGTGAAGGAGGAGCCTGAATACTCGGATAACAATGCCTCTGTGGTCTACGCCAGCTTCGATGTCTACAGCAATGGCAGAATCATTGGCGGCCAGCTGAATATGACGGCCAACTATGCCACCGGCTGTGACCTGAGTGGCTGTGAGAGGATACGATACCTGAGCACGTTGCATCTGCGTCCCAAGTACCGCAATCGGGAGCAGCTCACGGATGTGTTGCTCAGAGGTAGAAAGTCCCCACTTCAAGGATCCTATGATTCTGATGCTCTGTCTCTTGCAGTGGCTACGGTGGTGACCCAGCGTCCGCTCTCCTTGTCGGACGATGAACTGGTTCTGTTTCTGAGTCAGGAGAACGACACGCACATCGACTCGCTGGCGCGATTCGGCTTCCATTTGACTCTGATCCTTAGGGATCTGCTGCACTGCCGCATGAAGTTCATTTTCTCGGACAGCTGGAGCAAATCGGATGTGGTGGGCGGTGCTGTGGGCGCTGTGGTCGACCAGACGGCAGACATAACAGCCACACCCTCGCTGGCAACGGAGGGGCGGCTCAAGTATCTGTCGGCCATCATTGAGACGGGCTTCTTCCGTTCGGTGTGCATCTTCCGCACGCCGCACAACGCGGGCCTACGTGGAGATGTGTTCCTGCAGCCGTTCAGTCCGCTCGTGTGGTATCTATTCGCTGGAGTGCTCTCCCTGATTGGACTCCTGCTCTGGGTGGCCTTCCACATGGAGTGCAAGCGAATGCCTCGGCGCTGGCAGCCACTCGACTACCTACCCTCGCTGCTGAGCACCTTTCTGATCAGCTTTGGGGCCGCCTGCATCCAGAGTTCGGTGCTGATACCACGCTCCAATGGCGGCCGGCTGATCTACTTTGCCCTCTTCCTGATCAGCTTCATCATGTACAACTACTACACATCTGTGGTGGTGTCCTCGCTGCTCAGTTCGCCGGTCAAGTCCAAGATCAGGACCATGCAGCAGCTGGCCGAGAGTCAGCTGACAGTGGGCCTGGAGCCATTGCCCTTTACCAAGGCCTATCTGAATGTGAGTTTGCATCGCTTTACATCACCCCCTCCCTATCCCAGAATCTCTTTTCCTGGCAGTACTCCAGACGATCCGACATTAAGCTATTCATCAAGCGCAAGATGGAATTGCAGTCGAAGAGCCCCGATCTGTGGTTGCCCGCCGAGGAGGGAGTGCTTCGGGTGAGAGACAATCCCGGCTATGTCTATGTCTTTGAGACATCCTCGGGATATGCCTATGTGGAGCGCTTCTTTACGGCCCAGGAGATCTGTGACCTCAATGAGATATTGTTCCGACCCGAACAATTGTTCTACACGCATCTGCATCGCAACTCCACCTACAAGGAGCTCTTTCGCCTAAGGTGAGTCCTCAGAGTCCTTCAATATAAGTATGGGTCCTGCATGGTATGCCCTTTAGATTTTTGCGTGTCTTGGAAACGGGCGTCTATCGAAAGCAGCGCAGCTACTGGGTCCACATGAAGCTCCATTGCGTGGCCCAGAACTTTGTTATTACCGTGGGCATGGAGTACTTTGGCCCACTGCTACTCATGCTGATCTTCGGCTACATACTGGTCGTGTTTATCCTCCTGCTGGAACTCGCTTGGCAACGCTATCTCAACCGGACCAAGCGACTCACTCTTTAAAATCCCCTTTAAGCTGTTATTCAGAACCACGACCCACGGCACACGGCACACGGCACACGGCACCTAGAGCCCACAATACAAAAATAAAAACACTTTGGATTTAACTTTTCGCCACGTCCGACGACTGTAAAATTATGCAGGGTGCAGGGGGTTTGCAGGTTGGGTGAACGCTTTTCCACGCTTCCTGTTTCCCTGCCCGAAAAACTGTCGCACGCCTCGTTGAAGGAAAGGAAGGAAGGAAGGATGCTGAGAACGGGGGCAAAGGACGTGGTGGCTATGTTTTCATGCGATTTTCGTATTTGCATTAAAAAAGTTTTCGTGTTTGGCGGTTACATTTTATTTTTCATTTTCACTTTTTGCAATGATTTTATTCAATTTCAGCTTACCTCGTACTCCTTCTCCTCCACCTCCATCGCCTTTTATTTGCATTTTTATGCGCTTTGAATGGAAAACTTTATCCGCGTTGTGTGGGCCTAGCAGATAAAGAGATAGTGAGGCCTATTAGGCTGCAGTTAACTAATAAGTTTCACCACTTATATTTCCCATACCACCGTCAGAGTAAGTTTCGCAGTAAATCAATCATATTTCGCCCAGACCATGATTTATGTCGATTTAATGAAGTTGCCCCGCGGCAGAGAGCAGACATTTTATGGGAACGTTGGGGGCGGACAGCAAAGGCTTTGTCGGATTTGATTGCAGCATAAAGAAAAATGCGGCAAGTGGGAAAGACACGCCCATCTCGTAGTAATAAATTTGTGGGCGGGGGCTTTAAAGAATGGAAATAAAATAAATAACCATCAAGGTTTCCGTTCTCCACAAATAACGTTTCAAAAAGTCAAACAGAGTGTCCTTAACAGATATTACAAATAAGGGATATGATATATATTTCTGATCTACATTTTAATATCTTTCGTTCGGTATACATATCATATTTAGGGACATATGCGCTAATACATAATTCTCAAAATTATAAATCAAAATCCTTTTGCGAGCAAAAACACTTTCTCCACTGCCTTGTCGCATTCAAAATTGCAACTGGCAAACGCAAAAGACGGCACTACGCCAGACCAGAATTCTCTTCGTTTAACTATAATAAATTGCCTTGACAATTTGTCAACTCAATCTTGTTGTCTACAGGCCATCACTTGGGCCCACTTGCTTAATCCCTTAAGGAGCACAGTCCTCTCCCTTCCATCCCAGGAGGGGACAACTTTACAGTGTCAGTGGAAATTGACAGGCAATTGTGAATTATTTACAACATTGAACAGAGTTTTCCGCTTCCCTACCCCGCAGGCACACTCTGCTGTCATTAATCCATTTTATTTTGCAATTTGTCAGCAACATGTTTTAACTTGATTTTTTTTCTATTTGTAACACATATGTATGTATGTTTGGCTCGGAGGGGTTTAAAAAAAAAAGAAAAAAAAGCATTCCCTGCTTTGCGGCTGCTGTGTGAAATTGGTTTTAGTGGTTTCTGTACGTGCTAAATGAGCGCGAAACGGATTCGAACTACCACATGGGGAGGATGGGTGAAAGGAAATAAACCTCAATGAATTTATTACTGGGGAAACTCTCAACTACATATAGTATGTATGGATATGTATTGCAATAAATAGATTTAACTATTCGCAGGGGAAGGGAAAGCTTTTGCTGCTCTCTCATCATCAGCGCCCTGATTGTCAGTTCTCATGTCAGCTCATGGCTCCGTTGCTGCCATAATGCCATGCAGTTGACTGATATCTTAAGATTTATATGGCCCAATGCTGGGCACATCTTATCTGTAATTTAATCTGTGGCCCCCACTTAACGATAATGACACTGTCGATGGCTGGCGCTGTGGCTAACCGGCTCTGTTCTAGTAGCTTTGTGCTCGACATGTCCTCAGTTGGATTCCATTCCTCGAGCTGGCGGATTGGGTAGCAGACGGAAGTACCCGTACTCTCAACTCGAAAGTGTGCGTATCCATAAGGTTGTTGTTGTTGTTTTTGGGGGATTCTTTACAGCACTTCACCTCGGATTTATCGCATCGAAAGTGTCGCGTCGAAGTGTTTGTCTTTGACGGGTGTGTGTGTGCTTACGTGTGTCTTAAATTAGCCAACATTTCCAGTTAATCGTGTTGCCGAACTTCAACTCAATGTTGTTTGCATAACTGAACAGTGTTCGTTCTGTATTTACAGCGTGGGTTAAATAACCTTAAGAAATGTTACAAATACATAATATTGAAAAACATTGCTAGCAAGGTTATTTATTCGTAGCTGGTTTGTAGATCGGTCCAAATATATCCTTAATAATATATTTTAAATTATATCTGCTATCTCTTCTTTCTTATATAAACTCTGTACATCTCAGGCCTGTCCCTCGTTTGCAGGTGTTCTTTTCATTGCGTTTATCCCACATTACGCATACGCCACGTGCCCTCCCCCGAAAAAACAACAAAGCAGCACAGAACGCAAAAAAAAGTATTGTTGCTGTTCATATTTAGGGGCCAGAACAAAAGCCCTGAAAGAGCTCAGAACAAACGGCAGCACGAGTATTACTGGCCATACAAATTGCCTAACCAACAACAACGAAATGCAATTAACATTCGGTTTAACTGTTCATTAACGGCAAGCAGCCGCCAACAACAAACAATGAAATATTTGAATTAGAGAACGAAAAATTCTCCGAAGTTTGGAATACCTTAATACCGGCCTTTCTGCCTATAAGAATTAGCTAAGATGTCGAACTATCCGGTTCAATAATTGGCACCATTTTTGATTGCCTTATTGATTATCTTTAGCTAAAACTTTCAAACGAAAATCCAACTTTCCAATCGCTCTGTATCAATCTAATCGCATGGAAAGACCTAGGTATACTTTATCTTTACTCGTGCTAGAAACAATCGTTGACTCTTGGCTGGGAACCTATTCTATTGAGATTATCAATTGTCAACGAAATGCTCACATGCTTCAGAAATCTTATCATAAGTGCTGGAAAAAGTTCCCGTTCCCGTAGAAACACCTCTGATGTAGGATGCCTCTCCATCTAATCGAACATCTAATCGAAGTGTGTATACCCTTGAAGAGGGTATTACCAGAGCAGGGGAGACATTTGCCAAGCAGAAAACGTGACGTTCGCTGACCGGCCTCAACTCTCTGCGGCTTCCACGAACGGAACCGAATCGAAACAAATCGAATCGTACAATTACTATATCTATAGACATAATCCCACTGATCGGCACTTTGGCACTCGGCACTTGTTGCACTGCTGCTAGCTGTTATTCCTATTGTCGTCTGTGGGTATTCTATTCTGCTTTTTATGCTGCCGCTGGCAACTCGCGTGATACCTCGCACTTTCGGTCTTTGACGTCCATCATTGTGGCTGGGTGTCGTCGTCGATTGCAGTTTATTGTTGGGGATTGGATTCGCGTTGAGTGTTGGGGAGGGCTCATTCAGGTTCAGTCGCTCAGTGAACGCCCCAACGCGCGAAACGTCGTCGTTGTCGTTGTCGTCGTACCGCCGACACGTCGCTATCCAAAGTTCTAGCCAATTGTTCTCCAAGTGTTGGCAAAATAGTGCAAGCAAAAAAGGAAGTGAGTGCAACACTCGAACGTGCTCTTACAAAAACCAACAACATTTACCAAAGGTTTGCCTTTCAACCAAAATTATATGAGTAGAAGAAATGTTGCAGGTTTTTAAAGTGGAGATTTTGTTACATTTATGGTTAAGAAATATGAGCTTCAAAAATCTAGAAAAGTGATTTCAGGATTAAAATGTTAAGACAATTTTATATAATCAAATCAACTCCAAGTGTTAAGCAAAGAATAATGTCTAAAAAATCCCTTAACAATAATAGTCGAGCAGACATGATCCGACGGCCCGCATAATTCTTTCCCCTAATCAACTTTTAACAGAATGTTTAAAAATCGAATCTAAATGCCTCAAGGATTTCTTTCGAAAATAGGCAAAAGCCCAGACAAAAGTGAATGACACGACCAAGTGCTGTGCCATTGCCTTTACATTATTGCATGTACATATAGACGATTTAAATCCAAGGTAAATGCTGCTGCTGCTGGTTTGGGGACTTCTTCTATCATCAGTTTACTTTCGATATTTCGAAACGTATGTATTTCGGTGGTGGTGTCGAATTGAACTTTTTGTGGATACTAAGCAAATGCAATGGGATAGCGGCGGATACCGAAGTGGGTCAACAACATTGTAACTGCGCAAATGGATCGAGTACGAGTACCGAGTCCCTCAAACCCATCGATGCGTCACTTTCAAGCATATAAATATAACCCTAAGTAACTTTAGAGAACCTTTAGCATTGCAGTTGCTGACTTGGCAAACCCATTGAATTGATATTTGTTTAATTATTTATTTGCCAGTTGGCTTGTTCTTGTTCCCACACCACACCATTAGCCAACCGGCACTTTGCTGCTAATTTGATTATATTTAATTTGTAATTTTTTTAAGCTAATCCACTCGTAAAACAGGTGCAAGGTCAACTCAAATGATCTGTGCAAATTATAGCTGTCAGGCAGAGGACAGGGCGTTGATGGAGTTCGTTTAGATAAAATGGGGCTACATACATATATATATATGTATTTGTTAGATAGAATATATATGCTGGGCACGAATGAGGATGTGTTTGAGTTGCAGAGAGAATGGTTTCCTCATGGCTTCCGGTTGTATATCCCTTGCTTCCCCCTCCATCGATAAGGCGACAGTCACAAGTTCTGTCGGATGTAAACAAATCAATCGAATTGCACTTTGTACACACATAAATCGTTGCCAAATAAGCTGATGATCTATATATATTATATAGTATACGTACATATATCCGGTGGTGACCCACTCAGTTCATTTCCCCCTCTATGGTTTGTGCAATCTGTTACCAAACCGTGCAATCTGTAGAGCAACTAAAACATCTATCTATCCGAGCAGTTCTTATTCCAATGGCAGTTTCATTCCCTTCATTTTGACTATTTAATTTTGTGTTCCGTTTCTCAGAGTTCTTAGAATCATTATAAAATAATTTAATAAGTATTGATAGATATTATATATTGTACATATAAAGATCTGAAACTGCAGTTGTTTACACATTTTGATAAAGGAAATCATATGACCTAGTAGAACAGTTGCTTCATTCCACCTTCAATGCTACTCATGTATGTAGATATATTTTATTATTATTTGTTGCACGTATTTTTCGAGAAAACTTCAATGAACTTTTTTACGTACTTCCCCAAATGCCAATTGTGTTCGTTCAAGTTCAAGGTACCACCGACAGACATGCACAGCTTAACAAATTAAACAATCTGTTTAAATTCGGCTCAAGAAAATATTAAGACATAGTAAACGAACAACGAACCCCCAACGAAAGAGTCGCTGTAGTTCGCAAAGAGCGAACTCAAAAGAGCTACAAAATCTCTTTCAAAGAGAAATAAGTTTAGCAGTGGAGCACAGAAAGAGAAACAGCAAGAAATAATCATACAATAACTGTTCATGCACTGAGGAAAAACGGCAATAATAATTCAGTTTTTCAACTTTAATACTTGAACAAAGTTTCCCAAATATAGATAAGAAAATGTAATTGAAATTAATTGAAATTGATTTTAATATTATTAGATCGATTTCGAGAGCTACACTGTATTTTTTTCTCAGTGCTGTTCAGTTCAATTAAGTTCAAAGCGTTTCCGTGACATGATAAAATGCAATAGTAGACACCGCACTGAGGGAAACCAATTAAGATGCAGCGACAGGTGGCACGGACCCACAATGCTTTCCAATTTCCCATGGAATAAAGTCTACAATAAATATTTCTATTATTAATTATATTCCTTCTTGTATAGTTTGCCTGCCCGTTATGACGACCAGCAAACAGCAAGAGGCCGAGGCGGCCGAGCACGATCCCCAGGTTGTGGTCGCACCTGCAGGTGGCCCCCACAGCCCTCGAAAGGATCGTGGCCTTTGGCGGGACCTGACATCCTACTGGATGCTTGGCTTATGCAACAACTACGGCTATGTGGTGATGTTGAGTGCGGCCCACGACATTATCAAGCAGTTCAATCCGGTAGGCAGAGATACGGGTGGGGGATTTCCATGAAGTCAGACTAATAATTTCCCTGTGATCCCCTGCGCCCAGGCCGATGACGATGAATCGAGCGCCACGGGCAGGAACTGCCACTTGGTGTCCACCGGTGCCATTCTGCTGGCTGATGTGCTGCCATCGCTGTTTGTCAAGATCCTGATGCCCTTCTTTCCCTTCTGGGTGAAGTGAGTAGATCTACATACGTGTATATGTGGCCTTTGCCTAATCTCAAACGGATTTCCCTTGCAGCATACGCATAGCCATTGCGGTGGCCTGCTCGGCAGCGGGCTTCCTGCTCGTTGGATTCGCCCACGCCGAGTGGATGGCCCTGCTGGGAGTCATCATCACGTCGGCCAGCAGCGGTATTGGAGAGACTACCTTCCTGGCATACTCTTCGCGATATAACAAGTGAGTGCGAACCATTCGTCTGATCCTTAGTTTATCCTCTGAAATGATCCTTTAAATCTCTTTCAGGAATGTCATATCCACCTGGTCGTCGGGCACTGGAGGCGCCGGCGTCATTGGTTCGCTGAGCTATGCCACACTGAGAGATCTCGATGTTAGCCCCCGCAACACCATGCTGATCATGCTGGTCTTTCCGGCCATTGAGGCCTTCGCCTTCTGGCTGCTCCTGCGTCGTCCACAGGTGGACATTCTGCCTGTGACCACCGTGGAGTCCACCGAGGTGCTGATCAGCGACGACAAGCCACTGGTTGGATTCAAGGAGAAGCTCTCTTACATCAGACATCTGTTTAAGTATATGATCCCCTTGTGCCTCGTCTACTTTTTTGAGTACTTCATCAACCAGGGATTGGTGAGTGGCGAATACCTAGAGAGACGTTGGAGAGATCTTCTTAATGCTGATGCTTTTCCTTTGCAGTTTGAATTGGTTTATTTCGAGAACATCTTCCTGGACAAGGACTCTCAGTACCGCTGGCTGAATGTGGACTATCAGATCGGTGTCTTCATCTCGCGCTCCTCGGTCAACATCTTCCAGCTGAACAAGATCTGGCTAATGTCCGTTTTCCAGTTCGTCAATGTCATCTACTTCCTCACCGAGGTCATCTGGTGGTACACGCCCAGCATATGGATTGTCTTCGTTATCGTCCTGTGGGAGGGACTGCTGGGTGGTGGCGCCTACGTGAACACCTTCTATCGCATGTCCAAGGAAATATCACCGGAGCGGCAGCAGTTCGCCATGGCCATGGTGGTGCAGTCCGACTCCTATGGCATTGCTCTGGCCGGCTTCCTGGCCATTCCCGTACACAATGCCATCTGCGGTCTGCCGGCTGCGGTGCGAAACGTTGTCTGGTGATCAATCAGCTACGAAGGAAGCGCATCTGGGATCAGATTATGCCTTTAATGTGTCTGTCTGTCTAGCTAATGAGTGTGTGACTCCTTATAGTATTATTAACTCTGTGTGACTGCAACCAAGCTGGCACTTTGGCCTGCTAGTGCTAGGTAGATGTTATGTAGTTATGTAGCCTCTGTTCAATTACTCTCTAAGCTTTAATTTAATAAATTGTTTGACTTTTAGTAGCAATTCAGTATCAGATTAATGTGTATACTACAAAAATACATACGAGCATGTGAAATAAAATGTATATGCCCGAATTCATCTTGGAAAACCGCCTTGATCTGTCTAGTCTTGGCTACAGTTTACCCAACAGAAGCCAATCAAAATCAGCTTAAAATGTCTTTCACTTACAGCTGTTGTCGTTGCTGAACATTTATTTATTACATACTCAATCAACTTTGTCAGTGGCTGCTAATTTGGACGAACACCTCGCAACTTAAACAAACTGAAACTGAAACATATACGAAGATCAAAACTGAAACTGAAATCGAGCCGAGTCGAGTCGAGCCAAGATATTACGTGAAACCTCTGTCCCGCCGTCAGTTGCTTGGCAGCTGTCGTACATAGCGGTACGCAGCACGCGATTAAAATTAGTTCATCAGTTCGGAAATTAAGTAACACACAATGCGAAGCTTATCAGCGTTTCTATTACTTTTACTCTGCCTTCAACGGGTGAAGACAAATGAGACACCAGCAGCAGCAACAACAGCAGCAGCAGCAGGGCGTCCCAATATAATCATTATATTGGCCGATGACATGGTAGAACAAGTTTCTATGACATAAATCAGCGAATTTTCAAAACAAACCAAAATTTTGAATATATTGCAGGGCTTCGATGATGTCAGCTTTCGCGGTAGTCGGGAGTTTCTAACACCCAATATCGATGCCCTAGCCTACCATGGACGGATTCTGGACCGCCTGTATGCGCCGGCCATGTGTACGCCATCTCGTGGAGCTCTACTCAGCGGTCGCTATCCAATACACACAGGTAATCTCTGCAGTCTCTGATAACAGATGTGTTCACGTATCAATCAATTTATGCTACAGGCACTCAACACTTTGTAATTAGCAATGAGGAACCCTGGGGACTGACTCTGAATGCAACCTTGATGCCGGAGATCTTTCAGCAGGCCGGTTACTCCACCAACCTGATAGGCAAATGGCATTTGGGCTTCTCCCGTCCGGAGTATACGCCTACTCGGCGTGGATTTGACTATCACTATGGCTACTGGGGCGCCTACATAGACTACTATCAGCGGCGCTCGAAGATGCCCGCAGGCAATTACACTATCGGCTATGACTTTCGTCGGAACATGGAGCTGGAGTGCAGGGATCGTGGCGTATATGTCACAGATTTGCTGACCAACGAGGCGGAGCGTGTGATAAGGGAGCGGGAGGGACAGGAGCGCCCTCTGTTCCTGGTACTCAGCCATCTGGCCACCCACACCGCAAATGAAGATGATCCCTTGCAGGCACCTGAGGAGGAGATTCGAAAGTTTGCTTACATTAAGGATCCCAACAGAAGGAAGTATGCAGGTTGGTCAGATTGTATTTACCCTTAAACGGTCATGCTGATTAACCGATCCCTTGCAGCCATGGTCTCCAAGCTGGACCAGAGTGTGGGGCGCATTGTCACAGCATTGAACAGCACGGGTCAGCTGGAGAACAGCATTGTGATCTTCTACTCCGACAACGGCGCTCCGTCGGTGGGCATGTTTGCCAATACCGGCTCTAACTGGCCGCTCCGAGGCCAAAAGAACACTCCCTGGGAGGGGGGAATACGCGTAGCTGGTGCCATTTGGAGCGCACAGCTGCAGGCACGCGGCAATATGTTCACCCAGCCCATTTATGTGGCGGATTGGCTACCTTCGCTGGCTAGTGCCGCCGGCATCGAGCTGCCGCACACCCTCAAGCTGGATGGCATAGACTTGTGGCCGCAGTTGGCAGGACCTGTGGATGCACCGCATGTGCCGCGTGAAATTCTGCACATTCTGGACGATGAGTGGCGGGTCACTTCGTTCCTAATGGGACACTGGAAGTACATAAGTGGCACCACTTCGGCGGGGCAGTACGATCAAGTGCTCACCTACCGCGAACTGGATGACCTGGATCCTCGCGAGAGCCGCTATGTGGTGGAGGTACGCAATTCACCCACATCGCGCGTCCTGGCACGCCACGATATCCGACGCATGACACAGCAGCGGGTGATGTCCTTGCGGAGGTCGGCCGCCGTCCGCTGTGGAGATCTTCAACGTGGATGCAATCCTTTGGTGGAGGAGTGTGTGTTCGATATCTGGGCCGATCCGTGTGAGAAAAACAATTTGGCGTATTCTGAGAGGCACTCGGAGGTTTTGTCTGCGTTGCGGCAGCGCGTCAAACTGCTGCGCGAAGGAGCGTCGGCGCCAGGAAATCGGCAAGGCATTAGAAAATCTGATCCCACGTTGCATAAATGCACATGGGATGCATTTGAAGTCGCGAAACCTGGATTGGGTGAGCTTGACCTGCTGCAATTGTTGTTGTTATTGTTTTATTTATTTAATTAATTTTCGTAGTGCCCGTGGAATGCGATTACCGTGGAAGTCCCTGTGAATAACCGTTAACTGCTGTCGGTTCGATTGCGATAGTATCGGGTTAACCCAGTCTGAGTCTGGCAGCACTGTCCCTTTTTAAACATCCTTTAAAAGATTAATAACTTAAGAAAATCATTCATTTGAACATACTCGTAAATATTCTAAATTATATTAAATTAAGCTTAAGCTTTCCATATGCGCACATTCAAAAGAGGCGCCCAAACAGCTGACAGCCTGTCAACACACTCACCCACACACATGCACTCACTTGTGTGTGTGTACATAAATTTCCTTCAAGCAAAAAATGGGGTTGTTGTTGGGCGTCGGAACCACCACAAAGCCGGAGAATCACACGACGTCAGACAGACAACTAAACAAAAGCCATGGAGGAGCGTGCTGTTTTGGCCAATATTGCTTCCATAATAACTAAGGATCTGTTGATTGATCAGCCACCCAGGGGCGATGGCCAAACAGAGATTTCATCGAATAGTTACCCCCTTCTGGCGGCCAGTGATGACGACGAGGCAGAGATTTTTGCATTAATGCAGCAAAAACGTGCTTCGTCCTCAGATCTGAAGCGCAGAGAGACGACGGAACCGGCGGAGCCACAGACACCCCAAAAAGTTGCCAAATTGGAATGGACATATGGGGATCTAAATCTGCTCCATCGCTATGTGGACGCTCAATTCGAGTCCTATTTGCATATGCGCAAGGTATCGTTTCTGGTGAGTCGGAGAAAACACCCCCTGCCCCTGGCAATGTCATTCAATTACACCCACCCACTATTTGCAGAGAATTCAACAAGCATTGGCGGACATACTGCAGGAAATTACGCTGCCAGGGTACCCGAGCCCGCCACCGCAAACAGTGGTCTCGCTGGCCATGTGGAAGCTTGCCACCGACGAGCACTTCGAGGAGATTTCCAGAAAGTATCAGCTACCGTGGGCACTCTGTCAACAGGTAGTGCGTAGCTTCTGGAACGTTATATCTGACAACTATGAGAGCTTCATCAAGTGGCCCAACTCCCTGGCGGCACAGCAGAGCACACTGCAGGGCTATCAAAGCCTGCCGCAGCTCAAGTGCTTCAAAGAGCTGTTCGGCATCATAACGTTGAAGCGCCTGGATGTCTTCCTAGAGTCGGAGCATGCCGAGGTTCCCGTTGTCCTGCAACTCATCTGCAATGCCGAAAAAAAGATCATCGATTGCTATGTGGAACTGGCCCACGAGTACACATTCGAGGAGTCGCCAATTGGCCAAACACTTGCGTTGAACCCCAGGACAATGCCAGCAGGCAGCTACCTCATTGGCAACAGTGTCTTTCCGCTCAAATCGTATTTGATGCGACCCATCGAGTCGGAATGCTTTCGCAAGGATGCGGTTTTCAACGATCTGCTAAAGCCCGCCTTCCAGCTGGCCGAGGAGGTCCTCGACGCATTGGCTCGTCGTTTCAACACTCTGTACGCCCTGGAGGCGCGGGATCTCAACGAAGTGCGACTCATTATGGAGAGCATTTGTGCCATGCATAATCTCATCAACGATGATTACCTGGACCAGTTGGCGGTTTCTGAAGGGCAGACCCATTTCACCTGGGGCGGCATAGTGGATGACATTAAAGGGAGTGAGAGTAACACTAAAGGTCTGCGACGGCGTGTGGACCTCATGGATGAGTTAGTGTCCATGGAGCCGGGGGATTAGGCATATAAAATTAATTTAAGAATTAAATTTGATGTCGTCTAACAGCTGTTCAATTTTTCAACCATCGATAATATCGATAGCGGTATCGGTTTGTTTCCCAGCCCTAATGTACGGCAACTCTGGTCTGCGGCAAAACAAATGCACGTGCGACGAAATAATTAGCAACAAAAATGGACGAGCACGACATATTTAAACTATTAACGGCGGGAGTACGGTTTACCAAGAAGCCAAAGGTGTGTAGAACGTGTGTAGATATAAAGCAGCACGTATAGTTTAACATTCACCCTTACAGAACCCTACCAAGCCAAGCGCAACTGTTGTCAGTTCTAAGGCTGAGCCGGAGCAGCAGCCGCAACAAGTTAAAAAGGCAGAGGATGAATCGGAAAACACAGAATTTCGGCTACTCGGAGATGCAGCCGGTGTAGCTACACCCAAGCGCAAAAAGGCCAAGGATCAGAAAAAACTCTCAGCAGAACAGCAGGAACAGCAAAGGATCACGGATCAGGCGAATGCAACAAGGAAACAGCACAGCATAACAGCGCTGGGCAAGAACATTCCAGCGCCCGTGTTAAGCTTTGATGAGCTGATTAGGGATTACAAGCTACTGCCGCGCCTGCAGCAGAACGTACTCTCGTACGGCTTCTCCCAGCCCACGCCCATCCAAATGCAAGCACTACCGGTGCTGTGCCAGAAACGGGCTCTAATGGCCTGTGCACCCACGGGTTCTGGAAAGACATTGGCCTTTCTCACCCCCATTATCAATGGCCTGCGCTCCCATAAGACGTCCGGGCTGAGGGCATTGGTCTTGGCCCCAACGCGCGAGCTAGCGCAGCAAATCTACCGCGAGTGCTCGGAGCTGACGAGGGAGACGGGTCTGCGCACACATTTCATCAGTAAAGTAAGCGAAGCCAAGCAAAAGCATGGCGCAGAGTGCAAGCAGAAGTATGATATCCTCATCTCCACCCCGAATCGGGTGAGGTTCTTGCTGCAGCAGCAACCGCCTTTGCTGGACCTCAAGGGCGTCGAGTGGTTTGTGCTGGACGAGGCGGATCGACTGATGGAGGAGGGTCAGAACAACTTTAAGGAGCAACTGGATGACATCTACGCGGCCTGCTCGCATCCCCAGAAGTGCGTAGCCTTCTTCAGTGCTACATACACGGTACCAGTGGCCAAGTGGGCGTTGCGGCATCTCAAGAACCTGGTGCGCATCACAATCGGTGTGCAGAACAGCGCCACGGATACAGTCCAACAGGAACTGCTATTCGTTGGATCCGAGAGTGGCAAGCTGGTGGCAATGAGAGATCTGGTGCGCCAAGGCCTTCAGCCGCCTGTTCTTGTCTTTGTCCAGAGCAAAGACCGTGCAAAGCAGCTGTTTGAAGAGCTGCTCTATGACGGCATCAACGTGGACGTGATTCACGCCGAGCGTTCCCAGCATCAACGTGATAACTGCGTGCGCGCCTTCCGGGAGGGAAACATTTGGGTACTGATTTGCACGGAGCTCATGGGTCGCGGCATTGACTTCAAGGGCGTTAATCTGGTGATAAATTACGATTTCCCTCCCACGACCATCTCGTACATTCATCGCATTGGACGCACAGGTCGTGCCGGCCGTCCAGGCCGTGCCATTACCTTCTTCACCCAGGATGATACGGCCAATTTGAGAAGGTAACTCGAAGCTGATGCTGCAAGTCGCACTTTTATTTAATATTTTTCTTTCTCTCAGCATTGCCTTGATCATTAAGAACTCGGGCGGTTCTGTGCCGGAATACATGCTGCAAATGAAGAAAGTTCGCAAGTCGGAGGCCAAAATGCGTGCCAAGAAGCCACTGGATCGCGAGGATATATCCACAAGGATACGACCAGAGGCTAAGGCAGAGACGACGACCCAGAAATCTGCAAAGCAGCAGAAACTTCAGAAAACGGAAAAGTTTCTCAAAAAGCACGAGGGCAGGGAAAAGGCTACCAAAACGACACCCAAAACTGAAAATGGTCTGCAAAAACTCAAGAATAAGGCTATTGAGCCAAAACTGAAAAAGCTGAAAAAAATTAAAACAAATTTAAAAGCCTAGAAAGTCAAAAATAAAAGGCGTAAAAGTATGTTTACATTAATTTCAAAAATAATTTAAGAAAATATAATTTCAAAAATAGCGCAAAATTCTTGTATGTGCTGACAGCTGATGGCATCGGTGTTGGGAAAGACCGTGGCTATCGATATATTTGTTATCGACTCTTGTATTTCTTTTACGTCCGACACGTCAGAATATTTAATTTTATTCAATTATTTGCACAGTTGTCGAATCAGAACAACAGAAACACCCAGGCACGCGCTCAGTAACCAGAAGTTGCAGCCATGAAGTGCAAGCAAGCACACAATCAGACCTTGCTGGGCTTGGCTTTGATTGTTGCCATCGCGATTTCGACGGTGACAACTTTGCCCGTGACGCAAAACAAAAAAGCGGACCCCAAGGAGGCTGAATCCAGCAGCACCCCCGCCACAGCTGACGTGGAGACGGCTCTGGAGTATGAGCGCTATCTAAGGGAAGTGGTCGAGGCTCTGGAAGCTGATCCCGAGTTCCGCCAGAAGTTGGACAAGGCCCCCGAGGCAGACATACGTGTAAGTGTGTAGGCGTATTTCCCCATCTGTTATGGAGCTAACCAAGGTCTTCTGTTTTTGTAGAGTGGCAAAATAGCTCAAGAGCTGGACTATGTGAATCATCATGTGAGAACCAAGCTTGACGAAATAAAGCGACGAGAGTTGGAGCGTTTGCGCGAGCTGGCCAATCAGGCCTATGAGCTGAAGAACGACATCGATCGAAAGCATCTGAAGGTGCCTCTGCATTTGGATCACGACAATGAGCACACTTTCGAGATAGAGGACTTGAAAAAGTTGATTCAGAAAACGTCGGATGATTTGGCCGAGGCGGATCGCAAGCGTCGTGGGGATTTCAAGGAGTACGAAATGCAAAAGGAGTTCGAGCGCGAGGCTCAGAAGAAGGAAATGGACGAGGCGTCGCGCAAGAAGTTCGAAGCGGAGCTCAAACAAAAGGAGGAGAAGCACAAGGAGCATGGCAAACTGCACCATCCTGGCAACAAGGCTCAACTGGAAGAGGTGTGGGAGAAGCAGGATCACATGGACAAGAATGACTTCGAGCCGAAGACCTTCTTCTCCATCCACGACGTGGACAGCAACGGCTTCTGGGACGAGGCCGAAGTGAAGGCCCTGTTTGTCAAGGAGCTGGACAAGGTCTATCAAAGTGATTTGCCCGAGGACGATATGCGCGAAAGGGCTGAGGAAATGGAGCGCATGCGTGAGCACTACTTCCAGGAGACGGACACAAATCACGATGGCCTGATCAGCATCGAGGAGTTCATGATGCAAACAACAAAGGACGAGTTCCAGAAGGACCCCGAATGGGAGACCATCGACAAACAGCCGCAATACACTCACGAGGAGTATCTGGAGTATGAACGCCGCCGCCAGGAGGAAGTGCAACGAATGATTGCCCAGGGACAACTGCCACCCCATCCAAATATGCCTCAAGGCTACTACGCAGCGCCGCCACCCGGTGGTGTGGCCTACCATGAAGCGCCGCCGGGTGCTCAGCTCCACTACCAGCAGGCAGAACAACAGCACACGCAGCAGCAGCAACAATATGCCCAGCAGCAGCAGCAATACGCGCAGCAGTACCAACAGCAGCAATACGGCAACGGACAACCCGTCCAACTACACCCCAATCAGGTCTATCAGCATGCCGGACAAATCCCACAGCAGCAGCCACAGCCTGTCTATCAGCAGCCACAGCCTGTGCAACAACAGCAGCAGCCCGTCTATCAGCAGCCACAGCCTGTACAACAGCAACAGCAGCCTGTGCAACAGCAACAGCAGCAGCAGCCCCGTACAGCATCAGCAACCGCAGCCCGTTCCACAGCAGCAGCCCGTGCAATATCAGCAACAGCAACCTGTTCCACAGCAGCAGCAGCCAGTGCAACAGCAACCCATCCATCAACAACAGCAGTCCGGAAACCAGCAACCTGTACAACAACAACAGCAGCAGCAGCCCGTTCAACAGCAACTGCCCCAAGCCCAGCAATTGAATAATCAAAACCCACCGCCTGTGCAAAATCAGCAGCTTCCGGTACAGCAGCAACAGAAAGAACATCAGCAAAATCAACAGATACCACAGCAGCAACACTAAGCATTCCTTTCGATGTCGCATTTGGTATGGAGAACGTGTAGAAATCTTATTAAATTTTTGGTTGATTCTGAGACCAATGATTGGACTGAAATAGCAAACACAAAACAATATCTCACTACGATTATATGGCAAGAAACAAAAGAATAACCGAATGTCGAATCGGCTGCCACATTGTCTTTCCATTTTACTAGTACATCTTTCTTTTTTATACTCTTTCTTCTTCTCCTGTCCCTCTGCATTATGCGAAGTTTTTTTAACGAATTTTTTTGTACATATTACTATTTATATAATATGAGTTTTTATAGCAGAGAAATAAATAAATGATTGGGTCAGACCACGAAAGAAAACTTTACAAACGATTCAAGGCATCATCACAGTAGTACTCGTATAATAAAATATACAACCCTCTTGATCAAACGTAAGGCTTCAAGATAAATCGGTATGTTATTGCAGAGAGAACTATTCAAGAAATACTACAAATATGAATTTTTTTTTTCTTTAGCTTTCCATTCAAAACACAGATGTGTACTACCGCTCTCAGCTCATTCCCGACTTTACAAGCTGCGAAAAAACACACAGCACCCAAAAAGTATGCGAGGCAATCCACAATCTACTTCTTATGGAAGAATTTCGATTATCACGATCACGTAGTAATTACTACGCTATATGTATGTATGTATATATGTATTGTTGCTATCCAGTTTATTATATACCCTCGCTTTCCCCTCTTTTTCATTGGGGGAGAAAATTTCTACTGGTACTTGATCCGGGAATATCCGCCCAAGAGGGCTTTTAATAGGCAAAAGAGCTAGAAGGATAAAAACATACATTTTCCCTGGTTTAGCGATTTCCAGAACACGATTCAATTCCACTTTCGTTCTTTAACTTAATTCAACTTATTTATTCTGGTATGTGTTTTTTTGTGCTAGCTCTGCAGTCCTCGCACGGCTTTGTCAACACACGTGTTCTGCAGCGGTTGAACAATGGGATTAGAAAATACTTGTGCCTTTATAATCCGATGATGCTGTTACACATGGGGATGTGGGGCTTTATAAAGTAATCACGGTGAAAGTTTCTTTCATCGAGATATAGCTCTAAATTTGCATGATTCCATGAAATTTCTATATATTTAAGGCAAACATTAAATAAATGATTCGTAGCATTCAACAAAAAACAAATATTGAGAATACTGAGAAAATGATCAAACTAAATTCGAGTTTTCAAAAAAGTTTTTAGAATTGCGGATTTTTAAAGATACAAACGATCTTTAAATAAATACATTAAAATTCAAGTGAGAATTTTTAACTCAGAATCCTTCCATGTAAATGATTATAAATAAAAGATCTTATGGTGAACTACTCGACCAGGCCTACAATCTACACTAGATATTATGATCCTCAGATCCTTGATCCATGATCGATAATAAATATCAAAACGCTGTATATATATTCGCCAGATGAGAAGTTCTGATAATTTTGTATTTCACCTGGCTTTTTTTTCTCGCAGTGTAAGCACACAAAATAATAAAACAAATTTCATTTGAAGGAATGACGCACTTCGCGGCTTCGAAAAATAGTCGAAACAGAAAGAGAAAAGAAAGACAATGCAATGGAAAGTCCCAGCAGAGCACATACCATGTACCAGTATTCTGCGCGAAGACAATCTTCCCTATGTATCTTTCAGTGGATATATATATATATGTGCACATATGAAGTCTGGTATAAATAGCAAGGCCTGATTGACGATTGAGACAGAAAGCCAAGCCTGAGCAGAAACAAGAGTCACCATGCGATACCTTTTTGTGTTTTCCCTGGCCATCCTGGCCACTCTTGTGCCCCTGGCCACAGCGCAATCCTCCTCGTCAAGCACCAGCAGCTCCGCTTCAAGCAGCACGGAAGCAGCAACCACCACGGAGACGGTGACAACTGCCTCCACGGAGGCAGTAACCACGGACACTGCATCAACCACGGCCCCGGTATCAACCACGACCACATCTTCATCTACATCAGCAGCTGGATCTGAAACTACCGGAAGGCCTCCCCGTGATTGTGGCGGTGGACGAGGTGGCAGAGGACGTGGCGAGGGCGGTCGTGGAAGGGGCAGGCGGGGAGGTGATGACGGCGAAAGAGGAGGAGGACGCAGAGGCGGCGGCCGCAGTGGAGGCGGTAGACGCAGTGGAGGCGGACGCTCAAATGGTCGCTCCAGTAGTCGTGGATCTAATGCAAGGCGTGGCCAGAGATCCAATCGCGGCTAAGTGATCCGAAAAATGTCCACCAGTGAATACGTTCATTGCGAACTTAGTAAAAGAAATTGCATTGCAACTTTTGGTTTTTATTGGAATTATTTCATGAGGGTTCTAGGACCATGGCATAAGTGATTGGATCGTGAATAATGGATGTCCTCTAGCCACTCCCAGATCGGCGTTGTAAAGCTGAGATAAAGCGTATAGCTCACATAAAAACCCCAATATTTTAATTAATTGCGAAGGCAAAAGTTCCGGCAAATAAGGCCATATCGGCGAAGGATCCCTACTTTGCCAGGATCGTAAGGATCCAATCTCCACTACGATGATGAGGTCGATGCTTGGGCAGTACTGCTAAAACTTAATTTCCGAGTATTGATAAACGCAGGGTTCAGTTTATATTCTTTATTGGGCAGTTAGGATTCCGGTTGTTCAGCATTCAACCCGAAGTGATCCGCCTGCGAGTCACAATCACGTAGGTCCTGATGCACCTGCTCGGGTGCGCACACTTCGTTACGGATGACTGCGTTGTTGTCGTTGCTGAGGCTACCAGCTGCATGGCCAAAGCAAACAGAGTGACCAGGAAAAGGAGCTTCATTTTGGGAACTGTGTGCAGAGCTCGTGTCGACTTGATGGGAAGGAGTTTTGTGGTTAATTGATGTGGCATTCGGCGTACTATTTATACTTTTAACGATTATTATTCGCACCAATACCAGCACCAGCTGCAAGAAGCAGACAAAATGTAAGCCACATATTTATCCAGTTATGTAAGCTATAAAAATTCAGTCAGTGGATCCAAATATGTGCACAAGAGATGTTTTTACCAAGAGTCGATGAAAGACCAATTTAATGTCTAATTTATATTTTCTGTCAGCTACCTGTACGAGTATTTCCTTCTCAATGTACCCAACTGGTGTATGGTTAATCTGGTTACAGTTTCGCTCAAATAAGCCAATTGTTCAAACATATCACATTGGCGAATGGCAAATATTTGGGTATTTGCTTCGTATTGATTCCCTTCCTTTTACATTCTGCTTTTCCATGTGGGACAAACATAAAAAGTATGTATGGCAAACACTACAGAGGAACAAACCGAAGCTGGAACTTAACGGATCCCTATAAATAATCCGTGTGGCGCTCCTAACAATCACAGAACCCGGTCATCTCTCTACAGTTCCAGACATTAACCAACAGCTCCAACCTTTATCCAAAATGAAGTTCCTTTTCGTAGCCGCTCTCATTGCTCTGGCCATCCAGTTGGCAGTCGCACAAACAACGGAAGCTGCAACAACGACAACGACAGCTGCATCCACAACTACAAGCACGACGACAGCAGCATCAGTGACCAGTGCCACGACCAAGAAAACAACTAAGATTTGCTGGAGGGGAAACAACTGGTGCAACACCCGCCAACAGGTGAAGTGCAAGAACCCCAAGAACTGCATCAAGACCATTGTGGTGGTGCGTCGCCGGAGGAATTAACTTACTGGCTGTAGATCGAACCTCAATCATGTCAATAAATAACACATAAATTGAAAAGAAAATATTTAATGCCCTACATGGACCAGATTTTTTAGTCATTCAGATGGTTTATAGTTTATAAGTCCGCAAGGCAAGGACTGAGACATCGAATGTATGCCAGAATAGTGGCTCACCGTCTCCTCGCAGCTCAAGTTGAATAGATCACTGGTTCTTTGAGCCTCCTCGAGGTTAGTTGCATCCTCTGATGGCATAAAACAGAAATACTCATTTGCGGTTTCCGAGTATAGGAGAGGAAGCCTTCGCTTGGACTTATGTCCTTCCGCATACGAATATTTTTGTTCGTCTAATAGCTTTGGCCCAGGGCTCACAGGCAGCCAGCATTATCGGAGGGTGTTCATGGTCCACGTGTCCCATTTAGAAACTTTAAATTCGGACTAGACTATGTAAATTATTGATGCACTTAGACGACATGAAGCGATTGGAGAATCAAATTATTTATGTAAATGTACGGTCAGGCCACATGTGGGTAACCGATGAAAAATCATTGGAACGTTTAACTTCTAACATGAAGATCCCCAATTTCCTATATTTATTAATCCTCTGTGTGGTGTGTCCATATTCAAGATGTCTTGGAGCCACATTCGTTTAATGCCTGACTTTTCGTTTACGAAAAGAAACCCCATAGGTAAGTTTAAAAATGCAAAATGTTTATGATTTCGGAACAATAGTAATATTTATTGGTTGCTATTTAGGAAAATGTAGTTTCTTAATTCCTCCGGCGACGCACCACCACAATGGTCTTGATGCAGTTCTTGGGGTTCTTGCACTTCACCTGTTGGCGGGTGTTGCACCAGTTGTTTCCCCTCCAGCAAATCTTAGTTGTTTTCTTGGTCGTGGCACTCGTCACTGATGCCGCTGTCGTCGTGCTTGTTGTTGTGGATGCAGCTGTCGTTGTCGTTGTTGCAGCTTCCGTTGTTTGTGCGACTGCCAACTGGATGGCCAGAGCAATGAGAGCGGCTACGAAAAGGAACTTCATTTTGGATTCGCCTGGGTACTTCTGTGAAATTTCTGGAAATTTGTTGAGCTCCTATCGACTTGATGTGACCGAGTGTTATGATTAATTGTCGTGAGACTTTGCGTTTTTAAATAGCTTTTTGGATTCCATTGTTTGTGTACCTGATTTAGTTCCGCAGACTTCCCTTTTGGAATGTTTAATTGCAAAGCTTTAATAAGATCTTGATCTTGCTTCCCTCAGCTTCGGTAAACAGACAAAAATGTAAGCCAATAAAAGACAACAGCAAATATTTGTTCAATTATGTAAGCTCTAAATATTCAGTCAGTGGGTTCAGATATCAGACCAAGAAACCTATTTTTCCAAAAGTGACAAGACGTAACTTAGTGGAAAAATATATTAAATATTCGTAACTCTAATGGTCTGGCAACTAACTCTATTTCCTTGTCAATGTACCCAACTGGTATATGGTTAATCTGCTTACAGTTTTCCTCACATTATCCAATTGTTCAAACATAATATCTTAGGGCCCACATTTGCATGATAAATGTTTGGGTGTTTGCTCCGAATCTATGTGGGGTAAATATGAGAGGTACTCGAAGCTGGAACTTAACGGATCCCTATAAATAATCCGCGTGGCACTTTTAGCAATCACAGAACTCGGTAATCTCTCCACAGTTCCAGACATTAACCAACAGCTCTAACCTTTATCCAAAATGAAGTTCCTCTGCGTTCTCGCTCTCATTGCTCTGGCCATCCAGTTGGCAGTCGCACAAACAACGGAAGCTGCAACAACGACAACGACTGCTGCATCCACAACTACAAGCACGACGACAGCGGCATCAGTGACCAGTGCCACGACCAAGAAAACAACTAAGATTTGCTGGAGGGGAAACAACTGGTGCAACACCCGCCAACAGGTGAAGTGCAAGAACCCCAAGAACTGCATCAAGACCATTGTGGTGGTGCGTCGCCGGAGGAATTAAGAAACTACATTTTCCTAAATAGCAACCAATAAATATTACTATTGTTCCGAAATCATAAACATTTTGCATTTTTAAACTTACCTATGGGGTTTCTTTTCGTAAACGAAAAGTCAGACATTAAACGAATGTGGCTCCTAAACACCTTGAATATGGACATCCCACACAGAGGATTAATAAATATTGGAAAATGAGGATCATGTTTTTGTTTAATGCCTTAGTAGAAAGCAGGCGAAGATTACGACGAGCGCAGCGTCGTTTTGGTGCTTTCCCCGGTTTGGTTTAAGTAGTAGAAAATGCAGCAGAAAGGGTAGCAGAAAGTTCCGAAACGAAAGCAGCCAAAATCGGTTGCGATTATCGATTTGTGGGTTTATTAAATTGGCAGTTATGGGTGGATAAATTCGAGTTAAAGGAGGAAAGAAAATTAGGTTTAGAAATATGTTTTAAATTAGTCTTACCGTCTAACCGTTTTTTGTAGTGCGTGAAAGTCGATCAGCAAGGAAGAGAGATGCAAAAGTAACTCTTTCGGGAGACAGTTTTATTTTTCTGAGCTCTTTTGGTATTTGGCGATCATTTCTTTTATTTAAAAACCCCCTACAGCTACGGATTTCCGCGAGGAAGCGCTTCATCGTCGGACACGGAAAAAAGGGTGAGTGGAATCGGCATAGTATGCTACTTTAAATTGTGAAAAAAGCCTCAGAGCAGCGCCGTGCACCCTCCATCGAACTTTTCGGCTCTCTCGCATTCCGCCGTGTCCGCTGATTCGCAGTGCACACAGAAGAAGGTTAATTATCATTTTATTTTATTATCAACTATTACCCTATTTAACATTATTTATTTCTTTCATATATTTTATGTTAATTATTTATTATTGATTGTGTAATGTTCATTTTCGGCTATAGTTTGTTTGTCAGAATTTTATATTTAGGTTAATAAATTGTATAATGTTTTAATTCCCGTATTGGTTTTGCCTTCAGCTAGCTGATGTCCCTATAGGAGCTCTCGGAAATCCAAGGGTTCATTCTGGCCAGGTTATATGATTCTGGAATGACCAAGGAGGGTACTGAGGGTGGCAAAAGCATTCCGAGAGTAACCGCGAGAGGGAGAGAGAGTCATCCAATGTTGGTTTTTGGTAATGTCAGGATAGGCATACGATGGAGGAGGGCAAGATCACCACCCCGTGCGCCTCGCGCCTGAATCGTTACACCGATAATGCTGGCTGCCTGTGAGCCCTGGGAAAAACTATTAGAGAAACAAAAATAGTCGTATGCGGAAGGACACAAGTCCAAGAGAAGGCTTCCTCTCCTATACTTGGAAACAGCAAATGAGTATTTCTGTTTTATGCCATCAGAGGAGCTAACCTCAAGGAGGCTTAGAGAACCAGTGATCTATTCAACTTTACCTGCGAGGAGACGGTGAGCCACTATTCTGGCATATGTTCGATGTCTCACTCCATGTAGAGTCCAATGAGTGAATGAGTAAAAATCTGGTCCATGTAGGGCATTAAATATTTTCTTTTCAATTTATGTGTTATTTATTGACATAATTTAGGTTCGATCTACAGCCAGTAAGTTAATTCCTCCGGCGACGCACCACCACAATGGTTTTGATGCAGTTCTTGGGGTTCTTGCACTTCACCTGTTGGCGGGTGTTGCACCAGTTGTTTCCCCTCCAGCAAATCTTAGTTGTTTTCTTGGTCGTGGCACTGGTCACTGATGCTGCTGTCGTCGTGCTTGTAGTTGTGGATGCAGCAGTCGTTGTCGTTGTTGCAGCTTCCGTTGTTTGTGCGACTGCCAACTGGATGGCCAGAGCAATGAGAGCGGCTACGAAAAGGAACTTCATTTTGGATAAAGGTTGGAGCTGTTGGTTAATGTCTGGAACTGTAGAGAGATGACCGGGTTCTGTGATTGTTAGGAGCGCCACACGGATTATTTATAGGGATCCGTTAAGTTCCAGCTTCGGTTTGTTCCTCTGTAGTGTTTGCCATACATACTTTTTATGTTTGTCCCACATGGAAAAGCAGAATGTAAAAGGAAGGGAATCAATACGAAGCAAATACCCAAATATTTGCCATTCGCCAATGTGATATGTTTGAACAATTGGCTTATTTGAGCGAAACTGTAACCAGATTAACCATACACCAGTTGGGTACATTGAGAAGGAAATACTCGTACAGGTAGCTGACAGAAAATATAAATTAGACATTAAATTGGTCTTTCATCGACTCTTGGTAAAAACATCTCTTGTGCACATATTTGGATCCACTGACTGAATTTTTATAGCTTACATAACTGGATAAATATGTGGCTTACATTTTGTCTGCTTCTTGCAGCTGGTGCTGGTATTGGTGCGAATAATAATCGTTAAAAGTATAAAAAGTACGCCGAATGCCACATCAATTAACCACAAAACTCCTTTCCATCAAGTCGACAAGAGCTCTGCACACAGTTCCCAAAATGAAGCTCCTTTTCCTGGTCACTCTGTTCGCTTTAGCCATGCAGCTGGTAGCCTCAGCAACGACAACAACGCAGTCATCCGTAACGAAGTGTGCGCACCCGAGCAGGTGCATCAGGACCTAAGTGATTGTGACTCGCAGGCGGATCACTTCGGGTTGAATGCTGAACAACCGGAATCCTAACTGCCCAATAAAGAATATTAACTGAACCCTGCGTTTATCAATACTCGGAAATTAAGTTTTAGCAGTACTGCCCAAGCATCGACCTCATCCTCGTAGTGGAGATTGGATCCTTACGATCCTGGCAAAGTAGGGATCCTTCGCCGATATGGCCTTATTTGCCGGAACTTTTGCCTTCGCAATTAATTAAAATATTGGGGTTTTTATGTGAGCTATACGCTTTATCTCAGCTTTACAACGCCGATCTGGGAGTGGCTAAAGGACATCCATTATTCACGATCCAATCACTTATGCCATGGTCCTAGAACCCTCATGAAATAATTCCAATAAAAACCAAAAGTTGCAATGCAATTTCTTTTACTAAGTTCGCAATGAACGTATTCACTGGTGGACATTTTTCGGATCACTTAGCCGCGATTGGATCTCTGGCCACGCCTTGCATTAGATCCACGACTACTGGAGCGACCATTAGAGCGTCCGCCTCCACTGCGTCTACCGCCTCCACTGCGGCCGCCGCCTCTGCGTCCTCCTCCTCTTTCGCCGTCATAACCTCCCCGCCTGCCCCATCCACGACCGCCCTCGTGACGTCCTCTGCCACCTCGTCCACAGCCACAATTATTGGGACGGGGACGGCGAGGCCTTATGGTAGTTTCAGATCCAGCCGCTGATGTAGATGAAGATGTGGTCGTGGTTGATACCGGGGGTTGATACCGGGGCCGTGGTTGATGCAGTGTCCGTGGTTACTGCCTCCGTGGAGGCAGTTGTCACCGCCTCCGTGGTGGTTGCTGCTTCCGTGCTGCTTGAAGCGGAGCTGCTGGTGCTCGACGAGGAGGATTGCGCTGTGGCCAGGGGCACAAGAGTGGCCAGGATGGCCAGGGAAAACACAAAAAGGTATCGCATGGTGACTCTTGTTTCTGCTCAGGCTTGGCTTTCTGTCTCAATCGTCAATCAGGCCTTGCTATTTATACCAGACTTCATATGTGCACATATATATATATGTATATCCACTGAAAGATACATAGGGAAAATTGTCTTCGCGCAGAATACTGGTAAATAGTATGTGCTTTCATGTATACATAGATGGTAGCCATTGCATTGTGTTTTTCATTTCTCTTTCTGTTTCGACTATTTTTCGAAGCCGCGAAGTGCGTCATTTTTTCAAATGAAATTTGTTTTATTATTTTGTGTGCTTACACTGCGAGAAAAAAAAACCAGGTGAAATACAAAATTATCAGAACATCTCAGCTAACGATATTTATTAAGATCTTTTATTTATAATCATTTACATTGAAGAATTCTGAGTAAAAAATTCTCACTTGAATTAATTTTAATGTATTTATTCAAAAATATTTTGTATCTTTAAAAATTAAAAAAAATTTAAAAACTTTTTTGAAAACTCGAATTTAGTTTGATCTTTTTCTCAGTGTAGAATATTTGTTTTTTGTTGAATGCTACGAATCATTTATTTAATATTTGCCTTAAATATATAGAAATTTCATGGGACCATGAAAATTTAAAGAAAGAAACTTTCACCGTGATTACCTTATACAGCCCCACACCCCCATGTGCAATGGGATGCCAAACCTTCACAGAATCATCGGATTATAAAGGCACAAATATTTTCTAATCCCATTGTTTCAACCGCTGCAGAACACGTGTGTTGACAAAGCCGTGCGAGGACTGCAGAGCTATCACAAAAAAACACATACCAGAATAAATAAGTTGAAACAATTTAAAGAACGAAAGTGGAATTGAATCGTGTTCTGGAAACCGCTAATAGATAGAATAGATATTCAGCGAAGTAATATTCTGATGGTGATAGTCGAAATCATTATATATATATTTCCTAGCATACTTTTTGGGTGCTGTTCGTTTTTTCGCAACTTGAACTTAAACTATTATATTCAATTGAGTCTTTATTTCCGAGATCAATTAACAAATGAACGGCGATTTCAATTCACCATTTTATTCTGCTATTTTGTGGATTTTTTTCTTAAGTCAGGACTCCTTGCACACTCTCGTATTGCTGGTTATAAAGTGGATCGCGTACTCTCTGCGGGATTTGCTGTACAGGAAAGGTAAATGTCTACCAAAAGTTAAAATGAATGAATATAGGCAAAAATGCGATAAGCACTTCAAGACTTTATCCGATACCTTTTCCCCACGATCTCTAACGAATGGCAAAGGTAGAAGAACTCTTCTATTTCTAGCATGTGTTTCGAAGGGGAAGACATTGGAAGGGGAACGTACATATGGAACGAGTATAAGAGAAGCATAGCTAGAGCTATCCAAAAAGAGCGCCAAGTAATCCATAGGATCTGTTCCCCTGTCTGGTGCCATGTTAAGTGGTTTTCCCCAAAATTCACTTACGTTAGTCAGGAGCAAACAGAAAACAATACCGTGATAAAAATAGTACCTACTGTAATCGTAAAGTCGGGAATGAACTGAATAGAGCGGCGGTACTTAGGGCCACATCTGTGTTTGAATGGAGTTTAGATGCTAAGGAGAATCCGCTATAAATAATCGCTTTTTTCGCACTATCACCAACAGTTCCAACTGGTCCAAAAAAGTATCCACATACATTCACAATGCGCTCCGCTATCGCTCTTTCTCTGGTCGTCCTGGCCACGCTTGTCCTGTGCAGCCAGGTCTCGGCTTCCGGAACCGCAACCACTGTAGCAACAACAACCACTGCAGCAACAACAACAACAACAGCAGCGGCGACGACAACCACAACAACAGCTGCGACGACAACCACAGAAGCCGCGACCACAACCACCACTGCAGCTACAACCGCAGCCACGGCCACGACCGCAGCCACCGCCAAGAAGCACCGCCGTCGTCGTGTCATTATCCGCCGTGTCGTAGTCCGCCGTGAAGGCGAAGGAGGCCGTCGTAGGAGGAGAGCTTCCACAACCAATGGCGTCAACCGGCGTCGTGAGGTGGTCCGTGTCCGCAGGATTGAACGTCGTATCTAATCCGTTCCCAACTGGCCAATATATTCAATAATAAAATCTGCATTTGTCTAAACGTTTGAGGTGTATTATTTATCTGCCGCGGCAATCACTCAGGGTGATCCGACTACTTTTCTGGTAATATAAAATGGTTCTACGGACAACGAAGACCCTTGGTGATCACCTCGAGCGAAACTAGTGCACAATCGAGAAAATGTTAGCCACAACACTGTGCGACAGTCATTTTGTACTTTGCACGAGACAAAATTTAGGTTGTGGGCCGTGATGAGTAGATCACTTTCTCATACTTAGAATTTGCAATATACCCCCAAAATTATTTTAAAAATTCAAAAACCGCAATTCTATGACTGTTTCCATTTTCAGAATTTTTACTCAGAACCTGCAGCGCGCATATCCATAAAAAGTAATAGATTGACAAGAAAATTGTAATACCTTTCACGGAATTTTTGATTCGTGGCAATAGAATGGATATATTTGTAGAATATTTTTTATACCCGTACTCAAAAAAGAGTTAAGGGGTATATTAGATTTGTGGTAAAAGTGGATGTGTGCAACGCAGAGAAGGAAACGTTTCCGACCCCATAAAGTATATATATTCTTGATCAGCATCAATAGTCCGAGTCTATATAGCCATGTCCGTCTGTCCGTCCGTCTGTCCGTCTGTCCGACTGTCCGTCTGTCCGTCCGTCCGTCTTGATGAGCGCCTGGATCTCAGAGACTATAAGAGCTAGAGAAACCAAATTTAGTTTCCGGACTCATGTGATATCACACTGCTACAAGTGTATTTCAAAATTTCGCCCCGCCCCCTTCCGCCTACACAAAGGACGAAAATCTGTGGCAGGCACAGTTTTAAAGATCCGATAAAACTAAAAACGTAGTATCGTAGAGAATGCCCATATCTACCAGATTGCCGAATCTGAATCAGATCGGATCATAATTATAGCCAGAATGAAGAAATTAATTTTCAGTTGCTTCCCCTCCCCCTCCCGCCCACGACAACGCAACTCATTTTCCTTCTCGCTCGCACACTCTGCCGCGTTCAGTGCGCGAGCAACCCCTAGCGGAGGAGATGTAGAATCTAAATGGTACTTGTACAAACTACATGTTAGATGTAGAATAGACATTGTAGATGAGATGTAGATAACAAATGTAGCAAAAAAATGTAAAATGTAAAATTTTTTTTTAAATTCTAAAATTCTAAAAAATCATGCTCAAAAATGTATATACTGACTGAGTACGGGTATAAGTAGAGTCGCGTCCCCAGAAGCGACTCACACGTTCCTTCTCGTTTTGTATGGAATGGTATTATTTTTTGACAAGAACTTTCTAGTGCCAGCTATTCTTAACAAAATAAATAAATAATAAATAAATTTTAGCAAAGAATGACAACGGTACGATTTTTTTTTAGTAATTGTACCATAATTTATATTGCACTAGTTAATGCATGTTTACTTGACATTTAATTCAAATTTTGCTATATGTAAAATTCAAAAATGTAAAAATGAAGATACCTCCTCCCAAAAGGAATACAAATCAGCTGTTGCATTAATAATTCGTTGGGTGACTTATCAGTGGGCTGTCATAATTTATTGTATAGCTTTGAACCGCAAATTCACGAATGGAATACCCCAAAGAATAGATAGTTTCTTGTATTGCTTGTAATTTGAAAATCTACTTCATCAAAGTTCGAACACATTTTTATTAAGCCTTTTTTTATTCAGAATTCTGTTTTCGGGACTCCAAATATTGACACGATTTCTGTTGTTGGCTCAGACAGTGTTAGCCAGAATGTTTGCTTTCCACAGTACTCGTACATTCAGCTCCCGAGTGTTACCCAAATTAGCCCTATTGCTTTTTGTTAGTGAATTTACTTCATTTATAAATAGAGTATGGCCAGGCCTCAGACATGTGTAAATATGTGGGTATATGTAAATATTATACATACATAGGTAAAGAAACAAAAGAAGTATACAGTTATCATGTACACTCAAAGATACAGTCAACTAAAAGTTAGCGCACAGAAAAGCCACGATGCGTCCCCTTGATGCCCTCTTCCTAGCCTGTCTTCTTTATCATTAACCATTGAGCCGCTCCGAGTCCTAGAATGGCGGTTTATCAATGCCACACTCATCGGGTTTCTTGAAGACGAGCGCGTAGGTTAGAATGGGGTGGACATTGCTATCCTCGGAGGCAGCAGACAGGAGCGAGTGCGTGGAGCAGGTCTCCATGAACAGCATCTCGGCATCAAAAGCACTCCAGCGACCACGCGCCAGCTGCTCCTTGACGTACTTCAACTGCGTGTTCACCTGTGTTGGGAGTGGGACGATAAGGATGAGACCAGTTTGGAGCTGAGACGCAGACCACGCACCATTGGCACCAGCAGCGGAGTGCGACAGCAATTAAAGAAATCGGCCACAAACTTACGAATGTTTTCAGGATGGGGTTTCGCATTGATCGCCTGCTGCAGAATGACCCGAATGATGGCGCGAATCTGGGAAAATTGAAATTAGTTATTCGGTTAAGATAAGTGAAATGACAGCAGCAAGCTGGTCTGCACCTCTGGATGTTGGCAGATGTAGACCCAGTTGCCACGGCGCAGCTCCTTCTGTATGCGCGGTATGTTGTTGTATTTATCGATTGCTCCCGAGTCCCATTTTCCGTGATCCCAGATCTTTGGTTGGTTTTCCTTCGCCATTTCCAACAGATGTTTTTTTTTTGTTGCTTTGTTTAAAACTTAAATTTGGATGTGTTGAATAGATGAATGAATGCTAGATTGATTTTCGTTGGAACTGTGTGGCATATTATAAGTCGGCTTGAGAGACGCATGGACTTCGCTCTCGTTCTTTGTAGGAGAGGAAGAACACCATTCATTTCTTTTGATCCTGTATGTTTTTTATTGCGCCTGTCCTTAGTCTATCTATACAGGTAAATCTATCAAATATAATCATGTATATACGGTTTATAGATGCATCACTTGGAAATTCGGCTCTCTGCCGACGGTTGTTTAAAATTATAAATGCGAGCGCGCGCACTTATAATAATCCTCATAAATGCTAAGTAATTTCTTTCGGTATTTATGTGGGTTTGCAGCAAACGGTCACACTGCCCACCAAAAGAAAATTTGGACGAACAAATTGTTCGAGATTTCCGTTTTTAATTGAAAATGATGAATTAATTAGCGCAGTAAATTAACACCAGACTCAACTTCAGAAAGTTTAACAGCGGAAAGACAACGGGAAGCGATGGTAAGCTGAGAAAAGAGCGGTGATAATGAAGGAAAATCTGCCCGGCTTGCCCGGAAAAATGAAGTGCTGGTCGTAATAATTGACCAAAAATAGAATGGAAACCCAAAAATAGCTGCGCACGTTTCTAATTGGACTCGTTGTCCTTCGCTTCCCCGTCCATTGCAGGCTGTTCTGGGTCCCCAACTGGTGATCACGCTGGTGATGGTGAGCGTGATACAGAAACTGAGTCCCCACTACTCCTTCGCCAAGTGGATACTCTGCCGCACCGGCCTCTATCGCTATCTGCACCCAACGGACGACGAGCTGCGATCCAAGGGCGGTGTGCCCAAGGAGAAACCAGCCAAGGGCAAGCACAAGCAGCAGAATGGAGTCTCCGGGCAGTTCCACATACCGCGCAGCATTGAGCTGGACCTGGAGACGTTGCCGGTGCAGGAGCAGGACGTGGTGCACCTGCGCTACTTCACCGAATACCAATGGCTGCTGGACTTTAGTATCTACGCCGGCATTGTGTACGTGATCTCCGAGGTAGGTTTGAAATCGCTTAAATCTTGATATTGACCCATAATAACCACGCACCCGCTCTATTCGGAGCAGCTCTTCCACTTTTACTTTCCGCTGAAGGAGGAGATCAATCTGAGCATGGTCTGGTGCCTACTAGTCATCTTCTTTTCCCTAAAGCTGCTGTCCTCCCTCACCGTTCTGTATTTCCAAAGCGAGGAGTCCATTGGCGAGCGGTCCATGGTTATTGTGGCCTGTCTGGTCTATCTGCTGATCGCTATGATCGTGCTGATCATCGACGAGCGCATTCTCGAGACAGGACTGGAGGATGCCTACACCAGTTTCAATGCAAGCGCCTCGAAGTTTCTCACCGAGCAGGGTCTACCCTCATCGTGAGTAGAAACCGCAGATATACTGACTACTGGCTAAAGCCCTTTCCTTTGTATTTCCAGTGGTCCGGCCTCAAAAATTGTGGTCAAATTCTTTCTCGCTCTGAGCTGCGGCGTGCTCGGCTCGCTATTCACCTTCCCCGGCCTGCGCATGGCCAAGATGCACTGGGACTCGCTGAAATACTGCCGCGGCAATCGCGTGATGCAAGTCCTGCTGAATCTCAGCTTTGTGCTACCATTTATTTTGGTCATTTTGTGGATCAGGCCCATCAGCCGTGACTATCTGACGGTGCGCGTCTTCCAGGGCATGCAACAGCCACTGTAAGCTCGTGAATCGTTTCATTCTTTTATTCAACCGCTTCTAAGAGGGTCCTTTCTCGCTCCAGACTGACGCCGCATGCCTTTGAAACGCTGCGCTTGCTGCTGGTCGTTTTTGTGGTGGTCATGCGCTTCGCCCTGATGCCCGTCTATCTGCAATCGTACCTGAACCTGGCCTATGATAAGATAATGGATCTGCGCAAGGAGGCCGGTCGCATCACCAATGTGGAGTTCAAACAAAAGGTGTGCATAGGCTGCTCGAGTTTCACTGTGAATTTTCTAACCTTCCTGCCTGCTCTTCCCTCAGATCTCCTCTATTTTCTACTATCTCTGCGTTGTGACCCTCCAATTTGCTGCCCCGCTCATTCTGTGCCTCTACCTGACGCTGATGTACAAAAGCCTGGGCGGTTTCAGCTGGTCAGGCGTCTTCAGTGAGGCTGTCGTGCTGCAGCACGAGTGTGCTGCCGGCGACGTGGAGACGGCCGTATCCGGCGGTACTGCCACTGCCATTGAAGAGGGAGAGTTCAATATTATGGAGTCGGCACAGTCGCTGCAGGCATCGTTCAGTAGCCTTAAAAATGTAAGATCCCCCAGATGACCCGAATGCCAGCCGACGGTTCTTAAATTTATTCTCTGTATATTACAGGTTTTCTCCACGGAGGTGTACAAGGGATTTCTGGGCTTCGCCACGTGGTGGAGCTACTTCACTCTCTTTGCCACTTCCTCGCTGGGAATTGTCTATCAGTCGTACTTCAACAAGACCTAAGGCCATCTCTTCTAATTGCATATACTCGCGCTGGAGTTCTCTACACTCAGCCAATCAGCATGCTAATCCTAGTTAGTCCCTTTAATGTTTTATCGTAGTCCATTCGTAGCCCATACGCATTGATATTGTTTTATAGTCCAGTCAAGTGAAATCAAAACACCCTGAAAACTTCTTGGTTTACACCGTGTATTGTATATAATACTACTTTATCGATTGTTTATAAAGTTTGTAATAAAGAATTTTAACCAGGAGCTAATGCTCGAGTGCTCGATACCAGTAATGGCTCTAAAAGACGAGGCTTTTGGATACTCGCAAAATACGCAATTGAGATAGGATTTGCAGTCTATCTATAACATTCCATATCCACTCTACCTGTGGGTATTTGTTGTCCCATAAACTTAACTTTAGAGCCCTAAACAATTGGAATTATCCAAAGATTAGCTTCGATTTCCCTTGCCATTATTCTATTATTGAGATTAAAAGACGTTCGGTTTAGTTGATTATTTTGGCCAATTTGAAAACACCATTTTATTGAACCTCAAAGGTTGTGGATAGAATTAACCTAACCGACCACAGGCCAATGTATATATCATATCATATGTAATTTTCCAATATATAGTGCGAAGGGGAAAGTAACCGGGTTTTACTTCATAATCTTTACCATATTATATAGGTACTAGTTTCTAGTATCGGTGCAAGCTCCATCTCTATTTGACTTAGATCTTGGCGATGCCAATGACACCGCAGCCAATACGGGCGCCGGCATTGCCGGTGGTCTTGCTCAGCTCGTGGCCACCCTTGCCCAAGTCATCAGCATCGGCGTGGACGACCACGGTGCGTCCAATGATGCTGTCGGCACCGAAAAGAGTGATCTTTGAGTCGGTGATGCTGACAGCCGTGGGGCTGTCGCCGGCCGCCTGAATGTTGCCCAAGTCGCCCAAGTGGCGGTTCTCGTCGGTGGGGGCACCGTGCTCCTTGCTGCGGGGATTGAAGTGGGGGCCGGACGACATGCAGCCGTTGGTGTTGTCGCCGAACTCGTGCACATGGAATCCATGCAGTCCCTTGGTAAGGCCCAGCACCTCCCCGGTGACTTTCACGGGAGCCTCGCTGGTCTGTCGTACAAAGAGAATGAATGTTGAACAATTTGATTATCTCTGAGGGTATGATACTGCTCGGCTTCCCCCGATAAGCGAAAAGTGTAGGTATAATCGTGACATGTACATACTGGCCCCCCCATACATGCACAGACACGCAGAGCTGCGCACTGTTATTGGACTTATATAATTTTCATTTGTTAAATGACACAGCGAAAACTTAATTCTGACTAGCAATATTCATCAATTCCATTGCCCCAGAGGGTGGCCGGGGAAACCGGCACGACCTTTAAAATGGCTTCGGTTATTGCTGTTGTTTTTGTTGCTGCTTCTGTGGGCTGCCATTTTTTCTAGAACATTTTCTGAAATTGAACGGTATAGTTGAGAAAACTTACCTCCTGCTCGAAGAAAACGGTGCCCTTGGCATCGCCGTTAATTACACAGACAGCTTTAACCATTGTTTTAATGTTTTTTGATTAAAAAATCAGAAGCGAAATTCCTGTACGTTAGAGGTGTCAAACCATCAAGGGCACTATCGATAGTATCGATATTTTACTGCTAGTCTCTACTATCGACGGTTTTGCGACTATCATGATATTATCGAGCTACAGTCGTTGCGCTTTTGATATGTTTGGATTGGCTGCTATAAAATACGAAGACAAATTTGTAAACAAATCGACAGGTGGCATCTAATTTTTACAATGGACAAGTTCCTAAAAGGTTTCAATGGTTTTTTAATAATTATTAGAGCTATCACGATAGTATCGATTGTTTTCTCAAACCTTCGACGTTGATATTCCTCGATATTGATATTCCGTTTAATATTACCAGCTAGCTGGGACTCTCAGCCCTAAACAAATAATTTTACCGATAGATACATACATTTTTTAAGAGATTGGCAAGTTTTCAGAAGTCCTTTTTATTGGATTATTTACATATTATGGTTCAAACAAAAACAGCATAAAACGAATTTGTCGTCGTTTTGTGGCGCTGCCAGACTCGTGCAATTCATAGTTGCTGCGGGCTGCCATACCGTGATATTTTGTGATATGACCCACATATACTCAAATATACCTTCTCGTTTTCAGAATATACCCAAAATTATATGATATACCATATACGGTTACACTATAATTTTCGTTCGTTATTTTTGGTTTCAAAAATTATTCAAATAAAAATCGCGTAAAGCATGGAACAGCATGCTGTGGGAGCGAGAGAAATATATGATTTACATGCGCCGTTGCCATGTCGAGATTTTGTACCGAAACAACTCTATTTGAACTATTTCGTCGTAACGGTGGCTTTTGTCAAAATATTTGGGGCTGTTTTGGAATCTCTGAGGAAATAACATTTGAGAATGTGTCCGCACGCTGTCCGAGAATGGCTGGTGCTTCTAACCATGGAGATGTACTTGGACAGGTTTATGAAAAAGGGCTACGGCACCATTGCCCAATGCAAGCGAATTTTTCCGCGTGATCTTAGGATATTGGGGATTTACCATCGATGCCATCGTAAATTGGTGCTAGATGGTGTCCAGCTAATGAACAACGTGGCAGATGAGTGCTTTAAATGCTCTGAGCCCTGCGAGCACCATCATCACAGTCCAATACTCGAGCAGCAAGAAATGATTCAGCTCGGGTTGGACAGTTCAACAGACTCTTCTGATGGTGACAGTAAAGCTGAAGAGTGCCGATCCATTATTTCGAACATCTAACAACAATCCCATGGAGTCGGAAAACGTCTTCGATTTCTCTGTTGAATTCTCAGGTACCTCTGTGATACCACCCATCAATTTCAGCTTCTCCTACACATGCGTTGCTTGTCCAGACTTGGTCTTCAGGAATGTAACAGATGTGGCCGAACACATAGCCGATGCCGACGATGGGAACACGCACAAGATTGCTCCACTGCCGATCGGGGGTGTTGCCCCCGGCTGCCCAACAGACTCAAGATGGAAAACCCCATGCAGCAAATCGATTTGAATAAAAAAAGTTGTATAAATATTTGTGATTATTAGCTAGGAAAATCAAATCCTTTGCCTCTTTATTTGTTTATTTAAATTACTTAAACCTAATTAACGGATTTAACAATGCATTCAACAGATACTTGATGCCCCGCATTAGTTCCTGCAGGCGGGCACCCATCGGAGGGGCACCAATGAGTCGTCCAATGCTCGCCGTTCCCAGCTCTGGGGATTTACAGTCCCGGCACTCGATGGTCTTCAACAGCACTTGCACATCATTGGTTCGCATCCGGGTGTGCTGGAGTGTGCCGTAAAACAACACAATATCCCCCTGGCTGAGCTGCCGTGTGAAGTTCCCAAAGTCATGATGGGCCTTTAGAACCACTTCAGCTGATGTCGTGCGTCCCAGCAGTCGGCTAACGCTGCTGCCGCTGCTGCCGCTGCCGACCTTCACCAGCAGTTTGTACTCGTAGCGGTTATACTTCTGGAGCGTGCAGTTGCCGGTGCGAGCATTGACTGTTTTGAACACGCGCCGCCACTCATCGCATTGGTCATCCAGCTTGCGATTGCACTGGAAATTCTGCGATATGTCCTCGCCATGAGCGCAGCGTACCGCCCTGCCCAACCAGGCGGGCAAATAATTGGCGACGAGATCTTCAAACATGTTGGATACCTTGGCGATTTCCACCTTGGAGACTTTGCCCTGCCAGGTCACGGGCATGCCATTGAGGTGAAAGCAACGCAGCTGAGAGTCTATCTTGTTGGACTCCTCTTGGAAGGGTAGGGCGCACAGGGAATGGAAACGATCCCAGGTCAGTGAGTCGGCGTCCGATAGAGAGTCGAGACCGACACGTGGCAGGTCATTGAAGCGCGGGTCGTCCTTGAAACTGGACGTCATGTAGGGCAACACCAATGCATAGACCATTGTCACACCCATGATTAGCTGCAAATGATTTATGATCACACAATAATAGTAAATATCGCTGGACGCCACCTGGACACTCACCTGCAGAATGGTAATATACTTCCGGGTGGCACGGTTCATGGTCAGCAGATAGGAGACGACCATTGTGAGCATGCTGGCGATGGCTACGCCGCCCCAATGTAGCTGCTCGCTGGCCAACCCAAGGCTTTTGATGGCCACAAAGACTGGAACGAAGAGCGCCACCATGCCGAATTTTGGCAGGAACAAAACCATTCCGGCGAGGACAAGCGTCCCGCGAATCACACCGCACATGGTGGCACCCTGACAGGTGGCGATGCACACTTGCAGCCAGCAGAGCGTAACGCAGTGTGGAATAAGATGCGTGTAGACAGCGTGCCAGCGTGAACGTTTGGCCATTATCACCAGGAGCACCGGTATCAAGAGGTACAAGGCTGTGCGGCAGCTCAGACAGAACTCAATGCCGTTGCCAATGACAAAGGTCGCGAAGCGCGATGTAGCCACCTTGTCCATCTCATAGGGGTACTTGGCCAGGACGTTGACGGCAAAGGAGACAACCACCACCCAGTTGGGCAGTAGATCAGACGAGGCATACATGCTGACGCCCATGGTGAGTAGCGTGAAGGCTCCGGAGATTATGGTTAGCTCTGAGTGGGGCATCCAGCCATCGGCCACGAGTGGATACACAATCTGGTTGCAGATGAAGGCGCCGAAATAATACCCGTACGGCTTCATGTTGTTCCGCAGGAAGCGCTTCTCCGCAATGCCCGCATCGATGTTGTTGTCGCCGTAGCACTGGAACAGTCCCGACCAAATTCGAAAGTCGACAAACTGTTGCTTGGTCTTCAGCATTTTACAGGTGGCCCAAATCATCATGCCAACGCTTAAATAGTAGCTGATGAGCGGCACCAATTGGAAGCTGCTCCACCAGGAGAGGGCTATCAGGAGACCTAGGCGCGCGCTCACCGGTAATAGGCTGGGCAACGAGATGATGCAGTTCACCAGGCGATGGTAAAACAGGGTGAGAAATATGAGCGGGTGGGAAAAGATGCGCTGGAAGCGGGGCACATGGTCCAAGCACCTGGGATCCGTCACAGACAGTGTCAAAGTGGGCATCCGTCCGGCACTGTAGTTGGAAGCAGCCGACACGAGGTTTGCCTTGGAGATTAAGCGTTGATGCTCCACGTTTGCATGCCCAATGGATTCCATGCTCCCCAGGAGCTCACATTCCGGCTCGCCCTCGCTGCTGGAACCGAATTTTGCGTCCTCAAGTCTGCGACGTTTCCGTTGAAGATTGTATATGCATCTCATTTCTCTTTCCAGCTGCTGGGGCGTGACGTGCTCCTCGCCGTTCGAGAGGCAGGCAAAGAGTTCACGAGCTGCTTTTCGCGCCGCTCGCTCCCCAGGAGTCATGGATGGGCAGCGACGCACTTCATGCACTTCATGTGCAATATGGTTCTCCAATTTGTTTAATGAGGCCCGATCTGAGGTCATGTTTGGAATTTTATTGTGTGTTGTTGATATTGTGCTGACATATGGTTATGTTGTTATGTACCTTCTAGATTCCAACGCCTACGTTTGCTGACGCCTGTCCGCTCAGTTTGAGTCCAGGCTGCCATCTATTTCGATTTAATTTACAATTTTTGTTTACGAAATCGTGTGAAATTCTTAACAAGGGTCTCATCGATGAAGAAGTTGCGTCGACCGCAGCTCCAAAAACATACAAAATTAGATATATCATGGAGTATTTGTTTTTTAACCTTTGATAGAACAATAAATGTGGGAGCACTAAAGAATCTTATAAAGTTTTTGGAGCGTCAGGCGCATCTGGATGAGACGCATCGAGGAAAAGTAAACATGCTGTCATCGTTGGATGAACGAAATTTGGGTGTACGCTATTACGCTGCCTGCCCAAAATGGCAATTACTCGCTGACGCCTTTTAACAGCTTCATTTATGCCCGGATTTATGCCCGGTTAGCCGTGGATCTCATCTTAATATCTATATTAAATAATCATTCAAATAATGGAACAATGGGTTTTCATTGTTTTGTTTTGTTTTTTAAATTCATAAAATTTTCCCGCTCTGCACTCCTTCTGGAATATACCAATAAAAAAAATACCAACTTAAATAACAAAATACTTTCCTGCGAAGATACCGAAAAATTCGAGTTCCAGTTTAATCAGTAGTTTATGGTTCTAGTTCCAGGGCTCCACAATTTAGCCAGAGCTGCCAGATCCGTGAAATTTTCAGCAGTGACTTCACAGAAAAACAAAACAAAATTCACGGAACTCAAAACAAGTGGAAAAATTCAATTTCGCAGCAGGAAAAATCAATAGTGACAGTCAGAGAACACGCACATTGGACGCCATGTTCCACTTCAGCGGCTTCAACATGATGTTCCCGGAGGGACGCAGCTTCCATGCCACATACAAGTGCTACTCGGTATCGATGCTTCCGGGCAACGAGCGCACCGACGTGGAGAAGGGCGGCAAGAGTAAGTGCTCTCCAAGCCTTGTGCTGAAAACTATCCCACTCCCACTCAGATACCATCTCCTTCCGTTACAGTCATCATGCCGCCATCGGCCCTGGACACGCTCACGCGCCTGAGTGTCGAGTATCCGATGCTGTTCAAGCTATCCAACAACAAGAAGATGCGCTCCTCGCACGCCGGCGTCCTGGAGTTTGTCGCCGACGAGGGCAAGTGCTACCTGCCCTACTGGATGATGCACAACCTGCTGCTGGAGGAGGGCAACATACTGAGCATCGAGAGCGTTTCGCTACCCGTGGCCACGTTCTCCAAGTTCCAGCCGCACAGCACCGACTTCCTGGACATCACCAATCCCAAGGCCGTGCTGGAGAACGCTCTGCGCAACTTTGCATGCCTCACCAAGGGCGACGTTATCGCCATTAAATACAACAAAAAGATCTACGAGCTGTGCGTCCTGGAGACACGTCCCGGCAACGCCGTCAGCATCATCGAGTGCGACATGAACGTAGAGTTTGAGGCGCCAATCGGCTACAAGGAGCACAACGAGACCCAGCCCTCGGGCTCGGGCCAGCAGGGCGCCCTGGGAGCTGGAGGCAATGATGCCAGTGCCCCCGGAGCTGCCCTAGAGGAGGTGGTGGAGACGTTCAAGGGCTCTGGCGTGCGCCTGGATGGCAAGAAGAAGAAGGAGAGTCAACTGGAGACGCCAGTTCTCAAGAAGGTTCTGCCCCGCGGCGTTCCGGATTACGATTTCAAGTTCGGGCAGATCCGGTTCGATCGCAACATCAAACCAATCAGCGACCGTGGCAACGATGAGGCCGGCGGCTCAGAGACCGGATTGGATGCGGATAGCTTCCACGGCACGGGTTTCTCCATGAAGAAAACTCGAAAGTAGCTTATAACTCTTAGCTCTAGTTTTATTATGTTTCCCTCGGCCTGGGCCTGGGACATGACTCTATAGACATAAAATGCTTCAAAGTTTTAGTGTCAACTGGATGGCTTTCTGCTTGGGAGTCGGCGGCGGAGCTATTGTGGTCATGGGCGGCAGGCGGCGTATCTTGCGACCGTGCTTGCCCTCCTTGCGCTTCCAGAGACCCGACCGTGGACGGTTGCCCATCTCGCGCATGCGCTGGGCACTGCCCACGTGCTCCTTGTTGTGCTCGGGATTCGAGAGGCGACCCACGGTGGCCATGCAGATGCGGTCGAAGGCAAACTCCCGCTTGGAGGGCAACTGCACCACGACCTTGTCGTCGAACTTGCGCAGAATGGTCCCGAAGGTTCCGGCGGCGTGGATGAGATGGCACTGCTGGCCGGGATTCTTCTCGAGGCAGTGGATGCGAGTGCCCACCGGCATGGCGCCCAGCGGGTAGGCATCGCCCTCATTGGGACGCACTGCGGGAGTGAACAAATGAGCACTTAATGGACACACAAGCGAAGCCACCTACCGGGAATACGGGGAATGACGCGAGAAGTCTTTAGCACGTCGCCTGCCTTCATGTTCTCCGTGGCCAGAATGTACTTCAGCTCGTCGCCCACCGCCACCAGAGCTACCTTGGCTGTGCGGCAACCGTCCTGCAGTATCTCCAAGACGAGCTCCTCCAGCGGTGCTCCCTCGGCAGGTCCGTCACGCACCCACTTCACCCAGCGGTACTGTTGCTTGATCCCGCCACCAATGCCCTTTGCCACCATGCGACCACTGACTGGGTCGCGGCCGGCCAGGTGTGTGATCTTCAGCGGCGCCACCGTGTACTCCTCGGGAAAGTGCACGATCCGGCGGAACTGCTGACCGGCTCCGGGTTTTGGTTTCTCCACGACTTTGGTTTTGGTACGCATCTGTTGCAGCGCCAGTGCGGCCGTGGCGGCCCTCTGCGGTGGCTGCAGCGTGAGGGCAGAGTTCAGCAGGCGCGTCAGGCTTTGCATTTTCACAGACGAGACGAAATTGATCTGTTACAAAACCAGAGCACAGCACAGCTGATCGAGTGCTGCCAGACGGGTCGATTGGAAACCACATGCGCCGAACAGTGGGTCGTTTTCTCAAAATGAGTCTGAAATTTTAAATGTATATATATTCTCAATATTGGCAAGAAAAGTGTATCAAGAAAAATAATGTTTATTATGCCCTGTTAACCACGTTTTTTCTGCAATTATTTATGTGCAAATAACTTAGTCTGATGAACGCTGATTTTTACAACGAGTTTTCGGAAAAAGAGCCACTGTGCGCCGTTTGTTGCGTCTTTCCTTTTGCTGTCTTCGAGCACGCGTTGCCACCCGGTCGAACATCCGTTCTCTTCTTCTTCTCCTTTTCATCGTGCTGCGGACCGCGCTGCGCTGAAAGCAATAAGAATAGGAAAAACCGCATTAAAATCGCTGAAAAAGTGCACAAATTGGCTTTAAAATATTGTTCAAATACTAGTGTTACGTATATCATAGAAAAGTTTTCGGAATTCGAGCGCAGAACGGCTGAAAAAAGGTACGAAAAAAAGGAAAATAAACAAGGCGAACGAAAAATAATATACACACACAAACACGCAGTGAAAAACGTGTTGTGTGCAAAAATATAAACAGGCGAAAGAGAGAGAGAGGAAATCAGCAGTAATAATAGAACCAATCGCAGAGAGAGACGAGACGAGAGGACAAAACTAAGGAATAAAATATATAAATTTTGGAACATGCTCAAGTGTTGTACACACGCACACTTGCCAGTGCATGAGTGTGATGTATATGTGTGTGTGCTGTAGGCTCAAGTATGTGTACATATTTTGATGTTAGGTGGGAAAAAAAGCGGGCGGCATGTTTACGCAATCGCCGAGCGAAAAGCAAGAGCGTTGTGAAAAGTGTGCTTTTTGTGAGACAAACATGCACATCCGACAATATGTGTATATGTATGCGCAGGTGGAGTCGGTTGCTAGCTGAAAAATCAACGAGCGGCATTTTTTACGCATTTCCAATACGCTATCTATGTGTGTGTGTATGTGTATGTGTATTTTGGTGTTTTTATTTATTTATTGTGTTCCTCTTTCGCTGCTGTTGAGTGTGACCTAACGACGTATGTATGTATGCAAATGTATATATACAAGAGAGTTTATAGCTGTGTGTGCGGGTTTATTTATATGTATGTATGTATGGGCGTTTGTTTGCCTTTTGTTGTTCTCGTTAATTTTATTTTGGTTTCATTTTGCATGTTTATGCATGCAAGCTCGATCGATTGATAGGTTTATGGAGGAGGGATCCATGTGGTGGGGTGGAGGAGATTCTGCTTTGTTTGTATGGGTGAAGCCCACGAAACGACATAAGTAAAGAGCCGAAGTAAGCTCGTTGCTGGGAACAGTGGGAACGGTAATTAGAACGCTGCGCTGCGTCTGCTAAACGAGTACAGTGGCTCAAAATCAAGATCCACGTGTGGTTGAAAATCATACTATGAGTAACACCTGTTCGACTTGATATTTGTGGAAAATTAAATTTTTTCTTGATCCTCTTGTTTATTAATAATTCAGAAGTTATGTGGAATTATTTAAATGTATTTACATATCTATGTGATTATATGTATATTAATGTACACAGTTTGTAAAATACTACGTTTTCATGTTGGAATAACTCCTTTTTCCAGGCTTATTATGTAAAATAGTTAAGAACTTTATAAAGCTGTCTTCAGGTTCATTTGAATTCTATATAAGCAATTTGCTCTAAAATTTGTACATTTTACAACGATAAAGGATTAACGTCATCTCGACTGTTTTGGCAACACTGGTCACCAAGTAAGAGTGGAGAGCACATCGAAATCCTGTTGTTAGGGTAACAGAATGGTGCGAAAATCCTAATAAAAACAAGTCTGCACGTGAGTTGCGGCACAGTTCTGAACTCAGTCGGTAAATACACATGTGATCTAATGAATCTAATATACCCCGATACTCGTTGAGTACCGGACATAGAAAACCGTAGCGTAGTGCGCTGCAAGCTCCATAAAGGGTGGTGTGGTGGGTGGGGGGTATTTTCCATTGCGATGCCTGCTGTTGCTCTCGCCGGCACCACACTACACTCTACATACTACGCCAATGAATTCCCGGGAAAAGCAGAGAGCGCACGCGTGAACCCTGCTCTCATTTTCGATTGTGTGTACGTGTGTGTTTACTCACGTAGTGTGGCGTAGTAGTAGTAGTGTTATTATTATTTTTATTGTTGTTGTTTTTGATTCTCTTCTTCTTGTTGCCGAGCAAAACACAGATACACACATGCATACATATGTGTGTGTGACTACGATTATATGAGTGCTTGTGCGGCGGCTGCGGTAGCAAAACAGAGTAAAGCAAAAACCGAAACAGAAACGAAGTGGAAGACGAAGACAGCGACAACGACAGAGAACTGCCAGTCAGCAGGGAAGGGAGAGCGGCAGCGGGTGTGTGTGCGCCTTCGTATCTGTGTGTATATATTTGGAAAATATTTCAGAACCTTGGGGGAAGCGAAAAATGTGCGAAAGCCGCGTGAAAAACTGTGAGAATAACAAAATTAACTAATTTTATGGTTCTCGAAAACGAAATCAAATAATAACAAAGTTCTTCTTCGTGTGCCTGTGTTTGTGTGTGGGAGTATTGTTTCTCTCTATTTACTTTTGCCGAAAATCAATCTTTTACTTAATCGTTTTAGGCCCCGACAAATACAGTAACTAAGCATAGTAAAAGTGGGATTAAATGGCCGCCACTACCACAACCACAACACTAGCAACAACAACCACCGGCAATAGTAGCACCATCAACAACAACAACCACAGCAGCAGCAGCAGCAACAATCACATTGTAACGGTACACACCGTTCTGAACACTCCCACCAGCATTGCAGCCGCTGCCGCAGCAGCCGGCGCGGCCGACGCCGCCACTGTTGCCATCGCCAAGGACATGTTGCAGCTGCATCATGGGGCTGCAGCAGTGCTGAATAACAACAACAACAGCAGCAGCAGTGGTGCCGGTGGCATCAACAGCTCGGAACTGACGACCGCTAGCAGCAACAACAACAACTCAGCAAACCACCCACCTGCCACAACCTCCTCCTCCTTATCCGCATCCGCAGCGGACTCGACAACGACACCGCCGTATGGAGAGCTGCGCTTCAACCAGGAAGTGCTGCCCATCACCGATACCATAACCGTCATCGGACGCAACTCCTCCACGTCGCTGGTTCATTTTAATGTGGCCGAGAACAATCTGGTCTCGCGGAAGCACTTCCAGGTGCTCTACGACTTGGAGGTGCGCGCCTTCTTTGTGCAGTGCCTCAGCAAGAACGGCATTTTCGTCGATGATTTTCTGCAGCGTCGCAATGTGGATCCTCTGAGGCTGCCGCAGCGGTATGTCCAACCATGTTGAACGAATGACTAGCGTCAGGCTAACCTTTTATGTTATCTTCCATTTTACAGATGCTACTTTCGCTTCCCCAGCACGGAGATTCGGATAGAGTTTGAGAGCTACGTGGCCGCCCTGGCGAACGTTGTTCCAGACGCTGCCTCCTCCCCAGCCTTGGCCACGGTCGCGGCTAGCCATGCGGGAAACAACCACAATGCCATTGGCAGCACTGGTGCCCATGTCATCATCACACCGCCGCCACGAGACGATCTGCAGCAGCAGCAGCACCATCACAGCCAACAGCAGCAGCAACAGCATCAGCCAGCGCATCATCTGCTACAGCAGCAACAGCAACACCAGCAGCTACCTTCGCTCCCCCCACTCCCACATGCACCTATCCACCCGCTTCACCATTCAGTCCTTCAGCAGCAGCAGCAGAGGGGCGGCAATGTCGTTGTGGTGCCTCAAGCAGCGCCGGCCCATCTGATAGCCGCCGGTGACGGTACCGGCATCTACGCACCGCTCAAGATATCCATACCCAAGAAGGAGCAGAAGAGCCCCTATCTATCACCAACTGGCAAGTGGAATTTCACCTTATCCAAACACCAAGTAGCCAATTGGAAGCCATATTCTAGTTGGGTTCTGAACATTCGGCAGCTCAAGTGGCCTCACTGTAGAATAGTCAAAGAATACCTGAGATACGTACATATAAGTATAAAAATTTCCACTTCAATGTGCGCTGCTAGCGAACATATTTTGATCAAGCTGATTTTTTGTCAACTGTTTAAACAAAAAATGTTTTGGTTGACTTTCAAAATCATTTCGTAGTAAAATTTGCAGAATTAACCTGTAGAGTAGCCATGGCTTTGACAGCCGTAATGTACGCGATTGTCTTTACCCAACGCTTGAGGCGGGGGATCGAAAAGCGGGCCGCCGAGGCAGCTGCTTCCCAGAGTGAACAGCAGCCGGACGATGGCCCCATTAATTCCAGCCAAACCAAGCCCAAAGCGAAGGCGTGCTAATATGTTGAATAAGTGTGGAAGAAATACTGATATAGAATGAGTATGACCATTGACTTTGTCTTTTAATGGATCATGTTTATCTTTTTTATAGGTACAATTAGCGCCGCCAACAGCTGTCCGGCTAGTCCTCGTCAGGGTTTCCATCAGAATCAGCCCAACAATTACAACAACTACAGCAACAACAATACGGTAACTATATAGCAGAATTTAACTTGAATAATATGCACTTATACATATATGACGCTTTTGTTTTACAGCAGGAGCTGTTCCAGACTCCCTCCACAGCCAGCTATAACCACAACGAGAAGCCGCCGTACAGCTACGCTCAGCTGATTGTCCAAGCAATATCCGCCGCGCCAGACAAGCAGCTGACGCTCTCGGGCATTTATTCGTTCATTGTCAAGCACTATCCGTACTACCGCAAGGAAACGAACAAGGGCTGGCAGAATTCCATTCGTCATAATCTCAGTTTGAATAGGTAGAACCCCCATCACCGACAAATCAAAGTTGAATCCTTATCCTCAATTCCATTGCAGGTATTTCATCAAGGTGGCTCGCTCGCAAGACGAGCCAGGCAAGGGCTCTTTCTGGCGCATCGACCCGGACAGCGGGGCCAAGCTGATTGATCATAGCTACAAGAAGCGTCGTCAGCGCAGTAGCCAGGGTTTCCGTCCGCCCTATGGCATGCCCCGTTCGGCGCCGGTTTCCCCGAGCCACATGGGTAAGTCACATGGATATGGCGTGCGTCAATTGCTATCATAGTGCTAACACTCTCCATTTGTACGTTTGCAGATAACTCGCGCGAGAGCTCGCCACTTCAGGATATTGTGCTGCAATCAGCACCTGGATCGCCAGGCATGTCGATGGAACAGCGCGCTGCTGATGCCGGTAAGAGGGGGAACACTGATTAGACTAGTGATTAAGGGATTGGCCATCTGGCTAGCTTTCAATACTTCTAATTTTGTCTTAGTGTTAACTGATGTTCGGCATTCTTTGTTTTTCTTTTTCAGAAATCATCTATAATTCTCAGAATGCACACCAGCAACAGCAGCACCAACAACAGCAACAACAACAACAGCAGCAACAACAGCAGACGCTGTCCAATAATTCCAATCAGTACAGGTGAGTGTACACAGGGGAAGGTCATGATCACCATCGAAAAATATATTTATTGTTTATTCTCGCAGCAGCGGCAGTCCGTACTATGTAACCAATCAAAATTCCGGCGTAGCCGTGCAGCAGGCGCATACAGAGGGTGGTGTGAGTGCAGGTGGTGTCGGAGCTTTGATTGCGCTAAAGCGAAACCATGTGACGGCCGGAGGACCCCACCCGACCACTGCCACGCTTCACCATCAGCAGCAGGCGGCGGTGCAGCAGCAGCAGCATCAAGAGATTATCTACGAGGAGTTGCCAACCGACTACAGTGGCCACATCGACGCCAGCGAGGAGGAGTGCGTCACTACTGCCGATGCTACCGTGGCCAAAAGACCCAAATATGTGTCCGAGGTGCTCTGATGCGTGCGCATTCAGAAGCATAAGCCAAGCAAGGGCAAATAGTAGGAGCAGTAAGAGCCGGCGGACGGACGGACACGGAAACTCAGTAAAGATCAGCAAGCAGAGCAGAGCGGAACGGAACGGAGCGCACGCGAAGAGATGATTAGAAGCAAAACAAAAAGTATCTCCATCTTGTATATTGAATTTGCCAATCCAACAACCTAGAAACCTAGAAAAAAAAGAATCCAAACAAAATACCAAAACCCTAACGCGAACGAAAAGTTGTATAAAAATTGATTTATGGAATATTTGATGAACGGCCACCAGCCCAATCCAATGCCTGGCCGTGCATCCGTACAACGGAATGCACCATTTTCCAAAACTTGAGACCCCCAAGCTACCACTTAACCTTACCCCTACCCTTACCTTACCAACCCCCTAGATCTGACGAATTCAATATGCTCGATGACGCTACTCTCTAAGTAATATATTAGATTTAAGTTTAAAGCGAAAGTAAAACAGCAAACAAACAAAATTATATAAATATATATATATACATATATATATATATATTCGATTGATTATTGTAATGATTGATTATGATTATGATGTTTAAGATGTTATAGCTATGTGACCGAATTGTGCAAGGAGCGATAAAGTAGGGGACAACCACGTGACAACCAACCAACCACAAAAGTAACAAAAAAAAAAAATACAAACAGGCGAATGAATATCTACCTATCTACATACCTTTACCTATATCGATTTAAAAACATTAAATTACAAACAAAAACATTAAATGATGAAAAATTAATAAGAAAATATCTACAAATTTACGGATACAATAACAATACAAACCATCTAGTATATATACAGATATATATATACATATATATATGTATATGTATACATATATATATATACATATATATATATATATAAAGGAGCAACTGCACTTTATTTCTTATTAATGAAGAAAATCCCATTTAAGTGTTTGGACATATTGTGTATTAAAAAACAAACAAAAAATCAAATGTCAATCTCTGTATCTGGTTTTCTTTTTATTCTAAGATTGATATCCAAAGGCGCTTTTAGGCTTACATTTCTTCGATGCTATCTTATACAACAAATCATATTTGGACTCGAGAGTCAGAAGCTTGGATTTGCCGGGACCCTTGTCAAATTCATGGACATCCATGGCTTCATAGTTGATATAAGTCAACAGATCCTTTACATATTCATTATTGACCTTGTGTTGCTTCGGCTCTGCGGCGTCTGTGCCTTTGTCCGTTTCTTTATCGCTCTTCTCGATTTTAAACGGATTCTCGTTGGCGTAGGCATCGGTTTTTTCGTTGGACTGCGAGGATAGGCCTTTGAACTGCCATTTGAACTCGCAAAAGGAGACAAAGCCATACATGGCAACGTATTTTTCAATAATCTCAAAACGAATGATTTCCGAAAGGGAAAGCAATTTGATGTATTCCCTGAAGACGTCCGATCCCAGCTGATAAACCTCACCGGGTACAGGATCGCGAAGGGACCGTATGACCTGGGAAGGTATCCTTAATTAAATCCTCGTTGGTAATGTGATGCGCATACTCAAAGACTTTGAGCAGATCGGGATACTTCATTTTTGGTATTCTTTGCTTGATAATCTCCATGCAGATGGTTGACAACGTTGGCACCAGGTACATGGTGGCAAAGTCCATTAGTTTGATGATCGTCCCATTGTCGTAGCTGGTGACCGCCTCCTTATCGTATGTGTAAGCAAAGAGGCGGAACTTTTCGAATGTTTTGGCTGTAGTGTCGGACAGCCAAAGCTCTCCGGAGACAGCTTCCGTGAAGCCGGATTGGAATCCGCGCTTGAAGAAGTCCGAGGCAAGTCCCAGGATCACCTTATGGCACTTGAATCGTTTCATCTCGACAATCACGCAACAGTCTGCGAAATCCTCCTCCACGGTAAGGAGTTTAAAGGCACTGGCAAGCCTGCGGAACAAGATCAATGCACGTGTGGATTACCCATTTATTATTTTTAGCCCGCCAGGCGCTTACCATTTCTCCATTGTCTCTCCCCAGTATCACAGTATGCAGCTCAGCAGAAAACAAGATCAATTAATTAGCAAAGAGCTGTGCACCAGGCTCTAGACTGTATATCACACAAATAAAAAGCTTAGGGGTGTTCCAGCCAGTGCTTTTGATTTCATACAAATCATCCAATGCTTTTGATAAAAATTATGGTTGGTACCGGCAACTTTGATGATACTAATTCCCACAGTTAGATAAAAGCTCAAACTAATTAATTTATAACTTGATATTAATCTAAGGGTAAATAAATTCCCATAGATATGTTGTTATGTAGAAAATGTGTAGTTACCATGTAAATATAAGGACATTTTTTTGAGCTTAGTTTATACCTTATTTTATAAGCAATCGAATAAAAAGAGCTAATTAATCTTGTTGAAAATTGATTCATCAACAGGATAAAATGATATGTTTAGCGCTGAGGGTCCTAGTTAGCTAGTAACATTAGACTGAATATCAAAATTGAGAAATATTATTTAGCTATCAGTCTATGTACGGATTTTTTTTAACAAATGAAGGTATATTTCGGTATATTTCTGAGGATCAGACTGGTATATTTTAACGATGAATCCGCAGTCACACTAAAAGCCGGTGGTTGCGCGCGACTTCGTCCAGCTTAAATTTCTTCAATAAATAATTTATTGATTTAAAAAAGTGCTGCTATTCAAGTGAGTACCACGGCGGACAAGCCACTTAAGCTCCGAGGAAAGTTGTCAAGCCCGTTTAGGGATAGAGAGGCTAGGAAAATGATTTTCAAACAGTGTCTCAGATGCTGGTGCGCGCTAGTGAGTGTGTGTTTGTGTGAATATCCTTGTGTATCCTTCTGCAGTCTGGATGGCGCCGCGTGTTTTCGCCATCCCGCGTGGGTGTACGTGTGTGCGCGGGCACATACATACATTTTTGGCAATTTATCTCCACAAAACAAATGCAAAATAAATGAAAAATTTCGCTTGGTCTCAAAACAAATTCCAATTTTGTTTGTGTGTTTGCCTAGAAAAATCAATAGACACGAAAATTGATTCAGAATCGGTTGAAGAAACTGTAAAAGGGGAGGCGAGAGGTGGAAATCGGTTTGCTGCTGAATAAGTTTCGTGGCTTTCTTCACGCTTTTATTTGCTCGCCGCTGACCCGCGTCGAGTACAGTTTACAGTTCCTTTCAGTTTGGCATGCACTGGCCGTCCCATGTGCAGCTGTTTTCAGAGGCTTCCCCGTCTCTGTTGTGGTTCATTGTTGTTGCTTTCGCAGCTGCAGCAACAAACCGTTAGGATCCGACTACACCCTGCGCACACTCACGCATACACTCTCTTTACTCTCATCTCCTCCGGCAGCTTCCAGACTGTTCGAGGATAACAGTTACATTCCTGTTTCTTCACGCTCCCCCGTGACCCGGCATGATTCATTATGCTGCCACCCACTATGGGTGGGACCAGGACACATCATCCTCATCCCCTTGACAGATTTGTTTTTGTGAAATTTTCTTCAAGCTGGGTTAGGCTGTCTTATCAGAATTTTTCCTATTACCTTGTGACTCAAAATAATGACAGATTAGTTAACTTTATTAAATAAAACTTTGGAATATTAATTATGCAAGTTATTAATCACATCACCTTCAAAGATGTAATGCATTTCCAATTTTGTGAAATTGGTTGAACTATAAGAAATGGGCTAAATCGACCCACTGTGCCAGTCTTACGGTTCGTGTGTTGGAGTACAGAGCAGCAGAGTGATAGGAAGCAGCAAATACTTTAACTATGTGTACAGTTTTTTTCGGCTACGAACTAAATATAAAAGCAAAAGAAGAAAACAAAATAGAACAGCAGCAAAAGGAAAAGAAAATGAATTAACATTCTAAAATAGCGCGACGGAAAAAAAAACCTTAATGGCTCTAAGACCTGCACGCGAACGATGCAGTTACTCTGAAACTGCACAGTTTATTGAAACATCCACGGTATTTCGCTTTTCCCATATTTCAACATTTTCTGCTTACGTCAAACAAACCAATTTTGAATTGCAAACAACCAATTTATTCTGCACGAATGATATCACGAGTTAAACAGATTGATGGGAGGGAGAGTTGGGTGTGGGCAGACATTTCGCAAGGTCACCGGAGAACCGACACTCTCTCTTCCCCTTGCAGGCTGCTTCGAAAACTGCGAGTACAGTTTTGCTTTACCCTTTCCCCACTCTCAGTGTCTTCCCATCGCTGGTGTTCCAAAAATCTTAAACAATCCCAAAGCACCTTGAAATCTCTTTTAGATGATTGCCATCGCATTGCAGCATTAATTTCAACTACGGCTAATATTTAACTATAAAACATTAAATTATCTTTCCATAAATATTTTAAATATTTTTGGATAAATGTATTGAAATCCAGCGCATTTCTAGAGTCTGCTGGAACATTGAGAATCTTGAGATTTCCGACATCGCGATCGTAGATGCTCTCCTCTCCTTCCTCAATCTCTCCACCTTCCTCTGCGTTATTGCTTCTGCCAAATGGTATTCCAATATGTATAGATTATTTTGTTGTTGCTTTTATTTGCCTACATACATATGTAAATAAAAACACATATGTGCATATATGTATGTATGTATGTATGTAAAATTCAATGAGGCAGCACCAGACGCCTGCCTTTTGTTGTTTCGTTTCGGCTCCGCCAAAAATTTCGCTCGTTGAGTTTCTTGTTCTTTCGTCTGGCCCGGCGCACGCCCTGCCCGTCACACGTTTTTAGAATCAGCCGACAAACTCGTGATTTGATTGCGGATCGCGTGTGATGGAAAAAACCCCAAAAGAAGTTCAGAAAGAAGTTTAACGAGATGATTGAGGAGACTGCTAACACGATTAGTTATGTTAATGTCCAGAATAGAGAACAGAGCGGAGCAGGCAATTCGGGGAATGGGTAAAAGTAGCCCCGCCCCTTCTGTTTGCGCACCAAATCTGGTACAGTCAGCCGCACGTGTTGATCGTCATTCGCAATGTTGTGAAATTGTGAAGTATACATACGTACATACATTTGTATAATTGTAAACTGAATATACATACATATGTATGTACAGTGATTAATCTCTTAAGATGACAATCAAAGTTCCACTGTATTGGTTCGTCATTGGGAATTTCTTTCAAATATAGATGCTCGTAGTTAGATCCCTAGATTGGAATAAATGAGAATTGAAAGCTGTGTGGCATCCGATCGTGTCGGTTCTCCAACATAGCATTCACTGTACCTACATAAATGTATCCAGCAGATGAGTTTCCATCTCATTTGTCAGTAATAATTGCTAAAGTATTTCTAGATATTCAGCGCTCTCTTTGATTTTTTTTCCGCAAGCTGTTAGAAGACCTTCCACCCGTTTGTTGCCTCAAATTGTTGCACGTGTTTGTTAATTATTTGCTCCTCACACTTGAAAGCATTTTGAAGAAATTTTGAATGCCGGAGGCTTATCGATTGAAATGTGCTCTGGGTCGTCTCCCCTCGGCGTTCAGTTTGACGGCCACTGGATGAGGTGGTGTTAATTTCCAAAAGAGTTGCCCCAGCCGGATTCGAAACGTGACCTTGAACTTGCAGCAACCACCCCCAAAAGGGGAAACCAACCACCACAACAACAAGTGGAAACTGTGTTAAGGGTGCACTAGCGATTGGTTTTGGTGGTACGTTGCGAACCGCCCTGAAAACGGTACGGGTGGCAGGTCTTTACTGAGCCCTCCCTGCCAGGCGCCGCTTGCCATGATCCGTCCTTGGGATATTGTGGAAAATTAAATCGATATTAAATGCAGTTTGCTCCATGGAAGCGGCAGTGTAAATAGCCTTGACATTGGCACCAGCAGCAGGTGGGAGTGCACCTCTCTCCACCATATCACACTCGGCTGCACTCGCAATTCAATTCATTTTAATTTGTGCTTCCAATTTCATTTCCATGTCATAGAATGGTTCCCCCTCTCTCCCTCTCTCTTGCTTCGTGCACTATGCTGCTATGCCTTAACGGTGAATTCCAATTACAGAGAGCAGCCTAGGGTTTCCAGACTGTACATGGCATTTCACAATGGAGTGCAGGGACAGTGGGTCACAATCGTTAATCAATGTGACGTAATAAATAGAAGAGCAGAGAACGATACTGTACAGGAATTTACCCATATATAATGCTATATTTGCCCCACTGTGCGAGCTTATACTCTTACCGATTAATGCATGTTTTATTGAAATGCCATAATTCTCTTGCACTCTTTACTCTCCAGGTTCGAGGACATTACACAATTTCACCGACAGTTTTATTAGCACTGCAATGGCTCTAAAACATTCCGCAGTTGCGTGTTTGGGATATTTTTAGTTCTCAAAGTTCGAAATAGCACTAAATTTGAATTGATTGACGTAGAACTATGATTACATGCTTCTTTGTGGGGGACTTGCAGGCTGTTATCGAATCGTGGCGGTTGGAACGGCTTTGAATGAGTGGAAGTGAGAATTTTTCGCACGCAAAAATATTTCGCGACGATACGTCAGCGTCAGGCGTAATCAGCATAAAGCGTTGCCGACCTTGTCACGACGCGGTGCCAGCCATTGTCCTGGTTACTATCCTTCGACCTCTGCCTCTCCCACTGTGTATGTATGGGTTACATTGGGGAAAAGCCGTTTGGGTTACGAGTATTTGGACACCAAATATGTATTGTTCTGCGTGTGAGAGGTGGGACGCTTTTGTTCTCTGTCCTATTAGGGTGCCAGATGGCTAATTACAAGATGTATGAGTAGGGAATTGAAACAATAGATATTTAGTAGATAGAATTCAATTGGAGCGCTCTCTCTCTGTGACATGTTAGCATACATCAGCCCTTTGTTCGGTCGAATGCAAATCGTTTATATAACCTGCATCTTTGCCCTGGCCAGACATGCCATTGATCTTCATTCTACACAATAAAACCCCATTGTTTGTTAAATTTACACTGATGACTACAATCTGCACAACAAATGACAACAATTGCAGCAATTACAATACGGGGCTGGGTTTGCTATGGAAAAACTACATCCAATTTTCCAATTCCAGTAATGAACTTTCAATTGAAATTGGAAAACGCATTGTTTACCGGTTGTTACCGGTTAATGGCAGTCAGAATACACAAATTGAATGGAATTGAATATTGAATCTAATAATATTGTTCTCCAAAAAAGTACTGAACCATATACCAAAAAGCTGTTTTAACCGGTTCGAATCTCAGTAATACTCGTACCTTATGAGTTTTCATTTGAAATAAAATCGATTCAATTGGCTTTAGACTTTCGAACGATCTGGTCCATTTAGGGAATAACGGGTATTTACTGTGGGGTATAAACGTTGAATTTTAATGAATAATCATCTATGCCTAAACATGTTCCTTTTTCTCTTCTGTTTTTTTTTTTCAGACATGGTGAATAATTTTCTGCGGTGGAAACAAATTAGCTATCCCAAACGTCAGGTAAGTCCCAACACAACTAATCGAATCTCAGAGCCCTATACATAGTTATTCTCTCTATACTTTGTTTTTCTTTCAGTTGGCAAACTCGACATCTTTTAACTCCTACTCAACATAACAAGAAACTTCTTGATTTAACTGAAACATCACCAATATCCACTAACTCAACCAACAACTTGATCGTTTAATCCATCAAACTATACGAGTATGCTAAAAAAGGAGTCATCCGCGGGATTAAATGAAACGAAAGTGGTGCCAATGTTGAGTCTATGAGCAACTTATCAACTGAGCTTGAATTCCAATAACAACATCAGCGAACAGCAGGGATTATTCAGGCCAACAAAAGGAGGAGTTTTTATTTTAACTTTGGAATATTATTCGTTTCGTTCGGTGTTTAGTCCTCTGGTCAAATTGTGTATTTCTAGGATTTTAACTATTTATTGAATATTTTTAGAGGTAGAGCAGAGAGAGAGAGAGAGGATCTGATAGATCAGATCTTTTAGAAGGAAGAAGGAAACATTTCAGGGCATTAGTTACTTAAGTCAAGTCACTCCAAGCACTTTGTGTATCCCACACGGCGAGTTGTTCACCGATTTTCATTATGAAAATAACAACAATGAAGTTTAAGCGCAAATATGGCTGTTTAGAGAATATTTGAAACGAATTTTTCACTTATTAACCAATTTGGATTTTTGTTTCGACCATCATTTGTTACGTAGTCTTGTATTTTATAAGTTCCAATCGATTGTTTTGCGCCAATCGTCAAACCATCCAGCCAGCCATCCACCCAATCCGATCCCCCACAATCCACATTGTTTTTGCAAAAGAGTAAACCATATTTAGTTAGCTTCTGAGGTAGAAGTTCAGAGTTGAAGGGAGAGTTTTGAGTTATTTGCATCCAACCAACGACAACAATCGAAAAAAAACCATCATGGAGCCATTCTCACCGGATCTGCTATGGATGGTCATCATTGGCTTCCTGATCGCCTTTGTCCTGGCCTTTGGCATTGGAGCCAACGATGTGGCCAACTCTTTTGGCACCAGCGTCGGCTCGGGCGTGCTTACCATTCGCCAGGCCTGCGTCCTGGCCACCATCTGCGAGATATCTGGCGCCGTACTCATTGGTAAGCCATCCATCCATAGGCCCGTAAAATACTCTGATCGATACCAACTAATCCATCGTCACCCTGTAGGCTACAAGGTGTCGGACACGATGCGCAAGGGAATCCTGGAGGTGGGCATGTACGAGGGTTACGAAAATGTCCTGATGCTGGGCTGTGTGTCTGCACTGGCCAGCAGCGCCGCGTGGCTTCTGGTCGCCACCTTCCTGAAGCTGCCAATCTCGGGCACACACAGCATTGTCGGCTCCACCATCGGCTTCTCGCTGGTGGCACGCGGAGTGCAGGGCCTTAAGTGGTCCACGCTACTCACCATTGTGGGCTCGTGGTTCATCTCGCCGGTGATGAGCGGCATTGTGAGCATTCTGCTCTTCCTGGCCATACGCCGCTTCATCCTGCGTGCCCAGGAGCCGCTCAAGGCTGGCTTCCGATCGCTGCCCATCTTCTACGGTGTGACATTCTTCATCAACGTCATCAGCGTGGTGCTGGACGGACCCAAGCTGCTCTACATGGACAACATACCCACTTGGATAGCGTTGAGTGTCAGCCTGGGCCTGTCCCTGATAGTAGTGGTGCTTACCCAGCTGGTGGTGGTGCCGCTTCAGCGTCGGAAGATAGAGAAAAGGTTGAGGGCCGAGAATCCGGTGAAGTTCAATTTTGAGGACTCTGTCGGTGAGTTTTTTCTAAGACTCAGGGGAACCTGAGAGGAGAATCTAAATGAATCAATTTCTTACAGAATCCTCGCCATCGGGCAGCCCCAAGAAGCAGCGTCGTCCCCTGTCGCTGGTCAGCGAGGGAAAACCGCTGCCCGCCATCGCCGAGATCACCGAGCTGGTCTCGCTGAGCGACAACTCCCCCAAGACCTTTAAGCTGGCGCCCTTTGGGCTAGCGGCCAAGAACAACAATGCGCCCGGGGAGGAGTACAAAATCGATCCACAGCTGATCAAGAAGGCTGAGGATCTGCTAGGCAAGGCCAGCCTGGACAACACCGATCTCACCATCACCAGCCTCAACTTTATCGACGAGCAGCAGCAACAGCAACAGCAGCAGCAGAACGGACGCAAGCTTCAGGAGTGCTTCAAGCGCATTCAGTCGCCCAAGGAGGAGCACAAGTCGCAGCAGCAGGTGGCCAGCGGTGTGGGAGCCACCGCTGCCGTAACTGGAGCAGCTGGCAAAGGCACCAACAATAATCTGCAGGTGGTGGAGAGTGCCGGAAGTCTGGACCTAATGATCAGCTCCACCCTGTCGCCGAACTCCAGCAAGGTGCCGCTGATCGAGAGCAAGGAGGCGCTGAATGAACAGGAGGACGAGTTTAAGCGGGCCGCCGGTCGTCGTGCGAGCAGTGCCGAGGAGACCGAGGAGATCTCCATGCTGTTCTCGTTCCTGCAGATACTTACGGCCACATTTGGCAGCTTTGCGCACGGTGGAAACGATGTGAGCAACGCCATCGGACCTTTGATCGCACTCTATATGATCTATCGCGAGGGTTCGGTGATGCAGCAGGCGGAAAGTCCCATTTATATTCTAATCTACGGCGGCATCGGCATCTCCGTGGGTCTCTGGCTGTGGGGACGGCGCGTCATCGAGACCATTGGCAATGACCTTACAAAAATTACCTCATCGACGTGAGTGGAATCAATTGATTGGCTCTCGAATGGAAGAATGTAAACACTAATTCATGTTCATTTTTTTTTGCAGTGGCTTTACCATTGAAGTTGGAGCCGCCATCACCGTACTGCTGGCCAGCAAAATTGGCTTGCCCATTTCGACCACACACTGCAAGGTCGGTTCGGTGGTTTTCGTGGGTCATGTGAGTTCAGCGGGTCGCAAAAAGAACCCCGTGCAGGATCAGAAGGAGCTTCAAGCGGGCGCTGAGAAGCTAGCTCGGGAGCCAGCTGTGCCCATGGAGGATGGCAGCGTTGACTGGCATCTGTTTCGGAACATTGCCTACGCCTGGATAGTGACGGTGCCCGTGACCGCTCTGCTTAGCGCTGGCATGATGTACGTGCTCTGCCTGCTGGCCGTAGATGACATGGGTCGGGCCTAGAGAGAGCCATCCATTCAATTATTAATTGTAATTGTCAAGCAAAACTATGTTTCGTAATTGTACAAGTTGGTAAACACACACAAAAAACCTAAGGTTAATCACGCAAAAGAAAACAAAGAAGTGAGCAAATCTAAACAAATTACTCGCCTAACTAAAGCATTGTACTCGTACTTAGCTCCTAGAATGTCTTTGATGCTAACCGATCGATATTAATATGATTTAATATGTCTACTACGCCAAGCATGTCGTGATCATTTTTTTTTATACAACTACTGCGACTATTTCCAGTTAGAATTTGCAAAACCAAAGGAAGCGCATCTCCATTATTTTATAGAATTTTGTGGTCCAAGCCCCCCGATTCAATTTAATTTACAATTAATACCATTAGCTCACGGGTACTCAACTTCCACTCCCCCCCACACCCAAAATATGAACTGCCCGCAGCAATAGAACAGAGCAAAACACTTGAATAAAATACAAACTATGTACAACAACAAAAAGACCTCTATATGAACCTGGTCGATTATCACAACTTTCTTTTCTACTCAGTTTTATCGATTATTAATGTACTATTTGTTCATTTTTATGTTTTTGTTCCTTAAGGACTGCCTAAACAACCTCATTTGATCTTCAAGGCTTTTACTTTTCTTTTTTAGAGATTATTTCGAACTTTTTCGAATTTATTTTTTTAATCATTCATTTCGACACCATTGAAAATCAAGTACTCAAGAGGCTCTCCAGTCCGTCTTTCATTTACATTCCATTTGAGAGTCCAGTTCGTAAAGTATTTCACTATGTAGTCATACGAGAAATAAATACAAAGTTATGAAATATACGCATCTTATTATTCGGATAAAGTTGTAAATGTTTTACATTTGGGATGGTGATAACAGAAACGGCTGAATATTATAAGGATTCGACTGTGGGAAATCCGTAATATATAGGTAAATATACTTGTAGAGATTTGTTTCGAAATAAACTTTAATCATATAAATTAGGCAACTTATTTGCCTCCTTCTTTGCCCAGCACGAATTATTTACTATATTTCGAACAGTTAACTAAAGCAGTGGAATCTGGAGTTCTGCAGACAGCTGTGGAGAGACCCTGGCGAAACATGGTCCTTGAATGAGGATGCCAACTAAGGAAACTAAGTTTGCCGCCAGATACTATGGATATGGCAAAGGGATCACAGTCCAGCTCCATGTAAGAGAATAAATAATAATTTAATAATAATAATTTCCAATAGATAATTTCCTACACATAGCACATCGAACAAAACTAAGATGGTAGAGATTATCTCATAGTCGCAGACTTCCTCCGAAAATCATTCGATTCGTATGCTTAACCCGTTGCCGTCTCTTCGGCTGCGTTCAAATAACCCTACGTCCAAAAGCTCACCTGAGCTCACCTGAGCTTTTGGAGCACAACTTACCTACCTGCTGCGCGCTGAGCTTTTGTCTCACTCTCTCTCTCGGATCCATTCCATCTGCCTGCTAGCGAGTGGAGAGCCAAGCCAAGTGAATAAGTTATTTGGCGCTTTAGTGCCCAGTCGATTTTTAAGCTTCGACGCGTTCGGTTGGGAAAAAACTTTACCCCGATTCCGCGTGCTTTTGAGTCCCGGTGTTGTTTTGGTTTAATCTGAACACTCGTAACGCCTGCGCATTTACCCACAAAACAAAGTTGTCGTCGTTCGGTGTGCAAACTGTTTAAATCATTTGACAAAAACATAATACAGTGAGAAATCGAAAACTTGTGCAACACGTGGTGGAACACATTTGGATTTACGGATTCACGCTTGATAACTGCTTAAAGGTGAGACTTCAAGATGTATAAACAAGATGCTGATACGAGTACTATGAGGCGTACAATTCCTTCGCAGAGCAAGTAAAAAATTCCCCAAAGATTATTTGTATGGGAGGCAGCACTTGTCTCATTGAGTCTCTAGTCTCTACGTACAAGTACTATTACTTAATTTCTCTGCTTAATCCGATTTCCGTGCATTGAACTCTTTTCATCTTTGGGTATTTTCTGTTGCCTTTTTATTTTTGCAACTTCTTGTGGTTTCGTTTCGTATTTGTTGCCTGCTGATTGTTTTTGTGAGTGTGTTTCTTTTCCGTTTCTTCAATCTGTCTGCCCCCTCTCTACCCTCCTCGCTCTCTGCATCTCTCTCTTTGGTTTGTTCTCATTTTATTTAATGAGTTCTCCGGTATTATTGTTTTTGTTTGTTGTTGTTGTGGTTGTATTGTTCAAAAGCCTGTTTTGTTCAATATTATTGTAGTTATACCGTATACACGTACATATATGGGGTCTGAAAACGTTTTAGCAATTTAGCCAAACAGAAAATATTAGCAAGTGGATTTGACTTTAATGAGCGGCTCTTTATCCCAGTTGCAAGATTTAAAGCTTTGGCTTAAATTGATGGAAAATATTGAATGAAACACTTATGTTTGTATGTCCCTCTAAGGCATGTTGTATGTTATCCATTTAACGATATTTCTATTAATTTTAATTGCCTTTAAAGTGGCATAAAGTATTTTTGGATGTTTTGGGATTAAGATTCCCTTTTTTTTTATGATAAATATCCGTTAATGTATTTGACTGTGGCATTTTCCGTTCATTCTTTTAGAGCAGCTTCTCCGACTCCCAAGTCTTCTGCTGATAGAGTATTAACTTCAAAGCTCAAATATCTTCGTTGTAGATCTGTCTAAATATTTTCCCTCAGTTAGCAATGTAATTAACAGCTTGGCAAATGAATTACTCTTTTATCCCATGCAAATCGTAGATGAATGCCAAAATTCTGAGCTCAGCATGTGCGACCCATTTCCCCCCAAATGAATCTCTTCGCCATCTCTCAGCGGCGGACCAACAGGTGCTCTATGGCTTCCAACGGGGTGGCGTGGCAACGATCTCCCGGGCCGCATTATGCTGACGGTTTAGCGGTATTCAAGTCAAAGCGATGCCGACACCAATAGATTAGCAAACTGAACAAACCTAAACCAAACCCACTTACAGAAAGCAAAGAATCGCAGAACAAAAGCCAAACTATCGAAGCCATTAACTGGGCAAAAGCCAGCACCCGTCCGTCCCCGTACGACTCCGGTCCGAGTCGGAGCCAAAAAGTCATTAAAGACAAAAATCTATTGAAAACAGCAAACAACACGCCTTAAAAATACTTCGTTGTAGTCGAAAGGGAGGGGGCAAAAATATTTCTACTGCACATGCGAGTCTCTTCGCGGGTCTTGAGAGACTCTTTGTGCTGGCCAGGTGGATGCCATGCCCCCGCTCTTGGCCCCGACCACTGGCCATGTTAATTATGCGCTTATCAGTTCATTACAGCAGTTGGAATTTCTCCTGAATCCAGCTGAAAAAACAGCTACTAGCACATATCCTCGATGTGGATAGATGGTCATACTCCAACTCCAACTCCAACTCCAACCCGTAATTACTCGGACACTCCACAAGCAAGATGTTGGCTGCTGCTCAAATTCCGATTGCGTTCTAATTTCGTGGCTCTCTCCCTCTTCAATTAATCAAAATTATATCTATCGGATGGCTAGCATCCCCGCAATACATCATGCATGGGGGATACTCTGGTACGATCACACATGTAATTACTCGATGCTTTGCACTCCACTTGGGGGAACAGCACCAGCAGCAACTACAACTGCAACGACTTTTTGCATACACTGAGAGAAAGAAGCAGTGTTATTAGACTACCAGTTTAACCAAAAGATATTGTTGATTGAATGTGGAGAGATTTACTTGTGCACAGGTGTAGTTTAGTTGAATTCGGGGGAATATAACCAAGTCCGAGTAAACCTTTTTTCTGCTTTAATAAAACAAAATAGATGGTAAAAAAAACTAGGAAATATACCCTTATATCCAATTAAACAGCAGCATCAAATCGTAATTACAAAATATGTATATTCTTGTGAGAAGTTTCATCTAGATAAAAACATAATTAATCATATTCCTAGCATGACTTCGAAAATCTTTATTTAGCCATCACTATTGCTTCCATTGTACAAGCGGAATGATAACCCTCGCAGCGATCGAAATATCCAACCGATATTTGCCACTTTTCCAACTTTCTCTGCAAGGCTCCTTTTTGGCCGTTTGGTGTCGATCGTTGGCCACTGCCACAAGTTGCGACTGGAGTGTGAAGTGCCTTGCCACATGCTCGTGTGGCCCGGGAGTGGCCGTGCCAGAGACACTCCCCCGTCCTCGATTACTTTTGACAATCTATAAAAAAATATTGATGCTAATACAAGTGTTCAGTTTCAATCGAGGGGAAGTGCATACACGGAAAGAACCAGTTGCAAAAACTTTACCCATTAGCTAGAATGGATCTGTGATCTCAGATATACATATATTGACAGGGTGGAATATATGAGTTTAACTCTTCTAAACAAGACTCTCCAAAGCGCGGGAACACTTTTGGATCTTTTCATATGAGGCGTATTACATACACCACTTGGATTGTTAGTTTGTAATGATATTCGTGGGATAAAATTATTCACAATGCATTTTTAATGCATTTTTTGATTGACTTATGGGTGTGCCATCGTCGCACATAAATATGCAACATTGAGGTTGCGTAAGCGTAGAAGAAAATAGCATACAAATGTCACCAGAAAAGGGGAAACAAAATGACGATTTTTCCGATTGCGTAATAACCCCAAGAAGCAAGTGAAAAAAGACCCAAAAAAAAGCCAAACAAAATTATGATGAATGCAACGAAAAATTGAATTTGAAATTGTATAGACAAAGAGCGTGAAAATAAAAAAGAAAATAAAATACTAAACATTGAACACTGAACACTGAAATAATGGCAACTTTCTAACATGGCAACATGCTGCATGGCTTTGAATGTTTCCTGCTGCCGCGTGTCCGTGTGTCCGTGTGTCCCATGGCTTTCCTTGAATTTCCTTTTTCTGTCCGGCACATTATCGCCCCGAAAAACTCACTTGACAGCCGCGTACCCCCGGCTACCTTCCACCCCGTGGTCCGCATCATTGTCATTGGAGTCGACGACTCCACGCGGGCACACCGACTGCATGCATTTCCCACTCAAGACAGCATTTCATAAAGTTTATTAAACTTTAACCAAATTGTTAAAGCGGCGATTTGCTGCTGCCCAAGCGGTGCCCCTGCCACCACCCTCCCAGACGCGACGGCCCATTCACTTTTAGTGCGGCGAGGGGGCCGCCGTTGCATGCTGCTGCTGCTGTAGGCGCCCCAAACGAGTCCATCAACTTTGGCCAAAACAAACGGCCACATTGGCCCGGTCCGGTTGGGTCTGGTCTGGTCTGGCAGAGGACTGGGCGGGGGCAGGCATTTTCTGTGAAGTGGCAGGCATTTTCCTTGAAACACACACTCCACACGAGGCCAGGCATTCGCAGTCGCATCTCTGCATCTGTCTCTGCCTTGCGAATCGCAAAATTAATTTTCATTTTGCATGAACTGTCAAAAAGTAAAATCTATCAAGCGACTACTTCCTTTCGAGGAAAACGCAACGGGAACGATGGCAAAAGGAAATGCAAAGAAAATTTAATGAGAATTATGCAACTAAAATGTGATAACTGGGGGGATAAATATAAGGAATTGGGACAATCTGAGACAATTTCTCAAGCTAAGAAATAGCTCATAAAAGCAGACTCTTTTCTTTGTTTAGTTTTAAATTAAATAGAGCTGAAGCATTGTATATTTCCGTGCATTTTTCTAATGAAATCATTGGGGAAATTAAAAGAAATGCAAAAATGAAAAGCGAAATGGCACGTGACAAAGGAAAATTGGCAACAAACAATCGGCACATTTGCATTCTTTGTGGCTTTCCCTTCTACTGGCTATCTCCCTTGCATTGTTTGTCCAACTTCGACATCGAATGATCTGCGCTTGTCAGCTGACAGCAAGTGCCTGTCACTGATCCTGTCAAATGGACAGAAAGCGTACAGACAAGAGAAATTTTGTGGATTGTTTTCTTTTTATTTTTGGATTAATACCAACCAAAATAAGCCAACATTTTAAAGAGAAATGGAATGCTGAGCTAAAATATGTTACCGTATATTATTTTGGGACATTAATTTATGGAAATGATTTGAGCTTTGTGTAGATTTCTTATCCAATGGCACCCTTCAAGGGTACACTGACGCCTCCAGTCACCTTTCACTTGCACTCGAAGTGGATTTATGCCTGCGTTCCCCAATGAATTTCCACATAAGAGCCAACAAGACCATAAAAACCACCATAACTGAAACTGTCAGTGAGCCTTTGACTTAATTAGGAAAATGAACAAGTGCATAGGTCCAGTTGCGGGCCAGACTGCAGGCAGCCAGCAGTCAACAGCCACCAGCCACAGCTATTGGCATTAACCACATTAACCGCATTTTTCCATCAGGCAGCGATATGTCACTACCACTTGACTGTACCGGTACCTGTACCTGTACCCCCACCCACTCGAGTTGTGGGTTTGCCTTTGGGTGCTCTGTTGTTTAGTTGTTTTTGTTGCATTCACATTGAAAGTTGTTTCGCTGCGACTTGAGGCTTGAGACTCTACGGCAATGGCTATGTGGCTATGTGGCTATTGGAATTGAAATTGTAAAACCTAAGCAGGGAATCGAACACGAACCAGCTAATGACACTTTGCAATGGCGGAGGGGGAAAAATACATTTAATTGATATTGAAATTCGTTAATTGTCCGTTGTACCTGTTTGCATTGAAGAAGCTCATAAAATTTCGCCATAAGAAGTCGGGAAGGTGTTTAATTAAATTTGTTTAATGAATATAATTTAACAGGAATGTGCAGGAAAATACAACTCAAAAGAAATCTCTGAATATCTGCATAAAGAGAATTACTTAAGATATAGCCCAACCCTATAATTCTATAATCCTTTGTCGCGCAGCTCTGGCAATCGTTAAATCACAATTATTTCGCTCAGCCCGCCAACAGTTTAAGTCCTCAGAAATCAAATGATCCGTGTAATTTGATTTTAATTTTTAAATATTTATTTATTACCTCATTCTGCGCCACATCTGCAGCCACTTGGTGGCCCGCGCAGAACAAGTTTTTCAGAGCTTCAATTGTTAAATCGAAAGAGTTATAGTACTCGTGGTGGTACTTCGTAGTGGTATGAAAAGAATGCGGCAATAATCGCCAGCAGGCCAATAAACATAATTGCTTTGGCAGCGCAGTACTTTTGCCAATCACTTCGTGGGCGTGTCGCTGTGGTTTCGATGGATATTTCTATAGAAAACTAATCTGAAGCTGCTGGAACTTTCATTAAAAAATGCCAAAATGTCTATGTCTGTGGACAATCGGTGGTGGCCACAATTTGATTATGGAAATGCAATTTCCAGCGGTTTCTTCATCAAATATTATATGTAATTTTCCTGCCCAACATGCGAAATTATAACACGCATGTCGGACCCCATTTTCGATAGTATCTTTCGTTTTCGAACTATCATTTATTTTTTGATACATTTTTGCATTCAGTTTCAAAGCAAAGTGGAACGAGTTTTGACCTCAAAACCAATTCAAATCGCGCGGGGCGAGGCAGGCAGACTGAAAAGTACATACAGCAAAAGCAAAAGTAAAAAAAAGTTCACACCTAAAAGGCTTTTGGCTGTGAAAAAAATAGAAAACACAACGATTTATTTGGGACGGCCAGCCACGAGAGACACGAGAGGCAATAGTCCAGTCCAGCATGCAGTTTGCAGGTGAATAGCCCAATCCCCAGCTAAGCTGGGAGCTCCATTCAGTTTGGTTTTTGGTTTCTGTTTCTGCCCAGACCCACTGGGAGTCCACACCCCCAGACGTAGACGGAGCCGCAGACGCAGACCCCTCCACACAAAATCGACTTTTGTGCCAATTTTCAATGCAAATCGCATTAAGGCAAATGTTGCAAACGGCAGCCAGCCAGCCAGCCTTTTCGGCCTTTTGCACACGCCACAGATACAATTTGTAACAAATTTCCTAATGACCAACAAAGCCGAGAGCACAACAAAGTGCCCGGGGCCATCGAGATCGGGCAAAATGGAATTGAAATGAAATATAATGTAATGAATGGTCAAGGGAGACATGGAGAAAAGGTAAAAGACTACACAACTAGTGCTCAAAATAACTATAACGAGCATATTTCCATTGTTATATTGATAGAGAAATCTGCAGGAATATATATAAAAAAATATAAGTGCATATACTCGTAGTAACAGAATTTACTACAAATAATATTGTGTGAATTTTCTTGGTTTTGTTTTTCCATAGCATTGAATCACACTCTCCATTGGTTTTGCCATTTAATTATCTGCCTGCAAAAGATAGTAACTCTTCCAGCACACTATCATTAGCTGATTAGTGTTGCACTTGTTTCATTTTTCACCATTTTGGCCCCCTCCATGCCACATATCATGGTTCGATTTAATTGCCTTTCAGTCTTATTAATCGGCTAATAAGCAAAGTGGCCGAGTCGCAGACAGGCCCCTGTACTATCGTATTGGCCAGATAGGACGGACGGACGGACGGAGAGCTCCGTGAAGCCGTTAATGCTGATTACGGTCCATTTGCGTTTGGCTGCACTTGCAGTGGCTTTCTGCGGGCCAGCCTATGGTCTGGTCGTTGGCTCTGCCTTGTTTATGCGGTGCTCGTAAACATTTTGCATGTCTCCTCCCATTGTTCACAGCTGCTTGGTCAAAATGATGCGAGTTTTGGCATAAACATCAAGTAAAAGTCATACTTCATTTAACGTTGGCAAAAAGAAAACTTTTGCTTGAGAATCATTTACGCTTTTGGGGAGTTTTTCGCATTAGGTTTTAGCTGAGATTTTAAGATGAGTTAACAGATGAGAAAGTTTTTATATTATCGTGATATAATTACCAGGGAAGTAGGGAATACTTTTACTACTACATTGTTCACACCATTTTTGCGCATTTATTCAGGGGAATAATAATGGAAAAAAGTTGCAGAATAAAATTTAATAAATAAAAATCTTTTGGTTAGGAAATTGGCACCGAAAATTTTATTTTATTTTATATTCAATCAGTATCAGTACTTTATTACATTTAATAGAAGATTAAATGTAAAAGTAAGAGAACAAATTAAAAATTAAGGGAAAAATATCATTACTTTTTATACTCGTCTGTATACAATTCTGGAAAAAACAGAAATTACAATAATAATTATTGGTATTGCGTTTTAGTTTGGGACTCTCTTGAAATATGATTGATCATTAATTTCTTTATTTTATTACCCTTTTTTTGCAGGTTTGTAACGTGTTCCATTTGTCATCTCGTACGCTGGAGGAGCTCTGATCTCTTATATAGTTCGTATAATATGTATCTCTGGATCTGCGCATTTCTATTTTTATACGAGACAGAGCTACAATTGTGTGCGTGCGTCTGTGTGTGTGCGTGGGTAGGAGGGAGGCCCACAAATCAAAAATGTTAATTACGCAGGTAGAAATCGCAAGTTCGGGCCTCGAATTGTCCCGTCCATTGACTGCCAATCAACGTGACTCTTTGGCTAATGGAAATTTGGAATTTTGGCTAGAGATTTATGGCAATGGCCACAACGCAGACGCTCTTTCAAGTTCAATGCAATGGGAAATTTTCGATTAACTGAAAAAAAGTAGACGAGAGAAAAAATAGAAATTGGCCACTTGAAAGCCATCCACCGCCGCCGCTCAGTCAATTGACAGAGGAAGCAGACGGAATGGCCGGCCAAGATACAAAGATACGCAGATACAGATACTGGGATGGATACACAAAAAGACGGAGATGGAGTAGGGGGACAGACAGGCAGACAGACAGACAGACAGACAGACAGAGACAGTCTTGTCAACCAACCTACGCTCTCTGTGCACTTGACCGGCTAATGGCTTTTTTGCGTTTCATTGAAGAGATCTCATACACACGAGAGCTCCCCATCCATCCCCATCCCCATCCCTGTCCGTATCTGTGTGTCTTTTTTTTCTTTTCACAATTTGGCGGCAGCTCGTTGAAAGTGAAATGTGTGAAAATGGCTAATTAAATGGCCGGACAGACAGCTTCACAGCTACATCTCCATCTCCATCTCCATCTGTGGCGGCTCTCCCTCTGGCCCTCTGTCCAGCTGGCAACTTCTTTTTGGATAATTCGATTTCCTTAGCCACACGTCTCACGCCTGCAATTTCACCTTCCCATCCTCCACAGCCCTGGCTAATTATGAAATTTCAGTTGTTCCGAAAGTACTTTCATCTCAGAGCTCACAGATCTCTGTGTGTGCCTCTGAGCGGTTCGTATGGAGCAAGTCATTTCCGTCAGTTTATTGAGTGATTTTAACGAGTGTGCCGATCCCCGAAATAAAAAAAAAACAACTTGTACCGAACCATTTGTACATTTGTTTTACTCATGTTTGTTTCACTTTTTTCTGTTGTGGTTTTTGGTTTTTGGGTTCTAGCCTCGGATCAACGATCAACCAAAAAGTTAAATGCTCAGCACGTAGCGGCAATTACGCCTCGCGTTCGTTGCTTAAGTCTTTTGTTTTACGACTAATTCAAGCCCCCCGAAATGTAATGACCAGAGCCATAATTGTTGGAATATATGTATGTACGTATGGTTTTGATTTAATGTCTTGTCCATTTGGTACAGAAACCTAGTTTTTTTATTTGGCTTTTATTAGGGGAAAGGGGAGATATATGTATAAGTACTCGCAAGAGTACGCAGAGCGAAGCAAATGTTAGGAAACTTGAGAAAGAAAGGCTAGCTTCAGGGCTTCAAAGTTTCAGTTGGCTTGTTTACTATTTTTATGATTTTTTAGATATATTTTAAAAATATTTTGGCGCCCATTTAATGTTGATTTAAAGATGTTGTTCAATAATCTCTTGTATAATGTTTGAAGTTTGAACTCCATAGTATTTGAACTCGCAATTCTTATGAAACTATCGTGTTGGACGAATGATCTGATTACAATTCTCTTGTTCGATATTTCTATTGGAACAATATAGTCCCCATAATCTATGCAAATCTCTTGGACAAAACCCCAAACGTGAACTCCGTTCGGAACCGTTGAACCTTTTAATAGAAATCTGAAACTTTGAAACTCTGATTGTGTTCCTCCCCACCCAAAAAGGAAATGACAGATTGGCAATCAAGCGATTGGGAAGGGAGAAATTTACTGAATAAGAAATGCTAATTTTTTTTGGCTTAAATAATTAATTCTGTAACTGGTTTTCGTTGTTGTAGTGGAATTTGAATGCAAAATAAAAAACAGAAACAGAAACAAAAACACAAGCAAGTTCTAGCATAAATTGTAAACAGGTTTCAAGCGAATCAAAACTGTGTCAGATCTTCAAGAATGCGCCAAAGAATTACACAAAATATTTCGAATTGCAAAATCTGGCAGTGGTGGTGGTGTGGTGGTGGCGCATTTGTCTCGAATGGCAATATCAGACATTTTCGAAAAACTAATTGGGCCTCCGACTGCATAAATAAACCTCGCAGCGAAGCGGGTCTCAAAGCGAAGTTCGTTGACTTGCCATCTAATGCGATTTCATGGTCCGAAGTTTATAACTGTGGCCGCTTTTTCCCCTAAAACGATTAACGAACGAGAGAACATTCGAACATCAGCATCAGGAGGCGACTTTGCCATTGGGAAAGTTTTGATGTGAAAGGGCGGCAGAATATTACACGTTGAAGAGGGAAGTTTCTCTGGGATGATTGGGAAATTAAGAGGGAAAAAGAGACATTTGGCTGAAAAAGGGTGATGAATGCCACAATAAATAAATAAACATATCCCCGAATGATCTATACAAAATGTAATGGGTATTCGATTAGTTCATTCCTCCAGCAAAAAAGGCAATTCCATAAAACTTGTACACAAGCGAGTATGAATCCCATTGAGAAGAATCTTTGGCTGTTTGATTAAAACCTTGACTTCCATGAACTTTGCCTGTCACATACGTGAAATATGCGAATAAATTCCCCCATTCCAAAGTATATGCTTAGCAAAGCAAATAAATCGCTTTGACATGCGATATACGAGTGTAAAAAAATTTATTTTTGGGATTGCTGCTGCTAAATATTCACCGGGGGAGGGATTATATATATAATATAATTTATAAGAATAATTCCATTGAGTGCGGCAATCTGTTGATATTTATTCAAGTAATAAGCGTACAAAAAATACCTTGGATTGCCAATACAGAGATCGGCGATAAAACTCTGGAGGCTTCGAGGCTGTGGAGTTTCAGTTGAGAGTCTAAGGCGTACCACCTCGAAAGTTTCTAATGGAATGAGTAAACTTACTCAACGAGTGGAAAACAGACAAGACCTACAGTCAGACACATTGAATAGTATTGCAACTTTGCAGCTGGGGAGATACTTGTGCGAGTACTTGCGCTGCTTTGTTCTCATTCGACTGGAGTTTGATCTTTGTTATTTTGGCTTGTTATGGCATTTGCTTTGTGGTTGAGGTCTCAGTGGCTGCGGTTGAGGTTTCAGTCGCTCTGGTTGCTGGTTGCTTGTTGCTGTGGTTGCAATGCTGAAAATAAAAGTGAGCGCCGTCTACCATGTGTGTTTGTGTTTGTGTGTGTGTGTGTGTATCTGACAGATATTCAATCTTCATCTTCACCATCAAACCGTTCGTCAAACGTGTTTTATTGTACGCGAAACTGCGCTATTTTCTGCGTCGCATCTCGTCTCGTTTTCTCTGTACCAAGTGGGTTCGGTTCGGTTCGGTTCAGTTCTGATCTCTCTCTGGCCGTATTTATGCCCCTGCCTGACTAATATTTCTTTCGCTCTCGCTGTACTTGCGCTGCCACATGGCGGCGTGTCTCTGAGTCTGGCTTGGGCCTGGTCACGACATCTGAACAACAAGCGGCCGCCATACCCGCAACGACGACGACGACGACGACAGCTCAAGGTCGCATTCCTTGCGCCTGACGCAGTCGCTCAGCAATTTGTTTTAGTTTGATATTTTCCTCAACCTCTCCATGTCCCATGTCCGTATCTCAGTTCTACCAGGTGTATCTGTATCTTTGTGTATCTTCTTCCATGTGGATGGAATGAATGATCGCTGTGGGGGCGGACAAATGAGCTTTGGGTTTTGGCTACCGAAACACGACCACGATAACCGCCTCTGCCAAGTGCCACAGAGTCAATCAACTCTTTGATGGAATTTTTTTAAAGATTTTGGAAATACCTAACTTCAGTCTGGTCATTGAAATACTTTGACTAAATATTCAGGAAATGAATAGCGCTGGAAACTGGCTGGAAAAGTGCGCATTGCTTAACCAATTTATGGAAATTTCGACTATTAAATCAAGACACAGAATATTGAATGTGTAATTCAATTTCTAACATTTTAACCGCTAAGCAACAACTTATTTAATGAGTTTCCCTTGGTTTGAAAATACCTCAGAAAGAATTTCCATGTTCCTTTCTTCCGTTTATTTATCCCAAGAATTGTTCACCGTTTTTCCCATTTCTTGTGCCACTCCCAACCACTGCAAGTGGCATCCGCAGTTCCTGTTCATAGATGCGTTCCCGAAGTCAGACATTGCCATTAACGCTCCCAGAGAAACGTTCGTGCAGTCGGCGCTTTTAGATGCCATCTACAACTAATTTATGATGGGTAGAGCTGCTGCTTCTATAAACAGGAGATGCCGATGCCCCTGCCTCGCCAGATGAAGTCACGACCAAGTCCGCCTGGGAGAGAGTGGAAGTGGGGGGCAGTGGGAGTGGGAGTGGCTGGGTGTGTCCGATGAGCAGCCACAAGCCACAAGTGCTCTCAGTGGGTTAATGGAACAGCACTGTGAAGATCTGCCACCCATCAGCTCGCCCGCTTTTTCCCATTAGGGAAAAGTGTGGACTGGCAAGGCAAATCAATTGAGCGAACTGGGACCAGGCCATGGCTTAGGAGACCTTCGGTTCAGGGCGCAAATATGTGGGCTCTCTTACCGCTATGGGGCTGATCTTTTAATGGCATGCATATGGCATATGGCATACGGCATACGGCATACGGCATGTCGGATGTCGGTCGAGATATCTGTCCGTTCAGCTGTCAGTCAGTCGTCAGTCGACAGCATCTCTTGTGCGTTCGTCTTTGGTGCGGTTCGACAGCCCCCAGTTCGACAGACAGGGGGAGAGAGAAGTGACTTAAACTTTTACTTTCACTGCCAATTTGAATGAACGAGCAGCAGCGGCCTCGTCGTCCCTCAATTTGCATGGTAAACCCCTTGGATGTTGGCTGGAATGGGAGGGATCCCAACAATGTTATTGTGTGTGTTTTTTTCTGTGCTGTGTCTAAGATTCATTTGAAAATGTATCTGGCGGCAATTTAGCGCGAAGATACGACTACAAGTACTACAAGATGTATGTATATGTATCTGTATCTCCTCTCCGCTCCATTGTCTATGGTCTTTAGTTTAATTTCATTTTCACAACAACAGCCACACACACACACACACACACACACACACACGTGTACACACATGTGCTGCAATTTGATCGTCACGTCGAGATTGCAGCCCGCCACAGCACACAGCACACAGCGGCAGGCAGCAGCAGGCAGCCAATGTTAATGATGAGCATTTGATAATAGTACTAGCTATGGCTCTGGCTCTGCCGCTGGCACTTCCTCCCAACCCACCCAACCCCATCTATAGCTCCAACTTCGAGCTTCATCTTCATCTCACTGATGTAGCATTAACTGGTGTTGGACATGCTGCTCGCAAAAGCTGTTTACCCGATTATTTGCATGTACATCTCGAGTGGCAGGAAAATTATCGTTGACTGCGCGTCTCGTCTCTGCTCTGCTCTGCCATTCGGCGAAAGTTTTGCCAAAAAGATCGAAACCAATTCACCAAAAGGGAGGATGCACCATAGATGGATGGGCCATGGCGGATGGATTGATGGGGTATTTAGTTGGGGGATTTAAAGAGAGATATGTACATGCATATATACCCAAGGAGATCTTGGGTAGTAGAGTCAGAGCTTCTAGGGTATAAAAAGCTTCCAATTCGAATTATATTTCAAGAATAGTTTGCAAACCTTACAGATAGATATTCAATGATATCTCTCGATAATAGTGCCCACTTGCTTCCCCCCTTTGTTTTTGCATCCATTGTTTGGCTCATAGTATCTGCCACTCACTCCGATCTCCGATCTCAGATCTCAGATCCCAGATCTGCTGCAGATTGTTGACTTTTACCAACTTAATTGTGGAATCGAGGGTGTCACAATCCATTCAACTGGAATTCTATTACTCCGCCAGCTACCATTGAACCCGCGCGGAGCCACGAACAACATTCAATATGTCAGCACTCTTTGCCCTCAAGCGACTTTCGGATCTGGAGGGTCTTTCAACTGGAGAGTGGGAAAGAGAGGGCGGGGTGGAGACGTGCCACAGCGATTACGTAGGCACACGCGTCTTCCAAATAGAAATTTCCAACATAAACAGAGCTGAATGGAAACTAAATGAAATGATACGAAAATACCACACAAACGAAAAGAAACAAAACGAAATGAAATGAAACGAAACGAACGCATTCAAATCTTACGAAATCATCGTCGTCGTTGATGTGTCGCATCTCAATATTTAAGCAGATGCAAGATAAACACACTCCGAGATAGGCATAGGCCCCCCCGTTCCAGTGAGAGTGGAAAAAAAGAAAGAAAGTTGGCCCTACTATTTTCTATCTTTACTTTGCTTTGGCTACGTGCTGGCGCTGACACGCCCCACAGCTTCGCTTAGAATCAAAAGACTTGGGCAATGAACCTGCAGCTGCTGCTGCTTTTCTGCTGCTTTTGCTGCTGCTGCATTCCTGAGGTTCCACCGGCAACCAAGGTTAGCAGCGTCATTGCTGCGGTCAGGTCCGAAACCCGATATCATATCTTAGTGTGGGCCTCCACGTCTACATCTACGTCTACGTGAGTGGACGGCACTTTAATTGCGCCTCTGCTGTGCGAGAATCTATGCAAAAACAACGTTTGTCTATTAAGAACAAGGCTAACATCAGCAGTCGGCCAACATGGCTTAACCCAACACAAATTAACCTAAGCAAACCAAATCGAATGCAATGCAATATCGTAAACTGCATAAAGCTTAACATAAACAGAACTGATATCAAACAGAAATATTCATAATAGTTTCAGAGATAATTTAAATGCAATTTGAGTGAATACACGGTCCCACATTTATTTGATCGAATTAGATATATTTCACTCACAATTAAGAGTTTATTCTTTTCGCCAATAACCGCCAGAGAGCCGCTACAATTATTTCTCAGAATAAGCTCTCCATATTCTCAGCAATCATTCTATAACAATCGTTACAAGATGACTGAATTATTATAAATTAATAGCTGCCCTTTGTGGGTTCTACTGTTTTATTTCTTTGGTAGTACACGTGGGCCAAGAGTTCCATCTATTGGACCTGTCACACGTAGACTTGGAGAATCCTAGAAATCGGAGCAGCTATGATTGATTTGCTTTCTACCAAGAAATAAACCAAACTGCTCAACCCATTGAAGCTTTCTTTGCATTCTAGCACTTTTTTCAGTTGTTTGCATATTTTGTTGTATGAAAAATCCAAAATCAAATTGAGATTCCAATCAAAAGTTCGATCTGCGTCATGCCATATACATACTACTCGTAAACTTGATATTCAAAGTAAATTTTCAATTTCTACGCGCATAGATATTTCCATAAATAAACCGCATAAATCAGAGCTCTACACAGCGACTGACAGCCGCTCTACGGCGATTCGGCTCATTAGTAATCAAAAGTTGTGCAGCGCCAGAGACAGGCGGCCACTTGGAGCCACTTGGAGCCACTTCACCACTGAATTCTCGACTTGTGCACAAATTGTTGCACAAGTCCCGGAGCGATTCGTGGGCTGCCTGACTGCCTGGACTGGACTCGACTGGACTACTGGACTGGACTGTAGTGATGTCGCCAACGCATCGACCTGGCCATCGTATCCAGACGGGAGTCCAAGTCCAAGTGGGGGGGACCACCGAACGAACACACACAGAACCCCTGTTAGCCTGTTTACTTTGTCTTAATGGCCATTTGCCTGCTCTGCTGCTCTGCCGCTGCTGCTGCTCGCGCGGCAATTTAAATATTTTAGCCATTTCGTTGTCGGTCCGGCCAGAGCCACTCGAGTCGAGTCGAGTCGAGTGTCGCCGCTGCTTGTAGGGGGAAAATATCTTCAAAAATTTCTACTCTTTTGCGTTTCTGCATCTCTCAGCGCTGTGGCATTTTCGGAGACCTGTCCGAGCATAGGGTTTATGGTAATTGGCTTGGGCCAACATACTTTTACAGAAATAATAATGGCCATAAAAAGAGGCTAATGCTTGTACAAGATTTGAGGACATTTCACCATCATTTAATGGGCACCAAGTGCTACGATAAATATGAAAAAGAATCCTTAGTTAATTTTCCGTTAATAGTTTCAGAACTTTGCTCAAGTTCCTTTATTGTTTGGGGACTTCTTGACCTTGATTTTGGTGCCAGCCACCGAGGACTTCTTGCGGCCATTCAGTTTGGTCTTGTTCGCGATCATGGCCACGGGCTTGGGCTTCACTACCCTCGCCTCCACCCTGATGTACAGATCGTAGTTGAAGTCCCCACACGACTTGCCTGAAAGCAGAGTTATATAGGTTGAAATAATTTGTAGCCCACAAAAGTAGAGCCCAATCTGTTACCGCAGCACATTTCCTCGCCGCAGGACTCGCAGGTCATCAGACGGGTCTCCACAATGCCCGACTTGTTCTTGATCTTCTTCACGCAACTGTTCAGAGCGAACTCCCGCCGGTCCCGGGCCTCGGTCTTCAGCTCCAGCTTGCCCATCTCCACCATGCGGCTGAAATACTCCTCCTCCTGCTTGTTCTTGGGCCGCAGCGTGGTGAGCATCTTCCAGTCGATGGGCACGGCACAGAGCTCCATGAGCACCACATCCTTCATTTCGGTGGGCACGGGATCCGCATAGGTGTAGAGGGGCTCCCGCACACCATTCGATTTGAGCAGCTTGCGCATCTCCTTCTTGGGCATCTTGAAGGCGTAGTCCTTGTCCCGGAGCTTGATCTCCTCGGCGCGCACCTTCATGGGACGCATCTTGTAGTCGGGCACCTTCTCGAACAGCCGCTTGAACTCCTCAATCGTTTGGATGTTACTCCGACTCAGGTCCAGTACGGGCACAACCGTCTTTTTCTTGGCCAGCAAATCGTCCAGCTTACTCATTTTTAAATAAAGTTAACTACGCGTAAAGGAAAGTCGCAAGAAAATCCACGGCGAATATATCGACCAAGCAACGAGGCGGCAGTTGTCAGGGTAACAGAACGCGCTTTGAGCTTTTCCTTATAGTAAATAGTATATGTGTGTATATTCTATGCCAGAGAATACTCAATCTTATTTTGATTCTCTCTCTTTTCAGATTCACCAAATAGCCGAATCACGTGTAACACGGTGGAAACTGATGATAACAGGCCGTGCAAACATTGTACAAAAGCGGCCAAAAAGCGGCAACAAGACTCAAAGAGCGCACGCTCGAAACCCGTCCAGAAGTCAACAGTTGGCCAGACGCCGCAACAGCAACACACACTTTGTTGGCCCGCTTGGCGCTTGCTGCTGCCTGGCATTTCATTTCATTTCGTTTAGCTGGTTCGCGGCGGCATTACGTGTTTTCGATTTGAGCTCTGGGACGGTCTACCCGCCAAAAAGAAAGTCACGACACGACAGTTCGCCCGGCTGTCTGCGGCAGAAACGAGATTTCCAAGATTCTCTGCAACGAAAGTCAAAGTTACAAGTTTACTCCAAATTCGAGTTTGGGTTTCAGTTTGAGTTTGGGTTCGAGTTGGAGTTGCCCCGGTTCAACGTCTTTCCACTTTTGGGTCGGCAGCACCGTCGCTCCGTCCTCACTGTGCCACATTTTGGAAAGTGAAAATTGAGTGCAGCCCGTGTCCGAATCTGAATCTGAATCCGAGGCTATCCCACCTTTTGGGGCGCTGCAGTTGAAAGTGAATTCGAGTTGCAAGTGATTTTCGGGCCTTTGTTTTTTTTGTATTTGTTTGAAGCCGCCACCTTCGGCTCGATCCCATCAGTAGCCCCAGTTATTTAGCTACTTGGAGATACTGCCACTGCCACAGCCACAGCCACTTCACGTCTCATTCGTTGATCGATAGGAACCGGCATTGCAGCCCAGCAACAATGGAGGCCGAAGAAGTTACAAAACTTGTCGATGGCGTTTATAGGGTAAGTTTATTTTCATCTGTGCCACGAATTAGTTTAAGCTGTGATCATACAGGAACCAAAATACCACTAAGACTAGGGATCAGAGAACAGGGATAGAGCTAGCGGTGATGAAACACATAAAGGGAGTGACAGAGAGGCCGGTAGATAAGGAAAGGTTATTCCAAATGTTCTGTAATTGGATAATCTACCTAAAAATAATTAGGAATAATTCACAGAATTGTTGTTACTTGTTCATTCAGCTTGAAATACTTCTTACACTCAAACCCCCCTCAGAATCTGCCACTACTTTAATTTAAAATTTCCAAACTAATATCTAACAATTTTCATAGGACTTTTAGCTCTTTCCTTGGACGCTCTCATTAGTTCGGGTGGCAATTATATTACGTTCGAAGGTTAAGCTACAAATTTCTTACATAACCCCTGGCTGGCGGACAGCCAAATGATCTAACGGGTAGCTGTTGCATGAAGGCCATTTCTATTAGCCATTTGCCACCAATTTACTGTTACGCTCATAACGATGTTTACCCTTTTGGAAAACAATTTATAACGATAAACGTTTTCTTTGTAAACTAATTTAATCACCACACGCGATCTCCACGAACGAAAGCCGCAAAAACTTAATCGACAAAAATGGCTGGCCTGGCATACCAAATTCCGTACCCTTAAAAGTTCACAAAGAAATCGCTGCCCAGCTGATGGAGGTTATCGATTTTAATTGCCTTCGACTTATGTTTATGGCTTGTACTGTACTTACACTTCCATAAATATGTGCATATGTGTTGAAATTTTACGACTTTTGAATGGGGGTGAGAAGTTTGGTGGGAATGGATGTCGGGTATCGCCTACTGCAGTGTGATGATATATGTTTGGTGATGACTTTTCATGGCAATATCTAAATGGTTGCCATTTAAAAATATAGTAAAAATCTGTAGAAAACATATTAGAACAGCTTTGATTTATGTATGCCTTCGACTCACTTTATTTTCTGTCTAAAAATTGTTTTTGGTAGCAAACATAATCTAAAATGCAAAGTACCCTCAGGAAAAGACCATATTAATATAATAACAAGAAACCCGAAAATATTTTAAGCTTCAAAATGGCCAAAAGACATTTGAAAGTGAATTTCTTGTGGGCCCTGTTGGCTGTTTGGCTGCCGTGTAAATTCATATCCAAATTTGGTCACGACAGTCGCCTTGGCTGTGCCGTTGTTTTTTTGGCATACTTTTCTGTCCATATGATACGTATCGTATCGTACATTTGGAACCAATCCAATCCAAACCGATCCGATCCGAACAAACAAGTTCAATTGGGGATTTGATTTGTTTGTTTGCGTGCGACCCAACGCGCGCCCCAGCGCCCCCACTCGAGTGACGACAGCAGCAGCCAGAGAGGGAGAAAAAAAGCAGAGGCACAGGCAGAGAAAAAGAGAGAGGAAGACAACATCGACTCCGCCTTGGGAGTTTGGCAAGTTTCGGTGTTGTTGCATCTGCCTGGGGCACGGCACAGGGGCCACGTTGTGGCAAAGGCATTGCACATTTTTCGCGCATCCATTTCATTATGTAACTTGTAGTTTTTCTTTGGCAAACTTGCTGCTGCTGCTTTGTGGTCTTGCTGTTTTGCCAAGCAGCTGGAAAATTGCGGAAATTTTGTTTTCGGGTTGCTTTCCTGCCGCGTCGCACGTTGCACATGGCTGCATTTTCTCGGCCGCCATTTGCATTTGCATTTTGCCCGCTGCGCGCTGGTGTTTTTCTTTCCATATTTTTGAACACTGTTATTGTTTATTTGTGACAGTCGCAGGCGAAGAAAATCGAATAAATATGTGGACTGTGGCGCGGACCCATTTAATTAGTGGGTTGCGCCACTCGACAAACGAAAGACTCAGGAAACGAACTTGCACCGCGACGCGCGCGACTTGTGCGGAATCTGAATTGCCGAGAGAGCAGCATCAATCAACATCCAAGTGAAGTGACTTCCTCCAACATCTACCTCTACATCTACATGATTATGACTTAATTCCGAGTGATTTATTCGCAATTGTCTGCTGTCGCTCCAACCATCCGTCCGGTCCGTCCATCGATCTACTATAACATTATATAGCGATGGTTTTTCATATATCATATTATCATTTATTTATTTAATAGATTGTCTGGTCTGGCATTTGCGTCTTTCGGTATGGGAACTGTGTCTGTATGAATTCACTTCTGGGTTTGGCCCCTCGCAGTTCTTAAACGGGTTTTAATTAATGCGATATCTCATTGGGTTTGGATTTTCTATTCCATTCTAAGCTCATATGCTGCCCGTTTACTGGCATATCTGGCATTTGCAGTGGAGCTTGGGCCTTTCTAAAAAATTCGTACACTCAACGGTCACCTCGAAATGCGGGCCTGCAAATGAGACTGCGAAATGCGCAGATTTACCTAATTAATGGGATTATATTTTATCTGGGTTTAAGATAGCTCTCTTCAAAGGAGAACGAGAGCTCCTTTGCCACAAACAACTGAATATAACTTGTAAATAAAAAATGCTTATATAAATCACATTTGTAAACCTTTTTCATAATTTTACTGAAAGATTTATTGCAATTTAAAAAATTGTACGCTCATAAATCTTTTACTACGCTTCAAGATAAATCTCAAGTTGCAAACAAGTAAATTATGTGAAGAGATGTACGGAACCCTTGATTTTATTACAAAATTTTCTTTAGCTTTCACTTTTTTATTTTTATTTTGCAAGTACAAGTTTCAAGGGGACTTAAGAAGAAGTGGAATATGGAGGAATATTTCCGTATAAATTAAATGAATAGAGGAATGAATCAACCTCCCATGATGGGAACTCCTCAAAATGTAGAATATTTCATGTAATTCATTATATGAGTGTTTTCCCACAAAACTATCTAGCTATCTTCTACTGAATGCCACACCACATTCATACTCGTTTATCAAGCATCAGATAGCCATTCGTTTGCCTGAGTGAATATATTTTTTTGAGTGCTGCAAACCGCAGGCAAGTTGTGCCGTCAAATCGATGTTCAGAAACGCATTTCATTCAAACAGCTGCCATGCCATGCAATGCCATGCGGTGGCGATGAATGACTCCGAATTGTTTGTCATTCGCTTAGATTTATGGCACATTCTCCGGCACATAAATCGAAGCTGAAGCCTGGGGCCTAAAGCCGGGAGCAGCCGGCCGCCAGTGATCAGATCGGAGTGACGTTCAGGTGACCACACAAGGGCCAACCTGCCTGGAGGCGCGGAAGGAGGCGAAGCCCCGCAACAGCAGGCACCCAGCACTCTGTGGGATGGGATGGGACGGAGGTGTCTGTAGTGTGCTGAAACTGCAACAAAAAAAAATCAACTAGGGAAGGAGACAGTGAACGAGAGGGACAAGCAATGAAAATAAATTAAAATTGCAGCCACTGACGACGACGACAGCGACGGTGCCTAATGCCAGGGTATTTGGGTCTGGGGACTGAACACTGGAGCTGGGAACACAGGCACTGAGAGTGCGGACAGCGGACAGCGGACAGTACCCATGATTGCCATGTCTGAGGCATTTCTAAGGCTGCTGCCGCTGCTGCATTAGAGAGGCCGCATCGTGGAACGATGTCACATCGCCTGGGTTGGCGCTGTCGCTGGCCCCTCCAGAGGAATGGGAATGTAAAAGGGGTAACAGAGCTCGGATGTGTGCCTCTGGCACCGGCATGGGTATGACCATGGCAAATGGAACTGGGTTAACGTCCGACTCGGCCGAGAGAAGCCCTACCAATCAGACTTTGAATCGTTTTGCTTATACCCTCACCGACTGGAGGATGTTGGCTGTTCTTAGGTACAACAAAAAAAAGAGAAGATTCAAGATAATACAATTTCTTTGGGGTTCCAAGATTGCGCTCTAGGATATGCAGAGCTTACTGCATTGCTATAATTCATTCTTTAGGCTCCTTTGTACTTGAACATTGCTCCTTCCAAAATGCTTCCCCCTTTTCGTTTTAATGCCCAAGGACATTTGGTCTTCGCCGTTGCCCCTGGCCGTAATATAATATTATTGCAGCTTATCCCGAAGGCCTGGGAAAAGTCACGCAACCGAGAATTACGTCGCGTTTAGCATTTTTCACGCACTTTGCGCTCATCATCTGTCGCGGGGCGAGGAGTTTTTGCCCAGTGGGGGGGCTAATGGTGGGACCACAGCCACTCCTCTGCTGTGTGCCACCACACTGTGCCACTCCTCTCCGCCACTAGCTGTGTGGGCGTGACTGGTTGCGGCTTGACGCCTTCGTTGAAGTTTTGTCAACAGTTGGGGTTTTTGTTGTTATTGGAACTTGTTGTCGTTGCTGTTGTTGTCGTTGTTGTTGCTGTTGGAATACCTGTTGCGTGTTGCTTTTTGCATTTGTTTTCTTCTAATTGGCATAATTGCGGCTTACGGTTGTTGCTCGTTTCCATACCCTTTTCGAGGGCATTACGACTCGGCCCAATTGTTTGCCAATGCAACATAAAGGAAGCATTTAGTTGCAAATAATACATGTATGTACAGCCTTGATCAGCATAAACATAATATAAGTATTTAGCAACGTATTGGAGTGCTTGCTGGTGCTGCTGCTGCTGCTACTCAGTTCCTTAGCCCAATGTTGATGGGTAGAAATCGCTTCATACCAGCATCGACTGAGCTGTAAATATAGGAGGAACACACAAAGTCCAGGGTACAATATACCATACGATACGATTGCTGTAAGTGTACCCAAAGCTGCGGTATCTGCAGAAACTATTCCTTATTGTTGTTGCTGGTTGTTGTGTGTTGTTGTTGCTGGTGATGTTGTTTTGTGGCTGCATTCTCGCATGCCTCTGAGGTGGGTGTGTCGCTTGCTGGCGTCGCTGAATTATGGCCTAACCTGAATGTGGCTCTCCTTCGCTTAGCCCCGCACCCTTTCTGCCCTTCCACTATTACGCCTGAGAGACAGGGTGGGGGGGTTAGTAGCTCTGTTTTAATTAAAAAAATTACACACATACGCGGCGCCCACTGCCTGGCGATTTATGTTAAGCGACGATTAGAGACAAAGCCACCCCACTCTCGGGTCGGGTCTTGGCTTAGATTCAGACCACTGAGTGGAGGCAGTGGGCAATGGGAAATGGGCAATGGACTACCTCAATTAATTTTGGGTTAAGTGCGGCTGTTGTTGCTTGGTGAGCTTTAGATTTGCTGGCGTGATAAGCGGTTGCGTCAGCAAGTCGCATTTCTAATTGCCCCCCGGGACCTGGGGGGAATGGGTGTTGGTCGTACAAGGCGGGGAAAAGATACGACTATCTGGTTAATTGCCGAATCGAACGACCAGGAATTTGTTAAACAGTTGCGCGAACAGATAAGATCACAGAGAAAACGGTACAACATGCTTCGTAGCGTAGGGGGAACACTCCTTAGACAGAGGTAGAGGCTCAAAGAAGTCAAATATCGCGCTAGGCGAGGGCTATAGTCGGTGCTGTAGAGTCCCCTTGCAGTTCTAACAGATACTATCTAATGGATCTGTACGATAAACCTACCTTTCCATTCCTAAACGTCTTCAAATATTCACTCCAATTGAATTTATTCCATTTTGCGGCTAAACGTTTACTCAACAGTACTCGTATTTGTTTATCCCCAGCGGAATCTGTTAGTGTTTTCATTGCTATCATTAGATCAAGGGTATAATCAATTCACAGATCCCATGGTGAATCCCAGTGGTTGGATATTATGATAGCTTCAGTGGGCCAAACTTTGATTGCAGCAACCGCAAATGAGCAGCAAACAATTAACTTTGATAAACCCATAACTGCTGATCCCCCCCAGAGGTATATGGCCAAAGTGATTAAGGCACGAGTATAGCTATAGCTATTCGTATATTTATGTATCTGTATCTGTGTCTGTATCTATATTTGATGTAATTGCAGTGAGGTCAATCGGCACGAGTGCACTTGAGAAGGGCACACAACTCATTGTGGGGAGGCCTCTGTATCTGTATCTTTGAGTGGCAGATAAAGATAAATCAGCCAGCTAGTAGATCATAAAAGCAAACACTCAAACTCGGGCCAAGTTGAATCGTTAAACAGCAGCGACCTTGGGGGACGAGTATCTCGAGTATTCGAGTATTCAACTATCCGAATAACTGAGTTTTTGAGACTCGTGTCGACTCGACTCGACTCGGTTCGACTCTGCTCGATTCATTCCCACGCCTTGATGCCACATTTGCGGCCAATAAATTGTTGAGGCAAATAACACTCTGGGCGTCATATAACCAGCACAAGCGGGTTGAACTGTTCCACAGACACAGAGAGAGAGGCGAGAGAGGAGAATCTATTGTTTGTGTGTACTTTGTTTTTCTTTTTTTTTTGACATTTTGTTGCTAATTGCTGACCAGAGGCATTCGGTAGTCGGTGAGTGGCTGGGCTTTTGATCAGCTTAAGGCAGCCCAGCCGGAAATGATTGACCACCAAAGAATTTCGCAGTAATCACAGGAACACAACCCAAACACACACAACCATCAATTATGCTTGGTTCTCCAACATCTAACGAGTGTTTAAAGATTGCCTTTTTGGAAAGCTAAGCCGCTTCTTTGTTCCGGCCAGACAATGAAAACACTTTGTGGCCCAGAGACAATTTCAGTTTTGTTTTCGGGCCATGGGCTATGGAATTGCGTGCTAAGAGCTCGACATTGTCTTTCTAGACGGGTGTTTGCTGTGGGCCCAGCCCCGCCCAGGACCAACCAATGTCGCTCTTTGTCATGGCATTTCATGTGGTGTCAGCACTCGCTCAACGATGATGTCACACATGACAAGCGGTTCACGTCATCCCAGATGCACCTTTCAACTCTCTCAATCTGCCATCTTGATCTCGCATTGTATGCAAATCTTTTCTCATCTGTAAAGTTGTTAATTAATTGTCGCTTAGCTGGTTTTATTTTTCATTATTTTTACATTTTCCGAGGCCCTATCATGAGGATTACCGATGATCGAATGATTCATTTCCCAGTATAGATCCATGATCTATGGGGCTTAGGTATTTCTCTTCCCATTAGCTGTCGGCTATGGGGGAGTTATTGGCATGATTAATTACGGAAAGTGTTTAGGCCTTTTGATTTATGTATGTTGAATGTTTAATGTTGAATGTCTAATGTAGAATCTTTAATCTTTGTATTACAATAATTAATGGAATTTCATTTAAATGTTCTTTCGGGATGGTTTCACTGCTAAATTTCTGGTTGTCATTTAGTTATGGACTTGTAATTGCTGTGTCAGTATATTCACAATCTAATGAAGTCTGGAATCCACATCTTTATTTCCTCCATGGAAGATGTTTGACGAAACTCAACACAGTCAAATGAAAATTAAATGAAGCCTGCAACCGGCACAGAATCTGGTTAGGAGAGGGATCAAGTCTTACATATTGCTACGTTGTGTGGCAATTCGACTATGAGATAAACAAATTAGAGTTTAATACACCCGGAATCCAGTTGGAAATGAAATCCAGTTCATAATTGGCACACAACTGGTTCAAAACATGACTCTGCAGTTGAGGAAAGTCCCCTGCCCCGTGCCCCGTAAAGTGGCAATCCTTAGCGGAATTCGATTTTCACTAGTTTGAATTTAATTAAAATTGCAGATAAAAATAGCTAGCTAGCCATATATGACCCACAAATCTGTCCAAATGGAATGCTAAACTTTGGTATACCGAATCCAAAAAGTTCTACTGTCTCCCTGCCCAGTTGTAAGTGTTTCGGGATTGGTTGGCTGGAATCTTAATTATCCATTAGCCAGAGCATCGCTTTCATTTACACTCACCGCCACACTCGTAGCCACTCGTAGCTGATGGATTGCTAAATGTTCAATTAGCATTACGAGTGCGACCATGTTTTTTGTTGTGTTACACGGAACTAACGATGTCTCTGGCTCTCTGCTGGCTCTCTGCTGGCTCTGACCACAACACAACATTGTCTCAAATCAACTTACACAACACAACAGACTTTTACTACCCGCGGCACAATGTGGCACAAGCCATTACCCAGAGATTTGCCTGGTTGCCGGTGCAGCCCAAGACATAATGAAATAGAAATGTTGGTCCAAATGGGAGGCTGCCGTCGGCCGGGGGGAATGGAATTGCTAGCTCATAAATTACATTTAATTACCTGTGCGATAAGTAAGCACAGGCACAGGCACAGGCGCACAGGCATAGGCACACCCGAACTAACGACTGTATCGATCTCTTCTATGTTACTCTCATTGCAGAATATACTCGACAGATTCAATCCGGGTGCCAGGCAGCTGATCGCGGCGGGCAAGAGCTACCTCAAGGCGTTGCATGGTAAGTAATACTCTCTCGCATCATAATTGACCACACAGGCCTCACTTCGGATGGTGGTTGGACAAGGGGGGTGGGAGGGGGATCTATTGTCTGCAGTATACAGTTAACTAATTTGCAATGCATTCCGTGGCATTTCATGCAACAGGTGCCGCAACCGCCTCGCGTCTATTCAATGAAGCATTGGCCAAGATTGCGATGAACGCCCAGCAGAGCGGAACGGGCGATATTGGTAAGACTCCAGCACTCCAGCACTCCAGCAAACTAAAAACAACAGAGCGATAAATACATTTTGTTCTCTTCCGTTTTAGGTTCGGCTTTAATGAGCGTTGTGAACGTCAACAAGGATATACAGGAGCAGCAGATGAACATTGTAAGTGGAATTGATTGGGGAGAGAAGAGAGCCCTCAAGTAATGTCTCCTCCTCACCTCCAAAATTACAGCTGAAAGCCTTCTATGTTGATCTATTGGTGCCATTGGAGACAAATCTGGAGAAGGACACAAAGGTGGTGCAGCACGAGCAGAAGAAGTTCATGCAGCAGCACAAGGTGCGCATGGACAGCTACCAGAAGGCCGTCTCCACAATGAAGAAGCAGCGCAAGAAAAAGGCCACACCAGAGAATACCGAAAAGGAGCTGCGGGTGAGTGAGCGCAAAATGGAAGTGGGGAACATCAATCAAATGGATTCACTCTACCCCCACAGAGCCTGCAGCTGCTGGAGGACCAAAAGAAGAAGCTGGATGTGTTCTGCGATCAGAGCTACAAGAATGTAAGTTCAATGTTCATTGCTCATTTGGCTGGCTCTGGTGTGCGTATGGTTACTCCTCTTTGCCTCTTTCGTTGCCACTTCCGTTCAGGCCCTGACACAGGAGCGACGTCGCTATGGGTTCGTCTTGGAGCGCCAGTGCTCGATCGCCAAGCACTGGATGGCCTATCACACCACCGGGAAGACGGTAATTGATAATAATTTCGAAAATTGGCAAGAAATTGCCGCTTCTCGTGAGATCATTCCGCCGTCCGCATACGAGAGCGGCTACAGCAGCAGCAACAACAACAGCAACAACAACAACGCGAACATGAGACGCCTGGTGAGTAATGCCCCCATGCCACATGCCCATGCCAACGGATTGGGCGCTAACAACATTGTTAACCATTCCCCAGGAGCGCATCAAAGACGGAGACGACGACCAGGTCCACACCCAGCTAAAGAAATCGCGCAGCATCGACGCCCCCTACGGGGATATGCGCACCCTGCACGAGCGTGAGAACATCGGCGGACTGGGGTCATCGCACTACGGTCAGAACTCGCTGCCACGCGCCAAGTCCGACTTCAATCTGGCCCTTGTGGGCACTGGCCTGGGCTCAGGTGAGTGGATAATGGATAATGGATAATTCTGGATGCCTGATGCTGAAAGATCTCATCTTTCTGCCCCTCAAACGTGCAGGCAACAAACACAAGATCATTGAGGAGCAACTGGCGCCGCATAGTGACGATCAGCGTGGGGATCAGCGTCCGCTGGTCAAGGCCCTGTACGCCTACATGCCCTCCGGGGAGAACCAGCTGTCGTTCGAGGAGGGCGACCGCATCGCATTGGTGGGTGGCAAGGCCAAGGGCTGGCAGTTTGGCGAGAATCTGCGCACCCAGCACTTTGGCTGGTTCCCGGTGGCCTATACAAATGCCGTGGACAACGGCACCGAGCTGGTGCCCACCACTGGCCGGCGGTACGAGAATATGCACATGAGCTACGAACGCAACGGAGCTGGCATCGGGGGAATGGGGGCTGGCGCCGGAGCCGGAGGAGGTGCCGGTGTCGGTGTCAGTGCTGGTGCACTGCGCAGCTACCATGACCAGAAGCAGCAGCAGTACATGTCGGAGGCCCAGCTGGAGCTGATGGACAGCGATGCCACATACAGGAGGAGACGCAACCACAGTGCCGAGGAGTCCTCGCCCACACGCATGTTCGGCGACACTCTCAAGCAGCAGAAGAAATACCGCGCCAGCTCTGGGGCGAATCCGCGTCCGGGTCCGCCGCCCACACTCCCGGCGCCAGTGCCCACCGGGCAGCAGAGCCAGTCCTCGCGGATGCTGAACAGCTCGCAGAGCTTCTGCGCCACCAATGGAGTTCCGGCCGCAGTCGAGAGACGCAAGCAAAAGTTGCTGAACGGAGCCCAGGTACGCATGGAGTTGACCGTGATCCGAGATTCCAGCTAATCAACCTGCTCTTTTCGCACAGAGCTCCATGAGCCATCCATCGGGCAAGGGTGGAGTGGCAGCAAAGACCTCGCTCCACAGCAGCAACGACAGCGGCTTCGCCAATGAGCCGCCCCCACAGCCAGAGGTGGACTACTCGGATGAGGAGACAGCCACACAGCGTGTGCCCATTCGGTAAGTGCAATTGATACAGTTTGGAGAGCAAAGACAGGGCCAGGAATCCACTAGGAAGGAACTCCGAAACTCTGACCTAACTTATGGTTACCTAGTTACCTCTGTGTGGATCCTTCCGCCCTATTTGCTCTCCGAAAGGCCCCCGCAGCATGCCGGCTCTCTCCTGGGTTGTCACTAATCCGTAATCCCCGTAACAATCATACCATTTGCCACGCGTTCTATGCCATGCCATGCCTGAGTTTTAGCGCTAAATTTGATCGATTTAATTTATTTTCGTTTGCTTCTTTTTACCCTTCTTGTTTTGATTTCATGTATCGCCATGTATCCTTTCTTGTCATCCCTTTGTGTTCACCCCCCGCACCCACACGCCCACCCATCCGCACACATCCACGCCATCCAACGACGTACCAAAAGGCGCAGAGCCGATACCAACTCGCACACGCACACGGTGCCGCGGGACGTGGCCTCGTGGACCCTGAACCGCAACTTCCGCAACAGCGTGGACAGCCAGATGGACGACAAGAGCATGCACCGGCTGAGCCGGCAGAACGGGATCGGAGCTGGCAAGATGCGCTACGATCTGATTGCCTCGGATGACGAGATACTGCAGGCCTCCAGTGCGGGCCTCAAGCGTACCAAGTCGTTCTGGAAGTTCGGAGGCGGACGCAGCGGCGAGGACATACTGGCTGGGATGTCGCTGTGGCAGCACCGGGACCTGGTGGCTGCACCCAATCTCGAGGAGATGCGGGACCGCGATGACCTGGAGCGACGCTCGGACGAGGAACGCAACGTCAATGGCAATGGCAATGGAAATGGCAGCGGCAGCGGCAATGGGAATGGAACGCTGACCAAGTCGCACAACTCCAGTTCGTCGCAGGAGAAGCGGGGACGCAAGGACAGTCTCACCAGCACGGAGCCATACGGGGAGGAGGATGAGAACATCTATGGCGTGAGTCAGCCCCCTCAGCAGCACCAGCAACAGCAACAACAGCAGCACAGGAGCAGCTACACCCCCAAGTCGCGCATGAAGATTATGAAGACCATTGAGATTGACATCGAGGAGCCCACGGAGGGTGAGCGGCTGAGCACCATGCGGCGTGGCCAGTCCCAATCCCAGCTGCAGCAGCAGCAGCAGCATCAGGCACAACCGCATCGTAAGTTGGACAAGCAGGGCTCTGGGTCCTCCTCCACGCCACAGCACAAGACGCAGACCCTGAGCCGGTCCAAGCCCTCCCAGCAACAGCAGTTTCCCCTCTCCACCGACGAGGGCGAGAGCGACGAGCACGGAACGCTCAAGCTGAGCGACGTGAACAACTTCTTCGACGACTTGCAGCACGACGGAGGTACCGGCAAAGGTGGACACGGACATGGGCACGGCCATGGACTGGTCATGAAGACGGTGAAGCGACAGGACATCCTCAAGCAGTACTACACCAGCGAGGACGACGAGTCTGATGCCGAGCTCAAGTCGACCAGCTCCGATCCCTACGACTGTATCGTCATCAACGATCATCTGGTGCGTAAGGACGACAAGCTGCGCCGCCAGCACCATCAGCAGCAGCAGCAGATGGAGTTCCATACCTTCCGCTCCTCCACATCCACCACAGCGACCAACACGCTGAAGAAGTCCTCCTCAAAGGAGCAGGACAGCACCTTGACCCGCAATTCCACAGCAAACGCAAGTGCACCCACGGCCACCATCCTGCCGCGCACACGACTCCTCAAGTCCTCCGCCACCAGCCACAGCAACAACAACAACAACAGCAGCAGCAGCAACAGCCACAGCCACAACCACAATCAACACAGTGCCACGCTGGAGAGGAACTCAAAGACCCTGACAGGCAACAAGAGCTACGGCCCGTGGTACGACTTCTGGGACCAGGAGCAGCATGGCATCACGGGGCAGAAGTCGGCGAGTGCCAAGTTAAAGTGAGGCGGGCTGGTCATCGGGATCAGGATCGGGACCAGAGCCATGCAAAGAGAATGAAGTTTCGCCGTTTTCTTACCGGCTAAGAAAATGCGCAGAGAGCGTGAAAGATGGTGAGGATTACGAGAATGCCACTAGGGCCTCCGACTCCTGCGTCCTTCTGTTTAAATTTGCAGATAATTCTTAGATATATCTTAATGCCAGACCAGACGATTGTTTGCTGGCAGGGAAATTTTTGTTTTTATTTTGTACATACTTAATCATATATATTTTAATTGTAAACTGTATCTAAAGAGCCAGTCCATAGAGAGGAAACTTCATGGGCAACATGGGCACTGTAAACTTTCTTCGCTTTCTGTGCAGCAGCAAAAACCCCCAGAGGGCGGGGCTTGGCTTCATTCTCGGTCGCCTGCATCTGCATGACTCGTATTCGACTACACATCATTGAATTTGTTCTAAGCCCAAGCAAGCTCTATTGCCGCGCCTTTCCCTCCCCCTTAGATGTAATCAAAAGTAATGCGAATGTCATTTGCCTTTCTAGCAGGCGCGGTGTGTACCGCAACTTTTCAATAGATTACTGAAAGCCAGACGCAAAATCCTGCAACGCGGCTGCAACCTACATATATACCCAGCTAGCCCCATCCCCACACACCACCACACCACCACACCACACGTATTAGTGCTTGCATATCCACCCACCACCCGTAAGTAGAGGCTCGCCTGGAGGGTGCACGTGCGTGCACAGTCGTCTGTACTGGACAAGTGCCTTACTCTTTTGCAGAGCCTCCCAGTTTGCCACAGTCAAGCTGCGACACACCAAGACCAACGATCGCTCGGCACCAATGATATATCGGAGTGTGAACAAGTAGCAACGACAGCGGAAGGTGGAGTTTCTGTTGTGACCCTGCCAGCCAGTCGCCATCTGATAGCTTCAGCCACACCACACACAAAAGAAGCGAATCAACCTTCGAGCATGCTATATACAAATCGTACATATTATATTATAAAACATATGTGTCGCATCTACAATTAATATGTATTTACTTAAATTAGATAGTTCTTCTGTTCAGTTGCTGCTGGGCCTGGAGTTTTGGTAGTCATTAAGTTGTATTGTTTGTTAACATTATGTTTGTATGTACTTGTATGTTAAAGTTCGATATGTCTATTCAATTATTACGCCGAATAAACAACGTAAAGTAAACATCTAGATCTTTGGATCTGTATCACAGTGCTCGGTGCCATGGCAGGTAAATAAAAGTATCGTCGTATGTTCATCAATGACTCAATATGTGTATATAACGCTCAACGCCCGTTTCCTGCAAGTTCTAAACGGGAATAGCATTAGTTTTATGAGTGAACTTATTCTGCGAATCATGGTATTTACCTCCTGAGATTGTCCATGTTCCAGGCCCAGGAAAAGGGTTTTTGGGTTGAGGGGGTCTCGAGTCTCCTGCAGCACTTTGAATGCCTTGTAAATAAAATCGTCGGACAACACGTTGCTCACTTGGAGGACAGCCAGCTGTGGACATGCTTTAATTACGGCCAACAACTGTGACGATAGTATGTTCTCGAGCGGCAAAGGAAACGATAGCCGTACAAGGTTTCTCAACTCCGTCAAGGGATATATGTAGCTGGAATTGAAGTGATATAGGTGCAGATCCTGCAAACTGACTATTCGGGCGATTTCTTTGACTTCATCGAGTTCAAGGTGTGAGATATTGATGTTCAAATTAATCAGATTTCGTGAATGTACGGCAGCCAAAGCAGAAAGAAACGGCAGCAGTGGTCCCCTACAGGCTTCTTTCCCAAATATCGACAGCGTGTTCAGCACAGGGATCTGAGTAATGGGCAGGTACTCTCTCGGTGGACGATTCAAGTTCAAATTCACCTCTCTCACCAGTGTCAAGTGTGGCACAATATCGGCCAGAGCATTCTCGATAGAAGCACCACCGAAGGACAGTATTCCAATTTTGAACATGTCTAGTAGAAGAACTCTCTGGTCGGTGTATTTTTTATACTTCAAAAGCAATTGATCGCTGTCTGTATAGTGTTCCACTGAAGTGAGTATTGTATCTGCCACTGAAAGAAATGTAACATAAATACTCGTTGTCAAACGTTTACCTATCTATAATCTCACCTCCTCGGATCACGCCAACGCTTTCTATTTTGGGTAACTTTTCCAGTTCTTGAATAATGTATTTGAGGTAGCTGCACGACAGACCCCCAATTTTCAGCGTAGCGCGCTCCAGGTTGACCAGCCCGCTGATAGTTTCGCAAACTCTCAGAGCTGGCATATCACCCGTCCGGTCCTCTTGAAGGGACAAAAACAATGTTCTAACGTGTCCACCCGCTTGTCGCAGCAGCAGCAATTCCTGATCGGTGTCTTCAAGTTCTAGGCGCTTGTAGAGTCCCGCTCCGTAATCGTTTAAGACGTTCCTGAAGCGGCTGCATACTTGCCCAAAGTGCATATAATCCTTTGCTGGGAGGTGATTTAAAATTCTAAAGATGCAATCGTCGTTAATATCTAAAAAAGTCGTTTTCATTTTAAGAAAAAAAATTGCAAGCAACGTAAACAAAATAAGAATGAACAGACAGACCAAGTTGCCAAAGACACAAAATACCGATCTTTTGTGCAGAATGTGATGAATATTTTTTTTCTGGTATATTTTGTTGCACAGTTTTATTAAGCAATCAGTGGTGGTCAAAGCAAATGTTCGATACTTTTATGCGATCAGCGGAACTTAACGGCACCCTTTTTTTAAAACTTGTTTTGGCACAGCCAATATTTTACGCGCTTTGTACAAATAAGGCCGTATCGGCGAAGGACCTATTTTTTCACGAGGCTCCAGACTGTCGGCAAGTCTCTTCCGATCAATGTCAATGTCAAGTTTGTAGTTTCTTTGAAACGAAGACACCATTGGAGTTTCACTCTAGAGCGTGTATTCATTCGAATTTCTCCTTACATATAAGTAATATATTTATCTGGTGTATCTATAAAATCGACGAACGATGCTCCGTTTACTTAAAACAAAGTTGGGATTGCGCCTGGCTGGGCCAATGGTCCAACCGTTCATCAGGAATTATGGCAAGCCCGAGCGTTTTATGTGGTAATACGTTCTGGCAGAAGACGATGGCTAAGGGTTCTTTATAGCGTTATTTTTTTTTCAGGTGCCAAACGAAAATCAGCAAAGTACCCAAAGCTGTTTTGGCGGACGGAAAGGAAATTCCTCTAATAGGACTTGGAACTTGGATGGTAAGTGCAATTGATATCCGCAAACATTTGTTCCTCAGCTGGGGGTAAAGTAATTCCGTTGTGCATATCGTCCATGAGAATTGAATCAAAATTCATTTGAAAATTTAACTCAACACACTCGTAGTGTGAGGGAAATTAGAGACTCCAGTTGCTTTTATTATGATTAAGTTACAATTGTGTGTTTATCGGGCTATGAAGAGCCTACGAGTCACCATCTATGAATGCGTACTATTGCAAAGGCAATCCAGACCGAAGTACGTATAGTATAAACATTCAAACCCAACGTCTGCGATCACAGCTGTGCGCATGCAGTCCAGCCCTGGGCTGGAGCGTATAAATATCCAAACAGCTGTGCCGCATTATTCAGTTCAGTTTCTTAAGCGGTGGCGTTTGTATTATCTTATTTAATCCTTAACAAAGCAACGCAGAAGAGCTATCATCGAGTAACATGGCTTCCAAAGTACCAAACGTGAAATTAAACAATGGCCGCGAGATCCCGATTCTCGGTCTGGGCACTTGGGGCGTAAGTACACTGTAATAGTAACTGCGCAAATCAATCTACAGTTGCAAATGCATACATACATATGTGCGAATATATTCGTGTATGTACACAAGTATATACTATTTTGTCCCCCTCTTAATTGGGTAGTTTTCCGCTGCCCACGACATCTCATGTTTTCTCATATAAATTCCAATTTAGCTGTGATAGCAAATGAAATAACTCGACACGCGTCGTACTGCTGATAGTTTTTCCGGTTAGCCGGTTATTTTATGTATGTACATACATATGTATATAACACATACATATATTCAGACTATACATACATATATAGACTATCAGCTTGGGTGCACAGAATCTGGTAACATAGCGCTACGAATATTAAGCGATAATAAAAATCTGCCAGGCCTCCATATCGATTGAGAAATTTTCCATTGTTTTTTTCGGATTAAGATATTTAAACATGTGCACATTAACATACTATGTACATCGAATGCCTTCAAATCCATTTGATATCAGTTCTGGAGTTCAGAAACGTTGTGTTCCTTCAGCCAAGGTGACCCCTTGTCCCTTTAACGACAGTGGACAATTTGAACGAAATTCTGCCACATCACTTTACACAATACATTGGTTATTATGGGTCACATCTTCAGTCTACAAACATTGTGAGGTGGGACGCGACAGAAGTTGATAAACATTCTTATCATGTGTAGAGGCTTTCCTGATTGATAATGTTCTGCCCAACTAATTCATGATACCCTATGAAAGGGTATAGCAGGGGGAGCTGATCAGATTACTGTTTGATGAAAATTGCTGATAGATGACGGTGCATTGACAAGATTATAAATATGTATTATATCAAGGGTATTATAAGGGTATACCTATGAGTTTTTATTTTTACGAAAGCTCTTGCCATGTTGGTATACAAATGTTTGTGCCGAATAGAGATAATCGTATGTAGTTTATAGTTCAAGTCATAAATTAAATCTAGTCTGATGGCAAAAATAAATAGCATTGCGATCAGATCCGATTGCCAAAGCACCCCAGCTAGCATTCTTATACCCCCAATTAATTGAAAAGAACTGAGCTCAATATTTTGACATAATTACTTCAGATGGGGAGCATACTTTTGCTGATAAGTGACGTCAAGTGTCAGATAAGAAAGCCGCACATTGTTCGATTTCTAAATCACGCTCCATAATACGGAAAGTTTGCTCAGCAACGGATTGCGAAATTCCATCTAGAACTTTAATTTCGCCACAATGACGTATACAAAACAAAAAGAGCTACGCGATATTGTTTGTACTTTCAAAGACCTTCCTTTCTTATTGAGATGATATTGCAAATTAATGCAATTGTGGTAGAGACGCGAAAGGTGCACGACCAATTAGCAAATTACTATTACACCGATCCAAATGAGCCTTGTCAGAATTATTATGCCAACTACATGTTCCGTTCCCCGTTTTAGAGCCCCAAAGGTCAGGTGACCGAAGCTGTGAAAGTGGCCATTGACGCTGGCTATCGGCACATTGACTGTGCCCATGTCTACCAGAATGAGGATGAGGTCGGTGCTGGCATCGAAGCTAAGGTCAAGGAGGGAACTGTTAAGCGGTAAGTACACAATCGAGTTCCTAGTTGAACATGATTTAGATCACGATAAGTTTGTGGCTTGCAGCGAGGACCTGTTCATTACCAGCAAGCTGTGGAACACTTTCCACCGTCCGGACTTGGTCAGAGGCGCCTGTGAGAACACATTGGAAGCGCTGAAATTGAAATATATCGATTTATACTTGATCCATTGGCCAATGGGCTACAAGGAGGGATGCGACCTCTTCCCAGCCGACAAGGAAGGCAAGACCTTGTTTTCGCCAGTCGATTATGTGGATACCTGGAAGGCCATGGAGAAACTGGTGGAGGACGGTCTCGTCAAATCGATCGGCGTCTCCAATTTCAACAAGAAGCAGATCCAGCGCGTCCTGGATGTGGCTAAAATCCCACCGGCAACAAATCAGATTGAGTGCCACCCGTATCTGACACAAAAGAAGCTGATCGATTTCTGCAAGTCGCGCGATATTTCGGTTACCGCATACAGTCCACTGGGATCGCCCAACCGTCCCTGGGCCAAGGCTGGTGATCCGGTGATTCTGGAGGAAGCCAAGGTACTTACACTACCGATTGCATGTGATTTCTTCTCACTAAACCATTAATTCATTTCTATTGTAGATTAAGGAGATTGCTGAAAAGAAGAAGAAGACACCTGGACAGATTCTCATCCGCTATCAGGTCCAGCGCGCGAACATCGTTATTCCCAAGTCAGTGACCAAGGAACGCATTGAGTCGAACTTCCAAGTCTTTGATTTCGTTTTGACCCCTGAAGAAATCGAAATTATCGAAAGCTTCGATTGTAATGGTCGCCTTGTGCCTTTGCTTAAGTGAGTAATTAATGAATTTCGTATTTTTACATGTGTAAGGATATATTTTACGAAATGTTTCAGTCGAGCCCATGTCCGTCTGTCAAAGAAATTTAGATATCTCTATAAAATGTCATTTCAAACTTATATTTGGCATATATAGTAAATGAGAAATGGGAAATTTGTCCGTCTGTCTATCTGTAAAACTATTTTGGTCGAGCGGTTGCATATTTTAACCTCAAATAGGAACCATTCCTCGATAAACCTGATTTTCATTTGCATTATAAGTATTCGTACACAAATTTATTTCCTTATTTTTATTCCAATTATTGTTTATATTTATTTAGAGAGGCTGGTAGTCATAAATACTACCCATTTCACGACGAGTTTTAAACGAAATGAAACCGAAAACAACAGAAAATACAAAAATATATATATTTTGAAATGAAACCAAATGCTATAGCAAAACTATCAACGATCGACACTCAAGGCAAATCTTTGTAAACAGATATCTGGTGTATTCGTATGTTTATTTCAATTCTTACAGTGCCTTCTCCTTCGCCCCTTAATTAATTTCTGCTTACCAAAACATTTATTTTCCCTGCTTGACATTTAAACTGCTTTATTTGATGTTCTTTTGATTTATTTGAACTAATTTGAGCGCCTGAAAATAGTTGTTGTTGCCTCGTAATTATATTCCTTAAGCTATTACTTCGTTTGTGCTAACTAAAATATTCTTTATTGTATTTGTCACATCAACTTTTAATTAAATTTTCTATAATATTTTACAGCGTTTACGGACATCCCCACCATCCCTTTGAGAACGATGAATATTAGGTGGCAAGAGGCGACCCAGTTCAGCACGTTTAAAATTTAATTTGTTACACAAACACCTAACATTAAACCGTATGAATAAATAAACACAAAAAGAAGTATTTTGCTGCTGTATTGTAACTCAATTTTTGGAGAACTTTAATATTTTCCTTTGCCAAAGAGAGTCAATTGTTGGGCAATCAGCTCCCATAACTCTGACGTATGGCCGTGCCACGAGCGAGCGATTTACGTCGAGTCAAAGATCTAACAATTGTTTAATCCAAGCTAAGAGCAAATATTTTGCACAGTTGTTTCATTTATTTTAAGATGATATTGACTTTTACCCATAGTATAGTTCAGACAGTTTATTCAGTTTTTGTTAAATAATTTTTTTTGGCAACAATAGAAGTACCAAATGTGGTTCAACAATTGAAATTTTTGCAAGCCCCACAAAAGCATCTACGCAAATAGTCGAGATATAATGGGATCGCTGGTCTGTTCCCCGGGGCTAAGGTATAAAAGACGTTGAGCTTTTAATTCGGCTAACAGATCGAGTTGATCTGACTGTTTGTTTCCTAGACGACAATGCGCTTTATATTCGTCGCGGTTCTGGCCGCTTTGCTGTCCCTCGCGGCGTCCCAATCATCATCACCCACTACCGCAGTGGGTGCACCAAAAATAAAGGCCCAGCCATGTTGTGAAAGTGTTCGACAAACTCTCATAGAAATACGAAAGGATATCCGGCTGTGGCTACTCGATAGGCTGTTCGGAAAGTTGATTCTTCTTCACGACGGAGAACTTTTGGGAAACCCTAACTATGTGAATTGTGCAAACGGAAAAAACCAAATTACCGTCCAAGACAAAAGCTCCCAAATTATCAATCAATTAGATACAAGTCCAACTCAATCAAGTGAAAAGACCACAACAACATCCACCGATGAAAAAGATTTGTTAGCATCATTGAAGGACCTCTACACTGATCCCGCTGTAGATGCCAGCGAGTCCAGCACCGCCGTGGAAGGTGGAGATTCGATTCAGTCCTCTTCTTCTACAACGACAACCACCACAACTTCCAATGATGAAACCGTAGTGTCTGAGCCCGTTGTCGAGGCCAGCGAGTCCAGCACCGCCGTGGAAGGTGGAGATTCGAATCAGTCCTCTTCTTCTACAACGACAACCACCACAACTTCCAATGATGGAACCGTCGTGTCTGATCCCGTTTCCGATGCCAGCCAGTCCAGCACCGCCGTGGAAGAAGGAGATTCGAATCAGTCCTCTTCTTCTACAACGAACACCACCACAACTTCCAATGATGAAATCGTCGTGTCTGATCCCGTTTCCGATGCCAGCCAGTCCAGCACCGCCGTGGAAGGTGGAGATTCGAATCAGTCCTCTTCTTCTACAACGACAACCACCTCAACTTCCAATGATGGAACCGTCGTGTCTGAGCCCGTTGTCGAGGCCAGCGAGTCCAGCACCGCCGTGGAAGGTGGAGATTCGAATCAGTCCTCTTCTTCTACAACGACAACCACCTCAACTTCCAATGATGGAACCGTCGTGTCTGAGCCCGTTGTCGAGGCCAGCGAGTCCAGCACCGCCGTGGAAGGTGGAGATTCGAATCAGTCCTCTTCTTCTACAACGACAACCACCACAACTTCCAATGATGAAACCGTCGTGTCTGATCCCGTTTCCGATGGCAGCCAGTCCAGCACCGCCGTGGAAGGTGGAGATTCGAATCAGTCCTCTTCTTCTACAACGACAACCACCACAACTTCCAATGATGGAACCGTCGTGTCTGAGCCCGTTGTCGAGGCCAGCGAGTCCAGCACCGCCGTGGAAGGTGGAGATTCGAATCAGTCCTCTTCTTCTACAACGACAACAACCACCACAACTTCCAATGATGGAACCGTCGTGTCTGATCCCGTTTCCGAGGCCAGCCAGTCCAGCACCGCCGTGGAAGGTGGAGATTCGAATCAGTCATCTTCTTCTACAACGACAACAACCACCACAACTTCCAATGATGGAACCGTCGTGTCTGATCCCGTTTCCGACGCCAGCCAGTCCAGCACCGCCGTGGAAGGTGGAGATTCGAATCAGTCCTCTTCTTCTACAACGACAAACACCACAACTTCCAATGATGGAACCGTAGTGTCTGAGCCCGTTGTCGAGGCCAGCGAGTCCAGCACCGCCGTGGAAGGTGGAGATTCGAATCAGTCCTCTTCTTCTACAACGACAACCACCACAACTTCCAATGATGGAACCGTCGTGTCTGAGCCCGTTGTCGAGGCCAGCGAGTCCAGCACCGCCGTGGAAGGTGGAGATTCGAATCAGTCCTCTTCTTCTACAACGACAACCACCACAACTTCCAATGATGGAACCGTAGTGTCTGAGCCCGTTGTCGAGGCCAGCGAGTCCAGCACCGCCGTGGAAGGTGGAGATTCGAATCAGTCCTCTTCTTCTACAACGACAACCACCACAACTTCCAATGATGAAACCGTCGTGTCTGATCCCGTTTCCGATGCCAGCCAGTCCAGCACCGCCGTGGAAGGTGGAGATTCGAATCAGTCCTCTTCTTCTACAACGACAACCACCACAACTTCCAATGATGGAACCGTAGTGTCTGAGCCCGTTGTCGAGGACAGCGAGTCCAGCACCGCCGTGGAAGGTGGAGATTCGAATCAGTCCTCTTCTTCTACAACGACAACCACCACAACTTCCAATGATGGAACCGTCGTGTCTGAGCCCGTTGTCGAGGCCAGCGAGTCCAGCACCGCCGTGGAAGGTGGAGATTCGAATCAGTCCTCTTCTTCTACAACGACAACAACCACCACAACTTCCAATGATGGAACCGTCGTGTCTGATCCCGTTTCCGACGCCAGCCAGTCCAGCACCGCCGTGGAAGGTGGAGATTCGAATCAGTCATCTTCTTCTACAACGACAACAACCACCACAACTTCCAATGATGGAACCGTCGTGTCTGATCCCGTTTCCGACGCCAGCCAGTCCAGCACCGCCGTGGAAGGTGGAGATTCGAATCAGTCCTCTTCTTCTACAACGACAAACACCACAACTTCCAATGATGGAACCGTAGTGTCTGAGCCCGTTGTCGAGGCCAGCGAGTCCAGCACCGCCGTGGAAGGTGGAGATTCGAATCAGTCCTCTTCTTCTACAACGACAACCACCACAACTTCCAATGATGGAACCGTAGTGTCTGAGCCCGTTGTCGAGGCCAGCGAGTCCAGCACCGCCGTGGAAGGTGGAGATTCGAATCAGTCCTCTTCTTCTACAACGACAACCACCACAACTTCCAATGATGGAACCGTAGTGTCTGAGCCCGTTGTCGAGGCCAGCGAGTCCAGCACCGCCGTGGAAGGTGGAGATTCGAATCAGTCCTTCTTCTTCTACAACGACAACCACCACAACTTCCAATGATGGAACCGTCGTGTCTGATCCCGTTTCCGACGCCAGCCAGTCCAGCACCGCCGTGGAAGGTGGAGATTCGAATCAGTCCTCTTCTTCTACAACGACAACCACCACAACTTCCAATGATGGAACCGTCGTGTCTGATCCCGTTTCCGACGCCAGCCAGTCCAGCACCGCCGTGGAAGGTGGAGATTCGAATCAGTCCTCTTCTTCTACAACGACAACCACCACAACTTCCAATGATGGAACCGTAGTGTCTGATCCCGTTTCCGATGCCAGCCAGTCCAGCACCGCCGTGGAAGATGGAGATTCGAATCAGTCCTCTTCTTCTACAACGACAACAACCACCACAACTTCCAATGATGGAACCGTAGTGTCTGATCCCGTTTCCGATGCCAACCAGTCCAGCACCGCCGTGGAAGGTGGAGATTCGAATCAGTCCTCTTCTTCTACAACGACAACCACCACAACTTCTAATGATGGAACCGTAGAGTCTGATCCCGTTTCCGATGCCAACCAGTCCAGCACCGCCGTGGAAGGTGGAGATTCGAATCAGTCCTCTTCTTCTACAACGACAACCACCACAACTTCCAATGATGAAACCGTCGTGTCTGATCCCGTTTCCGATGCCAGCCAGTCCAGCACCGCCGTGGAAGGTGGAGATTCGAATCAGTCCTCTTCTTCTACAACGACAATCACCACAACTTCCAATGATGGAACCGTCATGTCTGAGCCCGTTGTCGAGGCCAGCGAGTCCAGCACCGCCGTGGAAGATGGAGATTCGAATCAGTCCTCTTCTTCTACAACGACAACCACCACAACTTCCAATGATGGAACCGTAGTGTCTGAGCCCGTTGTCGAGGCCAGCGAGTCCAGCACCGCCGTGGAAGGTGGAGATTCGAATCAGTCCTCTTCTTCTACAACGACAACCACCACAACTTCCAATGATGGAACAGTCGTGTCCGAGCCCGTTGTCGATGCCAGCCAGTCCAGCACCGCCGTGGAAGGTGGAGATTCGAATCAGTCCTCTTCTTCTACAACGACAACCACCACAACTTCCAATGATGGAACAGTCGTGTCCGAGCCCGTTGTCGATGCCAGCCAGTCCAGCACCGCCGTGGAAGGTGGAGATTCGAATCAGTCCTCTTCTTCTACAACGACAACCACCACAACTTCCAATGATGGAACCGTAGTGTCTGAGCCCGTTGTCGATGCCAGCCAGTCCAGCACCGCCGTGGAAGGTGGAGATTCGAATCAGTCCTCTTCTTCTACAACGACAACTACCACAACTTCCAATGATGGAACAGTCGTGTCTGAGCCCGTTGTCGATGCAAGCCAGTCCAGCACCGCCGTGGAAGGTGGAGATTCGAATCAGTCCTCTTCTTCTACAACGACAACCACCACAACTTCCAATGATGGAACCGTAGTGTCTGAGCCCGTTGTCGATGCCAGCCAGTCCAGCACCGCCGTGGAAGGTGGAGATTCGAATCAGTCCTCTTCTTCTACAACGACAACCACCACAACTTCCAATGATGGAACAGTCGTGTCTGAGCCCGTTGTCGATGCCAGCCAGTCCAGCACCGCCGTGGAAGGTGGAGATTCGAATCAGTCCTCTTCTTCTACAACGACAACCACCACAACTTCCAATGATGGAACCGTAGTGTCTGATCCCGTTTCCGCTGCCAGCCAGTCCAGCACCGCCGTGGAAGGTGGAGATTCGAATCAGTCCTCTTCTTCTACAACGACAACCACCACAACTTCCAATGATGGAACCGTAGTGTCTGAGCCCGTTGTCGAGGCCAGCGAGTCCAGCACCGCCGTGGAAGGTGGAGATTCGAATCAGTCCTCTTCTTCTACAACGACAACCACCACAACTTCCAATGATGGAACCGTCGTGTCTGAGCCCGTTGTCGAGGCCAGCGAGTCCAGCACCGCCGTGGAAGATGGAGATTCGAATCAGTCCTCTTCTTCTACAACGACAACCACCACAACTTCCAATGATGGAACCGTAGTGTCTGAGCCCGTTGTCGATGCCAGCCAGTCCAGCACCGCCGTGGAAGGTGGAGATTCGAATCAGTCCTCTTCTTCTACAACGACAACCACCACAACTTCCAATGATGGAACCGTAGTGTCTGAGCCCGTTGTCGAGGCCAGCGACTCCAGCGAGTCCAGCACCGCCGTGGAAGGTGGAGATTCGAATCAGTCCTCTTCTTCTACAACGACAACCACCACAACTTCCAATGATGGAACCGTAGTGTCTGATCCCGTTTCCGCTGCCAGCCAGTCCAGCACCGCCGTGGAAGGTGGAGATTCGAATCAGTCCTCTTCTTCTACAACGACAACCACCACAACTTCCAATGATGGAACAGTCGTGTCTGAGCCCGTTGTCGATGCCAGCCAGTCCAGCACCGCCGTGGAAGGTGGAGATTCGAATCAGTCCTCTTCTTCTACAACGACAACCACCTCAACTTCCAATGATGGAACCGTCGTGTCTGATCCCGTTTCCGCTGCCAGCCAGTCCAGCACCGCCGTGGAAGGTGGAGATTCGAATCAGTCCTCTTCTTCTACAACGACAACCACCACAACTTCCAATGATGGAACCGTCGTGTCTGAGCCCGTTGTCGATGCCAGCCAGTCCAGCACCGCCGTGGAAGGTGGAGATTCGAATCAGTCCTCTTCTTCTACAACGACAACCACCACAACTTCCAATGATGGAACCGTAGTGTCTGAGCCCGTTGTCGAGGCCAGCGACTCCAGCGAGTCCAGCACCGCCGTGGAAGGTGGAGATTCGAATCAGTCCTCTTCTTCTACAACGACAACCACCTCAACTTCCAATGATGGAACCGTCGTGTCTGAGCCCGTTGTCGATGCCAGCCAGTCCAGCACCGCCGTGGAAGGTGGAGATTCGAATCAGTCCTCTTCTTCTACAACAACAACCACCACAAGTTCCAATGATGGAACCGTAGTGTCTGATCCCGTTTCCGCTGCCAGCCAGTCCAGCACCGCCGTGGAAGGTGGAGATTCGAATCAGTCCTCTTCTTCTACAACGACAACCACCACAACTTCCAATGATGGAACCGTAGTGTCTGAGCCCGTTGTCGATGCCAGCCAGTCCAGCACCGCCGTGGAAGGTGGAGATTCGAATCAGTCCTCTTCTTCTACAACGACAACCACCACAACTTCCAATGATGGAACAGTCGTGTCTGAGCCCGTTGTCGATGCCAGCCAGTCCAGCACCGCCGTGGAAGGTGGAGATTCGAATCAGTCCTTCTTCTTCTACAACGACAACCACCACAACTTCCAATGATGGAACCGTAGTGTCTGAGCCCGTTGTCGAGGCCAGCGACTCCAGCGAGTCCAGCACCGCCGTGGAAGGTGGAGATTCGAATCAGTCCTCTTCTTCTACAACGACAACCACCTCAACTTCCAATGATGGAACCGTCGTGTCTGAGCCCGTTGTCGATGCCAGCCAGTCCAGCACCGCCGTGGAAGGTGGAGATTCGAATCAGTCCTCTTCTTCTACAACAACAACCACCACAAGTTCCAATGATGGAACCGTCGTGTCTGATCCCGTTTCCGACGCCAGCCAGTCCAGCACCGCCGTGGAAGGTGGAGATTCGAATCAGTCCTCTTCTTCTACAACGACAACAACCACCACAACTTCCAATGATGGAACAGTCGTGTCTGAGCCCGTTGTCGATGCCAGCCAGTCCAGCACCGCCGTGGAAGGTGGAGATTCGAATCAGTCCTCTTCTTCTACAACGACAACAACCACCACAACTTCCAATGATGGAACAGTCGTGTCTGAGCCCGTTGTCGATGCCAGCCAGTCCAGCACCGCCGTGGAAGGTGGAGATTCGAATCAGTCCTCTTCTTCTACAACGACAACCACCACAACTTCCAATGATGGAACCGTAGTGTCTGATCCCGTTTCCGCTGCCAGCCAGTCCAGCACCGCCGTGGAAGGTGGAGATTCGAATCAGTCCTCTTCTTCTACAACGACAACCACCACAACTTCCAATGATGGAACCGTAGTGTCTGAGCCCGTTGTCGATGCCAGCCAGTCCAGCACCGCCGTGGAAGGTGGAGATTCGAATCAGTCCTCTTCTTCTACAACGACAACCACCACAACTTCCAATGATGGAACAGTCGTGTCTGAGCCCGTTGTCGATGCCAGCCAGTCCAGCACCGCCGTGGAAGGTGGAGATTCGAATCAGTCCTCTTCTTCTACAACGACAACCACCACAACTTCCAATGATGGAACCGTAGTGTCTGAGCCCGTTGTCGAGGCCAGCGACTCCAGCGAGTCCAGCACCGCCGTGGAAGGTGGAGATTCGAATCAGTCCTCTTCTTCTACAACGACAACCACCTCAACTTCCAATGATGGAACCGTCGTGTCTGAGCCCGTTGTCGATGCCAGCCAGTCCAGCACCGCCGTGGAAGGTGGAGATTCGAATCAGTCCTCTTCTTCTACAACAACAACCACCACAACTTGCAATGATGGAACCGTCGTGTCTGATCCCGTTTCCGACGCCAGCCAGTCCAGCACCGCCGTGGAAGGTGGAGATTCGAATCAGTCATCTTCTTCTACAACGACAACAACCACCACAACTTCCAATGATGGAACCGTCGTGTCTGATCCCGTTGTCGATGCCAGCCAGTCCAGCACCGCCGTGGAAGGTGGAGATTCGAATCAGTCCTCTTCTTCTACAACGACAACCACCACAACTTCCAATGATGGAAAGGATAAGTCAAGCTCCTCGTCTGACCCTGTTGTCAATAGTAACAAAAGTAAGAGCGGTGGTAGCTCAAGTCAGTCCTCTTCCACCACGACAACAGTCACAACAGATTCCAATGGACATACTCAGACAAGCTCATCGAAGCCAGTTGTCAGTGTCAGCAAATCAAGCTCCACTAAGACTAACGGTGGTTCGATTAAGTCTTCTTCAACAAAAACAACCATCACAACAACATCAAAGGCAAACCTGTTGTAATTGCCAGTCAGAGTGGCAATGTTGTGAATGGTGGAAAATCAAGCTCGACTTCTAGCAAAACTACAAAGACGTATACTTCAAGCTCTTCGAAGATCCCTAAGAAGAACCGAAAGTCAAGCTCAACCACAAGCAAAACTACAAAGACCTATTCTTCAAGCTCGTCAGGTGTTCCTAAGACACTTGAAGAGTCATCATCAAGCGAAAGTGCATCCACATCTTCGTCGGCTGTGCCAAAGTCGAATGGAAAGTCAGGCTCCACCTCAAGCAAAACTACAACCACCTATACATCTAGTTCTGTGAAAGTACCTAAGACTAGAAGATCATACTCTTGGTCAAGTTCATCAAAGAAAATATCCAATGGTGGTAAGCCTTATGAGGTTCCGATTTCAGGCTCAACCACTGGCAACTCCGGTTCAGGCTCTAGAAAAGCTTGGTCCAAGCGCTCCACCACTCAAATCACTAACCAACCATCGATTGATGCGTCTTCCATAGATGGCGGATCCAGCTCGTGGTCTAAGCTGATCAAAAAGGCGACGCCAGGCTCATTGCCAGAAGATGAAACCTATGGCAGCGGCATTGGATCTCGCGGCTTACAATCTTGGTCTCAGCGGTCAGGCTTCTCTGGTGATAGCTCTGATCAAACAGGCTCTGCAGGCTTTCGTGCCAGATTTGGTAGGGCCAGCAGAGGACTCAGTGAGCTGTCCCAATCAGGCGCTCAAGGCTCGCGAACATGGACTAAAAGATACGCAGATACAAATGAGAACGACACCGAAAACGACGATAATTCTGTGGCATCCGAAGCTAATTCCGACGACTCGACGAATGTGCAAGAATCGAGCTCAGGCGATGAAACTACAGATGAAACTAGCGCACAGCAGGGCTCCGGACAATACCCCGGACAATACTGGTGGGGAAACGGACGTTGGGCTAGAGCCCAACCTAGTTGGAGGTACGGCTGGCGTCCCTATGGAAGCGGTTGGGGTGGATGGAACAATCGTTATCAAAAGTAGTGGACCGCATAAATGGGACTAGATCTTATGCCCGGTACGGCTATAAACTTTCAGCTAAATGACTGATTTTAACGATTGTAAAAAATATACATATGCATTTGAATATTAACTTATTGAGTTTTGGTTTCGGAGTTATATTTGCAACTAAATTAGTCGATGTAAAGCTGCGCTGGAGGAAATGGGTTTCTTGTCGTTACCCCATCAAAAATCTTGGCTCAAACACACATAAATATGTTAAAGCAATGCATTATGCAAGAGTATAAGTCGGTTATTTTATTAGATTTTCAAAAGAAATGGATTTTTATTGATGTATAAAGTCTAGAAGAAAAAGTAAAACTTCTTTCCATCGCTGCTACTATTTCGAATTAATTGCATCAGACCTATCCATTGGATTCGCGAAAGCTGCGCTGGTTGCTTCAGCGTGGGCTCCTCCGTAGTAGTTGTAGATGCGGCGGTTGCAGATGCAATCGACAACGCCAGCAAAGTGAAAATAAGGAAAGTAACACCTGCTTCATTATTCTTGGAATGCTGACTAAAGCCAAATTATATTTTTTGGGTGTTATATCTCATTTTTTAGAAACTTTTGTACATTCTATGGGTACAAATATTTGAACAACTGCTTTAGGCGTCAAACACTAATAACGCGAAAAGTCACTCACACATACGAAGTACTTAGAGTAATGTGAAATTTACTAGAAATTCAACTTGTTGTTCGGATATATTAATTAAACGGGTACGGTCTCAAAGCGGAAGCAGATTCAAAAAGTCGAATTCTTCAGCCAAAGAAGCCTTGGAAATTGAATCGGTTGGTGTCGCACGCAAGAAGACCGTTTACGGAATGTACTTTTTGGTACATTTTTATATCGAAATGGACGTAAAGCGGCATTTATTGTAATATAACAGGCCAAAATATTCAAAATTATCTCAGACATAGACAGTTTCCAACTCATGAAGCAATAGGAGGCAAATTTAATCAAAACATTACAAATATGTTAAAGAATGAAAATATGTCAACTGGTATATTTTATCAACAATCCTTGGTCACACTGGTTACAAGATAAATAATATGTTAAATTCCATCACGAACCATACAATATATGTGCCAGTTCATAGAACGGAAGTGGCGCAGAAAACCTGTCTGAACCTGTCAACCAAATCAAACCATTAACATCTTTTATTTTTATATATTGTATCTCTTTTCGCTCTAATTTTTCTCATTTTCTGCCTCCACTTTCCACCGCTTAAATGGCAGAAAACCGTTAAATTCAAATCGGAGATACCAGGCGCACAGAAATCAGCAGAAGGTCGCTGCTATTTTTAAATTCTCGTTTTTTCTTGTTTGTCTTTGTATTTCGTTGCTCTCTCTTTTCGCTCTAATTTTTCTCATTTTCTTCCTCCACTTTCTACCGCTTAAATGGCAGAAAACTGTTAAATTCATATCTGAGATACCAGGCGCACAGAAATCAGCAGAAGGTCGCTGCTATTTTTAAATTCTCGTTTTTATTTGTTTCTCTTTGTATTTCGATGCTCTCTCTTTTCGCTCTAAATTTGCTCATTTTCTGCCTCCACTTTCCACCGCTTAAATGGCAGAAAACCGTTAAATTCAAATCGGAGATACCAGGCGCACAGAAATCAGCAGAAGGTCGCTGCTATTTTTAAATTCTCGTTTTTTATTGTTTCTCTTTGTATTTCGATGCTCTCTCTTTTCGCTCTAATTTTTCTCATTTTCTTCCTCCACTTTCCACCGCTTAAATGGCAGAAAACCGTTAAATTCAAATCTGAGATACCAGGCGCACAGAAATCAGCAGAAGGTCGCTGCTATTTTTAAATTCTCGTTTTTATTTGTTTCTCTTTGTATTTCGATGCTCTCTCTTTTCGCTCTAAATTTGCTCATTTTCTGCCTCCACTTTCCACCATTCAAAAGGCAAAAAAAAAAGAGAAAATTCAAATCTGAGATACCAGGCGCACAGAAATCAGCAGAAGGTCGCTGCTATTTTTAAATTCTCGTTTTTATTTGTTTCTCTTTGTATTTCGATGCTCTCTCTTTTCGCTCTAAGTTTTCTCATTTTCTTCCTCCACTTTCCACCGCTCAAATGGCAGAAAACTGTTAAATTCATATCTGAGATACCAGGCGCACAGAAATCAGCAGAAGGTCGCTGCTATTTTTAAATTCTCGTTTTTATTTGTTTCTCTTTGTATTTCGATGCTCTCTCTTTTCGCTCTAAATTTGCTCATTTTCTGCCTCCACTTTCCACCATTCAAAAGGCAAAAAAAAAAAAGAAAAAATTCAAATCTGAGATACCAGGCGCACAGAAATCAGCAGAAGGTCGCTGCTATTTTTAAATTCTCGTTTTTATTTGTTTCTCTTTGTATTTCGATGCTCTCTCTTTTCGCTCTAATTTTTCTCATTTTCTTCCTCCACTTTCCACCGCTTAAATGGCAGAAAACCGTTAAATTCAAATCTGAGATACCAGGCGCACAGAAATCAGCAGAAGGTCGCTGCTATTTTTAAATTCTCGTTTTTTCTTGTTTCTCTTTGTATTTCGTTGCTCTCTCTTTTCGCTCTAGTTTTTCTCATTTTCTGCCTCCACTTTCCACCGTTCCAATGGCAGAAAACCGTTAAATTCAAATCGGAGATACCAGGCGCACTGAAATCAGCAGAAGGTCGCTGCTATTTTTAAATTCTCGTTTTTTATTGTTTCTCTTTGTATTTCGATGCTCTCTCTTTTCGCTCTAAATTTGCTCATTTTCTGCCTCCACTTTCCACCGTTCAAATGACAGAAAACTGTTAAATTCAAATCTGAGATACTAGGCGCACAGAAATCAGCAGAAGGTCGCTGCTATTTTTAAATTCTCGTTTTTTCTTGTTTCTCTTTGTATTTCGTTGCTCTCTCTTTTTCGCTCTAATTTTTCTCATTTTCTGCCTCCACTTTCCACAGCTCTAATGTCAGAAAACCGTTAAATTCAAATCTGAGATACCAGGCGCACAGAAATCAGCAGAAGGTCGCTGCTATTTTTAAATTCTCGTTTTTTCTTGTTTCTCTTTGTATTTCGTCGCTCTCTCTTTTCGCTCTAATTATTCTCATTTTCTGCCTACACTTTCCACCATTCAAAAGGCAGAAAACTGTTAAATTCAAATCTGAGATACCAGGCGCACAGAAATCAGCAGAAGGTCGCTGCTTTTTTTAAATTCTCGTTTTTTCTTGTTTCTCTTTGTATTTCGTTGCTCTCTCTTCTCGCTCTAAATTTTCTTATTTTCTGCCTCCTTTTTCCACCATTCAAAAGGCAAAAAAAGAAGAAAAATTCAAATCTGAGATACCAGGCGCACAGAAATCAGCAGAAGGTCGCTGCTATTTTTAAATTCTCGTTTTTTCTTGTTTCTCTTTGTATTTCGTTGCTCCCTCTCTCTTTTCGCTCTAACTTTTCTCATTGTCTGCCTCCACTTTCCACCATTCAAATGGCAGAAAACCGTTAAATTCAAATCTGAGATACTAGGCGCACAGAAATCAGCAGAAGGTCGCTGCTTTTTTTAAATTCTCGTTTTTTCTTGTTTCTCTTTGTATTTCGTCGCTCTCTCTTTTCGCTCTAATTATTCTCATTTTCTGCCTACACTTTCCACCATTCAAAAGGCAGAAAACTGTTAAATTCAAATCTGAGATACCAGGCGCACAGAAATCAGCAGAAGGTCGCTGCTTTTTTTAAATTCTCGTTTTTTCTTGTTTCTCTTTGTATTTCGTTGCTCCCTCTCTCTTTTCGCTCTAATTTGTCTCATTTTCTGCCTGCACTTTCCACAGCTCAAATGGCAGAAAACCGTTAAATTCAAATCTGAGATACCAGGCGCACAGAAATCAGCAGAAGGTCGCTGCTATTTTTAAATACTCGTTTTTTCTTGTTTCCCTTTGTATTTCGTTGCTCTCTCTTTTCGCTCTAATTTTTCTCATTTTCTGCCTCCACTTTCCACAGCTCAAATGGCAGAAAACCGTTAAATTCAAGTCTGAGATACCAGGCGCACAGAAATCAGCAGAAGGTCGCTGCTTTTTTTAAATTCTCGTTTTTTCTTGCTTTTCTTTGTATTTCGTTGCTCTCTCTTTTCGCTCTAATTTTTCTCATTTTCTTCCTCCTTTTTCCACCATTCAAATGGCAGAAAACCGTTAAATTCAAATCTGAGATACCAGGCGCACAGAAATCAGCAGAAGGTCGCTGCTTTTTTTAAATTCTCGTTTTTTCTTGTTTCTCTTTGTATTTCGTCGCTCTCTCTTTTCGCTCTAATTATTCTCATTTTCTGCCTACACTTTCCACCATTCAAAAGGCAGAAAACCGTTAAATTCAAATCTGAGATACCAGGCGCACAGAAATCAGCAGAAGGTCGCTGCTTTTTTTAAATTCTCGTTTTTTCTTGTTTCTCTTTGTATTTCGTTGCTCCCTCTCTCTTTTCGCTCTAATTTTTCTCATTTTCTGCCTGCACTTTCCACAGCTCAAATGGCAGAAAACCGTTAAATTCAAATCTGAGATACCAGGCGCACAGAAATCAGCAGAAGGTCGCTGCTATTTTTAAATTCTCGTTTTTTCTTGTTTCTCTTTGTATTTCGTTGCTCTCTCTCTATTCGCTCTAATTTTTCTCATTTTCTGCCTCCAGTTTCCACCATTCAAATGGCAGAAAACCGTTAAATTCAAATCTGAGATACCAGGCGCACAGAAATCATTAGAAGGTCGCTGATATTTTTAAATTCTCGTTTTTTCTTGTTTCTTTTTGTATTTCGTTGCTCTCTCTTTTCGCTCTAATTTTTCTCATTTTCTGCCTCCACTTTCCACCGTTCAAATGGCAGAAAACCGTTAAATTCAAATCTGAGATACCAGGCGCACAGAAATCAGCAGAAGGTCGCTGCTATTTTTAAATTCTCGTTTTTTCTTGTTTCTCTTTGTATTTCGTTGCTCTCTCTTTTCGCTCTAATTTTTCTCATTTTCTGCCTCCACTTTCCACCGTTCAAATGGCAGAAAACCGTTAAATTCAAATCTGAGATACTAGGCGCACAGAAATCAGCAGAAGGTCGCTGCTATTTTTAAATTCTCGTTTTTTCTCGTTTCTCTTTGTATTTCGTTGCTCTCTCT